CCCTGCCATTGAGACCCTGATCTGCACATGTTAGTGTTCTGCATATCCCAAGGCCTATGGGCGCCATTCCTGCATTCTCTCTCATCCTCCCTTCCTATATCGCCCCTCCTCTACCGACCGATCGTGCTGGATGCTAATGCTTCAGCAAGCAGGCGCCTTGTAGATTTTATCCCCTTCTTGTAAATACACGTTTTTCCGTCATCTGCCCGTCACGGAACCAAACCGCCGCCGGCGCCGCCGTCGTCCGACCCCCCAGCAGCAGAATATCTCTCCGTCCATCCATCTATTCCGTGTCATGCCGGTAGACTCGAGCTCGACCTGACGTACCCGGCCCATTGGATGTCGCCATGTCCTCTCCGAACTTCGGCTTCTGTCCATGGCGGAGGAGGGCTTCGTCTCTGAACTCCCACCCGTCGTCTCGGACACAAGGCGGCGAGGAAGGCCAGCCTACTCCCATCAACGGCTCGGCTCGTCATTCTCTCCCGGGATTCAGTGATTCTTCCAGGATCTTGTCCTCCTCGACTGGCCAAAGGGAGCCCATCCGGTCCTTCATCCATGGACCCAACAGACACCATCTAGGTACGTAGAAACATGGATGCTGTCACCAATTGCTCTACAAAAGTTTGACCAGACCTCGCAGCTCCCGCTGACAGCGCGGAGTACGCTCGCAGCGTGCGCCAGGACACGGCCGAGCTCGCTTCCTACCTCTTGTCCGACAAGTCGAACCCCAAGAGCCCGGCATTCCTCTCTCGTCACCGGTCACAGCCACCGTTGCCACCGACAAGCGCATTACTTGACGACAACGAGGACGATGATGCCGAGAACGCAGTGCCAGGGTCCGTCACGATACAGGAAGTCTCTGAGCCACCATCTCCCGGCGACGAAGAGGTCGATATGCCGGACGAAGGCCCCTCCATTCTATCCAGCTTGTTGCGCAAGTCTCCACCCCAATCGAGACAAGAGTCGTCGCCGGAGCGTCATGCTTCTCTCGAGCCCAAGAGGTCACGGTCACAGGGACGGGGCAGTGAGGATGAAGACGAGGAGTCGCCAGAAGCTACCGAGAACACCCCTCTTCTCATAACGACGTCCCGTAGCATCCAGCGGACCAACGGCAGAAACTCGATCGGGGGAGATATCGAGGGCCAGAAGCCTCAGCCACGGAAAGACTGGCTGAAAGGAGCAAAGAAACTGGGCTACCAAGTCGAGCATAAGCTAGCCCATGCTGCAAAGGCAGCTACCAGCCCTGATGTCTGGAACAGAAAGAACCTGTGGCGGAATGTGGTTGTGGCTCCCCTGTCTTGTTTGCCTGCGGTCGTCGTGGGTCTGTTACTAAATGTTCTGGATGCCCTGTCATATGGTGAGTGGCCTGGAGAAGCGCCCCCGTGGAATCAAGCAACTGACCCGCTGCGAAGGCATGATCTTGTTCCCCTTGGGAAAGCCCATTTTTGCCGGACTCGGCTCGGCTGGCATCTCTATCTTCTACGTCAGCACCATCATCTCACAGCTCACTTTCTCCTCAGGCAGCAAGTTCAAGGGCGTTGTGGGGTCTGAACTTGTAGGTCTCCTCATGTAAGCCTCTCATATCTCATCCTCTCTAACCCCGGGATCCAGATTGAAGTAGTCCCTTTTTTCCATAGCATGGCCCAGACCATCACCGACGTCGTCGGTGAAGAGCTTCCTGATGCAGTAATCGCAACGACCATAACCTCCTTCGCCCTAAGCTCCATGATGACCGGGCTTGTCTTCTTCCTCATGGGCTACTTCAACTTTGGCTACATGGTTGGCTTCATTCCACGACATATCCTCATCGGATGCATTGGGGGTGTCGGCTGGTTCTTGGTTGCTACTGGCTTCGAAGTCTCAGCTAGAATGAGCGGCAGCCTGGAGTATGACCTGGAGACCCTCAGAAAGCTGTTCCAGTCGGACACCGTCCTGCTCTGGGTCTTCCCTCTGATCTTGGCCATCGTCTTATTTTATGGCCAGTCCAAAGTGGCGTCCAAATATTTCCTATCCATGTACATCATCTGCATCCCCATCTTCTTCTATTTCTTCGTCACTGTCATAGACTCACTTCACGTGGATCCGCTTCGCGAGAAGGGATGGATCTTCGACGGCCCGCCCGCCGATGAGCCTTGGTGGTACTTCTGGACATTGTACAGTAAGTCCACCCTTGTGGGTGAGAATGGAAAGAAGATTACTGACGACCGTGTGCAGAATTTAATCTTGTTCGGTGGGACGCAATCGTGGACACGGTTCCTGCGATGCTGGCCCTCACGTTCTTTGGCATTCTCCATGTGCCCATCAACGTGCCGGCTCTGGCGTTGCAGACCGGCGAGGACCACGCTGATCTAGATCGCGAGTTGAAGCTGCATGGCTACTCCAACTTCCTCTCTGGTCTGGCCAGAAGCATTCAGAATTACCTGGTGTACGCCAACACGGTATTCATGAGGTCTGGCGGAGACAGCAGGCTTGCTGGTGTGATGCTGGCTGCATTGACGTTTTGCGTCATGATGATCGGACCTGTGATCATCGGATACATTCCGGTCATGATGGTCGGGTGCCTCATCTTTGACTTGGGCTTTGAGCTGCTGCTGGAGGCTGTCTGGTTGCCGCGGAAGAAGCTGAAGGTGGCCGAGTACCTTACGGTGAGTTGGTCTGAGCTGTTCCCTGTCGGCGGTTGTTAACATACTTATCTCCAGGTCGTCGCCATTGTGCTCATCATGGGCATCTATGACTTTGTTGTTGGCATTGGCGTTGGAATACTTCTAGCCTTCGTCTCGCTCATCATCCAGACGTCGAGGGTTTCGGCGGTCCGGGCGAGCTACAACGGCGACATCGTAGGGTCTACCGTGCGAAGAAACCCATCACAGCTCAGATACCTGCAACAAGTGCGCAAGCAGATTTACATTGTCAAGCTCAGCGGATTTCTCTTCTTCGGCACCATCGTCAGCGTTGAAGAGAAAATTCGGGCACTGATCGACGATGTGGCATTCTCAGAAAAGCCAATCAAGTTCTTGATCCTGGATCTGTATCATGTCAGCGGTCTGGACTATTCTGCGGGTGAAGCCTTCAACACCATCAGTCGACTGTTGAGCAACAAGGAGGTTGTGCTAGTCATCAGCGGCGTTGATTCCGAGAGCGCACTCAGCCGCACTCTACGCGCGGTGGGGTTGGGCAATGAGAGTATTGATGTGGCACTGTTGCCAGATCTCAACTCGGCGCTGGAGAGCTGCGAGAACGAGTTGCTCAAGACGCTTTATGCGAGCGAGGAGGAGTTTCACGGCCAAACACGGACTGCACCGACGGCCAACTTGGATATCCCAGGAAAACCTGCATTGGGATCCTCTATGGACAACGTGTTTAACTCGCCTCGCCGTCACCATCTGCACCAGGCGGCGCATGACGCTCTCACCAACACCGAGTCGGAACGTACGAGCCGCTGGCGCAGTTTCAAAGAGCCACTGCGCCTGATCCTGCAGATCTTCCAGAGCGTAAGCTCCAATAACGAGGACTTCTGGTTCAGGGCTGTGGGATATTTCAGACGACGCGAGTACGCTGCAGGGTCGAAACTGTACAAGCGCGGGGAGCCGGCGGACGGGTTCTACCTGGTTGAGAAGGGCATCTTGCGCGCCGAGTACGATCTGCCACAGGGTTGGCGGGCGGAGAGCATCGTGGCGGGAACGACGTGCGGTGAGCTACCGTTCTTCTCCGAGACGGACCGGACAGCGAACGTGCTGGTGGAGCAGGACTGCGTTGTGTGGTTGATGGACAAGGAGGGGTGGGAGAAGATGCAACGTGAGGAGCCGGACGTGGCCCAGGAGTTGTTGAGAATCTCGCTCAAGCTGACGAGCGAAAGACTAAGCTCGATTACTTCATATGTACTGACCATGGCGGGGTAAGGGGCTCAAAAGGAGTTGCGTGTACTTTTAGGCCGGGGCTAGGAATTTGTCAATAACGTCCCACACCTCTCTTTGGGCCACCCCCCTCTTTGAGCCACCCCAAAAAACCATCACCAGAAATCCGCCTCTATCTTCAACCCTACTTTTCAACCCTTCGTGCTGTAACTATAATACAGTCTTCTGCTTCACTAGGTAAATCAGAGGTACTGGATCCATCTGTACTATCGTCTTTATCGCCAGCTTCAATCTGGGCCCTGTAGATTGCTTCAATATGTAACGGGCTGGGCCCGATAAGGCCTGGGCAAGGCACTCGGCCAACTGTTGCTCAGCCAACTATCGCGACCATCGCGAAGACCACAGAACGGCCCAAGCGGGAAGACTTCTTTTATGAGGCTGGAACTCATCCAGCCTCCATTCTTGTCCGTTTTCTCTTTAGGATTAGTTTACTCGTAGTAGTCGCCATAGCCCGTTGTAATACACACGGATGGACGGTTACAAATATCGGCAAACTTGGAATTGGGGCTGATCTGCACCCTCTTCTTTTTCCTGGGCCTTACTGCTTCTAACTGTGCTTGCGGCGGTCCGGCTCACCATGAAGATGGCAGCGGCTCGCTTAAGCAAAGCATAGTCATATTGAAGTTGTCTCTAGCCCCACGATGCTCGGAGGACGACTAGTAGTTTACTGAAGACCTCCTTGACGAGGCTCGGAACTATGAGTAGCGCCGGCCTGGAATTGGGTCTATTCTGAAAGCTTAAACATGATACAATATACGGCCCCGCAAAAGGCGTGAAAACATCGGTCTAGTTCCTAAGCTCACTTGTAGGTGTCCTGATCATCCTCCACAGGCGAGCCTGGAGATCCAGCTTGGCGAGGGGACGGCGGCTCTGTGGAGGGGACCGAACCACGTGACGAAAGCTGTTGCACAGGATCGATCACGGTCCTATGGGGCAGCTGCTGTGCCGCGGGCCGCTTCCTCGAGTTGAGCTGAATGTTGTTGGGCCCGGCTTTCGCTCACGTCTGCATCTCTTTGAGTTGAGTAGCTCCTCGGCGCTTGTAGTAGCTGCAGCGGCCGCCTTCTGTAAGTAATCATTTTCGTAGCCCTAGTATTCCTCGTCTTTGATGCCAGCCCGCACCTCGGACGGGTTGCCACCTAAGGCCGCGGGAAGCTTGCCGCAGCTATCTGCAAATAGGCGCGGATCTATACAGGTCTTGATTGCGTCCAGCGCGTGGAGATATGCGTCGGATTCCTTGAGCCAGTAGTCTCGGAATGGGATTTGGTCGCGACATTGCTGGATCTGGACCTCAGAAAGACCCGAGCGAAGGATTGCAGATCTCAAAGCTTGGGAATTCGGCTTAGGACTCAGCTCGACCGACGGGGTGCGACTGGCTTGACGCTGTTGAACTTCGTCGAGCCGTGCACATAGGTCGCGCACCTCAATAGGAAGGCTCTTATTAGACATACTCGCCATGCAACAGGGAGCTTGTGATTTTCCTGGGTAGAGTGCCGAGCCAGAGTGTCGAGTGGGTAATAATCGAGGATGCACACGTCTGCACCCTGGCAGCGCGCCACCCCCTGTGTCATCGCGCGTCCGTGTCAGCAGAGGCTACCTCTAGCTACCCCGGGACTTGGTACACTACATTAGAGCAACTGCGTCGCGGCACGAACACCATCCTGCTTGCATTAATTGTACGCGCTTGCGTGGGTACTTGCCTTGGTTTAGCTACTTGCACGTGCTTCACAGGCTTCCTTTACCAGCACAGCGACCCCGCAGAACGGAAAGGTGGATGGTAGTGTGCTGGGAAAACTCTCGACGCCCTGGCGGCAGCACGCAAACCATGATCAAGCACCCCTTGCAGGCTCGTTGCGGTGCACAGCTTAGCTTCTACATGATGAACCTCAACAGGATAGAGTCATTGGCCACGTTGAAGATCACTACGTGAAGCATCAGTGGGAGGGAGAGATCATCATTCGTAAGACCCAATCCTGTACACGGCAAGCTCAGAGCGAGGAACTTATGATGTAAGACCGAGCAAGATTTGGTGTTCTGCAAGTACCTCAAATATATTGTCGAGGAAGTCCTTTCGCGCCAGCCCGTCGGCAGGGCGGATGTCACGAGTCTTTCGCGTACCCCTGGACTTCTTGCATGCCGAGCCGGATAGAATGATCCTGCGTTTGAAGACAACGGACTATAGAGGTCTTCGCGTGTCTCCAGTGCTCGTAATGCGTATTGAGTGGCCGAGCTGTAGCTCCGCGCCTTTCGTCGAGGAGGGTGGTATCCTGCCGCCGCCAGCCGACACTGCCTGTCGGCTACCAGCAGGGATGCTAGGACGGCTACCAGGGGCCTATTCCGCCAGTTATCATTGCGACGGTGGCCTGCTCGAGGCATGCGCCGTATGGTCGGTGATTATGACTGTAAGGCGAGTAACTCGTCCAGCAGCTGAAGGTGCGCAAACGGCTTTTAAGCGCCTTTTCTGGCAGTAAGTGAGGGTGGCCCAGCACCGAGACATTCCACACTGGACTGCAATCGATAACGGCTCTCATGACAACTTGCCCGCGTAGGAGCCATTTCCTGCTTGTGCCACTTTCGTCGTGGCCGAACCGCGGTGTGGGGCGACGTTAGTGCAACTTCCAGCCAACTCGCCTGCGTGATCATAGCTTGACCAAGATCTAGACACACCCGTCTGCTTCCCTGTACACGAGCGTGCATGTGAGACGTCATCCAGAGACCTTCCCCTCGCCCTCGCGGCCGTCATACAGTCTACGTGCGGAACCATGACGATATGCCCGACGTGATTCGCGAACAACTGTACGCTGAAGGGCAGCAGTCGTTGGAGCGGCAGAGGAAGCAACAGCATTCCGCCCTTGGCAGCTATCCGCCAATCATCATCACCAACATTCTGCCGGCGCAAACACCCCAGGCATCGGCAGATTCTCTGCCAGAAACGCCGGAATCCGCTGCAGTGACATGCAAACCAGCCCGTCTTAACATCCTAGGGTTACGAGACGTACCCGTCAAGCGATACTGCGAGTGGCAGTGCTCGTAGGTCGGCGACGAAGCTTTGAAGATGGAGGATCGCAAGGCGTGCGACCTCACACTGACCGACGGCCTTGACCTTGAGCAGTTGTATGGAGATCAAGATGCAGGGTTGTATGTCGACGGCGGAGTCAAGAGGGGTGTTGCACGGAGATTCATCAGCGGTATTGAGGTCTGGGCTGAGCAAGACGATGGAGTTTAGAGTCTAGGAAACACTACTATTCTATCTATGCGTGCTCCACAGTGATGCTGGCGTTCCGAAAGTGACCCTCGGCACTGGACGCCCTTGTGCCCACCGTGTCCACGCACCACTCCAGGAACGCCCCAAAGTCTTGCCGGGAAGGTCCTCACGAAGTTGCCAATGTCGCTTGATGAAAGCCTTCGGCTCCGCAAAGAACTCCTCGATCGGGTTCAAGTCTGGCGAGTATGGCGGCAGATAGAGCAGTTTGACGCCAGCATCGGCACAGAGCTCCTCGATTTGGTTCGAGCGATGGAACGAAGCATTATCCATGACGAGAACCGACCTCGCCTCCGGCCACCTACCGCAATGGGGAAGCAGCTGCTCCAGGAAATCTTCAAACACGACGCTATCGGTTGAGCCTTGAAAGACGCGTGAGAGAACAATGCCATCTTGTGCGTACGCGGGAAGAATCTGGTATCTTCTGTCGCGGTGGAACCGCGCAATCTGGACAGGCGTCACGCCATATGGAGACCATCCAGTGCGCCGGAACCCAGTCCGCTTGTCACAGCCAGATTCATCAATGTAGACCAAATGGTAGGAACAGAACTCGAGCAGACGGTGGAGGTAGAAGTCCTGCACATCGGCGCTTCGTTCTTGCGCAACACGACGTGCGACCTTCTTCGACCATCCCATCGCCCTCAACGTGAACGAGCAGGCCATTTTATACTTTTTGTTCGCCACCCCTCATAATGCCGCCGCCAAGTCCGGTCCACGTGACAACAAACACAAGACATCTATGCCCCTTAATCAGGACCATGATTACCGCACTGTCTCCCCTGCACCGCGATCCCTGTGCAGAATGTCCCAGGAGTATCTGTTTTGTACGCCACAGTCTATTGATCGACATTGTTAAGTTGTCCATCCCCGACAGAAAGAAAGCCCATCGATGGTCAGCGTACGCAACAGCCGTCCCCTGATGAAGGCCGAAACTCACAGAGACCAACACCGTAGCTGCGAAAGTCGCTAGAATTGTATCACAATCCAGCCTTTGATGTCCGGGGAATCGTGACACGGTAACGATTCCACTTGGTAGTGCAACGACCGTGGTCAGCCGGCCATGCATCGTATGTTGGGATCGATGTGCTCTCAATATATTTCGAGCAATGTTGCCTTAAGCTGAAAATTTTCTTCCGGAAGTTCTACTGATCGAGAGCTCATAGCTTTGTGGGGTTATGAATGACACCTACAACTGATTGACAGGGCTAAAGTGCCGGTGCAGCCGCTTATGCAGGATTACGTGAGCTGCGAGAACCCCCTCTTTCTTCTTGGGGCTGAAAGCCTCGCCACTTCCCAATGTTTGCTTGCGAGGCAAGGGATGGATGAGCCGGGATCCCCAAGAGCATCAAACAAATGTCCACGCGGACAACAACTCGGGTGCCAACCACCACGGCACTGGTCGTCCCGCGCAAGATGGCACCGGCCGGCGACATCCGGACTGTCGCGATCGACTCCATCGAGACGGTGGCCGACATCAGCAGGACCGTCATCGTCAAGGACAAGAATGCAGCCCCTTTCTGTCGCACGCTGCGCGCTGTCTTGTGGACTGTGAAAGGGCATCTCGAAAAGCAGCGTGACAGCCTCGTTGAGGTTGGGAACGACAAGAAGAAGCTCAAAGGGCTCTTGAACAACCTCGAGAGACTCTGTGCTTGGCAATCATCCACCTGGGCCGGGCAGGCGAATACGTGGCCAACACTACAAGCGGCCAGATTCGCGGCAGGAAAAGCAGTCCAGCCGCGTGTATGCCAAACCGATGCTTTGTTCAGAGTGTTGAAGCTATGCCTCGCCGGGGCGAGACGAGTGGTGTGTTCTTCACCATGGCCAAGTAAGATGTCTCTGGGGGCCGAGGCGTTCCGGGAGCTCCAGAGAGCCCTGTGTGTGCACCATCACCACAGGCAGCAACGATGGTGATTTGAGCACCAGCGAAAATATCTTTGATGTAAGGAATCAGGGCTGCTTTCTCCTTGTCGTTCTTCTGGTCGATACAGATGCGATCTACCCAGAGCCACTCTATCCCCAACGCCTTGGCCAGCTGTGCAGCATCTCGTAGAGTGGGGGCATAGCTTCCTAGGCCCTGCTGAGCTGCGCTGCGGCGGTGCGAGCGTCCAGGGACCGTCCCCCAGACATATGGGAGGACAGCAAAATCTCTCCAGTTGCTCAGTGCTTCGAGTCTGCCGGTGGAGGTGTTGATTACCCTGAATAGGCTCTTGTTGCAGATACTAGCAAGACGTGCAGTTACGTCTTCCGACTCCTGTCGGTGCTGGTGAGTGCGGGTACAGCAATTGAACCATGATTGCAGCATGTTGAGGTCGGCATGAGGCTGGGTCAACAGGCGAAAGCTGTCAAATGCCTTGCCTAGTATATCAATCTTCCATGATCCCACAGCCGACTCAATGATGGCATTTGCTGCTTTGTTCTCTGCTTCTTTGTTCTCTGCTGCTTCGTTCTTCAACGTTTCGTCTTCTGCCGCTTCTTTCTTCGCTGCGCCGTTCTCTGCTGCTTTGTTCTCTGCTGCTTCTGGGCCTGATCCTGGGGTATCTCGAAGTTCTCTTCCACTTGATAGTGCTACGTCACCATCTCCAAGCGCATCAGGCAACTGGTCTCGCGCACTTTTGCTTACCCCGCGATCGGAAAGCCCGCTGCGCTTCTTCCCCCGTGTTTGCGATTTCTTAGCTGCAGGGGTTACTGGCGGAGCGATCTTCTGGTTCCTCTTGAGCTCATGGAACCAAACGTAGAGCTGTCCGCTGTGCACGAGCCTGGGCGCGTCAGCCTGCCGAGCCGGGCTCGCCCATACGAGCTTTGGGCGGATGCAGCAGTGCTTGTCCTTTAGGGCGTCCTCGTCGCCAGTCATGCGGGCGCACGCGGCGACAAGCTGGCAGAGCTGGCAGCGCGTCGACCTGCGCTCGACAATCTTGAGCTAGAAGTCGTCGATGTAGACGGATCGCTCTACCTCGAAGTCTGTGGCAGGGCGCGCGGCGTGAGCCTGGCGGGCGTCCTCGCTTGTCAGCCATGGCGCAGTGACAAGAGACTCGAGGTCAAGCGCTGCACATGAGCCGCAGAGGCGGTCCGGAGGAGGCATAGGGAGCCGGGACATGACTTCCTTTGCCACATGTGCCGCGCTGCTGTAGTCGTATGTTTGCATGCTAAAGCAGGTCGCGCGAGAACACCTTGAACACGAAGTGGCTGCTGTGAGGGTGGCAGCGCTAACTAGTCTAGATCTGCAGTATGCAGCACGTTTCCCCTCTTCTGCGGGTACTCCTCCCGTCTAGTGGTATCGACGGGAAGATCTTAGGACCGTACAGACGGCGTGCCAGTGACGCAGTTAGCGACGTTTATATCGCTGATACCGCTGAACACGGCAAACGCGACATGGTCAAAGTCTTGATCGGTCACTTACGGCTTGAAGACGTACTGGCTGGCTGATGGCCGCACAAATTGGACTTTCTTGCTGGACTTGCCGCGATAGACAGACCAGAGCAATTAGTCGCACATCGCGCACGGATAACGTGACCTTATTTTACTGGACAATATTCGGGTACGCTGTCGTCATTACGAAGTGGTAGCATTGTTGAGGCCATAACCATTCAGCGGGGGTAGGGTAACCAGTCTCAGTATAGATGCCATCATTCAAAACTGCCAAACTCTTAACTATGGTCTAGTCCAGCTTGCAAGCAGCTCTTGGAGAATTGCTTGGAGGCCCACGAGTAAAGTTCTTTGTTCCATAGAGTACCCAGATGCTATTCCAATCAAGCTCAAGTGGCCCGAGGCAGCCAGGTGGCTGTCCTTGTATCCTCGACCTTTGTTTTGCAAGCCAAAGCTATAGTGTACCATTTCCGTCACGATATGCAGGTGGAAATCTGGAGCGTGGGTAAGCAGGACTCCATTATATGTTCCGTAAGTCTAGACGAGCTGCTATTTACAACGTGGAAAAGCTAGGGTAAGCTTTTGGAGCCGCCCACCATGCTTTACGCGCGGCTAGCTCCTTTGCATCGCTCTGAGAGTCGGCTCGTTAAAATAGTATTGGTAGGTGGGGCTGTCTCAATAGTACCATGATCTATGCATATCGAAGTTATTTTCGAGTATCTCTTCCCATTGTCTGAATTAGACCTGGCCAAGGCTTTCTATAAGGATCTCTTCTTGTGGACTGAGAAGATCACCGGGAGGTTAGATAACCTTGATTCCTGCGAGCAACTGTCTTCCTACTGCGTTCCTTACAAAATGGGATGCTATTATTGCCAGGTGCCCTCGCATGGGTCTGATGTGCCTAATTACCCAGTTAGCAGGCACAGGGCTACCCTACCCCAACGGCGAACGACCTCATCAAACAAATCCTACAAGATCACGTACTATCGAGTTGTGATGGAGCCAGCTCGAGAACTTGCCGACAGAGAGAAGGAGCACCGCTCAAACTCTACAGAGCGTGACAGGATCGCACACCAGCTGCTCAGGAGTCTAAGAATTGCAAAAGCCAATCAAGAAATTGCAGAGAGGGAGTCTAGAGGGAGTCAAAAGCGAGTGCAGTTCTTTCCGGGCCTGGAGAGGCCATAGCTTCAGGCATTATCTAAATCCAGGTTGTAATTGTACTACAAGTTCCAATGCGCTATCCGCGTGCCAATAAGCTGTATAGAAATTTCCATGCACCTATATTTTACTCTTCTCTAGTCGCTCCACTCGCTACAAACTTGACCATGGTCGGTCTGGCGGTGCTTCGGGTCTGTTTTGCTACTACTACCATTCTCAAATTCTTGAAAGGTATCATGTAGTTGTACTGCAAGCCTAGTAATAATACCCCGAAGTCGCCGAATCTCTCTATCGCCCTTGCGGATTCTAGCCTTTGCCTCTTCTATATTTCGCTCCGAGAGGCTACATGCCCGCTCCGCAAGTGTCAACATGCGGCGCTCAGATAACGGCGCTGGAGCGAGCTGCACCGGAGTTTTCGGGAGCGACTTGTTACTCATAGCTCATAATTAGATAATTGTGCATGACTGTAGATAGAGGCATTATGCTTGGAAGCGGGTGGTTGATGATTTAATACGGCGCACGGGGCTAATTTGAGCGTTACATTCCGGTCTACAGCAGGTCCGTTCAGGGGTCTGTTGGAATAGACGCGGTCGAAAACTCATAGTTCTGCCCCGCTATTTTCAACGCATCGGCTATATAAAGAGTAGCACGGCCACCGAAGTAGCTCGATTCAGTTGTCTGGTGAACAATTCCAACCTTTACAGATCATCTCGGAACGACAACGTATTATATAAGAATATGGCAAGGCTTTTCATCATTCTGTTGTCGCTCATCACGGTCGGCCAATCCATAAGCACCCTCCCATCTAATTGCTTGTCCAGCCCACCCTTTAATCTTACTGCGGGAAACTCGACTATCTCAGCTCTGTTCGTGGCCCCGATGACGAGATTCGTACCCTAAAATCATCACTAATCTGCCTACAGCCTTAACTCGGACCGGGTGACACAATGCCTGGCTACTCTTGAGTTCTCAGAGGAAGGATTCCTGCCCACGTCCTGGGCCTTCAATGCCTCGAAGCCATGCTCCGGACAGGAGTTGGCAAGCTTCAAATTGCCTCCCACTGTACCAAACGGTGAAGCATGGTTGCTTTGGTGCGCAGTCTGTCTATTAAGGCTTTGGAGCCTCCACTGACTTTTCACAGGCAATGCTCAGGTCAGGAGGCCAGCTGCAATCGCGTGCTAATTACAGGAGGGGATCCCGATTTCGCGCTCGCGGCGCAACATAATGGTAGTATTGCTTGCATTACCGAGGAGCTCAGTACGAGAACTACGTGGACTACTATAACGAAGCCTACTTTAACCGCAACAGAAACACTCATCAAAATATCACTTTCACACGAACATTGACGGATGACGAGACAAGCCTTTCCTCTAGCAGTACCAGTGCGCCTTCAGTAGCAGATCCTGTTGAAGAGACCGCCAGCGAAACGGGAACTACACAAGCAACAGCAACCCCCGGTGAAACTGTCAGCGACCCTAGCATTGCAAAAACAGCAAGTAGTAGTGAGAGCTCTAACGTCCAGATTGCGGGGGCTACCGCTTCTAGCGATAATCCCCTTTTCGCAGACAGTTCAGGTTCTTCCAGACCGAGCTATCTTGCTACCTTAACGATCGCTTCAACAGTTACCATGATTCAGACCGTGTCAATCTGCTAGGTTCTAGCTTATCGGAGGGATGAATAAATTGACCTACCGGCCGCGGGGCGAGCCGTTAGTTATGTGTGAGAACCTCTTCAGTATACCGCGGGTCGCAAAGTTCAACCATAGATAGTATTATACACCGTCTCAATAAGTCCAAGATCTTAATTGAGTTGTGATGAGGTAGATTAGATGTGACTATGTCGACGCGTGAGGAAGACGCCTAAGTGCTATAAACTCTCCCGACTACAATGTTGCTACTCCATACCGTGCTCACTCAGCTGTGGACGGAAGAAAACAACCTCCGGTAGATCAAGAAAGTGAATGTTATGCCTAGCATCTGCCTCTTTGCCCGGCTGGCTCTCTAAGCCGGAACGTTCATGATGGTTGACATTCCTCTTTTCCACCCTCTCTTCTTCGTTAAGGGCGCGAGCTACAGCCTGAAGTAGTGCTAATATCGCCGCTCGTGCACTGGAGTCGTCAATGGCAGACTGACAAGGCTCACGGCAAGGCCCGAGGCCTTGAGTAGCGATAGGCTGTATCTGTGCCCGAGCCGGATTATACGACCGACGGTATCGCTGCAACCGGTCCGCCATATTTGCTAAGGACAATGTTTGGAGATACTCAAGTAAGTCGGATTAATGTGGTCGCTTTATCGTGCTGCAAGAACCAGAGTCATACGGATGAGCCAGATCTTTATACTACACTTTTGAGGGAAGCAGAGGAGGGCAAAATTGTGCTGAACTATATAAATAACTCCTTGGCCGACCGGGATACCGCCCGGAGGAGCGGGGTACTTTGGCGCACGGCGGCTCATGTGAACTATGATTCGCCAACTAGCCGGTTGAATCGGCCCCATCGTGTCCCGCCCCGGATGTCGTACAACAATTACACCGGCGGGAACGGAGAAAACATGATTGGTAGCGCGAAGACGGATAACCCCTTTGGACTTCTGGCGCGGTTCAGTTGACACTCCGGTAACGACCCCGCGAGCTCTTTCGCTGTGCGTAGGCCACGCCTATGTATCTGCCCTGTTGCCGCTTGTCTTCCCATCTACTATATACACCGGAAGAGCAGCGCAATTCTAAGTTGCCAAGAAAGGTCCAGGTTGCACCATCTTCTGTGTCTCTGCCAACCATTCAGTCTAAACAGCCCAGTCATTGTACCTAGCAATTGGACACCGCTTTAAATCGAGGTACTCTACCCTCAACTGCCTACTACGTAGTCCATGAGAGGACCGGAGCGTGCTTCAAGCACGCGAGTCGAGCCTTGTCTGTACTCTGAGACCTAGTCCCGAGCCATTGGCTTCTTCAATCTCCTCGAGTGCGCCCCAGGCTGTCGCTGCTGGTAAATTCATCCTGCAGCCTTAGCTATGGCACTGAAGACAAAGTGCCTCCGACGCAATTGCCTGCTGGGACTCTAGGAGGTAGATCCATTGTGGTAGGCAGCATCCTGTTCGCGAGTTGTGTCTCTCCCTTCAAGCGCGAAGTATCTAATGCGGGTACAATTCGCTATATATCGCTGATGCGATGCCCTGTGTCACGGAGTGGTGCCTGGAACACGCCAAGGCCCACAAGGCCGCTGACCCGCGCACGGGCCACAATGACATTGGGATGTAATTGTGGCCCGTGCTCAGCCAAGCACAGTGACTCGCTTTGTACGAGCGCATTTCCAATCTTGCCGATATCTCCGAGCTTGAAGATGTCTTCGATGGTCGTGGTAAGCTTTTTGACGAGCGCTCCAAGCTCCCGGGCCATGAGCCTGATTGCGTTGACTAGTTTATTCTGAGCGCTGGAACCCTGGCCGGAGACCTTATCGATGGCGTCTTTGATGTTGGAGGCTATCACCTGTGTGATGTCGCACTCCTCCTTGAGCGACATCAGGATCTGTTTGGCCTGCTGCTTCTTTTTCAGCTGCTCTAGATACCCCTCGAGCGCGTTATTGAATTTGCTCAGGAGAGCGAACAGCCCCCCGGTAATGGCGGCGAGGGTACCGGGGTCCATGTTGTCGATGAAAACGGAATCGAAAGTCCTGAGAGTTGGGACATGTAAGGACGGAAGCTAAGGTCCTGGAAAAAGCCCAGCACCACCATCCTTGAGGGGATCCTCTCGATTTATTGCGGCTGCCAGCTTACCCAGCTGGGCTTGGCCTATCCCCCGGACCCCTCGACAAAAGTTTGTGCGTATGCGCGACTGGGTGTCGAGAGGCGGCGTCTGCGAGGCATAATAGAAGCGGGGGTGAGAGGGGGAGGGGAACTCCGGCACGGGGGTGAGAGGGGGAGGGGAACTCCGGCACGGGGGTGCCAGATAATCACATCATGTCGGACGTGTTAGGTTCCTATTGGCAGTGCGGCAGCAAACTTGCGTCGGCTGTGAGAATGGGAGACGTGGTCTTGATTAGACTGTGGGTCGCCAACTCGGATGCGGACCACTGAGCGCGCTGAGATTCTGGGAATTGCGAGGGAAGGTGGTGTGCTGTTATGCGTGGCGTCTGCATACCTCTAGCGTCCAGCCTCGCGTGAACCACTCAGAACACTGCAAATGTTTGTCGAGTTCGTGCTGGAATTTGCGAGGAGGAGCATCGGGAAGCTTGGAAAGGTCGACGTCGTCGAGATAGGCGTAGCAAATTGCCGATTCTGCGTACCATTGCCCCATAGAGTTGATAGCCTCTTGGTACTCGGCACTGCTGGCCTTGTCAATGCAACAGGTGTCGACCCATATGTATCCATGGCCACTCCTCTCCGCCTGAGCACGAAAATTCATTATCTTGTGATAGCTTGATGTCCTGGGCTCGTGTGGAACATTGCCGTGTTCGAGAATTCGACGCATATCCTGGTACGAGAGCTCGGGCTCACGCCAGCGGTGGGACAAGATTGCATACGCTGGTGTTTCACTGCCATGGTGTTCCTCAAACTGGAGGTCGCTCGTCTTTAGCAGTCTCATTTTGCGACGCTGCGGGTAGGTCTCGGTGGCGACTTCAGCATCCGAACATGTGCTTCGTGTTGAGTTCGGCTGACGAAGGCAGAACCAAGATGCGAAACCCCGCACGCGAAGTTGAAGTGGATACTCGGCGTAGCCACAAACCCCGCACGCTCGGAATCAAACTTGGAGCCACGAGGCAGAGCCAGCATAATGCTCTTCTTGTAACTACCGTGCCTGTCATGGGTTGTCGTGTCTCTTGGAAGATGTCACACCTGTGCAATTGATTGGGTTGATAGATGAGTGAGTGACACTTTGGTTGAGCACTGAGAACTGAAGACTTCAGTTTAGTGTCCCCACTACATTCCGCTACTATGATGAGTGGTACCACTGAAGCACTACTTATGGACCATGGTTGCTCAGCCTGACCTTGAACTCATCCTATGGATTATAGGAGCGGCCACAATGTGTATCCGCTTCGCTGCAATTGACAACCCCCCGGCACGGGGACCCTGCACGGGCCCAAAATGTGGCGCGTTATGGCGGGCTTCGTCCGTACTCACTGGCGAGCGTGTACTGGCCAAAAATGGCTTCTCAACCGCCAAGCGGCTTTCTTCTCATATTCAACTCGCCTCAAGAATAGATGTGCTGGAAGACTAACCCGCTCATGAATTCTCTATTGTACGTGGAGACCTGGAATCCTCTACAAATTTCTCGTCGCCTCTTCTTCGACATCCGGGTCTATATTGGGTCTGTCAAGTGTTGGTCGTCGCTTGAGGATATCCCACCATCAATCGCGCTATTTGTAAGCTGGGGAGTGTGTCGCGCTGACGCGACAGCCTGATGCGATGGCCCGAGGAGTTGTTCAAGGCTGTCGTAAACACGTTGGTAATATAGCCCCGCGTGACTCAAACGGCCCTGTTTCGAGCGTAGAGACCCCAGGTTCTGGAGGGTGTTGATAGCTAGCCGGTATGTCGTGACATTTGTAAGTCATATAGCTCTCTCATATCCATGGAGCGCTCACAAGTTCATCGTCTCGGCCTCGCCCAGCTTCCCCTGTTCTCTGTAAAGGATCCCAAGGTTGTTGACTGTTCCAAGTGTTGATGTGTGATCCGGTCCTAGTGCCCTCTCGTATCCATGGAGCGCCCGCAAGTACATCTTCTCGGCCTCGCCCAGCTTCCCCTGATCAGCGTAAAGGTTCCCAAGGTTGTTGACTGTTCCAAGTGTTGATGTGTGATCCGGTCCTAGTGCTATCTCATGACCATGGAGCGCTCGTAAGTACATCTTCTCGGCCTCGCCCAGCTTCCCCTGTTCGTTGTAAAGGATCCCAAGGTTGTGAACTGTTCTAAGTGTCGATGTGTGATCCGGTCCTAGTGCCCTCTCGTATCCATGGAGCGCTCGCAAGTGCATCGTCTCGGCCTCTCCCAGCTTCCCCTGGTGAACGTAAAGGCTCCCAAGGCTGTCGACTGTATTAAGCGTCGATGTGTGATCCGGTCCTAGTGCCCTCTCATACCCATGGAGCGCCCGCAAGTACATCTTCTCGGCCTCGCCCAGCTTCCCCTGTTCGTTGTAAAGGATCCCAAGGTTGTTGACTGTTCGAAGTGTTGATGTGTGATCCGGTCCTAGTGCCCTCTCATACCCATGGAGCGCCCGTAAGTACATCTTCTCGGCCTCGCCCAGATTCCCCTGGTCAGCATAAAGATAACCTAGACAATGAAAGGCCCAACTTGAAGAACTGTCGCTCTCTTGTACTGTTGAAGAAGACTGGATAGCATGTGGTATGAGCCTCTTCTGAAGAAGCCAATATTCGGCTTCTTCGTGCGAAGGAACCTGTGATGCCACACTTCCAAATGCAAGCTCATTCAAGCAACCGTCCCGCTTCTCGTTCAATATGTGAATCGTCCAAGAATGGAGACAACTGTGGATACTGTACCCTTGTGGCTCCTGGAACATGTTTGTAGGTTCGACAAGCCCGTAGTCATGGAGTACGCCCATCGCATCGTAAAAGTTGAGCTCTTCTGATAGCTGCTTCATCCACGCGGGGCCGTCTTCGCTGCCAAATTTGACAAGATCATACCAGATGTCGTCATTGTTGAAGTAAGCCCACCACTGGAGCAGATGAGCTGCAAGCGGGTTCTGTGCCTGAACAAGTGCATATGACAGCTGCCACGTTGAACATAAGGTACGGTCTGCGTAAGAACCGAGATTCAGATTACCCGTGAGTCTTGTCCAAGATTCCCGGTAGTGGCGGAGGTAGTGGCGGAAGCTGATTGGGACACGCTTCAGATATGCTGCAGCTGTAGCAAGAGCAAGAGGAAGCCCGTCAAGTTCTCGTACGAGTTCTTTCGCATCATCATCTAGAGCACTATTAGTGACCGAAGATTGCGTGCCTCGAGATTCTTACCATCTTGTAAGCCATTGCGGCCTGATGCCTCTGACAGTATTTGCAAACCCTCCGATTCGGATTCGAGTTTCTCAATCCGAATGTGATGCCCTATGTCGATTTGCGATAACCGTGTCGTGACAATAATTGAGCCCTGATATGCCGTAGGCAGAAACTGGTGTATATCAATCGCTGTAGCGCTCACACGCCCGGGAAGCTTTGGGTCGTCGTAGTTGTCGTACACAAGAAGCCATCTGGTATTGCCTGGTAAGCTGAGCCAAGCCTTCACGGCCTGAATGATCTCGTCGTGGTCTTGCTGCAGATTAAGTCCCTTGAGGCTGCCGATATCCGGATGCTGTTCCAAGATCTGCGCTGCCACCCTAGCAAAGCTCTGTTGGATGGACGCTTCGTCTTTGATATTGAGCCAGAAGATCGCCGAGTACTCTTCCCGGTATCGTTTGATATACGTTGCAGCGAGCTGTGTCTTGCCAATGCCGCCGAGGCCATGGAGGACGACAGTGCAACGGCTTCCATCTGAGCACAGCATTCTTCGCATCTCAGCAACTTCTCGATCCCTTGCTACGAAATGTAGAGTCTCGGGGACGCCAGACATGCTAAAGCTGATCTGAAAGTTGTTGTGGTAGGTGCCTAAGCGTTGCATTAGTTAATACGAATCCTCCCTTGCTGAGCAGCGTCTTACCTTTCACAGATTTCTGGACTTCTTCTCGCAACCTCCGCTGTGCTTGTTCGCGACCCTCGCCGTAGATGAGTGGCATATAAACGCCAAATATTCCAAGCAGCGAGTATGCCATGTCTTCCTCGTACTTTGTTTCCCGGTTGCGCACCCACGCCTCACGTTCTGAAGTCGTAAAATGGGATAAGGATGTATTTCGTAAAGCCTGGGCAGGAATACCTGTCACGTCGCGTATGACAGCTTCCAGAGACCTCTTATCTCCCAGAAAAACACCTTCCTTGGAGTAAAACTCGACAATCTGCGGGGCGATAAGCTCTTGCAGTGTCCAGCCCCGTGTGAACCACCGACTGGCTCGTAACGCAGCCTCCCACGACGTCACGCCTGGCTGCTGACTGGAGGTCGAAGGACAGCAGACGTCGGACAGGAAAACATAGCATCGTTTCGCGCTACGGTACCATCTGAACATGCTGTTGATTGCAGTCTGGAGTTCGATAGCGTCAGATTTGTCGATACAACAGGTGTCTACCCAGAAATGCTGCAGGCCATGTCGCTTGGCCTGGTCGGCGCAGAACTGGATCTTTCTGTAGCCGACTTTCTGTTGCCAGTCGGTTGAGCTCGTCTGTACATCAGTGTAGATGACCTCGTCGACACCCCAGGTGTGGGAAAGGATTGCGTAGGAGGGGATGTCGTCGGCGCGCAGATCGTCCGTGAGGGTGTAGTTGTTGGCGTCATCTCGTTGTAGTAGCCGCATTGTGGGATACGACTGATGACAGTAAGGGCTACTAGTCGGAGTGAGAAATATCTCGGTGGCCGGACGTCCCGCATGAAGGTCAAATGGGATAAAAAGAAGCAGGCATCAGCATTATCATGGTAGGATATTGGGCCGCCTCTCAGCTCCAAAGTAAGGCTGAAAGTGCGGGGTAAGGCAGACTCGTCACTCACCTGTGACGCTATACTGTGCATATGCAATACGACTTTGCCCTCATATTCTCTCCAGTGCCGGCTTTGAATAATTGACAGTGCAAAGTGCTGCAAGTAACGATTTGGGATAATTAGTTAAATCAGTCGTGGGGGCTTTCTGTCAATGTTAGGTTCAGTGCAACCAATGGAGTTGCATAGTGCTAAGAAGTCTACGCACAGTCTGAAGCCATATGGGTCAAAGGAGTCCGTGCGGAGTCGACGACTTTTCTGCATTTCACGGACACTGATCGTGGTCGCCACTGTAGTAGGTATGGCAGTCGAGGATATTCTCAACCCGCACACTCGCCGTACGACTTACGCCACGTCCCGTCCCATTACTGCGATCAGTGTCATTGCCCCTGCCAAGTGTGCTGTAAGGAGACAGGCGTTTGTGACGCAGATCTTTCCAACCTCAGATCTGCATAATATCCTGAGGCGCTCGCAGAGCATTCCTCACCTACTTGACTCATGCGAGCTCCCACGAGACGCCTTGATGCCCATGTAGATGTGTTAACTGCCTGACTTCTCCCTGTGCAGCAGCATGAAAGGAAGCTTAGTTGAGCAGTTCGGCAGCCGTCTTTGATCCGAGGAAAGGCAGAGCTACCATGACGCGGTGACGCGAATCAGACACGGCCCGTGCAGTGATCGCGTCTTCAGAAAGCGTATCAGTGGATACGAGCCGCATGTTGTAGCTGTCAACTTCCTCGTGGGGGCCTTCTCTCATAGGAATAAGCGCTGCAGCTTCCGCCCAGGCACCATATGGAATCTGAAGGTGGCACTCGAGGCGCCAAGGCGCTAATCACCAGGGTGACAGGGGTCTCAAACCCCAACACCTGAAATCGACGATGGCACTCTCGACGACGTCACCGTCGCCAATGTTGTTCTGATTACTTGGTTTTTGGCCTGTGCATAGAGTCAATCATTCTGAACGCGCCGAACGTCTCCTTTTATCATTATCGTCACTCTGGGCCGAGCAATCGCCATGCCCGGTAAAGAGCATATTACACCACGGCGGGCACGGCCCCTGGGCACCATATGGTGGCTACAGCAGCGCGGCCTTCTTATGACTGACGGCCACCGCACTCACAATGACGACGGTCAGAGGCTGTTTACGAAGGCCGAAGTATTTGCGGATTTCAACGTTCCAAAGAGAACTGGCTATAGGTGGCTTCGCGCTATCCCTGAACCTCTTCGAGAAACAGCCGAGCCCGAGGAACCTTCGCAAACAGAGTCACCGTCACCGTCGCCAAAGAGGCAGTGTCCCGACCTTAGCCACTACATGCGCCGGACGGCGCATAACCCTCTCGTCGATTCCCGACGCGGCAGGCGCGTCGAATTCAGCATCGAGGACGGTAATCACATCCATCATTGGCTTCTGGACCTACCTGAAGCTGATAAATGGCAGGGCTACCGCCTACCATGGCCAGTCGCGGCAGCAGAGTCGGGCCTCGAGGTCACCTGTTGCGAGAGGGTGATCAGGAACCAGATGCGGAGGAGCTTCAGGTACCATACATGCGTCTCAACGAAGAAGGAAGGGCTCCCCAACTACGCCAAGAAAGCACGAATTCGATGGGTTCGACGGCGCCTTCGCGAGGGCAGGTACAACGACAGAGAGTGGCTCAAAACAGCGTTCTCAATGGATGAAGTTCACTTCGGATTTCAGCCGGCACTTACTACTAAGGTCCACCGCCGTCCGGAGGACCGCAATGAACATTGGGTTGTACAGCCAGAGGACCCTCGCGAGAAGTCAAAGAAGCTCAGAAACGCCAGAAACGCCATAAAAAACAAAGAGTACGATATCCAGGGTGCCGAGGAGCTCGAGGACGAGAACGAACAGACCCTTATGCATGCAGTCTGCGCAGTCGGCTGGAACTTCAGGTCGAAGCTATACTGGTACACGATCCCTTCAAACAAAAATGGGAAAATGACGGCGGACATTCTGATTCCAATTTTACGCCAGTTATACAGCGAAATAGAGAACCACGTTGGACATAAAGATTTCCGCCTTCAAGTCGACAGCGATTCCTCACACCACTCGAAGAAGGTCATGAAATGGGTCACGGACAATAACCGTCAACTCATTATTGGTCCCGGGCTATCTCGTGATCTCAATTGGATCGAGACGAACGTCAGGAGAGTCAAATACCATATCAAAAACACTGCACATTTAACTACAGGAGATCTAGAGAAGATCATCCACGAGGGGTGGCGCAAGGTGGCCCAGAAGAAGCTAAACGACGATGTTCTGAGTCAAAAAAAGAGGCTGGAACAGGTCCTCCTTGCAGGTGGAGAACGCATTCATTATTGACGTGATTGGACAAGACAAAAAATATTTCCACTTTTATATGCAATTTGTATGGCTGGCTGAAATAAATGTTAGTCCAAGCTCATCTCAGGGGGGTCTCGAGTGCCACGTTCAGATTCCATATGGTGCCAGGTGGGTGAGCGGTTGGAGCCCCTCCGTTGGAGGCGATGCAGCGCCAAGGGTCAAACTAGATAGGTCGTGCCTCCACTGGTTGATTTGGCGTCATTGTTTGTGTTATGGGGGCCCCACTTGAAGCACTGATGAACACTACATTACAGGCGAGACGGCAGACATAGGCCAGGAGTTATCTGGAAGGGTGAGGACGATCTCCAGGCCGCATCTGCTTACCGCGGCCGACCTTGGTGATGGTCTTGCTGAGCTATTACTATGATAGTGTTGCACCACGATCCTAGTTCGCGCCAGATGGCAGCACCAGGGACCCTTCCCGCATAATCCTGTCAAGCCCCACCTGTAAGCAAGCAGCTCTCACTCTGGCAGCTCTTGACTGACACTTCAATCATTCAGTGGCTCGCAGTGCTGCGGGGTAACGAGATCTACGGTCGCAGTTGGGGCTACTACTGCCTCCTCGATGTATTCAGGATATCTTTGAGCGCGGCCAATCGCATACCACATAAAACGTGGGTTGCTGAAAATAGTGCGTGATGTCTGCCACATGGTATTCTTGGTTAAGACTTGGATTTGGTCTGCCGCAGGCAGTTAGGCCGACGTGAAAACCTACAGAAAAGTGGCTCGATCACGGTTTTCGGCATATCATGACTGTTTGCTTGAAGTCGCAGTCATGTTTGTGACGACATCCCCGAGTTTATTTGTTTCCATATAGCACTTTGTTTGTTGATGGTGACGCCAGCCACAAACTCATCGCTCGGGAAGATCTTTTGTGTGGAGCACGAAGCAGCTGTTCCGATGTATAGCCTGTATGCCGTCCGAGGAAATGCTGAAAGCCTTGAGGTCATAAGAGTGCCCTAAGCCATTCTGCTACTAATATAGACAGGCACTATTTCTTCTTTTATCAAAATCGTCTATCCAAGTCCAGTCAACCAGAGTGACCGCCTTCTCCATTGCGGACCACCAGCATACAAACTCCACACGAGAAACTTCGACGAATTTGCCAGAGAACATGGCCACACCTCCTGCTTTGTCCATTTTAGCCAGCCTCTCAGGCGCAGGCGATGCCTATGCGAAGAACCAGCCAGGCTCGCGTGAGTCGCTAATAGAGCTCTCGCGCCAGCTCATCGCCAAGTTGGAGCTGCCGAGCGAGTTCCTGCAACGAAGCTTTTGAGCAGAGGTATGTACACTGTGCTATCAGCAAACTGACCGAAATCCGGATCACGACAGCTTATCTTCACCTCGAGACCCTTTTCTGCCATATTGACCTGGCTAACGCTGTGAGTGTTGTGTTACATAGCCCGCAATGTGCGCGAACATTAGATTGGCTGTCGATCGAAATATTTTTGGACTCCTTCGAGAAGCCGGCGCCGATGGCGTATTTCCCGACGTGCTCGCTGAGAAGGTCGGCATGCAAGCGAGCCTGTTGAAGCGACTGATGCGGCATCTCGTCGCAATGCACGTCTTGGACCTTGCCAACGGCAAGTTACGCGTAAATCCTTTGAGCAATGGCCTCGCGATGCAAGATTACCAGCGCAGCATCATGTTCTGTTACGACGTGTCCCGGCCCTCCTTGAACAGCTTTCCAAGCTTTTTCAAGGAGACGAAATACCACGAGCCAGCGTTGTCGAAGATCGATGGACCTTTCAACAAGGCCTTCAGCTCATCCCTGCCGTTCTTCGATTGGCTTAACGCGAATCCTCCCAACATGCAGCACTTCGCTTCCTTCATGGCTTGTTATCGCGATGGAAAGCCGAATTGGTTCGATAGCGGGTTTTATCCCGTGCAAGAGAGGTTGATAGCGGGCTTCGACCCGAGCATTGGGGAGGCGCTCGTTGTGGACGTTGGCGGCGGAAGAGGCCATGACATGGTCATGTTTGCTGCTCGATATCAAGATCATCCTGGAGATATCATTCTGCAAGATCAGGACGTGGTTATCGGGGAGATTGAGAACAAAGACGCACAGCCATTCACCGCTATCGCACACGACTTCTACAAGCCACAGCCTCTCATGGGTGCCCGGGCATACTCGCTGCACTCGATTCTACACGACTGGGACGACGACCACGCGGCAAGAATTTTGGAGAACCTCAAGCCGGCGTTGAAGTCAGGGTATTCGAGGGTGCTGCTGAACGAGATAGTCGTGTCGGAGGAGGAGCCAGCACTTGCGGCTACCGCGATGGACATGATGATACTGGGACACTTGAATGTCTGCGAGCGCACAGAAGCCCACTGGAGAACGATCATTGAAGGAGTGGGCTTGCGAGTAATCAACATTTACCGCTATCCGGGCAGCGCAGAGAGCCTAATTGAAGCAGAGCTTGCTTTGTAAATGCCATTAGCTGTTTCGAAGATGTGGCTACAAAAAGTTGGGACTGCTCAGACCAATCAATTTCAGCTACTGTCTATGATAACTTGCATTCTTCCAAGAATAGAGTACTGATGGAGGCAAAGTTGGCTGTGCTAATACTTAGCATAGAAGTTTTTAGTGAACACACGAACCCATATCTCGGCGCCGCGGTCTGGTTTCGCACTACGCTAGTACACGACCTCGCACCGGAGTATGCAGAAATGCGATCTGCTGTGGAACAATGATTGCCCTCATCCAGCCACCGCCACCACTACCGTTGCCGAAGTTAATCCACCATGCTTGTCGTCGCTACTTCTGTTACGAGCGTTAGAGCCGCCACTCGGAATGATACACCTCTGGCTCTCGTTGTCGGCCAGATCGTCGCTGCTATCACCCGCCATGTCCCCATTGTACCCTCTGGTCTCAACACCGAACTGCCCTCCTCCTCCCGCGATGTGCCTCTCTCCCTGAGACGGTTCGCGTCCATTACAACTCATCGCCGTCTTAGGGGTGGTGGCGCCTTGCTTGTCAAGCTCCCGGTAGCCACTATTCATGGCGTCCATGCCGATACCCTCTTCGACATGTTCGAGACCGCTACCACCTCCGCGAATCCAACCGTCGGCTCGAGAGGCGCCATACTTGCCGCCCACGCCGCTGCCAGTCTTTCCGCCCCAACTGCGGGACCCAGCAGTGCGGGAGAATGTGCGCTCGAGTAAGGGCTTGCAGGCTGGTAGGTTGGCGACGAGCATACCGATGCCGACTTCAGCCTGGGACCAAGCGAGGATGATGCCCAGGGCCTTGAAGAAGCGGGACGGGTCGTTCATCAGAAGGAGGTAATTGAGGCGGACAATTGGCGCTATCGACGCGCTGTCGGTCTCTTCAACGATGGATGGCTGGTCAGAAAAGAAGTGAACACCGAAGATACGGCGCGCAGCGAGGTGTCCACATCCTCGCTTGCGACGGTCAAGGATCGGAGCAAGAGTAGTGATGGTGAGAACTCAAGATAGACTTACCCCAGGCCGAGGAGCCCGATCAGAGAGAATTTGGTGCGGCGCGGCATCCGCAGGTTGCACAGCAGGGCCGTCGGTTGAAACTGCGGCGTTACGGAACTGCGAAGAGCACCGCTTCAAGGCCGTTGCGAGAGCTCCATACCGAAGCAACGTTGGCCAACTAACCAGCAGCACGGACGCCATGGAAAGTAGATTGGTCATAGCCCTCGCCAGCCCACGATGGCACGCATAGTAAAAGTAAGAAAACGATACTTCCTGCAGCATCTGATCCCAGTCGGTGCCTGCGATCTCCATGAGGGGAGGGAAGAAGCTGCGCTCGAAGATCATGAGGTGAGGCAGCAGATCGTCTTCTGGTACGGCCGTCAGGACGAATTCCAACAGGTTCTTGTTCTCGAGGTACTCTACCATGGCTGGAACAACGTTTGGGGCGCCGAACATGTCGTGGTCCTCGCTCGCGGGGACTGGACAGTATCCCACCGCATCTTTCGGGAGCGCGAGGTCTAGATATGTGTGCATTGTCTGCCACACAAGATTGTCCGCATCGTTTTGAGTGAAAGCCAGGCTCCCGGATTCGTCCGCGGACATGAGGAAGTCCTTCACAGTGCGGTGCAGCAATTGGATCGTGAAGTGGGGGTTGATCTCCGTGTCTTTGCGGAAGCTCGAGCCCGTCTCGCGGCTCGGCGGGATGATGACCTCCAACAGCGGACCACAGCGGACGCGGAGTTGCCGGTAGAAAGCCAACCACGATTTCGCGTGGATACGAGTTGGGCTGTTGGCAATTGGGTCGAGATTACAACGTGTCTGGTTCGACTCTGCGGTTGCCGTAGGCACACAGAGAGCCTCGTATAGCTCACCGAGTGCTAGCGATCTGATGGCGCTGGCACCAACCACCCACATGAGTGCCGTGCGTGTCCTCTGCAGCTCCTCCGGGGGATATCGTGCTTCCAAGTCTGCAATTGTAAGTTTGTAGAAATCGATGATCTCCTTGGGGAGCGACTTCATGTCTGCCTCTAGATCCTCGAGTTTGTAAAACCCGCGTCTCACTCGGGCCATGAACGTCTGTATGGCGAGCTTGACCCAAAGAATGACTCCGTCTGAATTGGCTATCAGATAATTTCGGATCCGAGAGAATACCAGGGACTCTTGCAAGGAATGCCCAGTGTCGGTACGGCTTATCGGAAAGTTAAAGGTATTGCTTGTACCTGCGTCGAACATGATGCCGTCTCCATCTTCGTCGTCATTTTCAGTATCGGACTCGTACATACTTATTGCGTGCCTTAACCCGCTAAGTCCGTTCTCAACGAGAGTCTCAATGTCTCCCGAGTTCTCTCTCTCTAGCACAAGATGGTTGAGCTGACGGCTAGTCTTCCAATACTTGTGGAGGGCTTTGTTGATGTCCGCCGTGTAGCGACTGAGTACCAAAAACTTGAGCCTGGACGACGGCCCCTTGCAGAGGTCGGCCATGAGGACTATGATGCGAGAGCGTAGCTCAAAACTGCCACCATCATCCTCGGACTCATCCATGGCGTCGACGATGCAGATAGCGGCCAGGCCATACTTCGATAGTTCCCTGAGGATGGCCACATAATCATCAATGGTCCAGGCCTCGTGCTCTTCCTTCTTACGCCTGTATATTGCTGCGTAGTGGTGGAAAGAAGCCCGGGTTTGTTCGAGGATCTGACCCAGAATAGAGCGCAGGAAGGATGTGTGTGACCTCGTTACATCTCCGTGGCGTGTACTATAGAACCAATCACTAACTGGAGGAAGTGGAATTCCTTGTGCCCCAAAAGTGTTGAGCATGCCGATTCGCGAGCGAATCGTCTTGGCTAGGACTGATTTACCGCTGCCGGCTTTGCCTTCGATCCACAGGACGCCAGCTGGCATGGATGACCACGACGCGAAAGACGGGTGTCTCCAGATCCAATCATTCGTCCCATGATCGGCAGCGCCGACTTCGTCACGGCGAAGGTACTGGCCCTCGAACTGAAAGTCGCCGAGACATTCTGTGCTGTGTGTCAATATTTGCCAGACCTCTCCCACATGATCGCAACCCACGAAAGGTGTTGCATAGACTCACCATTCCGCTCAGTCTCCTTGCTGATAATCTGCCCATTACTGACGAAAGGAGGCGGCGCGACTTGTGCTCCAACGCTGGCGACAAAATGGACAGAGACTTTGACCCTGCCGGTTTGCCCAAAGAGGTTGCCGAGCAGGTATAGTGACTGATGGTCAATATCTTCGAGCAGCCAATCGGCATGACAGGCTGCTAGGACTATGGAGGCACCATTCATCTCGATGAGAGACACCAAGAAAGGCTCTAGCTGCTCGGGTCCAGGTAATCCGCCGAGTGATACCGCATCTATTGAAAGTCCCAGCCAACCAAGAAACACGCTGAGGAATTTGGGTCTCCAGAGGAGAATCTGTGCGATCAGAGACCAAAGGACTTCTTGATATGGCGAAAGCTCCCGTTCAATGTTTGGTGTGACGTCTGGCTGTGGGATGAAGAGATACAACCGGCCAGAGGAATGGACTTCGCTCTGGCTCTGTAACTCGTCGTGCTGGTCCGGAAATATGCCCACTTCTGGCGGTTTGATGATTTTACCCAGATCAAGCTCGCTGATCAAGGACTGCTTTTCTTTGATGGGGAACTTGGCCTTCGTGATGGCTTTGCGTCTCACATCGTCATTCTCGAGAGCGCTGAGGAATGAGAGTGGGATATTGGTAAGCTCCTCGTCTGTTGTGTTTTCGGTGGCCTGAAACCATAGACACTTCTCTAAGCCGGTGATGAACTGTTGAAATGGCCTGGTGTTCGATAGTCCCGGCGCTACGCCGTCCAACTGCTTGAGGACCTTGGTTAGAGACAATGCCCATGTCCCGTCGAGCTGGGATATCTCATTGTCCCAGAGGATTGCTGTGCGAAGTCTGTCCGGCAGACTTGCCAGTGCAGATTGTATCGCAATGTTTGCCCCTTGGTAAACACTCGACGTCAGTCTTCCATTGGCCTTGCCAATACTGTAGAGAAGGCGCCTTAGGACTTACAAGGCTTGCCATGCAAAACACGGCTCGGCTGTGGCGAGGATCGCACGTCCCACTTCTCCACGCTAGACTCGTACGAGACCGAGTCAGTCGGAAGAAATAGCTCTAGGATCGCCTTGGTCGTTGCCGCTGCTGTTGCCGCAGCGAAGTCTTGCCACCCCTTCGACTTGTGGCTGTCGGCGTAGTCGCAGACCCCCTTGAGAACAATACAATGCAACTCGTCCCAGAGACCAGCAGCCTCCATCTCGAATGCGATGACTTGCTCAGCGGCCGCGATCCGGTCGCGGTCCTCTGCGGACTTCATCACTGTGTCTCCCGACGCGAAGCGACCCATGAAAACGGCAAACCCCTGAGTGTCCGCGCATACGTCTTTACTTTCGAGGAGTTTCCTCAACTCGAGCCGGTGCCGCTGAACGAGGGCTTCGTCGCCGCAATTCGTCAGGGTGCAGGGCGAGACAAAGGCCTCCTCGCAGACAGGATCCGAAGACTGTCGCCAGCCATGGCATATACAATTCGGATCTCCACGGTGGTGCCGATGTCGATAGTCAGACCTGTACAGCTTATCGTGTGCTGCTCCGGGATACACACACGGCCGCCGACCACGGGCTTTTGCTGCGCTCTGCACATCGCGAAGAAAATTGCAGGAAGTCTCCTGCAGCCTCTCCATCCCCAGCTGTGAACCCAGTGTGCTCAAAAAGGTTCTGATCTCGCGATTTGGTCGCGCCAGGCGGTCTCTGTGGGTAGCGCGCGCGACAAAACCATCGGGATACTGCCTGCCAAGATCATACTGAAGGACGCCGTCGGAGATGAGGACATCCCCAAGCAAAATCTCATGCTTGCTGTCGCGGACGCGCGGGACCCCTCCGCATACCCCCGGGAGCAGGACCAGTTGGAGATGTGGGAAACTAGCCTTGATGCCCATGGCAGCGCCGGCAGCATTCACCTTGCCCATCCCGGGCAGCAAGGTGAGAGCGACATTGTGGTGACCGATGCGACCGAAGGCATAGGTGTTTGTGTCAGCGGCAGCCTTCCCGTACGAAGACGACGATGAGGACGTGGAAGAAGAGACAGAGGCACGATCTGAAGGTCCCCGCCACCAGAGGTCAAAAAGTAGCGACACGGCGTCGTACTCGAGCGGCACCGCGCAGACAATGACGACAGCGAAATCATGGCGAGACCGCGGGGGTTGCGGGGATGCCGCTGGCAACGCCCGAGATCTGCCGTCCTCCCCAGCGGGTACCGGGCTCTGGCTGAGACGGGGACCCCAGCTACTGGTAGCCATAGGGGCCCGGATGCTCAACGAGTAGCTGCGATTAGGTTGTTCTCTACACACGGGGAGGTGTCGGCAGGCATCAGAGCGCGAATGGGACCAAAAGCCCCGCACAAGCACGACAGGAAGCTTCAGGGGATTTGCGGCTGACGGCCGGGTACGGCTTCCGCTACTGCAGTGCGTCAGGTGCATCATCGTGGTGCAGCACACTAATGTAGCCTATCGGCAATCAGCTTTGCGACCTGAGGACCTGGGCTGTCGTGATCTTGCGGGCTGGCACAGAGTTCAGGGGGCAACGAATGCTATACGACAGGGGTTCCGTTCAGCAGGCCAGCCATCATGTTGCTATATGAGACACGGGTTTTGATAGGTGTACTCACAGGCCCAAGCGACTCAATAGGACAAGTACCTTCACCTCGCCTCCGACACTACACATCAGTGGCATCATCATGATCCTCAGGCACAGCCATCGTAAAAGATCAATCATAATACTAAGGAATAGAGAAGGCTTCCGAAGCCTGGCCGGCCTCTTCCAAACATGACCTGTATAACTATCCAACGTGTCATGCTTCTGAATCTGCACATAGTACCCAAAACTGCCACAACGTCTCATCATCAGTCTCCACTCCTGTGTTTTCTTGGACACGAAGACCTCATGTAACCCGCATGCTACAACGGACGGACTGCACCTCATGCCTCGACGAGACACCGCTTGCCTTTCGGAGACAACGGGAAAAACACCACTTCCTTCATGTCGTCGTCCGACATGCCCTCGCGCGTCGAGATTTTGGCGTGGGGAAACTCGCGGAAGAACCTGGCTACACCGAGCCGGATCTCGATGTAAGCCAGATGGATTCCAACGCATGCTATGTGACGAGCCGCTTGTCAGCACATTCTTTCAGACTGCGCATGATCACATGCCTATGATGGCCATGCCAGGGCGCGCGCCACAAACTTACTCCGTGTGCCACCTCCAAACGGCATCCATGCATTCTTCATCTCCCTGGTCGGGTTCTCCCACCGCCAAGGATTAAACTTGTCCGGGTCTGGGAACACCTTTTCATCCCGATGAAGCGCATACGTAGTCGTGTTGACCACGCTGCCACCGGGGAGCCAGTACCCGTCAATCTCCGCGCCGGACGGCGGAACAACCCTGGGAAGCGCACTTGGCGCAGCCGCATAGAGCCGCAACGTCTCCTGGATCACCAGGTTCAAGAACTTCAAGTCTTTGAGGTCCTGCTGCGTGTAGCCTTCCGGCAGGGCGGCCACTTCCTCGGCCAGCGCCTTCTGGATCTCCGGGTGTCGACACACTGCCCAAACCAAGAAGGTCAGCGTGGTGGACGGCGTGTCGCTGCCCGCGATGATGAATATGCCCGCGTCGTCCACGAGCTCCTTGGCCGTCAGCGTCTCTCCGTCCTCGTCGTTGGCCTTGTACATCTTCTGGAACAGCGTCGGGTAGAACCCCGTTGCCTTGGCTCCCGCATCACTGCTGGCCTTCTCTGGATCCAGCTGCTGCTTCTCGACGAGCGCCTTCTGCCGCTCAATCGACTGCGTGGCATACATGCGGTTGCGCTCATTGAGTTTACGCAGCGCTCTGAAGCCGGGGAGGAACCCCGACAGCGACGACGATGCTATCGATCCAAACGCGAGGCGCAGGCCCCTGACGACCTTGTGTCCTTGCAGGTCGCGGATATACTGGTTCAACTCGTTGCGCTCGAGCATGTGGAACGAGTCGCCAAAGGACAACTCGCCGATGACATCGGTGGTCAGGAACAGGAACCACTTGGCGACGTCCGTGTATCCCTGGGTGTTGATGTCGTGCCGCATCTTGGAGATGGCAAGGTCAAAGTGTGCCTCGATGCGCGGGAGGAACACGGTCTGCAGGGAGCTTTCTGACAGCGGAGAGGCTAGGAGGCGACGGTGGCGACGGTGAAACTCTGGATTTATGGTGTTGAAGATGTTCTCGACGCCTGGGAGGAACTTCCTATACCATGAGCTCTTGGGGAAAGGGCGCTTGACTTGGTGGATGGTCGCGGCGCTTGCGGCACTATTGACGAGGAGCTCGTTGGGGCCGATGCGGACGACGGGACCTGTAGGGAGTCACGTCAGCAGCTTGCACCTGTGGATAACGGAGCTGAAGGGTAGATGAACCATATTTTCCGTGCAGTCGGAGTGCGTAAAGGTGCTTCTGTGCAGTCAGAGCGACGTAGGTGTTCACAAGATCCGTCCATGGCGCGTACCACGGCCCTGGGATCTTTGACAGCGGCCCGACGTATGCCTTGTACAACTTCTGATGAAAGCAATCGTGTCAGCCATAAGGTTGGTGATGAATCCCGGTAAGCTTCTTGTCTTTTGCATTTCCGAGCTGCTACTAACCTGCCCGAGCAGGAGGACCACTCCTCCGGTGGCAACCAGAGCGACTATGCCGCTGCTTGTCAGCGTGAGGCTCTCCATCGCGGATTGCGAAGTCCAATAGCTCCAGCAGTCTTGGACGGAAAAGAGATGCAGAGAGGAAAAGTCCAAACGGAAGGAGCTCCAAGAACTTAAGTAATTATCGACGACCATCTCTGCGAGGAGCGGGGTTAGGCTGTCATTGCATTGACCCCGCAAGCACGTCGCCAGCAGTGTCTCATGCCAATCCACCGCCACGCCGAGGTTGTCATGGTCGCGCTCATATGGCGATGGGGTCAAGCGGCTGACGCCAGACCCAAACCCCGAAGACACGAGCAGATTTAGGGCTGATGGCAATGACGCGGCTAGCGGGCGGGGTCTCCATAGCGGTCAGCATTGCTGCTGATAGTCTTCGTCACGGGCTATTCTCCGTGAAAATTCCCATGTGAAGCAAGATAGGCTACTGCCAAGAGCGAGCCCAGCAATAGGTTGGTGGTGCTCCTACATGATAGGACGAGAGTTCGGGGGCAACACCGACAGCCTCAACGTCAATTTTTTGGGCTCAGCTACCGTGCTTTGGGATGCTTTCACAGGGTGCACTCGCGCCTTGCAGCCACGGGTCGCAAGCCGACAACTCTAAAATTGTACCGGTAGGGCGTCTCTGAGCTCTGTCATCCGTCGGCTGTCGGGCCAGTGCACTGCTTGGTGAGTTTTCGGAAGATCGGCGGAGCGTGGCGACGGGGGGGCTGACAAGGCCCCCTGAAGTCTTGCCTTGCCGCGGCGACTGATTAGCTCAAACTGCCCGGAACCAGGATACCCCAGACCAGGGCTGACGACACTACTAACACGAACGGGTTCCATTCGTACGTAAGCCCACCAATCCCCGCACGAGACATCCGCCGGGGTTACCATTGCAGGCAAGGCAGGCAGGGTGGCTTCCTTGGACAGCGAATTCTTTGGCCAGCAGCTTCACGAGCAATAGTTCCATGACCATGGTAAGCTCCCACAATGTCAGCCTTCCCAAACCCCGAACTCTTATCTACTCGGCGTCACTGCCTGTCTTGACCAAGCCTGTGCTTGCCTGTCGTCTGGCTGCCAGGAAATTTCAGACACGGGCAATCGGCCAGGGCTGGTGAGCGTGACCTGAGTCTCCTTGTGGACGAAGGCTGGGACGAGGAGGCACCGGACAGGTATGAAGAACCCGATAAAAACCACAGCATGTCTCGGGAAGCTTGCTTGGCAACGAAGGGACACTGACAAGCTTGGGAAAAGCTCTGGGACGCCCATGGAAAATGCCGTTCAGATGACGTACCGATGATCTGAATGACAACACACGATGCACGGCATTCAATAGACGGAATGACCCCTGGAGCTGTGGTGTGCTGGGAGTCTCGGCTTGAGGCTCCACTAGCCGTGACCAGATTGCAACACGCTCGATGGTGTAACCGGACGAAGTGGCCCGATGCCTGTCCCCCCTGCGCCTGGCGGGCCCTTGGCAGCCAGACTACACACACTAACCAGCTCCTCAGGCCTCGACCGAATCTCCCTGCCACACGTGCACCACAAACTCGTCATGCCCCCGCACCACATCAATCACAAGCTACCTGATGATGCTCGACGCCATTGATGCGCAGACACCGGGTTTCCCCCAATCCGAGCCCAGCACTTCACGCATCGAGATCGATCCCAATGGTGATGTCGACTTTGTTCTAAAGACCGCAAACAGGCAGCAATACACCTGGCCCGCAGAGCCGATTACAGGGGCACCCCCGGCAGGGCGAAGACCAGGTCAGGGACGTCCAAGTAATAGATCAAGGTGCAACGGGCAGACTAACCTCCGCCAAAAGGTAGATCCTGCAAATGACAGAGAGGAGGCCAAGGACGAGTACCGCTTCCGAGTCTCGTCGCGATGTCTCAGCGCCGCGTCGCCAATCTGGAGCCGGACCTTCAACGGGCCACGAAGGCAGCTACCACGTAATGAAGGGGCAAGGCTCGAGGTCGAGCAGCACAAATGGGATGCCACGGCGGTCCTCATCCTGCTCAGCATACTGCACGCGCGCAGTGAGAACATACCACAGCAGGTCACACTCGATATGCTGACCCAGATTGCGGTCCTGGTCGACTACTACAAGTGCCACGAGGCCACGAACAGTGTCGCGTCCGCCTGGATCAACGCCCTGGAGCAGGACCCGGCCACTAGACCACCCGTCTATCACGGAAGAGAGAGCGTCATGTGGCTCTTTGTCGCATGGGTCTTCGCCAGGCCCGAGACATTCACCGACCTGGCAGCCCTTGCGATATACATGTCTGAAGGCCCGATGGAGAGGATGTCGCTGCCCTTCCCCGGTGCTTTTGTCTGTAAGTCTGATTGACCACCACCGGTCTATGTTTGATACCGTGTGAATGCTAATGACTCCGGCCGCTGTGTCCGGCTCAGATGCCATCGACAACGCCAGGCACAAGGCGATTGAGGATTTCCTGGACAACACCCTCTTGCTGCGCGACTCCCTGATCGACCCGGCCTGGCAGTGTCAAGCCCAGCCAGACCTCAGCGCTCAGTGTTCCTCGATGCTGCTCGGCCAGCTCGTGCGTTTCCTGGTGAATCATCTCGGCATGGATGTCTTCAGCAGCAATGGCCAGCCGAACCGCCCGTTCTACGGCATCAGTGCGAAGAAGCTCGACGCCGCCGTCAGGGAAGGCCTGCCGCACTTGTTATGGCGCGGGCCACGCGAAATCATGACAGCGGAAGAGACGGCGGATGAGCACTGTTTGGTGCACCGTTGTAGTCTCAGAGACATGATGCGACCCTTCGTGGAGAGGATGAAAAAGGAAATCCCAGCCTTGTCGTTGGAGAACTTTCCTCGGCACCAGCTTGCTTCCTAGCGTCCATGGCATGCTTGTCATCTGTTAAACAAATAGACCGGTCTGCATATATGAGCTCGGCTTTGGGTAGCGGGAGATTGCTTTTTGATGGGAGGTTCACCATATTCAGAGACGAATGCGAGATTCTTGGGCAACATCATGGGTTCTCTTAAACGGAAAGCTGTTTCGACAAGTATCTACAAGAAGATGCTCTTCTGAGGATGAGCACCCGTGGCGAAAAAATGGCCCTCTCGACAACGAGGTCTCCACCTCAAATGGTCGGCCAGTCCGCGCTCCAGTTGATAACGTTCCAGCCAAACTTGGCGCTGTTGTAGTCCACCGCATCTGGGTCCACTGGGGAGCAAAATGACTCTGTTAGTTCCCATGGCTGTCCATGCGAAGAGAGGTGAAGAACGCTTACGGTAATGATAGTAGAACACGTCTCCGAGCGTCGGGTCAGTGAACACTGCCTGCCCACCAGCAGCATACACGCGATCATGCGTGTGGATGAAGTTGGTGCCGCCGCCATCCTGGCAAGACTTGCCCGCCTTGTCCACGAATGGGCCTGAGGGACTCGTGCTGCTGCACAGGTTGACGTGGTACTCGTCCGCCGGCTTGGGGGTGTACGTGCAGCACGCGCCTACGCTGAGGAACAGCCAGTAGTACCCCTTCTTGTAGAAGATTGTGGGGCCCTCCATGGAGGACCGGCGCGGGTCGTGCGCGATGCGCTTGTGGTTGCCCGAGGCGAACACGTACGTGCCGTTGATGGACAGCTGGGCCTGGTAGATCTGGTCCCAGTACGAGCCCCACTGGAGGTAGAAGTCGCGGCCGTTGGCGTGGGGGACGAGGTTGGCGTCGATGGCGTTGTATGGGGTCTGGCCCGGCGCGGAGGTCAGAATCGAACCTTGGTCAGTCCAGCTGCCTGGCTCCATGTTGGGAGAGGTAGCGTAGCCGATTGCAGAAGTCTGCGAGCCGGAGGTCGAGACGGAGTACAAGAGGTAGTATTGGCCTTGGATGTAGGCCACATCAGGAGCCTTTGCATGAATTATGAGTTAGCGGTGGCGCGTTTGGTGCAAAGGTGATTGGATCGATGTCTCTCACCCAGAGCTCCTTGTTCCCAGGCATGTTGATGATGCTCCCATTGGGAAGGACGCTGCCGACCTTGGTCCATGGACCGGCAATGTTGTTGGCTGTGACAATCTCAATACCACGCAACGTCGAGAAGCGGAAGTACTTGCCGTCGGGACGGCGGTAGAGAGCTGGGTCGTGCGTGAAGCAGTATCCAGTGCAAGTGCCCGGCTGGGGGTAGGCTTGCAGAAGAGCTGGCACAGAGGCCAAGAAGGTGGCTAGGACTGTGGAGAGGAGCATGGTGGGCGGTGATTGCAGGAGATGCTTGTACACCACCTGGAGCTACTCCTCGCCGAGTGATGGGCAGATCCGTACTCAGATTAGAGGGTAAGTGTTGGAGTGGTGGAATAAAACTTAGACCATGAAGCAATCTGCATCAAAGCACACACTTATACCTATGATCAATGTATGCTTCTCGAGATTGGCATTCACTGCAACAAGCACTTGCCAATGGAGCCTTGCTGGATGAGTAACAATTGAATCCTAGCACTCTGCGCCATTATACCTAGATCTACCCATCTAGCGGAGGACTCAACGTCACCTGCAGCAGTATAAACCAATTCTTGATAGTTGAGTAATCCTCCGGAAGGTGGACATGTAAGCCCCGTCGTGGCACGTATTGTGAGATTCTGACTGCATACATCCCTGTCAAGCATCCGGGGCCGAGTCAACGGTAAGTATGACGTTGCTTCAGGTCCTGCAGGCCGTCCACGCAGCTACAGGGGATCAACGCAGGCCGTCGAACGTCCATGATCAATCCGGCTGTATTCGGCTGATACTTTTATGCCTCAAATGGACTGAGTCCATCAATGCGGCACGCTGTTGTTGGCAGAGTTCGTGTGGAAGCGCCGAGCCGAGGCCCGATTGGTGCGCCCAGGCCTGGTACGGATGAGTACCATGGCCTTGGCTCGGCCCCCAGGGCACATGCAGGGTTCATGCATGGGTCTGAATGCAGCAACCTTACCTTACAAGTCACATCTACCGACAGTTGTAGAACACCTACGAGTACGGTCACCAGCTGGTGGCATCACGGGCTCATATGGCATGGACACATGGGACGACACAAGACAGGCGGCTAGCAGGCACCATGATGGTTCCATTCTTGAGCTATCGTCACCAAGTCAGACGGGTAGGACGGTACAGCGAACAGAGTACAGTGTCAGATTGTCTCTATTAAATGGAGGGCTACGGTAAGCTCTGCAAGTCTGTGCTGCCGAAAATCTCAAATCACTACTCTATCACGCACCTCGAGTTCAGAAATGAAGAGCATCTCATCGTTGAGTTTGGTGGCGGGGCTGACTGTCGTCTCGGTAAGTGCTCTACGCGTTGGAGCATTGGCGAAATCGAGGCAACACTAACTGATTGATGCCCGCTAGGCGCTGCCGACCAATGAGGGAGTCCCAGGCAGCATCACCGATGCTCTCACATGGACAGGCCAAGTGCAGTTAGGCCAGCTGCCCATAGTCTTGACCGGGACTGCCGAGGTTTGTGGGCCTAGTCCAAGGCCCTTGCGAAGGAAGCTCACAGTTGCTTGCAGGAGATCTACCACAACATCACAGCGCTTAACCCCAACTACGACAGCGAGCTTGGCATCAATAGTCAGAACTCTTTGACCACGGAGCAGAACTTGGAGAACTTGGCCCTTCTCAACGCACGTGCACCAACTTCAAGCGTAAGTCACCTGCAAGTGAAAGCAGCGGACTCGTGGAGTGACAAGTGCTTACGACTTTGCAAATTCACCAGGATTACACGTGCAACTATGGCACCTGGGTCAGCGCTCTCAACACCGCCGCTGTCATCAGATATCTCTACAATATTGGCAATGGCGACTGTGCGGCCCCTCCAGGAAGGCCAGGCGCAGGTGGGTGCAGTAACACTGGCTGCGCGGGGGAGTCGTCCGTCTGGCTCTGCAACGACTACAACTTCCAGCTCCACGTGCCGTGGCGACTCGTGGCAGAGTGAGTGCAATAAGAGCCCAAGTCCGCAGCGGGCAATATGTACTTCTCTTGCTAACACTGCCCTGGCCAACAGCAACGCTGTCGAGGTGATGATCAAGTGCCAGAACAACGACGTGGTGCGGGGACAGGTAAGGATTTGTTTGCCGTCTGTATGCTCCCTGGGGAAAGTGGCTCACAATTTGAATTGCAGATCTTTTCCACTGACCGAGGCTGGAACACAATCATCAACCGCTGCTAGGTAGGCTTTGTTAGGTGCGGCTCAGATTTTGTCTCCCTCTTGCATTCACCGGCCCCAGGTATTTAGCGATGCAAAATGGCAGGGATACTGCTGCAACCAGAGCAGAGAAGGGATGATCTCTGTGACGTCCCGTCCCACATAGGTAGCATTTGCCTCAAACTCAACAATTTTATGTCTGTGATCAGCGGTCTTTCTCCAATGTCTCACATTCCCCTGGCAGTGTCAATGGCGTGACATGTGCATTAGGAAGCGGCTGGATGAAGCTTCTGCGAGCTACAGTGTGCGGGGTATCGCTTCTTCTGGCACGGGACGCAAGAAAGGTGGTGTGTCTGTGATGCGTTTGCATTAGCGCCGTGACGGGATGCCCCGTCCACCCGCTGAGGCATCCAATGCTATGGCACGACCATATGCAGATGCACGGGTCGGCGCGTTGTATGTCTCACCGGCCCACAAGACTGCAGATATTGCCTCTGACTGGTCTCAGTGTCGGGAACTATCGACTCGTTTCTGCACATCACATAATTCACGCACCATGGAGCTATACCTTGTTTGCCCAAAGCGGAGAGTACTAGCCGTTATGGTCCAGCAGTATATCTCCCAGCACCCAGTCTCACCTTCTTCACCTTGGCGTTTTCCCCATGAGAAGGGAGTGGTTTCACTGCCCCGAGGACCTGTCTCAGGGCGCCCACCGTGCTGGGACGTTGATCCTGTCATGCCTGCGTATGCGTGGGGCACCAGCTGACATCATGTCTGCGAACACTTGGGGTTTTCGCGAAACTGCGAGACATGCGTCCCCATTGTCCTCCAGCTCCGTGCCCTTGTTGGGGGCCTCTCCGTTTTGCTCTGCATCTTGGCGTTTACAAAGGATCGGAGATGATTTTCAGAGTCCGGGATAGCTCATCTGCGGCAAATTGCTGTCATTCGATGCTGCATCGGCATTGCCGCACGATCAACACCTAAGAGCTCCAATGGCGGCATGCATCAGCCAGCCTCGTTTGCACGAGCTGATGGCTAGGATGGGGCGCCAAGAACAACCACAGCCACCTCGTCACAGGTTCTTGTACAGCTTGCAGCGAACAGGATGTAGCGATGTTGATCAGAAGCATTATTGCCAACGTCATTGGCTCAAGATGGAGCTTCGATAGTTTGCTAGCTGGTCTGGTCGCATACTTGATAGGTATCTTGGTGTGGGGCTGCTAGGCACGAGCCGCTGATCGTCAACAAGCTTTACAGCCCTTCCGCAATGATTATCGCTCCATCTGCCGGGACTCGGTGGAGGCTAAGTTGCGCTTAGCACCGGCAGTCGATATGCCCCTGCCTCTAAGAATCTAGCATGTCGCTAGTTCTTTTCGACACCTGTGCATGCTTTCTGGCCTCTGGTAGTGTCAAGCTAGCGGGCTCCTGATGCTTCCCGATGATAAGGGCTGTGGAGGACATTTGTCGCTAAAGAGGACTAAGACGTCACGTGCCGAAAAGAGAGTGGTGGAATCGCACGGCGTGCACCGGAAGATTTATAATTGTATAAGCCAGAAGTGCGGACGCATGAGACGAGCTTGCAATGGTGCCTTGCTTAAAGTAGCAAATGCAGCTTTCAGCTGCCCAAGCCCCAGCATGACACGAGAGACATGACCGACCAGCCGTCCGCGGCCACAAGCATGTCAATGGTTTCGTTGACCTATCATCTCTTACATACGGTGCGCGCAAGCGTCCTCCACAATGCAGAAACCCCTCCTTGTGCCCGAAGCAGGCTCAATAGATCTCCATCGCAGAAATGCCTGGGCCATGCAGAATTGAAGCTTCACGGTGGCACTGTATGCGTAAGCGCGGAAGTCTCTGCCGCGAACAGCACTAGCGTGCCGCGACATTTCTTGGCTATCATTGAGTCGAGAGTGCACCTGTCCATTGCGGAATGTTATTGTCCCCTCTTGTCTCATAATAGAGCTGTCGGGTCGTCCGATTGGTGCTGGTTAGCTTGAGCTTCACAAGAGAATGCATACAGTTTCTACCGTCCCAACTTCACAGAGCACGGCAAGAAAATAAACGCCACAGAACTTGTCTTCCTCATCGTGCTTCCGTTCCAGGTCGCCAACAAGTGGCCAATCTCGATGACCAGAGTCCTACTCATTCATTCCCACTGTCCAAAGTTAAATCTTTGGGAATGGTGCCACATTGCCCGAGTAATCTCTCACTCAACGTCCTGGGCGTTCACTGCTGTCCTACGCTCTTTTCGTGCCTAAATTTCCGTTTCTTCCATGGTGGCGATTTAGAGCTTGCTGACGTTGCACAACGCCGGAAGTAGTTGTAAAGCCAGAGCAACTCGCAAGCAGTTTCGACTCGGGCACGGTTGGGCTTCGCAAGACTGCGTTGCGGAACGCTTGTCATCCGTGCAGATCACTCCATCGAGGGAGTGATTGGGTAAGACATGCTCGGCATACGCATGAGGCCCGGGAGACCTCCCGGGGGCGCCGAAGTGATCCATTCGCTAAGGTCTCCTGGTAGCAGCGAGCACTCAGCTCGTATGTGTGAGGGAATATCTGCACTGCAATGGAAAACATCATAGCGCTAGCACGCTACTTTGATCCGAATAAGGCACTGCATATGTACCTAGTTAGGGCATTCTCCGCCATCAACGTCACAGACCTCCGATCGCCAACCACCCATGCCGGTTTTGGGCATGTCACCGAAAGGTAAGGACGTTTGTAGGCCTCCCATCCCGTGTTGGTACATGGTGACGCGAAGCAGGCGAGAGCAGAAGCATATAAATCTATGTACCCAGCTTTGAGTGTCCCGTCCATGCAGGCTCATCCATTTCGGATGAAAACGTGTATACCGAGGTCTTGATCCCTTCGGCACCCAGAATACCCGCACGACCACTTCATGACCGTGGCTCGCCATTTTCTCTACTTTTCATCCAATACCCTGTGGTCTCAAACTCTCCAATATACTGCCTAAGTACGCCCTTACTGCTCCATGACGCAGAAATCATTGAGGCTAGCAAATACTAACTGATCTTCTAAATAGGCAGCCCGAGTTTTCACGAAGACTGATATCGCCAGTTGTGATCAAACAGTGAGCACATATCGAAGACAGCCAGCTGCAATACGTCAACATCCACCCAAATATCCTCGCCACGATAATCAATCCCATTAGCCAGCACAGCGACCTCCACTTGTAGTCGGTGTTGAGCTCACCAGAGAAGATGGCCCCCGGAACGCTTTCTCCCCAGCTGCCTTCCGCGCCCTACGGACTCGCCACTGGCTCCGCTTCCTCCAAGACCAGCCGCAATGCCAGCGCTGTCTACGGCCAGCATCATGATGAAGAGTACTCATCCGAGACGGTCGAGAGCCGCCAGCGGGCTATGAGCCAGCGGTTGTTCTCTCGCAAGAGCTCAATGCTCAACGTCTCCAACATTTCCAATGTCGTGTATTCGATCAAAAGACGCAGCTCTGGGGAGTTGGGGTCCAATATCTCGGCTCGACTCTTTAGCGCCACGCACGAGTCTCTACTCGAGTGGATCAGCGCCCAGCGCATGAGTGATCTGCCTCCAGAAGGCAGCAGCTATGACAAGGTCCTCGCATGGGCTCAGCTTTTCGCCAACCGCCTTCACTCCTTTGAGTATGCCATTCAGGAGTTTGCCGGAGACAGCTACCTAGCTGCCCAGCTTGCTTATGGATACTGTTCACTCCTTCTCGAGGTAAGTGTCTACGAATGCCCGAGTTGAATTCTCACGGTGTGACTAACAGAGGTCGGTTCATAGCTCGGAAAGGAGAATGCCCGTGCTCTGATGATCTCTTTTGGATTCTTCTACAGCACGTCCGTTCCGCTTCTAAACCTGCTCGAACGCATCGAACTTTTCAGTGTCTCCCAAGAGATTCGCGAGCAGCTCGTGCTCGCGTTGTCCGATCTGGTGTCCCTGGTCGCAAGCGTGGCTACGTATTTCCACAAAGCCATTGGCGAGACCACCACTTCAGTCTCGGTCAATATCTACTCCACCTTTCCGACCCAGATTAGGACTTTCCTGGAACGATGCGACAAGACGGCCGAGCTGATGTGGCAGCACCGGCTTCTGAAGGAGGGAGTCACAGAGAGCAGAGGTAAGTTCAAGCCCACGCACAAAACGCCAGCAGAACGTTACCTGACCTTATCCTTTGCCAGTCTCTCAGATCCGGGCGATCAAGGCGTGGATCGCGCCGGAGGACCAAGTGCTGTCACGCGTTGTCAATTCGACTTCGCAGTCGGCCCATGACCGTGAAGAACTGACTTGTCTTTACATCGGGGCCTACCTGACCCGATTTCTGAAGGGTTCGCAGAAGACTATGGCCTTGAGTGGTCCCCCCGGGTCGGGAAAGACGGTACTGGCTTCTGTCATTTTCGACTATCTGCAGCATCCCATTGCTGGTGTGAATTATAGCGCCCTGTTTGTACCAATTAGTAAGCATCATCCTGCCCAGTCCTCTTTGTCTAAATACGAAATACTGACAGGTATCATAGATGGTCACGTTCCTGGCGAGACGACTCCCCGCGCGGTCGCCAAGTCGTTGTTGTACCAGCTGTTCCAGAAACGCACGGGCAACGTGCAGCTGCTCAACATCTTGACTGAAGCCTTTGAGCGCACCGTCCGGATGACGACCGAGGACGAGTACGATAATATCCTGTGGCAGACCGTTGAGCGTGCCGTGACGGCCAACCTCCCAGGCGCCAAAGACCTTGTCTTCGTCTTAGACGGTCTAGATGAGTGCTCGGCCGGGGAAGAAGCCCTCTTCAAACGTCTTCAGAGTGTCGCGAACACCAAAGGCGCAAGCACTTTGAAGCTCATCACACTGGGTACCAAGCCTCAACAAGGTGTCCAAAACTTGCAGATCAACGAGGACCTCATCTTCGATGACATTATGGCTGTTGTACGCAACTACTTTGAGGCATCGAAGCTGTACATCTCGATGAGCGAGATGGAGCGCGAGGCGCTTGTGGCAGGGATTGCCACGGCCTCCAAGGGTTCTTTCGTCTGGGCGAAGCAGGCCTGCAAGCAGCTCCGTCGCGTGACCACGGTCAAGGAGCTCTTTTCCAGCCTGGAGAAGATTGGTAACTGCAGCATCGCCGAGTTCGTGCACCGGACTCTTACCGCGCCAGAGGTCACTTACCAGACTCGTCTGCTGCTGACCTGGCTTGTCACTGCAGAACGGCCCCTGAGCACCAACGAGTTGGCCACTCTAGCATCCATCAACGTGGATAAGCAGACCATTGACCATGACCACAAGATCGACGTCATGAGCACCCTGAGGCCTGTGAACTCGCTCGTGTTCATGCAAGATGGGCTGACTTACCTGCGTCACGATGTCGTTCGCAAGGCCGCTACACAGTGTCTCAACGAGACGAAGGGGTCCATCAAGGACCGCCACGGCGACTTGGCCACACGTCTGCTCATCTACATCAACTCGACTGTCATTGATCCGCGCGAGCCCACATTGACAGTTCTGGACAGCTACTCAGTGCAGCAGCTCACGAGCAGACACACTCTGCTCGAGTTTGCCATCAGTTACTGGCCGCTGCACCTTCGCAAGAGCTTTGCCTTCTTGAAGCCGGACACCAGCAAGTCCGAGGCTGCCAAGCTCGTGCCCAAGGTCGTTCCCAAGAACCTCACTGTCTACCTGTTGCAGGCGGCGCTCTGGCAGCACCAGCCTCTCCCGAATCAGCTCAAGTACCACACGATGATGACCAACATCACCCGCCAACTGCTCACAACGAAGAGCACCATCACGCTACAGTCCATCATTTTCTTGGCACAGATCTATCGCCGGATCGAATTTACTCCAGATGCCACCACCCTTTTCTATGAGGCGACAACAGTGTCCAACTCCCTGCTCACAAGCAAGAGTCCCATCACGATGGAGCTCGCCAAGATCTTCACCGAGCTGACCAGCACGCGTGTGACTACGTCAAAGACGGACGTTATCATGACCCATCGCGAGCAGGTCCTTCTGATCTTGACCGAGTGCTACAAGATACAGTATGGTCAGAAGTCCGAGTATGTCCTGACGACGCTGACGCTGTTGGTCGAGCACTACCGCACAGTAAAGGACGAGACCAAGACTCAGCAGATGATCACCAAGATTCGGTCCATCAGCACCACTACCCGAGTTTGGTGGCGAGACCACGACCACAACCACGGCAAGCGGTGACAAGAATGATACCCTTGATGAAGATCTACATGTCCACCTCCACGGCCGTAAAGACACGCAGGGTGGTCACGCGGGTAGCGGTGTCGTCCTGACGCTCGACACTGAGGAGCAGGACGAGGTCATCGAGGGCCGTGGCGCGGGTGCCGCGTACGACTTTGAGTTCTTCCTCGTCAAGGCGGAGCGCTACCTCGCCGAGGGCCGCACCGAGCTCGCAGAGAAGACATACATCGAGATTTGGGAGCGCGTGACACGCGAGTACCGCGCCACGCACTCCGCGCTCTGGGAGGAGCGCAAGATGAAGAGTGTCGTCTGCTACTCGCGCTTTCTCATGCAGCACAAAAGGACTGAGCATGCGCGTAGCATCCTCTGCACTGCGTGGGAGGAGTACAGGTACTCGTCGTCACAGAGCGTGATGACTGAGAGCACTTCGGCAATGTAAGTTCACCCTCCGCCTCGCGACCAGACCCCCTCGCGACCACCCCCCACCTTCGCATGAAGGCATCGTCAACCTCGCCGTCACTCTGCAATAGCTCGTCAGCCACCCAATAAAAAGGCTTTAAATTAATTGACCTGCACCTCTATGCAACTCTCCTCATCACTATCACTTTCAATTAGCTCCACCTCGTCGTCGCTACTGTCGGTGTTGTTATCTGTGCTGATGTCCGACCCCATCTCCCGCCGCACCTGTCTCTTCGCGCGTTCGACGTTTATAACGGTAACGAAGTCTTTGTTGGGATCCGGGTCGACTTTGCGACGTTTGTTAGGCTTTGAAGCCTCCAATGCAGCTTGCAGGCGGTCTTTTTGGTGTTCTGCAGTGGTGTATCGGAGGTTCGAAGTCTCGATTGCCTTCGCCACCTTCTGGAACAGCTTCCTGCACGTCGCTGTCGCCAGCGCAGAATCGCATTTTATCAGTACCTGATGCAATGCATAGATATCGCGACCTGTTTTTGGCGTTTTGACGTCAATTGCGCATAAGGGCGTCAAAAAGTCCGGCTCTGTAGACGTCATTTGGGCCTGATTTGGGCCATCTTGAGATGTCGACTGGGACTCCTCAGGGGTCAACATCACGAACCGGGAGCTCAACGCTTTTGACCTATTGTGTGGCCACACCCCCGTGCCTCTGAAGCCGGCTATTATGTTCTCCTTGTTCAGCTTGCTTTTGCGCGCAGTTTCATATACCTCAAGAAACTCCCGCTTGCCTGGGGTCTCGTTTATGGTGTCGTAAGCAACCTCTGTAACCGCTGTACGGTAGGCCGACTTTACCGCCGAGAACACGCCTACGTTAAGTGGCTGAAGAACATGTGAGGTATGAGCCGGGAGGTAAATTAGCCAGATCTTGTTAATGAAGCATTCCGCTATGAATTCCTCTATTGCGTGCGACTTATGGCCGTCTAGGAGAAGGCATCGCCACTAACTAGGAATAGCAGGAACCGTGTTGGGGATGAACAACTCCTTGAGCTATTTTAGCGCAATATCATTGCTGGTCCACCCGTTTGGTGAAGTCTCAAAACACCAATGCTTCCATCGATCGATTTTGACATCAGGAAACCATTGCTGTTGAACGGACTGGCCCTTGAAGATAACCAATGGAGGGATGGAACGACCGCCGGCAGAAATGGCCTCGATTATCGTGATCCAGGTCCTCCTGGCGCCGTCCTTTTTCAACGTGAACTTGCGCAGAGCATCACTGACCACGAAGCCATTGTGACCTAGGCCTTCTGCCACTCCGCACTCGTCCACGTTCCAGATATTCTCGGGCTGCACCTTTCTGCGCTGCAATGACGTCAACCGGTCGAAGAAGATATCAATGTTGGCCTTGCAGGCACCGTTGTACCGTTTGTATTCGATAAGTCGTGATCTCGAGGTTGTCAAGGTTGGGTTTCGGTGGATGAAACGACGGTACCAGTGCTGCCCAAGATGTGCGGCGGGGTCGTCGATCGACAGCAGCCGCATCGCGAAGTGCTTGAATTGCTTCAATGGTGCTGCATAGCCCAGCTTGGCTTGGTCGAGGGCCCAGGAGACCATATAGTCTTCCTGGGTGACGGAGAGGGCTTGTCGGACTTGGTATTTTTGCTTGAAGGTTGGAACGGCCTTGAGGCGACGACGTAGGTAGGATCTGTCGACTTCGTGTAGTTTGGCAGCTGTCGCAATAGGTACGCCAGCCTCGATGTCGTCCAGTGCGCGGCGGGCGCGCAATTGGTAGTCTTTTGGCACCATGACGATAGCCTCATTTTTGGGGTTTGTAATGGTCGTAATTATGTCGCAGAGAGACGCGAGGAAACAGGTTTATATGGCAGATTGTATGGTGGGTGTTTGAACGCGTCGCGTCGCGACCCCTGGTCGTGATGCGCCCTGGTCGCGAGGCGGAGGGTGGACTTAGTCATCAATGACCTTTGCGAACGAATCCTTGATAGTGTCGATGGAAGACTTGCGAAGCTTGATGCCACAACCGCAGCGAACATCGTCAAATGTTCTTTCACGCTTGTGGAGGATAGAGGCGGCGGTAGAAAAGAGCAGATAGATTTTGTGTAACAACATCTTGATCTATCGTGGTGCCAAATGTGGTGGCGAGGACAGAACAGTGGACTGGACAATTTTTCTACCAGTGGAGCTATATAGTGTTCGCTATGATGGCCTGTTAAAGGGACGAACACAGCTATCCGTCCACGTTCGAGCTGACTGTAGTATGACAAAGAGGTATGACGGATTCGTGCTTTCCCAGCAGGTCATAGCTGCGAGAGGCAGTATATGGATGTCAGTGTGGCGTAAAAGAAATTTGCCGAAAGGGCGGGAAGCTTGATGTAGTCGTTAAGAAGCCAGACTTTAGTCAAGCTTCTGCGTTATATATGATTTCGATTGCCTAGAATAAACATTTCTATAAACCAAAAACCCTGCCTCACGGTTCACATAAGCGTTTTCTAATACGACAACCGGGCGGGCCCGGAGTATCTCTGTCTCAATTAGCCAACAATATTTGCTGTCTATCAAGGTCGTTATTAACCTTTCTGCATTGAATGAGGTTCTAATCAGGATTACGAGTGATCGAGGACAAAGACCGCCAGGCCAGTACTGTAGCAGCCCCGTCTCGTTCCAGCCCCTTTCCTCCGTGGATTTACGTCTAACTTGTCACCCCAGGGCTACTGTCTCCTTCCCAGAAATTCCAATAAATGCGATCTGTCAACAATTCCACAATACCCACAGTAGCAAGACAACCGACTCTGGAACAAGCACAGCGTTTCCTCTAGCCGATCGCTTCGGACCTGCAGAGCATATAAGCGATCACTACTCTTCAGGCTTACGTAATCCTGTAGGGGCAGATCTACATGACAACCAATCCTCGAGAGAGAATGACAATTGAGAGTCAGTGCTAAGCTAAGGCGTTACCTAGCTTACAGGACAGGAACCCCAACGCTCAGTCTTTGGCTGGCCCCGAAGGCTGGATTGTGACACTACTGTGCTGGGGAGAAGAGATTTTCTGATCGTGGCAAAGCAAACCGAACCACAAGCAAAAGGCCCTCTAAGCTCCAGTTCCGGCGGGATCTCCGACGGTGACTCTGCGGACTTCGCCCGCAGAGTTAAGTGAGGGTCCACGCTTGTCATCACTGAGCAGCTGGACTGTACTCCACCGTGTTATGTGCAATTGCCCTCTGCTTATGAGAAATCGCCTGATTACTGCATTGCGAATCGAACGAGCACAGAATTGAGTGACAAAAATGGGTGAAGATAATGTTGTATTGTGGTGGTGGTTCAGTCGGCTTGATGCGATGTGCGAAAGTGAAAAGAGGTTACGCTATAAATACATGAAAAGCAATATGCGGAATGCCTTGTTCATGTGCCAATCTACCCTGCTCTATCACACTATCTTGCATTTCCGTGGGCGATACAGGACAAAAGGTACGACACTGCAAGAAGTTGCTAGGATCTGTTCTCAACCTACTCTTGTTGGCCCAGGGGGTGATTACCAAACGTCCATCTTGGTAAAGCGGGCTGCTATGGTGACTGACACGTGGTCGGGCATCGCGTTAAATTCTCGTCTCAAGCAGCTAATGTCTGAGATCCTAGTATCAACCGTTCCGATCACGTACGCGTAGTTGTTCGTGATGGCACTACCGCCGTTGTGCTCGCGCAACCAAAATGTTAAACAACTCCGCACGGGTCTTAAATCATCGACGAGGGCTAGCTCTCTGAAGCCTATCCTTTAGATTTGCTCCGAGACGCCGTCGATATTATCTGATTGCGAGTTAGCTCTTTGTCGAACAACGGAAGAACTCAGCGTTATGGGCTATTGCGCGGCCACGGGATCTTATGAACATGGCGTGTGAAGATTCCTACAGCTCGCATGGTGCGGCGCCGTGTGCTTGGGCTAAGGCTGAGGTTCGGTGCTAATATTGAGCGAGGTGCCGAATAAGCTTGTAAAACCTTCAGAGTCCTTGCTCGCGTTGCACATTGGAAGAACCGCCATTCTGTTAGGCCAATATGGTGATCACGAAGAGCATAAATCTCCCTGTTGGCAAAATCACAAGTCGTTCATTGTACGTGCGAGGATCCAAATAGCATTATTCAATCATGTAACCGAGATATGTCTCAACCACCAATCGTAGCACTCGCGCTCCGCCCACCTAAATAAGATGCACGGGGATTTGAAGACCTGATAACACCCCGAAAGTGAGGCCGTGTTTCCCAAGCCAAAGGGACCATATGCTACTGCATTGGGACCTTCACGGACGATGAAACTCAACTCCCACTGCGCGCTGACGACTTTGAGCTGCGGCAGAATCGTTTCTCAGCCTCCCCTAATCCCTCTCTCAGCAGGCTCTTTCTCCCTCGTTTCTTCTACCTGCGGATCTGGAAACTGCTGCATCAAGCGTAGCTGGGCCCGACCATAGCTAGCCAATTGACCTGAAGCCTTTTCAACACCAGGAGCGAGACGCTTAGTCTCGACACTAACGGCAAGGGGCCAGTCCGGCTCGAAGGCATTGAGGTGGTTGAGCTGCCGAACCTGATCGACATCGCGCGACATCAGATCGAAGATACGATACTGCAGGTCTGACTTCTCGGGTGGCGCGAGGAAGATCCCGAAGTCAATGCGACAGTCGCATAGAGTTGCTGTCGCTGCTCCGCCACCGCCCCTTCTAACCGTTCTCGCGGCATCGCCGTAGCGGCCGTCAACTTGCACCGACGTCAGGTTCCGACAGCGCAGTGACGATTGTTGGCGACAGGCGAGCCGGAGCATAGGCGAGTGCACCACGTCGTTCCACTCAACCTCGAACGTCTGCCGGCTCGGATCGCTGCACTCCTCTGTACCGTCGCAGATACGCCCCAATTGCCATAACCGATCTCGATGACGCTTGACATGATCGTCATTAACTTTGACAACCTTGGATTGGTTGTGGCCATCCTCGCTTTCGTCCTCGTCGTCCTCACCACCAAAGAACATGTCGTCGCTGATAGCTTCGAATGGCGAGTAAAGAGCCTCGATCTCCTCTTTTAAGGCCAATAGCATGATATGTTTCTTCGTCGATACGGCTCGTACATCCTTCAACAGCGGCCCGAGGCGTGCAGGCAATCGTGGATCCTTTAGCGACCTTCGAAGCAGAGGGAGGTCATCAGCGTAACGCATCCCTCGTTCACGCTTGATCGGTGATGATGCGCGCGATGATGTGGTGCTGGTTGCTGATCTGCGCGATAGAATTGAGTTCGACAAGGTCTGCCACGGAGCAAATTGTAACACAGTGGAGAGCGGAGGAGGACGTTATGCTTTTCAGTCTCATATCTTTTTCGTGCAACATTCACTTTTGTATTAAGTTAGGCACTTGCCCTCCCTGACCCGAAACACTTCGGGTAGTTTATTCGAGCCTATAATTTCAGCATACATTCAAAAGTGCTTCTGACGCGCCTGGTCCACATAGGATCAATTTTACTAACATCAACAGAGCCAAAATGGGCTAACCAAGATATACCTGGTCAGATGAGCCTCTAGGCAATCGATAACTAATTGGGCCTCCTCTGACAGCTTTCCAACCATTCTCAACATGGTCCCACATGTGCGAAACGCGGTTAAAGGTGCGCGTCCGATCGACGTATAGAAGCCGCTCGTTTCCTATGCAAATGATACATTAGGTCTTCTTCCAGACGATAGGAGATTCATCAGGCGCTGAGAAGGGAGTGAGAGCGGAAGATTCTTTCTTGACCAGATCCTTGGAGGCCGGAGCCGACAGCGGCTTTCGAGTCTGAAGCTCTTGTCGAGAGGCGAGCGCGATTATGAGGTTGATGGCAGAGACCTTCCGAGCGACGATGGCTTGAGGAACTCGTATACGAGGCTGTCATTGGCCATTTGGGCTTCAGATAAAAGAGCTGGAAATAAGAAGATATTAAACCCGGAAAGTAGGAAGCTTGCAAATTCAGAATCCTCTAAAATGTTCTAGATAAGGCATTCTGTGAGAGTTTCTATCGAGAATTCTGCAATTCTTTCTAAGTTATATTTTTGTTAAGAGGATCCGTCGTCGTACCGTTCTCTGTTCCCTGCTGCTAGGAAATGACAACGCTGGGCGATTTGGGAGTCATAAATATATAGAACGGAGCTATATCAGGGTTTAACTTCCCTCAGGCTTACGACCGTAAACTAATGTACTATTATTCCTCAGTTAGTGATTGACAACACTCCGTTGTGGACAAAGGGGGAAATAGAAGGACTAGCACTATACATCTCGTAGTATGGATATAGCCTCCAGTCTCTCAGCGCTTGTCTCATCTTCGCCACCAGCACCTGAATCCCATCGTACTTCCAGCCCATAATTTCTTTCAGCATGTACAGTGCAAACCCCTCGAGCGACTGATCCAAGAACAGTAGCGTATACTGACCAACGAGCTTCAGCTTCGGATCCGAGGTCCACCCACCGATCGGAACCTTCCACTTCTTCTCCACAACATCCACGAAGCCTGCGTCGATGATTTGCTGCTTCATCTGGGCCGCGACCTTGAAGGTTCTGCCCATTTTCTCGCCGCACTCAGCGAATAGATTATTCCACTGGACGAAGACGTGATCAGGGCCGACCTTGTCGGACTTCGTAGCGATGTCGAACTCGAGCTCCTCGATCAAACCGCCGGGTTTGGTGTGCCGAAAGCATTGCGCGTAGAGCGCCGGCCAGTCGCTGATGCTACCGTGCAGGTTCCGGATGTGCACGAAGTCGAAGTGGTTGACGCGCCAGGTCCATGGCATCTGCGCGTCGTCGATCTCGAATTTGCAGTTGGGGGGTACCCAGGCGGGCTGAATTGGGGAGATGTCTGTGCCGACTACCTCCGCCGAGGGGAATTGGTCGGCGAAGTCCCTGGAACAAGAAGTCAATGGCGTGCGACTGCTGAAGGGAATTGTTTCCAGCTTACATAGCCCATATGCCGGTACCAGTTCCAACATCCAAGACATTCTGCGGCAAGCGGGTGAGCTGCATGGCATGAGAAGGAAGGCCGACTCGGAGGTCACTGACTTGAGGGAGATCACCGAGAGGGGCGAGGAAGAGCTGGTCGTCCAGCAGAAGCGTTAAATAGTGATGCCTGCACAGCTGTTAAGGTCCATAATAGCCTAGAAAAGCCTCGGAACTTACGTGATATCTAGGCCATCATTCTGCTGGGCATCGTTCGGGGCCCTGGCGGGGATTATTGGTCAATTGCCCCAGGTTGGACTTGCTTGACTTACCAGTATTCCGTCGTCTTTGAATTCTGAAAGGTCCTGCCGTGGATCTGGCGGTAGTGAAGAATGCTATCTGTCAAGGAGGCAGTGGACTCCGCGATCCTGTTTGATTCCTGCATTAGCCACATCTACAAAAAGATCGTCAAGGCTTTCGGCTTACTCGTCCCCGGCTGAAGAATCGGCGTCATCTCCAAAATCTGGATCCTGTTTGAACTAATCAATATTTTTTCCGAATTTAGACGGCACTTGACAGTATTATGGGTACTTGCAATGGGGATTGGAGCCGCATCAGCTTCATGTTGTTGGGGTTCGGGGGTGCAAGCCATACTGTACTCCGCAACGGTAGCGCTGAAAATTACAGTAAGGACGAAAAAGCCCCAATGAAGCCAGGACGAGACCCTTTATCTTATCAAATGGGCCCATTATCCCCCCACCCAGTGGACATAAGTCATCGCAGACGTGTGTGGAGACTAGATTGCTCGACGCTAACAATATTTCCAGCTGCCCATACAAATGCCATACAAAAGTGGAGGTTTTTTGAGCCTCTATCCAATCAGCCTAGCACTTCGCCGCCTAGTACTTCGTCGTCTCGCCATTTGAGGCTATCACCTGTTCAAATCGGTGCCTCATACTATTGAGGTCGTTGTCGACCTTCTTTTGAGTGCATTTTTGAAGCCCTGCTTCGATGACAGCCTTCAGGTCGTCGGTGGTGAGATGCGGGCTATTTTTGACATGCCATTTAATACGTCTGACGGAGCTCTCCACCCAATTGAGGTCAGGAGAGAGCCCTGGGCCTATCACGATATGACGGTCCTCGTCTTTGCAGTATTGAGTAATAGCGTTAGAGTGATGGCTACTGTCGCTGTCCATATATAGGCGGAAGCCCGCGTGCCCAACATGCTGCTGTATCTCTGTAAATAGCTGGCCCAGAATTGGTTGAAGTACTGCCGCCGTCATTTTGCCATTTTTGTTAGTAGGGATCGTGTACCAGTACAGCTTCGATTTGAATCCATATCCGACTGCCCAAACTGCATGGAGGAGAGTCTGTTCGTCCTCGTCCTCTAGGCCATCTGCTCCTGCAGTGTCCTGCTCAGTATTTTGGATCGTACGGCGGGCATTCTGTAACTTCTCCTTTTTCTTTTTAGGGTCATTTATCTGGACGACCCAGTGTTCGTTTCGTTGGTCAGGTCGGCGATGAACCTTCGTCGTAAGTGCAGGTTGGAAGCCGAAATGAACCTCATCCATAGAGAAGCAGGTTCCCCGCCATTCTGCACTATCCCAGCGTCCCTCAAGAAGCTGCCTTTTCGCATAGGTAACTCTCTTTTCCTTTGTTTTATCATCTAGGCCGTCCTTCTGCGAAGAGTTGCGGGTGTGGTACTGGAGGTCGGCCATGCGGCGGCGAATGGTTCGTTCGCCGACGTGGATGTCGAGGTCTGCTTCGGCTGCTGCGATGGGCCATGGGAGCCTGAAGCCCTGGTACTTGTCCTCTTCTGGGAGGGTAATTAGCCACTCATGAAGCTCCTCGCCTTCCTCAAGAGTGAAGCCTACAGGACGCCCTGTACGATGCGGCTTATGAGGGTTGTTCGCGTTCCGTCGAGAGGCCCAGTCAGCACAGCGTTTCTTGGGGGGTACAGTAGGCGACGGCGAGGGCTCCCGTGGGTGCCAGGAGTCCTTGAGAGGCGCTTCTCGAAGCCATGCGTGGCCCTGGCTAGCAGAGACTCCAAAGGCCTTAAAAACGTCCTCTTTAGAGGGCATCTCGGCGGCTTCAGAGTGGCTGGCTTGGTTCTTGCGATTCGACAGGCGCCCGCTCCAGTGCAGGTACTGCAGTGCCCCGAGGACCTGCGCCCGGGTCGGTGTATCATGCTCAATTCCGACCATCGTGAAGTCAATGAAAAAGAGTGCTATCAAGTGCAATGAAGATTCAGCAGGAAGCGCATCGCGAGAAGGCCCTAGGCCTTCAATTTGAAGCTCCTAGCAACGGTAATGACGTTGTTATTGACGAAATGAGGTCATCGTCGATACTGACGAAGGGGGTGGAGACCGCTCGTGATTAGCGTCTCGGCGCGCATCCCTGCAAACGTCTGCGATGACTTATGTCCACTGGGTGCCCCCCACGGACCAGGCCCGCGGAACATCCGATGTATGCATTCCTTTCACGTAATCCACAAGCGAATGCACCACACATGCGAGTGCACCACTATTGTCACGATCCGATCTCCGGGGTCAACCGTCTGATCGGGCGCTGGGGGTTTATGTTCTGAATAAGGCAGGTAGCGGCCTCAAGCAATACTGACTCCGTGCTGTCGTGTCTCGTGGTGGTTGTCGTTCGTGTCTCTTGCGAGATATCACACTTGGATCAATCGAGTGACTAGGTCAAGTGAAGGGTAAGAGTGATACTTAGATTGATCGCTGAAGTACAAAGGTAATGACTGTCTACAAGGAAATCCTTCTGGCTCTATATATCCTTTGTCCTTCATCGTGAACTGTGTTGCCGTACCTTGGAACTGTCAGTTCTACCGGCGCACTGCGCAGTTCCTACTGGGACTGCGCAGTCCCACAGTTCTTGGCACAGTTCCATGGTCTTGGCGTGGTCCTGTCCTGGATGACTCATCAGGGTGGCTTAGGTAATGTTTCTTGGGCCCGCGTGCATGACCTGCCCTTGTCCCTGGCCCGATCTTGCGACCTGTTGGTCGGGTCGTCACAACTATCTTATCGCACATTACCTCACTATAACGTTAACTTACTACAACTCACCCAATTTGAGATAGAAAAGCTTAAAAATAAGACTAAGCGTAAACGATAAGGCTATTATGTATGGAGATATTTATCTTAATTTTGTAGGATTTTTCTTTGATAGTAAAATAGAAAAGTGGAGAACTAGAATACCTGATTTTCCCCTGTCCAGTTATTCCTTACGATTTCAAGTGACCTGATTTGATCCTTCGGTGCTCTATATTGCTGAAAATAGCCTTGGAAAGTTTTAAGGATTTCTATTGACAAATGGTAAGAGATATACGTTGTACAAAAACTGGGTTTTGTATAGGGAATGCCGTGGTGCATTCGCTTGTGTGGTGCATTCGCTTGTGGATTACGTTAGCCTTTCTTTCGAAGCATACGGCGCATGGCACCGAATGGGAAACGTGGCTGCAGAACGGCGTCATCGCCTGGGAATGCGCTGGAACGAAGGAAACCCCTCCAATTAGGGATGGCACAGTACGGTACTGCAAAGAGGACCGTGCCATAATTTGTGTCTCACCGCGTTTGGGCAGAAAGCTCTGCCGCCAGTCAATTGATCTGCTCCTTCTGACGCCAAAAAGGCGGTGAGACGCACACATTCCAGCAGGCGCCTCCGAAGTAGCCCTTGTAAGCCATAATCCTATTATGGTATACTCCGGTAGGTGTACCTGATATGAAATCTGATTGGAGGATAGAAGTAGCTTCAAGTGGAGGGGTTGAAGAATCGACCCATCCCCCACTTACGAAGTACTTGCCTGAATCTTACCGCTACCTTAAGGCGGGGTCTGCCTTCCCTTCCTTGCCTCAAGTTGAACCTTTTTTCAGTTGCACACATTTGTTGTCATTGTCGGAGCTCTAGCCAGGCCTATACTGATCGCCATGACGCTTGATTTTACTTCCTCAATGCTGTGGGCATTATATGCTGCTCAGGCTATGCTCCTCGCAATTATTTGCTATCGGCGCTTCTTCCATCCACTCCACTCAGTTCCCGGCCCGTTCCTTCCTGCAGTGACACGGCTATACCTCTGGTACCACAATGTTATTAAAGATGGCAGCTACTATAAGAAGATTGACGAAATGCATGTCAAATATGGTATGGTACTCAGATTCCACTCTGCTGTAGCCGCAACCTTTAAAACTGGCGCTCCGCAGGTCCCGTCGTCCGGATCGCCCCGAATGAGATTCACCTAGCCGACCCGGATAACTACGACAAAATCTACAGCCTTAGCAGCAAGTTCTACAAAGATCCGCTCTTTTACAATGCACTCGGTGTCGAGGTCATGTTCACTGCCATTGCCAATAACGAGCACCGCCAACGCCGTGCCCCATTGGACCATTTCTTCTCGCGCCGCGCCGTTTTAGGCCTGGAGGATATCGTCCAGGAAAAGGTGAAGAAGCTGTGCCGCCGTATGCATGGTTCGCTCGATGCTAGTAAGCCAGTCGATCTACGGGCAGGTACCCGTGCTGTTTCAATCGATGTTCTCTCCGAGTATGCCTTCGACGACTGCTGGAATCATTTGGACGTCGAGGATTTCGCAGCATGGTTCTCGGAAGCCGTCCGCGGTACGGGCGTCATGTGGTGGACTTTCCAGCAGTTCCCAGCTTTGCTGAGGCCCATGCAGTCGATTCCCGAGGACTACGCCAGAGAGATGAGTCTTGCCATGAATGGATGGATGGACTGTGTGGTGAGAACGAGGGAGTACGTTATGAGAGTGAACGAGCAATTCAAGGCTGGCATCAAGCCCAAGCGCCGAACCATCTTCCACGAGCTCCTAGATCCGTTGAGTACCAACGAAGAGACGTCCTGGCCTCCTAGCTTCGAGAGGTTATATGGTGAAGCTCTCAGCTTCTGCACCGCTGCTGCCGATACCACGGGGAATGCGATGGAGATGGCTGCCTATCATGTCGTCACTAATCCAGATATCTACGATAAGCTTAAGAAGGAACTCCGTGACGCATTCCCGGACCCGAGTACCGACCTGGACTATACCACTCTCGAAAAACTTCCCTACCTTACTGGTGTTGTGAAAGAGGGTCAGAGGCTATCGTACGGCGTCATCAGCAGACTTGCCCGCGCAACTCCCGAGGGTGGCGCGACTTTCAATGGGTACTTTGTTCCTGCCGGTGTATGTCTCCCTCTCCAACTGACCTGGCAGTCCTTCAACTTACTTACTCCACTCCAATAGACCACCGTCTCGATGAGCTCTTGGATGATGCACCGCAACCAGGATACCTTCCCATCTCCAGACACATTCGATCCCACGAGATGGATGGATCCGGACCGAGTAGTCGTGCGCGCGCGCGAGAAGCGTCTTGTCCCGTTCTCGCGCGGTTCCCGCACGTGCATCGGCCAAAATCTCGCCCTTTGCGAGCTTTACGTCACGCTGGGCACCTTGTTCCGCCGGTTCGATAACTTGGCTGCGTTCGATGTAGGACCGGAGGACATGACGTATGTGGACTATTTCACGGCGTTTCATCCGAAGGGCTCGAGGGCGTTCAAGGTTGTTGCAAAAGGGGCCAAATAATTCGCCTGGCGTCAGAGACATAGGCATGGAATGTTGGAGCTTGCAATCAGCCCGAAATCTAGAGCAAACCCACCATAAAGTGAATGGACCTAACGTACTCCACAAGGGAGTGGGACAAACAAGGGAGTGGGACACTTCCGTCCTACCTACGCGACAATATATAAGAGAAATCAACCACAACGCCTCAAATTAATTCAAACTATTCAGAATCCTCTTCTTCAGAGGTGGACTCAACTTTCTGACACGTACGCGCATTATGGCGGGGCTCCCCGCAGACGCCACAGCGTCGCGCGCGCGTCTCTGTCCTCCTCGTACAACCAGTATGCTGACTTGTTTCCGCCTTTAACTGCTCCGTCGCATTGATCTGAGCCCTTAAATCCTTTGCCTGATCAATTGTTAGGGACCCTCCTTTCTGGATCTGCTTTCTCTTCGTACGGCGACGGCGGCTAAGGCGGTCATTTGCATCTCGAAGTTCGGCGAGTTCGTGGCGCATAAGGGTCTGCTCGTGCACCATCATTAAGATTCCTTTGTTCAGCTGCTGCAGGCCTGCAATAATAGACGTAGGCGAGCTATCCTGATGTCGTACGATGCGATTCCTGATATATTCAGTCTGTGATTCCGCCTCAATTGGGTTGTTCGGCGTCTTCGAGACCCAAGGTGGCGGAAGGCCTGCAGATGAACTTGGCGGAGTTGGCGTATGAGGCTTTATATCTAGCTGTGAAATCACATAATCCGGGTCGTACGGTACTAGGCCGGTCGCTCGGAAGCCTGCCTGGATGTTTGACTTGGTAATCGCAGCGTCGTACGCCTTAGAAAAGGCTGGGAGGAAGTCCTCCTTTGCGATATGTGTAATATGCGCCCGCATGAGACCTTCGATTTCTTTACCGTACGCCCGTTTTAGAGGACCAAAGCACCCAACATCGAGAGGCTGGAGCTTATGCGACGAGTGAGCAGGCATACAGAGTGTAATAATGTTCTGCTCCTTGCAGTATAGCTCGATATCGACCGAATGGTGGCTCGAGGATAAGGAGGCGATAAGCACCCTTCGTACGACTCTTTGTATGGAAATCGAGGTGTTTTACCCATTCTACGCCTCTCTCGTTCGTCGTCCAACCGTTCTCAGAGAGTGCGATTACCCAGTCGTACGGAAGAGGGCTTTCGGTCGTCCAGGAGTCGAGGTGGACCTTGCCTGCGAAGATGATGTACGGCGGAATCGAATTGCCGGACGACCCGATGCCCTGAATTACTGTAACCCATTCCTGATTACCTTGTTGTACGGCTCTTGGCCTCCCGCGTCGATCGGAGGTCGTAACCACAGTCTCGGCGGAGATCTTACCCATCGCGAAGCCCGTCTCGTCGAAGTTGTAGATATCGTTATTGTAGATACCGTATTTCGCGATTATATTCCGTACGAGGGTAAACCACGCGCGATACGCGTCTGGACCTTCGCAAGAGGACTCTCTGATAGTCGATTCTTCGATTAAAACGCGTTCGGAGCTCAGTTCGTCGTCGTACGAAGTTTGTAGCCCAGTTCGTTCCGACGCGCGGCGCGTCGCGTGCGCGGAGGAGTCGATCCGCCATTTCTCGAACACCACTAAGTCGCGGCGGAAATGATCGCGAATCTAGGTCGATTACGTATCGTACGATGCTCTCCTCTTCGTACGGGGTCAATTTCTGGTTATGTGGTCGGGTATCACGTTTGCGCTCTACGCCACGTCGTCGGTCTCGGAGGGTTGTACGTGGGACATTATAGATTGATGCTGCCTTTCGAACACTTAATTTCGGGTTTGATTGAAGCGCGTTTAGCGCTAAGATAAGGTCGTGTTCTTTAGATTGCGCCATAAGAGGTAATGGTGGGAGAATGAAGGAAAAGATTGAGGATTTGTTTAGGGGGAAGAAAGTGGGCGGGTCGCTTGTGGATTACGTTACGTCATTTTAAGCCACCCAAATTATCATTGCATCAACGTCTCTTAGTGATCGTTTCTGGGTCTCGTTGGCACGGTCTCTGGTACACATCATCTGTCGATCATGCCTAAGTAGTTGTGGAAGCCCCATCCTATATCAACCCGGTTCGAGGAGAACCCACAACACATAGTCTCGACAGGCACGCATATGATGATTTATGGAAACCTGCACAGCTTCAAAAATAAAGTTCCTCCACTCATTCGCCCTCATAGCCTCCCTTTCACGCGTAGAAGGGGAAATTGCCTCGGCTATCTGTCTTAGGCAAGGCCACCCAGGAGGCACTGTCCTTCGACTTGCAAGCAATCAAGGAGTCGACCGTAGGCAGACAGTATTTAGGGGAAATCCACAGCTGAGAGTGGATCGAAATTCGCGGGGACAAGGGCCTGGAATGAGACGGATCTGTTACGTGCACAGACCTTTCGTAGGACATGACATGTCCTACATGAGAATGAGAGGGACGTCGAGGTGTGCACGGTCGACACTGCATATGTGGGGCATGTTGAACCCTTAAAGTTGACTCAATTACGGGGCTGAGCACGGAGCTAAGGGCGGAGCTGCTTCCCGTGCGGACCGGTCACGCTATCCCCAGACAGTATGCGGACTGTACAGACCCTTTCTTGGCGCGAGGATCACCCACCAGTTCTGTGCTCCCATTCACAACCCAGCTGTCATCGGCATGCGAGGGATACACGTCGTAATGAGTATCCAGCTTGAAGTGTACTGGGCCAAGTCTCTGTATTCATTTCGTACATGCCTGAGCTTACCTGGCCATGCCAGCCTCAATAATGGCGCCAACCGCTTCGCCGCGTCTTGTGCCAGTAACGCTGTGTCTAGTTTGGAACGGGTACGAACAGATATTGACGGGCACACTCCGTCTCCTTGCGTGAGTCTCAGTCAGCCCAATGGATCTCCGTGAAGATCTAAACCACCTGCACTGTGCGACATTGTTAGATATTGTATTGTTCCAGCCCCATGTTCGTGCTTCGTCCAAAGACACTGAAACCAAGGCGACGCGAGCGGGTCACCCTCTACCAACGATGCGCCAGTGTTTGAGCAGCACGAGGATAGCATGGACACCCTGGAGATCGGCAGTGTGCGTCACAGTCGTGGCTAGGCGTTCGACGCCGAAGAGCGCACCCTCTTTCAGGTGTGCAAGACATCTATAGTGGAACCTGGAGGTCATCAACTTGCAAAGGCTGATGCCAGAACCAAGGCCGCCGCAGTAAGCCGGCAGAGTGCAGGGACTTCGAGCATAGCACCACGCTCAAGCTAGCTCTAGAATGCCGAACAGCAATTGTGAAACAGTGGGATCGGTACAGATACAATGGTGGACGGTATCATCTAATAATATTATCTATGAGGGGCCTCCTGGACCTGTCTGACTTCCTCGCCTCAGCGCTTGAACCTCCAGAATGGCCGAGCGTTTCTTGTTGCGATCCGGACATCATGATGACCTCCCATTACTTCCCACCAATCGAGAGCAAATTCCCGACCTGGCTATAAAGTGCGCTGCACCGGACTGGCTGGGCACTAATGTTCAAGCACTGGTCCTCAGGCAAAAACGTCTTCTCGCCGCAGAACTCATCGCTGCGTCCAAGTGCCATCACACCATGAGACAGCTTCCCGCAACTGCATTAAATCCACCACTATTGTCTTTCTCCTCAATGCCAGTTCGATGGCAGCGAGCACGTAGCCGCGCTCTCGTCGTTGACGGTGCTCTCCTTTGCCTATCGATCGGAATTTCAGTCCCTCGGTGACCTTTGTTGGAAGGTCACTGGTCGTCCATGGCGTTCGGCGACTGCATGGAGCCTCAGTGCTCTAGCATATGCCATGTTTCACACTTTTGCCTCTGTCATGCCCATCTCTCAGAAACCCGACGAAGTAGCTTCTATTGGACTCACGGACGCACGCAGATGACCGTCCGCAAGACCTGGCGGCTGATGTGCTGGGGAAAGCCGGTGAAGGGGCTTTGCGGTCGCCATTGCGTGCAAGGGCTGGTTGCCAGCAGCGGTGTGAAAGTCGCAGCTCGAGTGTTATGGCTAAATGAGATTCATGCTAGGTCTCCTCCCAGATATTTCTTCGTAGCATAGCATCTAAAGTTGTTTTTGTTGCCGGCCTACCCAGTCCAATGGCGCATCGACGAGTAGTCTGACAGTGTAGTCGAGGAATGGGGCTATCATGTCGTCGGCGAACTCCGTCGGCCACGTCTCTCCCAATCTTCTTAACACATCGTCGAACCAGTTGCGCTGATCCCATTCAGGATTCACGTTCATAGCTCGCAGTATTGACAGCAGCGCATCCTCTTGCTGAGCGTTTGATGATATTGTGGCGATGTCGACAGATCCGACCACACTTGGACCCTCGCTCGGATGTGTCGTGTTCGTTGACTCCCTGATCGTCCAATTCGGCCGCGTACCAGCCAGCTCGAAGGTGTGGCTGACGAGGTCTGTCGAATGGAAGAGCTGCCGGGTGGCACATAACTGTGTAGTACGAGTCTCCTGGTTGTCGCGAGGATGCCCTTGAATGACGAGAATCGAGACAACTTGCTTGCGTGTGTTGTCTCGAGGCACTGGAACTGCGCCATTGTCCGAGGTCCGCGTCACCATCTCCTGTCTCGATCGCGGCCACAGCCTGCAAGCCACCTGCACCGACAGAACGTATTATGGGTGCTTTGTTGGCGTAATCCGCTTTCGCTTGCGCGTGGACAAATCGAATGGGCGTGGAGCGGCTGACTTCTGGGGGTGATTGAATTACTCTTCGGTATTATGCAGAGTGACAGGATACCCGTGGGCGATGCAGCTGAGGAGATAAGAATACAGACATCGACGACACGTGCTCCCACCAGGTTGCAGCACGACTGGTGTTGTCAGAACAGATGACCACAAAGCACACCAGCAAGCAACAAGATGGCGTGGGTCATGGAAAAATTCAAAAGCTGCCACAGAGGGATTCCGTTCTTGCGCGGCGGACCAGGCAGGCTAGGCGAAGAAACCGGACCTGGCGAAGCTGGATTTCTGCGCACCATGATATCTCTGTAAGTGGGAAGATCCGCCGGAAGGCAGCGGAAGATGCCATGGACCCGCCCAAGAATAACCCTGAAGAACCTCCCGCCGCCATGGTAAGTTGTAAAGTGTCATGGCGGCGTGTCCTCTGGCCCCAGGACTCCATGGTGGCGTTGAACCTTGAAGGGGGACAACGACAACTGCACCCAAACCAGGGGCCACACTTCCCGCCCAATCAGCCGACCGATTCATGTTGATGGGCTGCAAGCAACAGAGTCCCGCTTATGGAGCGGTCTAGAACATGTAAATCAGTGGGGAACATGGCAGCACGATTGTGGACCTGGCCCAGCTGAAGACACCACACCCACGCTCGGCAGTCACAGGCCCAACTCCGACACCAGAGACCAATCAGCCAATCCAGATGGCACGCAATCAGTAGTTGCGAGTGTCGAAGTCCGACGGGCTACTGGCGGCCCATACTGGTTGGATATTAGGTTGGCGGCCTCGGAATTTTGTCTGAACACGCCACATCAATGTCCTGGTAAAGGCACTTCGTCCACTTCGACGAGGGCACAGAACATCGCTTTGAGCTTGTGCCATGTGTCCACGCGCGCGCCCCTAGTGCCATGCGCGTCAGGGCGAGGTTCTATGCAGCCACGGAGATGACGTGGACCAGATTGAGCGTGGCTTGGCAGGCGTTTCAAGGCTTGCGAGCGGCATCCTTCAGCTCGTTTTTCTGCAGGATGGCAGGCTCAGACGGGGAATGGGCCGACGCAACATTGTTGGCGTGAGCCACTGCACGCCGCCTAAGACGGACTGCCTGGTGGTTTGACTTTGATTAAGGCTCCGGCGCAACATCCGTAGCGGGATGGGGCGGCCAATGTCACATTCCACCCCAAGCGGGGCCTCTGCACGGCACCAGCCGAAGCCTGACTGTGCTACTACTCTAGACACTCTGCCTCGACGATCGCCTTCCAAGCTGCGACCAGATTCGTACCCTCGGTATCCTCGACGGTCCTTACCCGCCCTAGCCACGCTATGAACTCCTCTTTCCCCATACACTCGACTTGTAGCTCTCGCCAGATCAGCTGCTCAAGCTTCCTGCTCGCTGTAGCTAGCCAGACCACCGGCATGACTCGATCTCCCCACCGGCACCTCGCCGTCTCTCCCCACTTACACCAAGCCTGCGGGAGACCGCACGTCCAGCAGCACGTGTACTCTTTGAACCGGATCTGCCGCCGCCACGCCATATACGCTTCCGATCCTCCTAGTACCTTGCAACTCCGGAACTCGTGCTCGTAAGTCCTCTGTCGACCATCTGCCCGGCCCTGGTGACACCACTTGACGTAGCACACTGCGCACTTGCTATCCATCAACTCTACCCACTCCAGCAACTTCCGGATCCTCCTCTGCCTCTCCTTATTATCTCCTCTAAGACGGTCGTCTACTACCTCGGCTGCTGCGGAGTGCCAGTCGCCTGTAGTACCACCCTCGCTACATTCGCCCATACCGACAACCTCATCTAGTACGTCGGCCTGTACCTCTGTAAGTTGCCGGCACCGGTCACAGCGCACGGCTTGAAGACTATCGCAGTCCTGCGCGATGCCGTCCATGAACGCCCCAAGCACGAGCCTCCGGCAGTCTGGCGTCTGCACGAACCGCTCTGCTGCCTGCCGGTTCAGCTGGTCTACATCGCTCGCCTGCCGGTCATAGTAGACAGCCGCCCTACCTAGCACCACGATCGACTCCACCTCCTCCCCCGCCTTCCTCCCGCCTCTGCCCGTCTGCTGGATAAAATCCACAAGCCCGTACGGCTGCTCCGCGTGGATAATGGCGACGATACCCTCGATGTCCACCCCGGTCCCTAGTCCTGTCGTTGCTACTACCCAGCGGGTTTCTGATCGACCTTCAACCCAGTCCTCGAGTACCGCTTGCCGCTCTGATAAGCTCATGTCGCTATGGTGGTACCCGCATCGGATCAGCTCGGCGAGCCGTGTACAGTTAGCCTTAGACCTGCTGTAGATCACGCCTTTCTGCTTCCCAGTCATGCGGCCAGTTATGCGGATAACCTGCTTGACGACCTCGTCCTCGACTGCGCTACGCCCTGGTCCCGTCACTTGTACGACGTTGTAGCTAATGTTCTTCTTATCGGACCTTGCTCGGATGATCTCGGCGTCCCCTACGAGCATCGCCTGCCGAAACCAAGCCTCGAGCCGCACTGGCAGCGTAGCCGTTAGCAGAATAACTGGACAGCTGTACCGGTATATGAACTTGAGGTCCGTGAGCCTCTTCCGGTAGCTCGCGTCCATGATAATCGTGTGGCACTCGTCGACGACGAACCGTTTTAGTAGTCCCCGTGCTCGTAGCTGGTCTGTATATGTGGAGAACTCTACGCTGTTGACCTGGTCGGCGCTAACAAAGACCAGCCGTGATATCCGCGGCTGCTCCTCTCGGCCGGTTACCTGTGCTGGTAGCCACTGCTGGCAGTCCAACCCCAGATCCGTAGCACGTCCGACCAGATCGTTAATTAGTGCCACGAATGGTACTATTACGACGCTGACACCTGCATTCATGCTGGGGACTGCTGGTAGCATGAATAACACGCTCTTGCCAGCTCCCGTGGGCAGTACGACAATGAGAACTCGGTCTCCCCGGAGTGCTAACGTCTGCTGCGTAGCCTCCCGCTGTTCATCTGATCGCCAGCATGCGCCTGGACCTAGTAGCTGATATAGCCCTCCGTTGAGCTTGGCGTCAGTACTGGCAGCTAGCGGGCTGACGTCCCCGTGGCGGCCCTGAGTGATCCTGCCTGCAGCGATTGCTCGCCTGGCGGCCCAGTCTGGCGTCTGGAAGTCATTCCCCATCCGCGCCTGCGAATATGTACGCTTAGACGGCGTATACGGCAGCTTTGTATCCGGCGTCTGTGACTGATCGTTTCCGCTGTAACCGAAGATCTTCTTTCCTGCGCTGCTCATCATATCGGAGCCCGGCGTGCTCTCGGTACTGAACACGAGAAACTGGTGCCATAGTCGGCTGATCTCCCGGTAGTTGGCAACCATTTGTGGCTGCAGCTGGTTCGGAAACTGGACATTGACGGCATAATGCTGCCGCGCGATGGCGCTGCCGTGCGTGGCCGGCAAGTCCCAGACGTACTCGACCTTGTTCTGGCCACATGCCTCGCCGGTAAGCGCGTCTTCGAAGTTCTGCGGGTTGTCCCAGTCGGCCTCATCAACCATGTCGACCTCTAGCTGCTGGACCACTAGCCCCCTAATGTGTCGGCCTAGTTCGATCGCGACGTGGCGGTAGTCAGCGACGCCAAGCTTGACCCCGATGTGTTCCGTCGTGACTGTAGCTAGCTTGTTGCTCAGCTCGGTCGTCGTCCAGATCCCTTTCCGGCTATCTTTCCAGAGCCACGCATCAAGCGGCTTAGAGAGTCCCTGGCCCGTAGTCTCCGTAAGTAGTAGCCGCTCGAACGGTAGGATCCATAGGATGTAGGCAACCATTAGTCGGCCAACCGTCTCTGGTAAGAACCGTGCAACCTTACGGCCGATTCCGCGGATAGCCTTGGCCTTGTCGCGGTCTGTAACTAACAGTACCTGGCCGTCGAACACAAAGACATTCCGGAGCATATCCTGCGTGTCGCAGTGCCGGATCGTCATGATCTCTGGACCTCTGCCGGGCTGTCCTCCCCATGTGTGCGTACTGACGAGTAGGGCCTGGCGGAATGACTAGAGCTGGTTGAGCCACTGCTGGACCTGAGCTGTACGGAATTTTGCCGCTTCGTCGTCCCAGAGCTGGGCAATACCTGGACCGACTAGCTTCCGGAAGCCTGGCTCGAGCCAGCTGTTCTTCTCGTGCGTAGCAAACGACGCCCCGGGTCCCTCGAAGCTGAGGCTGTCCGTGATCCGTCGGAGCACGACGATCTGGCTAAGCGGAACCCACTCTCCGAACATAAGCTGATCTAGGAGCTCCTCGGCATCCGTAATAATGCTAGCCGCCATAACCCGAAAGTCGTTGAGCAGGATGCGCTGGCCAAGATATCGTAGTGCCTCCTTGCTGTCCTCCCACATAAGTCGTGGCGTGCCGCCCTCCTTCTTGCGGAAGCCCTTCCCGTATGCCATCATCCGGATCATCGCGCTAAAGGGCGAGAACGAGCCATCGGCGAGCCAGTCGCGGTGCTGCGCCAGAAAGTACTCGATAGCTTCCGGACCGATATCCTCGCTACATTCCTCGGCTCCGAATATATGCTCTAGCAGGAGGAGACGCGCGCACCAGACAAGCCCTGCTATCTGGGTTGTGTATTCGGTGGCCGGCCGCCAGGCGTAGCTCTTCCGGGCACCGCTGATCCCGAGTACGCATGTAAAGTGTAAGAGCGGGTTATCGAATAATTGGACGGCAACCTTCTGCTGGAGCGACCGGATGCAGAAAGCCATTACGGCCTGGTCTATCGGGTCCCCGATTCGGTCGTCTTTCTCGTCTTCTTCGCTCCCTGGAGTAGCTGGCTCTTCAGACCCGATGTCGGTCGATGAGGCTGGAGAGGCGCCATCGCTGTCGTTATCCTGGCCGCTCTTCTCGCTACTATCTAGTTTCCGGATGATCTCCTCAAGTGCAGCCCACTGGGCGTCGTTGAACCGGATCCGAAACCTCTCCGTCGCCACTTCCCGGCCGAGCCGCCCGACCCGGACGCAGCAGCAGAGGTAGCGCTTCCAGTAGACCTGGTACCGGTCCTTCGTGTCCTGACCGTTCTCCGTCTTGAACGGGGCGCCTGCTGGGCGGTTAGGATCTACACTCGCGAGGTATCGGAGCACCTCGTTTGGTACCTGTGCGACCCGCTCGATCCCTTTCCCAATCTGCCGGTCAAAGCTAGCTCTAAGCCGGACAAGTCGCTGCTGCTCAATAATCTCTGCTTCACTTCGGAGCCTAGCACACGCCGTAGCAGATAGAGCAGTCAGACTCGCCTGTAGGTGCTCGCCCATATCGCTGCCGGCTAAGTGTCTTGCCCAGCCCATCTCGCGGACCCAGGTCGACTCAAAGTCAGGCCCCCGCCGGCTATCGACCGTACGCCGTGTCTCCTCTAGCTCCGTAGCTAGGCTTACTTCGTATCTTGCGAGGCGTTCGAATAATACGCGCTTCGAGGAAGTAGAAGTAGACCAGATGCGCCTGGGCTGGCCGTTCTGATAGGTCCTGGCTCGACTGCCCAGTACCGGGCATGGCTCCCCGGAGACAGGGTCTGGAGCCGTACTTCGCTCCAGCCACTGTTACCGCCACGGCCGCTGGTCGCCTGGTCGCCTGGTCGTGTCCTGCCTTGCGAGCGGTGGACCCTGATTAGCTTCCGGCTCGTCGTTAGGAAGCGGCAGTCCGAGCAGCTGAAGCCGTCTAAGACTGGCAGCTGCTCTATACATGGTGATCCGTCGGCTGGCACTGGTACAGTGTGCGGGTTCGCGATCGGCTCGGCGGCGTAGCTGTAGTCGACGATCTGGCGTAGTGCCTCGCCCTTGACACGGTGCGTCCGCCAGGAGTGCAGTTGTATGCCGTCATCCGGCCGGATCCCGATCCTGCACGAGACGCAGAGGAGGACGCGATGCTCCTGGCTACTGGCGTCAGCCGCAGGCCAGCTCAGCAGACCGACCTGGCCGCCGGTGCGACCATCGTCAGCCTCGTAGTGTATCGCCATCGCTAGATGGTCCTTTAATCACAGCTGGGCTGTCAGATCGAAGAGAGTTAGATAGTGTATAAATGAGGTGTATTTTCTGTTCTACGTGTAATAACTAGCAACTACGAAGGCTTTTCGCCGTACAGGTTGCGAGCCCGTCCAGGCCGCGGCATGCATCATGGGCTATTTAATGACAGGGGAGGAGACACGGCACAGGGTAGGGTTAGCTGGGGGTTTAAGGTTAGGTTCAACGGCAGGTTCTACCTACCTTCTCGAGAACATAAACCCCAGCGCCCGGTCAGACGGTTGACCCCGGAGACCGGATCGTGACAGAAATATGCGCCCGCATTAATTTTCCAATTTCTTCACCATACGCTCATTTTAAAGGGCTAAAACAGCCTACATCAAGAGGCTGGAGCTTATGTGACGAGTGAGCAGGCATACAAAGCGTAATAATGCAGTGGTCTTTACAATCTAGCTCAAAATCTGTTGAATGGTGGCTTTCGTGGCCGTCGAGGATGAGGAGGCGGTAAGCACCCTTCGTACGAGCTTTTGTATGTAATTCGAAATGCGTAATCTAATCTAGACCTATTTCATTCGTCGTCCAGCTGTTTTCTGATAGTCCAATTGCCCAATCTTGTGGTAGAGGGCTGTCGCGAGTCCAGGAGTCAAGGTGGACTTTTCCTGGAAAAACGATATACGGCGGGACGATATAGCCGTACTACGCAACGCCCTGAATTACTGTAACCCATTCTTGATTGCCTTGCTGTACTCCTCTTGGTTGTCCGAGACGTTCAGCTAATGTTACGACCATCCTGGTTGAGATTTTGCCCATTGCAAACCCAGTCTCGTCAAAGTTGTAGATATCTTCCTCCACTGTACCATATTTCATAATAGTGTTTCGTACGAGGGAAAACCACGCGCGATACGCGTTCGGATCTTCGCAGAGGACTCTTTGGTAGTAGATTTTACGATCGAAACGCGTACGAAGTTCTGGTCGTCGTCGTACAAAGGTTGCGGCCCAGTTGACTCCGACCCATGACGCGTCGCGTTCGCGAAGCAGTCGATTCGCCATATCTTCAACACCACGTAACGAAGGAGGAAACGATCGCGATTCTAGATCGAGGATATATCGTACGAGAGCTTCTTCTTCGGACGTAGTAAGTTTTTTACAGGGTGGTAGGATATCGCGTTGAGGAAGGGTGCCGTTTTCTCGTCGAGTAAGGGTGTTCTTAGATACATTATAGATTAATGCAGCCTTTCGTACAGATAATTTTGGGTTCTTTTGACGCGCTATAAGCGCTAATTGGATATTACTTTCAATTGATGTACGAGCCATTTGAAATGGTGGAGAAATAAGGAGAAAAAGTCACCTATGTAAAAATTTGGGGAAAATGGCCCACTCACCCGTGGACTACGTGACCCGAAAAAGAGACTCTTAAAAATCAGCAAGTGGGATCGAGGATTATCTTGCCTAATTGGCTGCCAGCATTAATCCGTTGGTGTGCTTCGGCCACCCGAGACAAGGGTAGGACCACGTCAATCTGAGGCGAGATGGAGCCTTTGGCGGCCAGGGTAAAAATGTTGGACAGGTCAGCCTTATATCGGTCAGGAAACTGCCGAAACCAAGGCGTAATAACGTATCCTTTCAGTCCCCGGTTGCTCAGGAATATGCTGAGGGCTGTTGATGACGACGCAAGGTATGTTCGTATGAGCCGCACCAAGCTACGCCGTCCGCCAACGAAACCTCCCTGTACGCCAAACAAAACGACTGTTCCGCCTTCGTTGAGGCAGCGTTGGGATACAGCGACGTTGGGCCCACCCACGCCGTCAAAGACTGCGTCCACGCCTGCTGGCGCATGTTGTTTGAGTATGCTTGCTACATCGCCTTCAGACCGGTTGATGGGAATAGCGCCCTTCTCCGCCACGAAGTCGAGGCGAGACCCGGAAGCGACGCCATATGCCGTTATGCCAAAATGTCGGGCGAGGTCGAGCAGAATGGAACCGACACCGCCAGCGGCGCCCCAGACAAGGATGCTCTGGGTTGAGTCGAGTGCCACGCATCGCGTAAGCATTTGGTAGGCTGTCAAGCCGTTCAGGACCAGGCTAGCAGCTGCAGGTGATTTGAGAGACGGTGGTACTGCGACGACAGAAGCGGCGGAGACGTTTAAATATTTCGCATAGCCTCCGTGTATCGTCAGGGCCGCGACGCGGGCACCGATGTCCACACTGGTGACTTGTTCACCTTTGGAGACGACCAGCCCGACAACTTCGTACCCTGGTGTCGCAGGTAGTGGCACGTCCGGATAGAGACCCTCGCGGATCAAGACGTCGGCGAAGGCAACGCCTACTGCTTCGATTCGGATTAGGACTTCATCCGCTCCGTATGCCGGCATGGGGGCATCGACCAGTTGCAGCCTGTCTGGACCACCGGCACGACTGATCAGGACCTTGCGATTGGTATCGAGAGACATGCTGTCGTGCGCAAGACTAGATGGGATTGACGGCTCTGCATCCATCTAAGAGGTATCAAGCCGGGAAGACGAATTGGGTGTGCTAGTTTGAACCGTCATGCTCGAATTGCATTGTTCGAATACCTTTCTATCTCCGACGTTTATATACCTTGAACAAAAACAGTTTAATGAATGCGCTTTGCTGGTATTGTGCTTCCCATTACACAAATGCAGAAGTATACACGGCCCAATTCGGGGGCGGCGCAACCAAAACTCCGCTGCCTCAGCTCGCAACGTTAGTGTCACGAGGAGCAACGCCTAGAGCGGAGGGTTGACAATTTCAGCCTCATGTTATGGAATATCTCAATAACACCGAACCGGGGCCATCGAATGCAAGAGTTACACTATCGACGGTCAGACTCACATGACTCCCTGCAGCCAGTTACACCGCCGCAGCCGATGTGCCTCGATCCGGCGTTGAACGGACCAGTGGCGGCGGCGGCTGCGCGGTTGTCCTTAGCAACGTTGCCAATAACGTAACCCACCCCCATTTGGGGCACACGGGTAATTGGGCCACGCCCCTCTAAAGCCCCAATTCCAGCATAGCAACAGAAGGGTAACAGTGCTCCCTGGCCCAAATGCCCCCGTGGCCGAAATGGGGGTGGGTTACGTTAAATCCTAGCACGCCCGTTCAGCTATATCGGCTGCCACGGAACACCAAATCAATCGTCGAGCTGCTCCGGCTACAGAGTGCGTAATCAATCAACGGCTTCCAACCGTTGGAGCCGTTGGATCCTCCAACTGAAAAAATAACCCATCAAGGTCGCTTTTCAGGCTGTGTCGGACAAAATGTCGCCCCGAAAAAGCCGACGCTAAGGTGCAGAAGCAAATTGAAGCGCCGAAGCGCCGAAGCTCCGAAGCTTCGAAGCCCGCACCCTAATTCCACGGGAGCCAGGGTACCGGGCCCCTCCCGGATCTTGCTCCAACGGCAGACCCATGAATGCTCGCTTTCTTTGTGCACTTTTTGTGCGGGCATGAATTGTTCGGATGTTTGCTGAACACAATTAGCCCTACCTCAAAGAGAGGCCGACGAGAAAGCTTGATTGAGATATTGCTCATGGTGAGCCAAGCCAAAGAATGCATCCATAGCATGGGCATGAATATGTACACACTGCTCGCTCCTCCAGCAGCAACCATAACTTGTATATTTGTTCGCTTGCTCAACCACTGGCACTGCTCAGCACTCTCTACATTGTTTCTGCAATCCCCAAACACCACACTCATCAGACATGTCGGACCACCGGGGACACTATAAATAGACCTTTCTATTCAGCATTGTTCGCTATTTTCCTGTCACACACCTTGAGCACATTGTACTCAGTGCACATGGATCGTATGCCGTCAGAGATTCGTTGCATGGTCGCAGAGCTATTGCCCACAAGGGATCTGCGCACATTTCGCTTGACATGTGGGTTTCATGCTTATCATTTATTTTTTCATATACTAGCGCGCCAGTTCTGCATTCTTGGCACACTGCGCTGTCTCAAGAGCTTCTTGAAGTTCCTCGACTCCAAACCGACATAATACACGCGGCGGCTCACCATATATAATGGGAAATGGCCGTCGTACTCACGCGAAGAGTGGAATCGCAGCACGCTGATGCTTGGTGATTAATATATGCCCATGCGACGATTCGATGACGAAGATAGGGAAGAGGCCTATTGTCGTTATCGCATATTTCTTCGGGATACAGATCAGGAAGTTGACATCCAGATCGCCCGTGAGGTGTCGAAGCGCTTTGTTGTTCAGCTAATAACGGATGGAACTTTCACAAGAGCTTCCCTTCTCTAGTGAGTCTTAATCTTAGTATATCCCCAAGGTCATTACCGATACCATACGGGCAAGATGTTATGCTTCTTAATCTGAAACCCCTTCGATTCCGTAGAGTACATGTTTCTAAAGCTTATCTTATCGGAATAGCGTCATCGCATTCCACTCTACGGTCTCTACATTTGAGTGAGACTATTATCCTCGGGGGTCAGTGGAGCTCGTGCCTGGCTGTCATCGAAAGCTCGACTGACATTTCAGTCCACATGGGAGACGTAGAACCAGCCTGATCAAGTAGTGGGAGGAACAAGAGAGTTCATGCTTTAAGGGTTTTCGTTTCTGGTTGTTTTTTTTGGTATGAAAGAGTCATGTGAAATGGTTCTTTCCTAATCCAGAAGCAACTTACTAGCCCTCTCCATGATGTAGTCCTGGATGAGCTGGCTCTCGCAAGTGCCATGTCGCAGGATCTCCGTCTTGAGGGCGAGGATCTCATCGCATAAATACTTGACGTGGGCCTTTAAGGCACTATTCTTCTCGGAGAGCCATTGCTCTGTCTTCACGAGCTCTGTAATTTCACATTTCGTCTTGTCGCGATACTTTGTCGCAGCCATTCGGTTCTTCTCGCGTATCGTCTTCTTCTTGTTGCTGCTCGGAAGAGCCGTCGTGTCCGACGGCGTAGACTGTGACGCGAAACTTGCCGTCGCATCTGGCGACCCTGTGCTGTGCACGTGTATCTCGCTATCCCTGCGTTTCGTGCCGGCGAGCTGCGGTATCTCCGAGCTGTGTTGCTGCTGAAGGTGGTGGTGGCTATAGCGCCTAAGTGCTGGCGTCGAAGGCTCCGGCATAATTTCCCCAGGGCTAGTGTGTATCGACGCGCTAGCAGGATGGCTGGCTACGGACATTAGCCACGAGTGTATGCCCGACGCGACGTCGTCAAGAGCCGTGTTCGAAATTTGTGAGGGGATGATGGTGCCGAAGGGGATTGCGTCGTGTGGCTGCAAGGGCATATTGTACATCTCGGGACCAAGGTCCATGGTGAAGCCGCCGTCTGTAGCAGATAGAGAGGCGTCCATATGATTGGAGTTGCCATCCAGGACCATCCAGGACATGTCGCCAGACTTGAGACCAAAGGTACCCCCGGGCCAGTCATGTACTATATGTGTGGATGGTTGGTTAGTGTTGCGTGTGGTCTGTGAGGGCAGCCATGGTGGCAGCTATGTGTGGTCGTCTGAGTCTTGCTGGCTTGAGCGAGAGATTTGTACTACCTCTGTCGTCCTTTATCTTTGTTCTTGTTGTTGTGACCGTGGAAAAAATGGGGTTCGAGGTGGGATGGCAAGGTACGGCTTGTCAGTGCGTGGGTCAACAACGCGCAGCCGGACAGATAAGCAACGCCGGCCGTGACGTGATTATGAAGACAGCGCGAGTGGGGGAAGCACAGGAACTGCCTGCTTGAAAATGCAGGCACGGCAAAATCCGTGCGCGTTGATCTGGGGTCAAACGGCAGGAGCGGGTTGCAAGTGGCTGGACTTGGTGAGATCCAGCTACGGCGGGCCCGCTCAGCTCCCAGCCTTTCAACGATGGCCCAGGAAATCGCGAAAAGCGGGTTTCTGGGGATGATCCAAAATTCGCCGCTCGCCAAGCCGCGGGGAATGCGCTAATGGTGGGCACTTGGGGACGGCTGTAAGAATCAGATGTTGAAATGCCATGCCTTGTGGCAAGCGAATGTGGGATCGAGATCTCAGGGATGGCCGGCCCCGGCCACGAGCCCACACAACCACTCCGGAGCGCCGCAGCCAATTAAGGCGCCGCCAAACCGGCCACCGCGGGCCTGATTGAGGGGGCCGGCCTGCTTTCGGAGGCAGACAATCACTTCTTTGAACCGGGGTGCGCTGCCAGTTGTCTGCTCGTCATGGCGAAGGGTTTGGTCGGTCTCGGGGTGGATTGGTTGGTGCCCAGCGAGCCAGCCTGTTCCCAGTCTAGTGGTGAGAGGTTGACGTCAGACGAGCAGGTGAGGCAGGCGGGCTCGCAACGGCGGGGCGGGGCAACTGCCGTGCTCATGCGCGGGTGCACTTGGCTTGGTCTCATTCCAAGCTTGTCCCTCAGTTCGGGGCTCGCCACAGACGGTCGTGGGTGGTGGTCCCGCGAGGCTGGGAAAGCACGAAGTACGGGTGATCCGAAGCGTCTCAGTCGTGTCCGCCCCGTTCCGCGCGCCTTACTGATCATGCCCAGCCACTGAGTCGCTTGTCTGGAGGGGGCCGTTATCAGTTGTGACGATGCTGTGGGAGCTGTTTCCCCATGAACAGCTGGAGGACCCTTGGGTGGCCCGAGGTGGATGGGATGGCAGGAGGGTGGGACGGACGGGGCCTGGCGCATGCATGTGATCCCCGCTGGAGCTGGGGGAGAGGAGACGCAGCGAGCAGGGGGCGCTGGCAGCTCTAGAGAGAGGAGAGAGAGGCTGCAGGCACTGGAGGGGAGGCAGCACAAGCAGCACAGGCAGGTGACGGCGTGCGGCCGTCACTGGCGCGAGGGAGGTCTGGTCTGGTGATGACGACGGCAATGACACCACCCGCGCCGCGTGCGAGAGTCAAGCCTAGCCCGCCAGCGCAGGACTCGCCCGACTAGACCAGGCCACATCGGGACCCGGCGCCTTGGCATCCACCGTTCCAGGCTTCATATTCACGACGAGCTGCTCGCCTCGTGCCTCCCTTCCCGGGTCCATGGCATCTCTAGACTGCAATGTTGCAAGCTTGTCTTTCGTTACTGTCATTGCGTTGTCACTCTGGCGAGGCAACCTGCAGGGATACACCAACCGAAGGCACGCTTAGGCGGCACGTTCCACCAACTACGGCACGCTTCTCCGGCGGCTCGTACTGTACTCGGTGCTCCCCCAAAGCCACCCGCCCTCCCACTTCAACACCACCTCCGCACGAGCGCCGTTGTGCGCGCCCAACACCAGCTCCGCCAGGTCTCTCATCCACGACAGTAGTCACGCTTCGCACCCTTCATAACGACGGCTCGAGCGAACACAAAGCCTGGGGCTCAACCTCAGGCTGGCCTGAGACACGGGCAACTTTCGAGTCGGCTGTGACAATCCGACTCGCTCGTGCTGATCCATCTGCATCAACCATATCCAGCTCGCCCATCATGCGTCCACCGAGGATCGCCATCCTCGCCTTCTTCTTCGGCGCCTGCCTCTTCACCCTTGGCCGTGCCATCTCGACGGCCACCACGAGGTCGACCACTCCGCCTCCTCCCGCCGTCGACTCGCAGCCCCTTGCCGCCACGAAGCGCATAGGCACCTTTTCGTCATTCTTCTCCTTCTCGGCGCCTTTCATCCTCTTCCCACCCAACGCCGTAATCACCATTGCCGACGACAACACCACATCTTTCGCCGCCAGACCCGCGGCATTTGGCCCTCCTCTGCCCGCTTTCGGTCTTACAGGTCAGCTATGGATTGGCAGTGGGTTCACCAAGGAGTCGCTACTCGACGGCGAAGGGGAGGGCGAGCGAGGCTGTAGTGATGCTCCCAACTGGGACGACGGCACCAATTCAGTGTTTACGCCCTTGAGTGGTAGCGCCAAAGGTAGGCCGTCCTTCAGCGGGCCTGGAGGCAGCCGTCACAGCAGAAACGGACCAGCAGACGCCCTTAAGGACTCTGTCATAGATCGACTGCCCGCTGTCGGTGTTGCTGCCAAGTCGAAGCCACCTCCGATCCCGCTTGACGATGGTACGGACGACTATCTGCACCAGGGTCTTGGTGGAAAACCTGTCAAGCAGACTCAGAGCGACGCTTTCGGCCTCGACTGCGTTGGACATGCCGACATTCAGTCCATTCAGGAGGGTGCTGAGATTGCTGGCAAGATTGTTCTTCTGAGTCGTGGAGGCTGCGGATTCCTCGAAAAGGCCAAGTGGGCTCAGCGGCGTGGCGCGGTCGCTCTTATCGTTGGTGACAACCAGCGTGGCGGGCCTCTGATTCAGATGTTCGCCAAGGGTGACACTTCCAACGTCACGATTCCATCCATCTTTACCTCGCGCACTACTGCGTATCTGCTTTCTCTCATGCTGCAATCTGGCGCAGGTTTCGAAAATGTCATGGATGAGCATGGGAAACTGGCTCTCAAGGGACAGCCACTCGACAAGACCACCAAGAACAAGAAGGGGAAGGAGCAGGGCACTCACTCGGCTGCTTCGGTAGCAACTAGTGGTGGTAAGGGCACAAGTGGCAAGTCTTCGGTCAGCGCGGATAGCACTGCATCCTCTTCCAGCTGGTTCGCTCGTCTCTTCGGCATCGGGACCACTTCCGGTGCTGGCGATGTCGATAACAGACCGCCGAGAAGCGGACGACTGGAGTGGAAGCAAGTCGAGGACTTCAGCGATGAGAACGATACTCCGGCTGCAAAAGGCCGTGCGAAAACTGGCACAGCGGTCAAATCGACGTCGGACCAGGTTACTCCTGACGACTTTCAGATCGGAGTGCAAGACTGGCGCGATCCTGATCTGGTGGGATTCGAGGATGGCGTGGACATCGCCGACAGCAGTCTGCCGAAAACGAAGAAGATCCCCGAGTCCGCAGCGAAACGAGCAGCGGAGGAGAAGCCACGACAAGCGAACAGCATCACGCCCAGCAGCAGCGAATACATTGCAAGCAGCTTTCCAGCCAAGGACCGCGACGCCATTGGCAAGGCTAAGGACAAGACGTCACCTACAACCAAGGAGAGCCCCGGTGGGCTGATCTCGAAGCTTTTTGGCAATCACGACAGTGTTGGCAGCGCTCGTGGCGAAGATCAACCTGCGCCAATCACCACGTCCCCGGCCAACAGACCGGATCAAGGCAGGGGCATGCCGCCGCCGCATCACGAGGGGCTTTGGGTCGTCATTACTCCCTCAAGTGGCGCCAGTCCTTTCTTCGACGCCCTGCTTGTTCATGTGATCAGTGGGGTTCTTGTGATCAGCCCACTGATCACATTGACCGTCGTATATGCGCTGCTGATTCTCCGCGCCCGCATTCGCAGAAGACGCTGGAGAGCACCCAAGTCTGTCGTGGAGAGGCTTCCCGTGCGAACCTATCAAACAGTGGCAAATTCATCGACCCAAAGCTCTCGTGTACCATCCCCTACAAGTTCGTCGCCAACGACACCGCTTCTTCAAAGCACGGAACTGCCACAGCGACCCCGACCTCGGTCTCGAACCACTACTGGTGTTTTGACGGCCGACGAAGTCATGCAAGCTGAGACGGCCCATGCAGTACCCAGCTCTGCGCGGGCAAGAGGAGGGCAGAAGCCGGAGCACGAGAAGCGTGGTAGTCAATGGAAGAAATACATAGGACGTCAGGTTGAGTGTGTTGTTTGTCTTGAAGAATATGTCGATGGCGTCAGCCAAGTCATGAGTCTTCCCTGCGGCCATGAGTTTCATGTGGACTGCATGTAAGTTTTTTCCTGCCTCTTACTCTTGAGATGCTATTTCTTGCTCAAGCTGACGATTTAAACAGCACTCCTTGGCTTACGACTCGGCGACGCACATGCCCCATCTGCAAGGGTGATGTGGTGCGGTCACTCGCCCATGGTTCTTCTTCAAGCCCTCGCTACGAACCATATCGCGACGACAGCGAGGACAACGATGTCTCCTCGCACAACTCGCTACCTAGCTCTGACGCAAGTAGCTCTGACGCAAGTAGCTCTGACGCAAGTAGCTCTGACCCAAATAGCTCTGACGCAAGTAGCTCTGACCCAAGTAGCTCTGACCCAAGTAGCTCTGACGCAAGTAGCTCTGACGCAAGTAGCTCTGACCCAAGTAGCTCTGACCCAAGTAGCTCTGACGCAAGTAGCTCTGACGCAAGTAGCTCTGACCCAAGTAGCTCTGACGCAAGTAGCTCTGACGCAAGTAGCTCTGACGCAAGTGCAGAAGATCGTGAGGATCCCGACGTTGAGCGCGGAGTCAGTTCCTTGACGAGCAATCGGCAGGAGAGCTGGCTGACTATGATCACTGGCATTCTGCGACCGCGTTCGACCCAGCGCAGGGACGATCGTGGCGAACAGGACCGTGATCGGTGATGGCTTGCGCGCATGCGCTGTGGATGGAGACAGCGTTGCTGTGCTCACCACGACCTTGGCTGGCTGTTTGTTTTGGGATAGGTTCTGCATTTCTTTTAGCCCGAGGGCTGGCGCAAGGGTTTATTCATAGCGATTAGGACTCGGTACATAAGATACACCACACCACTTAAGTATTGAATAGGTGGAATGAGCAAAGCCATGGTTTTCAGACGGATGGCGATGTTAATGGCTCAACCTAATTTGTCAATGTCCTGTAGCAAGTGAGGAGCGCCACGAATTCTTTGCTCATATTCCCTTTCTTCGTGTTCACCACTAGGCTTGGGCTTCTGGTGAGCCATTGAGATCTACGAAAGTGACGGCTGCAGTCTTCTGACGCCTGATTTGGTGCAAACTAGATCCTCTCCCGCCATTTCATTGCCCAAAAAAGAGTTTGGATATCCGGGGGCTACATCTCCAAGATACGCATGACCTGGAAACAGCATGCGAAAACTGTTTGCTTCGTACCTGTGGGCAGGCCATAAGGAGAAGCTCAGCCCTGTGAACTTCAGGGCACTAGTCGCACAGCCCCGGAAGACGGCACGCAAGCCATTTGGTCAGCTTTTTCAGCCTTCACTCAGCCACTACTTGCCATGTCTTACCGCGCGCCAGCCCTTCATAACCTGACGACACTTGTCTTCAGCTTTCCAAGCCAGCCATGAGACTGTCATTTGTGTCCTCTCGCAAGACAGAGCTGCTATGCCTCCTCCCCTGCTCCTATGAGACACAAAATCACACGTTCGATCTGAGACCTGCGGAATAGCGGGACAATATCAAGGCTGTACCACGGAGCCTCCCGAAACCGATGCCCTTCGGGGTGCCTTTGCCTGACCATCATTCTCGGCCGGATTGCCCTCCTACTGACCATCATTCACAAGCAGTTTCTGTCCAGTCGGCGCGTGTCTGCCATACAACAGGGGTGAGACGCTCGGGCCATTGGTCCGATTCTGAACCCCAAGTGCGCCATATTGAGATTGGCACTTGGACAGAAACTTACAGTGGGCAGGGATGCTAACCCCTAGGGACCAGCCGTGGCCCCCGGCCAGTCAGGCTACCCCAATTCCCCCATAAGGTTTAGGTAAGTAAAGGAGAGAGCTGGGGTTCACGCGGCAGACCCCAGGCGGGAAAAAGAAGAGTGAGAGCCACGCGACAACGCGTTGTCGCAGGTCGTGCACAGGGAAGAGAAAAGGAGAGTTCATTATTAGGCTAGATAGATAGATAGATAGATAGATAGATAGATAGATAGATAGATATGAGAAAGACGTTGAAACTTACAACCATACCTCATTTACGGTGTGTGAGCTCTACTGTATAGCAGTAACTAAGGCACTACTAACAGACCCATCCAGACGCGAAACGCGGCAGCGACTGTAGCGAGACCAGGCACCGCAGCCGGGCAACGTCAGGAAGCAGAGATGGAAGACTACGACGACGACGCCGGAGCAGCCCCACCGGAAATCAACGTGTATCTCCACGAGGAGTCGCGCGTTCTGATATGCTCAGTATGTAAGGCTGGCATCCAGCCCGGGCCCGGCATTGAGTCCCACTTCCGGCGGAGGCACGGCGCAAAGGGTGCTGTTCTGCAGCGGATCCGGGAGAAGGCCACGACAGCCGCCGCAGCGGCAGGTGGGCTGGCGGACCCACAGACAGCGGAGACACCGGCAGATAGAACGTCGCCCATCCCAGAGCTACAGGTGCAGGCCGGGTTCAGCTGCACAGCATGCCGTTTCTTGACAACAAACGAGATGGTAATCCGGCAGCACTGGACAGGCAGGAGGTCCGAGGTGGACGACGGCCATGGCTGCTATGAGCGCTCAAAGGAAAACTGGACAGCTGTAGCACTCCAGTCTTTCTCCGGAGCGAGGCGGCTTACACGGTACTGGATTGTCGACAATACTACTCCGCTACAACGAGTAACCACAGGAGAGGAGACTACGACTAGGGGAGAGGCTATACCGGATGCAGGGTGGGAGCTACAGCTTCGCAAGTACGAAGCGACAGTTAAAGCAAAGGCAGAAGAGCGGCAACGTATGATCGACGAGGAGACGGGGGTCGATTCTGAGTCGCCGTGGGTCCGGAAGATAGGCTGGACTGTACATCTAGCAGGGCTGGACATGGCTGAGCTTCGAAGGGCCGCCCAGCCAGGTCTGACTCCGAGGGAACTGGCTAGGCTAGGATGGGCAGCAAGGAGAGGCCGAGAAGAGGAGGAGGCGATGTTTGTGCGACTAGGCCAGTTTCGACCGGACGATTTCTCGATGCGAGCAGCGGATCGGGCAGGTTCCCGCCGAGACGCTCTGCTGGCTAGCGAGCCGCGATCCAGAACGTCCAGCTCCACAGCCATTTGAGCTAAAGCAAGAGGCGCGGACAAGAGAGCGGTATCGCGCGTACTGGAGACAGTATCTCTGCTACTGTGTCCGAGCGTATCGTCTCGGCCGGTCAGAAGCGAGGACGAAGCGCCATATTCGACTCAGCGATGCGCAGTGGCTGGCTCTTGCGAATCTAGTCGACGCGCTGAGCACTAGCGCGAGTGAGAGAGGTGGAGTGCTTATAGCTCCCGGAAGTACAGAGCAGGACGAGGACTTGGATGCACGAGTCTTCACATTTTGCATCTCGTCACTCACACAACAGGTCATTATAGACCAGTTCAAAAACCCGCTTCTACACTTCACTGCTGTGTTAGCTATCGACCCCGTGCGGGCGAAGTGGAGGGCTCCCGGCGAGTTCACGGGAACACTAGCCGGGCTGGCGTGGTGTAGTCGCGTGCTACTACTAGAGCATCTGTTTGGTCATATCCCAATTCAGCAGGAAGTAGTGGCAGAAGGCCATAGCAGCGAGGGGAGTGGGCTGGACGAGGCTGAGGCGGATCAGGAAGCGCAGGAGAGCATATGCGCCGAGGATCTCGACACGTTCCGAGACGGGTACCGGCGCTGGATTGCGGACGGCTCGTACAGCCCGTTTAGCACGATTACGAGATGGATGACGCTCGGGAAGGGATTTCGCCACAAGGAGGGAGGCACGGCGAGGATCATGTGGGAGGACGGCAAGCGAGCACTCAGCTATCTCGGTCAGCGCATCGAGGTCCAGGAATTCCGCAATATGGCGCAGAAGCTAGTCTCCGAGCTCGAGACCGGCTTGGATGAGCTGGTTTACGGCGAAGGAGGGGCGCTACTCGGCCAGGTCAATCTCACAAAGATCTACGACAGCATGATGTTCGAGGGTCACAACAGCTCATTCGCCACGAACCCCAGGAACGCATGGCTGCAGGCGGGGCCCCGGGTAGTCGCGAGACTTGTTAAAGCGGAGCTGTGGTCGCAGCAGAGGATACAGTACCACCATGAGAAGTCGCGAAAGTGGCTTGGATGGCTAGCTACGCTGAAAGGCAAGCTTCTGCTGGCTACTCATATATGGAGTGGGCAGCCCGGACGAGGACCCGAGATTACAAGCGTCCGGTATTGTGATACAAAGCAGCTGCCGCGGAGCGTGTACATACACGACGGGCAGGTAATGCTTATCACCGACCGGGACAAGGCTAAGGCGATCCGCGGCTACGGGCGCAAAATTGCCCGTTTTCTTCCCGAGCGGGTCGGCAGGCTGCTCGTGGTGTTCATCGCTTGGCTTATGCCGTTTGAGAAACTGCTTCTCACGCAGACGGGAGGGCGACTTCCGTCGGATAGTCGTGCCTGAAGCGACACTGCCCTGTCCCAGAGCCACACGTGTGATAGGTTTCGCATTGTTTTCGATGCGAACATGTCGCCATGGGCGGTGAATAATAACTTGGCTTGTATGTGATCTCCTCTTCCAATCTCGCGGCATTTATGTAGTACACAACCGCAGACTCGGATACCGACCAGAAGCAGCAAACTACTCTAAAGTATAGCAAGCGGGCTGATCGGTATGGCGTCGTTGCTCATAAATAGATGGTTATGCCGCTACGACTATTCACGGCCATAATGAGTCGAGTTGGCGCTGCGCTTGCTACAAGTAGGTCATTAGCCTTCCTTCCTAGACCATTCCTCCATGTGATTTTCGAACTAACTCGTCCACCCAATCATCACAACATTGCGAATCACCTCGGGCACCCTGAGCAACAAAACCATGATCATCCAGGCAACGAACACGGAGCGCGACTTGGTCTTGAATCCATTCGACCTTCTAGTCCCCGGAGGCGGCGTGGGTCCTTTCGACGGCTGCAGAGAGCAGTACGGCGGGCCCTTCCCTGGCCAGCAGTACGGCGGCGTCTCGTCGCGGTCCGAGTGCGACAGCTCCAGCATGCCCGCAATATTGAAGGACAGGTGCTACTGGCGATTCGACTGGTTCATGAACGCGGACAACCCGACCGTGAGCTTCAAGCAGGTCAAGTGGCCGAATCAGCTGACCGCAATCTCAGGGTGCATCAGGGACGATAATTTGATGCTTTCAAATCCTTGAGATGGTAACAGGTTGGAGTAGTGTTGAAGCTCCCAGCGAAGGGTAAGAGAATGGCGCCGTTACTCTGACTGAAGATACAGTTTCCAAGAATAGGCATAGCCTTGACGCTTGCACGCCGGACAAACGATGAGCTGATTGGGCTGACTCTAACGATTTGGTGTTCGCACGCCACGTTAGCTGTGTTTGCAGAGGCATGCCGGATCTTGACCGTTTTGGATTGGCTGGAGCCGATTTACCGACCATCCGCCGAGATGGCATACGAGTGATATCTGATGAGATTCGAGCTTCTTTGTTTTGTTCATTGTGGCGACGAGGCAGGCAAGACTGCCGTCAATGAAACTAGAGGCTAGGGGATTCTGGAGGCGCGGCCGGACCGTAGGCCAAGTATTATATTCACCATCGCAGGTTCTTCTCTCATACAAGTTGTTGATCTTTCGCCAACATTACTGGGAGAAAACGTCGCGTGTGTCCTACAAAAAGATTATTATTATTTATAGTACGCGTGACCCGCTAGTCAAGCAGGTTTAGCAGAGCTACGAGTCTATCGTGTAATAAAACGTGTCGTCAGGCTGGACTAAAGATACACGCTGCGTTTTGTCCGCGCCTATGCGGCGTCTACCCTCCATGCTCTAGTCTCATGCAAAATGAATGGGCTCTTCACCAGCCAAACCTTGTCAAGAGAGGAAGGAGAGGATGCCCGTCCACCCTGCCTCCCACGGGGAAATGCCCATCATGCGGGTCGTGCACATTGGGTGGGCTATGCATGGGCGCTCCGCCAGCGCTGCACAGTCTGCCTAATGTTCGTGATGCCTCATTCTGGTATCCGGGGCAACTGGTGCAGCACCTGGCCGTAGGTCGGCCTCATTGCTGCGTTCATCGTCTGTCTCTTTCCCTCCTTCTGCAAGCCCGTCATCAACTCATAAGTGCCCTTTCGGTGACGGCGACGCTGTCGTTGCCATCGGCGCGTTTGCGCACCTTGACACTGACTCTCACGAAGCGCAGCAACAGCAGCAGCACAGCAACGACGACAACGATGGTTAAGTCGTCGACTCCGACCTTGCCGTGCCTTCACTAACCCAATGTTTATGAAAGCTGCCGCGGCCGAAGAGGCTTCAGCAGCAAAAGCAGCAGCACCGCTGCCTGAAGACCATCCATACGACACGACCCCCACAGCAAGCTGAAGGATAGTCGATCTCTCAGAGCCGAGTTGGAAGCATCTGAAGGCTCGGCCACATTGACCAAGATAACCACGCCTCTTTCGTCCGAGAAAGGATATCTCGCAATGCAGTGGTCCACGGACGGCTATCTCTGATGCTGGCGAGCATGCACCCACTCCTGCTACTGACTCAACTTGGCTGCTTCAGGTGCACGCATCCTAGTCACATTCGACGTACGAATGGAAACGAAAATACAGAAGTCGGAGTTTCTTACAGTCACCTAGGAGTGGCTGGTCGCAGCATCTACGTTGAAGGCTCCACACTAAGAATGCGAACTCCGTACAGAGCAACACGCGTCTTTGGTGCTTTCTGCGACGTGAGATTATGGGTTGCTATCGGGTTGCAGTAACGAAGTTAGTTGTTGTTCCAGCCCTGAACGCTGGCGTAAACCTGTTATAGAACTTCAGTCCTATCTGGTTATACAGCATGATTACGCCAACCATTCGTTTCCGAAAGCTGACAGCCATTGCCAGAATCGGTAAAAGGACCGCCGCATCTAAACTAGACCTGAGGGATATTCCCCCAGAGGGGTGAGTACTGGAGGTTCCTGATGGCGAACCCACTGGAGTTCCTGGAGTTTTGGAAGGTTGCAGGATACTTCAATTTTGGGGCTGGCGGCCAGGAAGGGGATATCTCTTTCATTGCAGAACAGAACATTTGATTTACATGTTAGTCGGAGAATTTCCATATGGTGAAGTCATCTTACTGTCTTCTGAACGTCGCTCTCGTCTCCGACAAGCACTATCGAGGCGAGGCAGTAGGGAGCACGAATGGCCCTCTAAATTGCTACATGAACGTCCACTTAACTCTAACCATCACTGGATGGAACCATAGCAGCACATGGGCATGGGGAGTACCGAGGTGCACAGCGGTTGCTGTGGGCCCGACACAGGGCAGTGGCGGCCATAGGCCCCTTCGTTTCTTGCTTACCGCCTCAACAGCAGCACCAGCAGGAGCTGGCCTTCTTCGAGCCCGCGTCGCCCAGGTTGAGGGTAAGGCGAGTCGAGCGCATGTAGCGCATATCATTAGAAAGTCCGCCTGATTGCAGCTGACAACCGTCAGCCCTCTCTCAGCAATCACAATAAGTTGCTGCTGCTCTTTGACTTAGCCCATGGGAGACGCAGAATGCCAAGGTCAAAGAAGGCCAAGGTCCAGGAGCTCACTGCGCTAAAGCTTGTTCGAGCGTATGGCTCCATTAGCCCTGCAGTGACCACCGACGTCCAGTCCCGGTACAAGGTCGGCGCCAACCTTCACTTTGACGATATGTCATTTTGTCCACACCCTGGCGCCCACCGCCGTAGCATAACCGACGACGCGCCTTACACGGGGCCCGTCAATCTACGCCACCAGAGACCTCTCTGACGCCGCTAACGTCCCCGTTGGTGTCATTAAGCTCTTTCACAGGCGTAGCGATTGTGTGCTGGAACACCCTAGCGGTTTATAAAGCTCTCGAAAGCCTCGTCACTTAATTCCCTTTCTAGGGGTATGAATCCTGGCCACGCACCGGCTGCCTTGTTATTTGGTTTATATATTTATCGACTACCCTGACTCACCCTCACTCACCACCCTCACTCACTCGTGGTCAGACCTGAAATGTGTCCTCCTAACACAGTTGTCCAAGCGAGGTTGAAGCTGTGGATGATCCTCTCGAGCTGAGGCACGCCCAGCCAACGAGTGCTGAAGAAGCCAACACATCCGCGACGGCAAGTGGCAATCAATCCTCAGTATGCGCAAGGATAGCCAGACGCCGTGGACACAACTGTACACCCATGGCTTCAGTCCTGGTTGATGGCAATGATCCTGGTTACAATGAGATGACAATCTCGACGCCGACCCTTTGCTGAAGACTTATAGGAAACAACTCAGCACGCCATACGCCGAGACAAGTCAGGGTTGGACTGCGGTGGGCGTTCTGAATGAAATGGGCAATACAGGTAGCTTGGTTCTCCTCTTCTTTGCACAGATCACCGATCATACTTCCAGCATCTGCGATTCTCGCAGCAAGAGTACAGACTCAGGGAGCCTCAACACGAGAAATTGCCACTCTTCGTTGGCGATCCGGATATCAGCACCAATACGCTGAGGGAAACGATGACGGGGCGGTGAGGCATGCCGGCAAGCTTCGGGGTTGGTAGCTCTAGCGGTTAACTCAGCGATGTCATAGGGGTTGGAGGGGTAATCTACGCTAGCGTAAGTACTGCGTGGGAACCCAAGTGACTGAGGGGCCCCAGCCTTAGGGCGGGGCCCTCACGCTCCTCCTTGCAAGCTTAAGGATGTATGGGCCGAAAGACTGCGACGCTCGGATGCTGGGCCACCTTATCCGCGGCCTGTACACGCACAACCTCTGGCCTATTCCGGACACTGCCCCAATCCAACTCTCGCCCAGCGCACTCGCCAAAGTCGTCGCCGACCTAGGCATAGTGGTCGAGGGAAGGAACGGCGCGGGTCTCTTCGGGTCGTTGTCGGACCATTCCCAGTGCCGCGAAATCCCCCCTCGCACGGCTGCAACCCCAGCTGGCACGGAAGCCTACAGTCCCAGCTATGCCTACACTCCGAGCACCGAGGAGACAGCCTACAGGAGCCGCCAAGCCGTGCTGATGGGCACGACCGCACTCAAGTGCAGCACTGGGCAAGCGAGCGCCCAAACGCTGTTCCCCTGTTAGGGACTCTTTTGTTTCTACCATGTAAAAAAGAAGGCTGTTTAGACGAGCCCTCGTCCTTCTAAATAAGATCGTTGGTTGAAACTGTGGAACACGGAGGAGGGCTTCTGCCTGCCCGCTACTACTGACTCTCCTTCTCGCCTGCCACGGAACGCCAGTCCGGGCTGAAAGAGAGTCGTGCAGTTGCCCTGTCAGCACGGGTTGGCATTCCCACTTGGGCTCCGTCACAGCGATGCAGTCCCAGTGTCTGTTGCGACTCCTCCTGTTGTGATCCGTTGCGGATCTAACGTGCTCCTCCTCCTTCTGGGGCGCGTGGATTACAGTTCTTGCACGGTGGAGAGGACATGCTCGAAGATATTTTTGCTGGAGCTTTCTTGTAGTTACCCCATTCTGTTTGGAGTGTGAAAAATAAAAATGGTCAATGTCTTTGATAACTCTGAATGCTTGGCAATGGCAATGATCATGGTGCTGTGCGTAAGCTCTTCCTAGATAACATTGCGCATTTGCGGCTGCGGTTTCCATGTCAGTACTGCGGCAGCCTCGCGTAGCATGACCATGCGGCTGCGCTGGAGGACTCACGCCCAGCTCCACTTCAGTAAAGTTGCACTCTCAGATTCTTGCCGCCGGTAACGAACCGCCGAGTACAGTGTTCACCCTGCCCGAGAACGCGTTGCATGACCTCCAGGCATGGTCCGGCAACGGGACGAATCCCAGAAGCAGCGAGGAGGACAGGGTCCTATGCGACTAGCTACAAGGTCCACGCCTTTCACCCCACATCGAGACGCCCAAGCTGGACGAGTCGCTCGGCGCGTTTTACGATCGCCAACGTAGGGCGTAGCAGTCCGGGCTGGGAACGTTGCGCAGACCCTCGTAGCGCATTGCGGTCAGCAGTGACTGTGTGCCGTGTCAGCCGAGGCTTTGTGTCTATCTCTGACTCATTCAACCAGGCTGCTCCATCATTGTCTATGCCAGCACCCACAAGCCTGCCTCAGATACTGACCTTGTTGTCCACCATCAGCGAAAGCGGTGCAATCCACACGCCTAGGAGTTGGCCATCGTCTCTGAAGACGATTGCCAAATCGACGTACGAGGGTAGCTATTTTGGAGGTCAGCTGCACGGCTCTTGCAAAGAGGTAGTTCGCTCCCAGGATGCTCGTGGTTGGCGAGTTGTAGATCCAAACCAACTTGGCGGACCATATGGCCTCGTGTCAGAAATCTATCGATTTATTGTATAAGAACATACGCAGGCTCATGACGGGCAAAGTGGCGGATATCTACCAGCTCCCATCGGCCTCCCTGATGCTCTTTCTGGGGCAGCCTATCCGCAACAACCGGGTGCGTGCGAGTGACGACTGGGAGGGAATTCTTATAGAGTATGCGGTGATGTTGACAAGACCGCAACGAGCGCAGAAACTCGTCAACGCTCAAAGAAGCGCTTTGGTAAAGGAGCTCCAGAACGACGGTCATACTAATTGAGAACCAGCCAAATAGCCCGAATGGCTGCTCCTTGAGATCGAGGGCGCCGTTCTCATTCGCGACGTTCGGGCCGACCTCGCCACACGCATGCAGAGCCCTGTCCATGGCAGGGTCGCCGTCATGCAATTGAACACGGGCGAGGGCAAATCCTCCGTCATCGTGCCTATACTCATTACCTCGCTCGCAGACGGCGACAAGCTCATGCGCGTGCTCGTGGCCAAGCCGCAGAGCAAGCAGATGGCCCACATGCTTGCTTATCTCGAAACTCGGCGGGCTCGTTGATCATCAGGTCTTCCATCTCCCATTCTCCCGCGCAATCAAGGTCAGCTAGGCCGAGCTCGCCGTCATCGACAAACTCTTATCTCGCTGCCGTGCGGAGGGTGGTGTGCTTCTTGTACAGCCTAAACACATCTTGTCCTTCCAGCTGATGGGCATCGAGCATAAGACAAGCTGCAAGAATGACACGGCCGATCGAATTCTGCAATTGCACGAATACATGCGTAGGCACAGCCGCGACGTGGTTGACGAGAGCGATGAGAACTTTAGTCCCAGATTCGAGCTCGTCTACTCACTCGGTCAGCCGCAGGCGATCGACCACAGCCCGGAGCGCTGGACCTGCATCCGGGAAGTCCTCAATCTAGTCCGGAAATGCCTGCCCGAGGTCCAGCATGACTTCCCCATGGAGTTGACATCCTCCCGGGATCTGAAGGTTGCTTTCCACATGCGCGACTAGTCGAGCCGAGGGCTGCAGACAAGCTGCTCGACATGCTTGCCGATCGGGTGTGCCAACACGGTATCAAGGGTTTCCCCACCGCCCAGGCTACTCCAAATCTTCACGAGTACATCAGAAACCCTGCGGCACCTGACGACATCATAAGTCGTGTGGAGCAGGCTCTTCCGCTGGTTTCTCGGCGGAGACTACTAAGAACACGCTGCTTCTTCTCCGCGACCTCATCGCGAACGGCACCCTCACTTTCACATTTGGACACAAGCGGTGGAGGATTGACTATGGTTTAGATACTACCAGATCACCGCCAGCCAGACTGATCGTGTCTTACCACGCCAAAGACCACCCCTTTGCCCGTTCCGAGGTTAGCCATCCGGATGTGAGCTACTGCAACGAGGGCTTGAATGACAGGGAACCCAATAACGCGCTGTCCCCTCTCGACCACTCCGGCCAGCGCGTCAACGAGTACGCGACCTGGACCAAGGACGTCAAAGCTACTGAGTGCACTAGGCATCTTGACGGCGTGAACTTGAAGGGACAGACCTCCGTGCCAACAAGCTCTTCCCGTGCTTCAGGCACTCTAAGGCACTCAGTCTGGAAGTACCTGTGCCGACAGGTCGCCTGGCCAACCAAACTTATTAGTCCAGTCACATGTATACTCCGGTAACATCTGCGATTAACAAACAATTGATGTTGTGCAATACTAACAAATGCTCCACGTGGCATGGAGAGCCATACAACCTCCTCCTCCTTCTTTGGTATCATTGCGCCAGTGTATATCCATGTCAACATGGCCTGCCATTTATCAAAAATCTTCCTCATTCACCCCCCCTACTTGCCCGCAATCTCCACCTCCACCGTCCTGGTCTCCCGGGCCAGATCGTCCGCGACCTCGTCCATCATCTGGCTCGCACTGTCAATATCCTCCATCGTCTTCTCCAGCAGCTGCATCAGCGACTCCACCTCGACCCTCTGCCTCTGCACCCCGTCGAAGAGCCTGGCATTGTGTGCCTGCACAGTTTGTAGCTTCGCGTTGAGCTGTGACTGCTGCTGCTTCAGATGCGGCGCCAGATGCGCGGCAAACACCTGCTCGGCGGGGAGCGTATGTGGCCTGCAATCATAAAAGGTCAGTCAAAGTACGTTGCCAGAGAAGTGCGAGGTCATAGTCGGAGCTTACGGGACAGGCGCCTCATCTATGCCCTGCATGCCAGCCTCGTCTTTCCGCCTCGACGCTTCGCTGATCAGGCTTTCCAACTCGTTGAGTTTGGGGACGACCTGCCGCTGCTCAAAGATGGACTGGAATTCCCTCTGCCAAACGCATTCATTTTTTAGCATGGAGCAAACCGAGATGAGAAGTGAGCACGGGAAACTCACCCTGCAAAGCGTCCCCAACCTCTCAACCATCTGCTTCTGCACCGCCTTGAGCGTCGCGGGCGCCTGCGTCGCTATCGTCGGGTAGCATGCCGCAAGGTTGTCCCAGCTGACTTTCTTCAGCGTCGACTCGAGCGACTTGTCCAGCAGGTTCTGGAATCCGGCGGCGCGTGGGCCCGGCGTGAGCTGAACATGGCGGGTTGGCAGCGGCTGCGGCGCCGGCGGTTGCTGCTGCGGTTGTTGTTGTGGTTGTGATGACGGCTCTCGTGGTGCTGATCGCCGTTGTGAGGTGTGCTGGGCGAGATTTGTTGTGGTGGTGGTGGAGTGGTCCGCCGACGCCATGTGTAGGTCCTCTGTTGTGGCCTTATCGATTGCACAAATCTAGACTTCTCTGGGCGATTGCGCAGGTGAGGTCGAAATCCACTCTCACGAGGCACGCGTGGTGATTCACCTCAGTGAGCTTGTAAACGCGTGATCTAGACTCTGATGTGGAATCGACTGTTTCCTGTGCTGATGCACGCATAAAATTGTTTCAGGAAAATGCCCGTTGGGCAAGTTGGTAGTGTGCTTTGCGATCTGTATCAGTGCTGCTGCATGGAATACCTTGAAGACGACAAGGATCAATCAACATTGGAGGCGTGGTTGATGCGCGTCTGTTTGCTCAATCGACCATTGACCCTCCCGAGCTGTAATCCGTACATGCATCGGATTTAACAAGAATGCCCCGCAGTACACCATTTTCCGGCCAATTACATACCAGCATTGCATTACGTCAGCCACGGCCGGGGAAAGCGCTCAGAAAAGGCTGGATTGTGTCAACTCACACCGACTCCATTGCGACGAAACTGAGAGACTACGACGGTGGTTAAGGGAGGAACAGAAGCGTGCAGACGAGGCCGTTCGCGAGCGGGACGAGCAAAAGCGTCGTGCCGAGGACGAACGGCGCGCTGCAGAGCGCGAACAGCAACGCGCAGAGGAAGCTGAATCCCAGTCACAGCCGACGACACTCACCGAACATCTGTTCGAGCTCCTCCAATCGAATCAAGCCATTCTATCACAGCGGCCTGGGAATGATCCCCAACAACGAGAATGTCCAGGTCGGGGTTAAAGAACAGAGGGGACCCATGGTTTTTCAGACGTCGGATATCGCAATAGACCTCCTGTGCAAGTTTGCGCGGACAGACCCAAAGCAAATATCTGGTGCTTGGTTCGTGTACGCTTGATTTGTCATCGAAAAGCACATATCGTGTCACAAGGGACTGCTTCCATATCATGATGCGAATCTCGGTGGGAAGATGCGAGAACCTCTCGAAAGGAGCCATCACGGCTTCTGAGAACGTGACGCTTGTCGAGATGGCAGGTCATAAGAATCCAGAAAATGTGTCGCAGAAGTGCGTGAGCATTCTGTGTGCACACTATCAAGTAGCATGTGCGCCTGACCCGCTGAGGTCAAAACTTCGAACAGAAGCCTAGCAGTGTTTAGCGAATGAGCAGTCCATTTAGCGATAGACAAGGCCTAAATCTAGCTAGAACTCAATGGTGGGGTAGGACGAACCTCACTTGATTGAATGGGAAGACGTCGCATGGAGGATTCAGGCCATCTACCGAACAAGCTACGTTTCGACCGCGCAATAGACGCGACGGCGACCGCGACGGCGACCGCGAGCCCTGATTCTTCCAACTCCGCCACCTCGTACGCCTTCGCAAGGCAGATGATCAGGGAGATGTCGAGGAGAGATCAGGTCCCGGCCGAGCCGAGCGTGGCGCTCAAGCGGGTATCCGCAGAAGTGAAGGGACCATCCCGGAAGCAGAATGTGACCAGTAGACTTACGATGCCGTGCTCAGAGACGTGCCACGGTGTCACGGCCGCCGGCTTATGCTGCCAGATAACATCGTGATGTCGATCGATGGCCATACTGTTTTCACCGTCGTCCTCCGAGGTCAACATATCGACCAGCGTCAGTTGCGATCACTGACGACGACCTTTTCGATCTGCCCGACAACAAATGTGGTCGCCATGCACACGGACGGCGAAGCCAGGATGCCTGTACCCAGGAATGTCTGCTTGTGGGACGCACGGCGCCAAGGTCGCCTCTGCAATTATGGACCACTTCCATACACGCAGCTTGGGCGACATCCTGCCTAGTAAACTGGATCTCTCTAGCTTGGTGGATGCCTTAACCGCAGAGCTCGATATAATCTCTCTGCCGTCGTCGTCGAAGCAGGCGAGCCAGATACTCCTTCCGGTACAATGGAGCACATTCTTCAAGAGACGGACAGTGAAGATGTCGCGTGCTGACCTCCACAGTGATCGTGGAGAACGAGGCCACCAGGACGACTTCTTTTTCGAACCAAGAATATCACTAATCGTGCAAGGGAGAAGGATGGGAGTGGGACGAGCCGACTGACAGTGCTCACGTCAGGCAAAAGACAAAGGCAGTCATGCACGCTGGACGTCGCCACGATTAGATAAAGTGTCGGCTGAGTCGTCAGTCGCTAAGACTCGGAACTGTGCTGTGATAAGTACAACATGCGCAGTAGCCACCAGTTGCGTTACGCGTCACGAACATGGTTTACGGCAAACCCAACCATCAACAGAGATAAAATAGTTACAAGACTTAAGTAGTGGGAGGATATTACCTACATTCCTCAACAGAATCCCAGCGCACAGTCAGAACGTTGACCGTGAAGGCTGAATCCTAACAGGGAGATAAGGCGTAGAGTGTCAGGGGTCGACTTCAGGGACAGTGAGGTGCAGATATCAATATCCACACTTCAGCACAACTCTTATTCGGTCAGCTTACAATATTTCGTTTCGATCGAGGAGGAAAGAGCTCTAGGACCTCATCAGGCTCCCTCAAAACTGATATACGAAGCGCAAGGGATTTTGAGCAGTCTGCCCAGAATGAAGATGTCCGTAAAAGAAAGCCCCCACTTTCGCAGTGTTTATTTACCAATATCATCTTGTAGTTCGCTAGACACGCCTCACCGAGGAAAGTCTTACCCGGTGACCATTTATTGGTCAGGCGGTGATGGTCGCACCTGCTTCAAAAGTGGCTCATCCACTTTGGGCGAATGAGTGAGCGCCAACACGATGAGCAGGGACGGCTTCGGCATTCGCTTCCACGCTGCCAGTGAAGCTATTACGGCAATGTGGATGCCGATGTGGTGGTGGCATCGAGGATGCCACGACAAGAACTACCCTCGGCCAGACTGAGGCATCCCGCAACCCGATCAACGAGGAGCTTACGACCACAATAGACGCCGATAAGAACGATATTGCTGAGCTGGGCTTATCAGATGAGAGCTGCCGGCGTGCTCAAGGCACGGCGATCTCTGCGAGGATTTGTACGAGGCCACTGGTGACGGTCACGGCAGTCCTTGCGGACCCAGTGGCGATGAGGGCAACCGGTAACACACGATACACGGCTATCGACGCTACGACAAGCTACGAAGTCACCCTCCTCAAGGCCACAGAATCCCAGAGTCCTAACTTGGACGATCGCGGTAGTACTATTGGTCAAGTCGGAAGAGTTCAAAGCGGCCTCGCTTCATAAGGCACCCCGAGGCAGTAGCCAAGTCCGACGAAGGACGCCCGAAGAGACAGCGAGCCGGGCCTCAGCCACAATCTGATACCACGCCGATGCACAAGAAGCAACCAGATCCAGACAGACCGAGCGGATCAGCGACTGAAACAGGAAGCTCACTGATGACAAGGGCATGCGGACAAGAATCCTCACAATCTCGAATCCGCAATCATACAACACGAAGATGGCGGAGCAACCCCGTGCGCAATCAACGCAGGCAACGCCACAAGCTGCAAAGTGGATCCAGACGAAAGTTGTATGGGTTTCGGAAGACCTTGAGTCCAGGTGTCACGCGTACGTCAAGGAGCTGCAGCGTCACTTTCGCGACCTGTGGAGTTATTGCCAAGACTTCAACGAGCTCCGGTGCGCTAGGAGTCAAGCTAGTAATATGTTCACAGACTGTTCCTTCTGCACTTTCAAGGTGTGCAGCATGATCTTCGACACAGGGTGCCTTCAAGCTTCAGAGATTCGAGCTCGCTTTGCTTCTAAAGTTCCCGAGCAGGCAGCAAGCAGCACATGTTCAGGAAGAGGCGCGACTTAACACACCTTGGCCGCATGGGAGAAATGGCCAGCCGACACCACAAGATCTTGCGGCGCATCTCAAGCCCTCATGGAGAGAGATGAGGGAGAATAGTCGGCACGCACAAGGCGCGCGGGTTGAGAACAACATCATCCTCACCAATCTTGCGACCTGCTGGAGGGAACCACATTTGAACTGGATACCATCAGCAACTTCAGACGCAAGTATATGGCCGAGCTCAACCTTCCCGTCGGTGACAAAACCAAGAACGTCATCCTGGCCCGCAGGATTTGTGTGCACTATGAAACAGCCAACCCGCAATACAGGAAGTAGGCGTCGGAAGGAGATCAGAGCAAGACACAAAACTGTAACACGATCACCACCCGTGACCTGGACGACGGCACGGCGTCCTGGCGTATGATATACCTAACTTAACGAGCTAACAATACGAACGGCTCGTCACGAGATATGTATGGCGCAAAGCTCAAAGTACAGCTGCCATCAGCGCTGATCAACCTTGCGTGAGGTAAGGATGTTGCTGAGTTGATCATTGATCATACTAAAACGCCTTGCTCGGCTGTGGGAAGATGCTTCCGATAAATATCACCCAAGCGACAAGTATTTCCCGAGCGCCGGACGCTCTGAGACGGCAGAGGACTACGACACAATATAAGGGACCTTACTCGAGTCACATTACCATTAGCGGATTGAACTCCATCACCATATTTCCATCCAGGACCCATGCTTGGGCGCCGTTGAATAGAGCCATCAGGGACAATAAGTTTGGTAAGAAAATGCTATGGAAGTGACGAAATGAATTCCGAAGATCCTAGCCGAGCATTCAGGCGTACCTGTGTATCCAACAAGTCCCTTTACATGGCTTGCTAATTGACGCAAATGTGAATGAAGCAAAAATGTAGACAAGGTGTGCTCCTGCACGTCTCAAATGGCGCATCACGTCTTCAGTGCGTGACGTCGACTTAGCCCGTTCGTTCAAGTTTCTCGGCCAAACCCTTCAGCAATTCGTTGAGGAGCTCCAGCTCGACCTTGAATCTCTCGCGTCTTTTCGAGTCGGTCTCTTTACTACCAATAGCCTTCTTCAAGAGGTTGGTGATAGTACAGAGATCTTTGAAAGTCTCCCCGTAAACCCGTTGGTCTTTGATCGCATCGGGTTCTACTGAGTCAGGTTCGAGCCTACGGCGCGTTAGCTTCTACTTCGTACTGCTTCATTAGAGGATATTGACTAACTCCGCGCTCTACCACATATGCTAATGCAACATCATCCCCACCATTGGTGTTGTCAGAGGCGATAAAGTTAAGGCAACACAGCATGGCGTAGGTCAGTGCGCCGGCAAGAATCTTGGGAGGACGGTCGGTCTTGTTCCATAGTGGAATCTCGAGTATGGTGTCAATCTTCTTAAGGAGTTGATAGTTCCCTGGGCGCTTCGTGCTGAGGTGTGGTTCCAGCGCCAGGAATCCCATCAGTGCTAATTGCCTGGTGTCCTCCATTATGATGCAAGAAGGTATGGCATCGCTCAAAGGTCCAGGTCTACATCTCTCTCTATTTCTACACTACTCATATCTATTCTGCGCCACAGTACCTCTGCGCTGTACTCTCGCTCGCTGACCGACCCTGGTCTGATACCGCTGTATCAGCCCCGATCGTGTACTTTTACGGTGGCCGTGCGAGTGCGGGGTTGGAGAACTCTAAGAGTGGTAGTGCCCCCCCCCCCCTAGGTAGCTCAGCTCGCGAAGCCGACCGGTAGACAAACGACGACCGATCGGCCGCCGCGCGACCTCTATAGGCTATGTTCGGAGACGCAAAAGTCAATAATGCGTGGATGCCCATGATGCCAAGTAGTGCGTGTGGAATGACTCGCTTTTCAGGATCTCCGCGCTGCCCGTGCGTGTATATAAATGCCGTACGGGCACCGAGCGGATCTGTCGCTGCCCGTGCGTGTATATTTGTTGCGCAAGGCTCTAGGTGCGAAGTTATTTCCCTCATTTCTCCGCAATCTCTACTCTTCTGTGCTGGCATGCGCTCGATGCTCCAAGGGGTCTACACATCTTAGCACAAGATGCAGGTCTTTATCAAGACATGTAAGTCTCCCGTGGACCCTTCAGGAATGCAAAAGCACTGGAAAGCAGAGAGGCTAACCCAATCTCGGTAGTGATGGGTAAAACCATCACTCTCGAAGTGGACCGTTCCGATACAGTCGAAAGGGTGATTCAGAAGATAAGAGAGCATGAAGGAGACCCAAGAATCGATGGGCGACTTATATACGGCGGCAAACAACTGACCGAGGGCCGGACCTTGAGCGACTATGATATCGGCAAGGAGGCATCTATCCACTTAATGCGCCTGAACCCGGCTTCGTCAGAGGAGTCAAAACCACCAGAAAGCGTCGTTCCAGCCGAAGCATCGTTCCTAACCGACGAGGAGGCATATCAGACTGTCAGAAAGTGGCAAGAGCTCGCGGGGAAGGGCGACTTTGATGCGGATACCCACATTGTCGCTCCAGAGGCCCATTTTGCAGCCCTACAAAGGAGCTGGTCTACCAACGCCCACACGATTCAACGGGACAGCACAAGGTCATCCTCAGGGCATCGCGGGCGAGCTTTGGAGGAATGACATGTCCACGGAATCGTAAGCTGCTCACCGCTGTGGCTGACCGCAGCACAAACGCGCTCGGCGTGCTTGAGAATTTGTCGCCTACACAAGAGGCACTGTCACAGCTGGAACTTGAGGCTATCCTGCGAGAAGATCTGGAAAATCTGGACAGAGAGGAGGATCGGCAGGCGATCTGCTAGCTTTTTCTTCAATGTGTATTTCTATCTGCCTTGCGACGAGCTGCCATGAATCAACTTTCCGATACGCCTGGGAATGGCCAAACATCCAAAGGGGCGATTTAGCACTGGCTGTCAGTTCGGTTGTGCACCGTTAGAGCCTGCCAGTCCCAGCCAGACGATCCAGGAGTTGAAACCACGCTGAAATTGCCAGGCTGCTAGTGTATATACCACAGTCCTTTGTACTATGGGTTTGTTGCCGATGCCGCCCGCTCGGTCTGCTGCAGGGACTTGAGGTGATGACTTCGAGATGACGTTGATGTCCACGAGGGATCCTTCCGACCCAGCCGGTCTGGGATGCACGTGGGAGATGACCTGGCACAAGACCGGGGAAATCACAGTCATCCTGTTGGAGAAAACTCAATTGTTCTGTAGTATCGGCAGGCGAGCGCATACAATGCTGGGCTCCAGGCTTGCTTGCACTCCAAGCCGCTGTCTAGATGAACTTTGCTGTGCTCACTCTCACTTACAAGCGGGACCCACCTCTTGGCCGCCATCCCACCACAGGGCCATTCACTGATTTACGCTGCTGCTCCCCACCATGCCCCCCAACAAGCAACGTGAAAGGGGGACCACGATCTCACAGTCGACAAGCACCCTCGCGATTGATTGTCAAGCACATTATGGTCAGCCTTCAGCGCCATGCATTCGCCTCATGTCCGAGCCCGGTCGGCACCACCGCCGAGGTGCCTCCGTTCTCCACCGCTCCGTAGCTGTCGCCGCGGTTGTTCTGATTTCCAGCCAGCCTGGTCTGGTCGTTTACACGCTCTCCATCGTGATCCGGAGAGCGGGGGATGTTTTCTTCCTCGTTGTCGCTGACATTCTCGAGAAGTCGGCTGCCGTCAGCAGTTTGGGTGTGTTCGTTCGGCGGGAGTTGTCGGTACCCATTGCTACCGCCGTCCCCGCGTCCAAGTTCTGCCCAGGCGCCCCCGCTGCGGGACAAGAAGAATCGGGAAGCCTGCCACAACTGGGTGGCATGAGGGAACATATCAGTCAGTACAAAACAGACAAACCTCCAAACCTCGACTTTGAAAAAGGAGCCTTAGCTTTGGTAAGTGAAAGAAAAAAAAAGTTGAGAAATTCACCTGGATGAACCCCAAGACCAAACACACCCCAAGGTCCAGCGCAGACCCTCTCCGCAACGCGGCCTCCCACGGCTTCCCGCAGGCACTGTTCCGCCCGTACAGCGAGGAGCACGTGCCGTCCCGCGGCCACGCGCGGTCCTTGACGCTGTTCAGCCCGCAGCAGTCAAACGCGTCCTGGATCCTCTCGATCCCTCGGCGGTCGTGGGCGGACCACATCCCCTGCCAGGCGCCCTGGGCGAGGCACCCCGTCGTCGCGTTCTGCGTCATGGTCTGAGACAGCAGCGTTGCCAGCACGACGGTGAGAATGCCCTGGAAGACCTGCAGCATGGGCAGGGCGGCGCGCGCGAGACGGATGATCGGAGCACGAGCAGCATGGGGACGGCTGAGTCTCTTGTTGGTGGTGGTGTTGGTGATCCTGGTGCAGAAGTTGATCGCGGCTGCTATCCAAGGTAGGAGGATCACTAGAATGCTCGTGGGCTGGGGGATCGGCAGTGATAGATAGCTGGCCGTGACTTGGACGTAACTGGCGACCAAGACCTTATGTTAGTCACGAATATAGTCAAGGAGCAAATCGTGTCGGCTCTCGCAAGATCGGACAGGCTGTTTGAGGCAACTTCGTAGACTTACATTGCGACAGCTGTTAGGCCGACCACAACCTGATGGTTTCATTTGTCAGTGACGCAAGAGATACCCACAAGGATTGATCATACCACATAGAAAATGATTGCCGGAGTCATGTCAGGAAATGAGCTTAAAGGGCAAGTATGTGTGCAGGAGGGAACCGAGCCTCCTGGATTCGCAGCCAGTGTGTGAGATATCACAAAGGTTAGGGATGAGGGGGTCGTGACTAGTTAATGTTTAAGAATATTCGGGTCCGCGAGCGGGGAGCGGGGTCGTGACACCACCCCGCCAATTGAGGTTGGATGGAGCGCGCTCTTTTGCCATTGCCACTAACCTTGGAACGCAAGCACTTCCATACCTCGCCACGTATCAGCGACGGCAACTGTGCCGAACACCACTATCACAGCAATAACACAGCACTGAGAGATGCTGTAGTGGCAGTCTTTCAGGAACACGCTGAACTACTGGACATGGAGGAGGCACGTCAGGTCCTGAAAACGTTGCCCGCCCTGACTTATGACGTGCTCATCAAGGGTCGCCGAAATGGCTGGATATAAGAGAATTGGCGTCGACGAAGACGACAAGGAGATGAGGACACCGATGTCCCAAAGAGACCATGACAGAAGTTGCGGCCGGGCCAAGTGCGTCACTCGCCGCCTGGCTACACATTTGCCCCTAAAACTCCTCGATTCAAGATAGCAATGGCTGCGAACGAGGCCATGGTCACTCTTCATTGCATATACAATGTGACACGCCTTCACCCAAAAATGTCTCAATTACAGTACCTAATATTACACCACGCTCTCCTGTGCCTCTGTAATGTCCACTCGTGTCCAAACTCTGGAACAGCACGAGATGGCCACTTTTGCAAAGCCCTCCTTGACACTCATCCACCAGTGAATGGAGCAGCTACACAGCGTAGCCATGCCATCACAATCCACGCGCCTCACTTTCGCCGGCGCCTCAACAACAAAGGATCCAGCCATTGATGATGCCAGGCACACGCAAGCTACTGTAACTCAGCGGTGCCAAAGGCAACGGACAGCACTGACGCCTCAGAGTTTGGTTTCCAGAGATTATGGCGCTGCTCTCTCTTCCCCGCAGCACGACGATCTATCCTATCGACGTACTCGCAGACTGCGTTCGAGCAAGCATCTGTGGACCTGGAGGCCCCATTCCACGTTGAAACTTCAGAAGTTGCTCGGCATTTATTTGGTCCCTTCTCGGCTTCCTGCGACATTGTGCCCGTAGCTACAGACCTGGTCGGCACGAAGCTGATTCGAGTCATGAGCGCCAGCGCTTAGCGCATTGGGGTGGTTGCCGCCAGTAAGCCTTGCCCGAAGCCGAATACTCGTTTCGTTGTATTGTGATGCCTGAGAGCCTCGATGATTTTTGCGGCGGGGGCCTTGACGATGTTGTGCTTGTTTGAGGCGATTTTTTGACCAAGTTCTTGGTGGAAGGCTAGCTGTGCCCTTTAGAGAAGTCAGCGTAGCGCCTCCTTTGACGGGCAAGTGGAAGATAGAGTGTAGTGTAAGTCCGTCAATCTCGCTGGTCGAACTCCCACAGGAGCACAGTGCAGAATGGTGCTAGGCAGGCATTCTGCCGCGCCACGATGGCAAGCCGCTCGCAGAAAACCTTGAGCGTGCACGACTTGCGACAGCCGACAGAGGCGTCGATGTTGAAATGCAGTGCTGCGGGTTGATGTCCGCTACTTACCCGCTGGAAATGGTCGACATAAATGTCATAGAATACTCGCTGCTCAGGGTTCAGCGTGCCCTTTTCTGTCGGAGCGTCACCGTTGACGACGGCGGCGGCGGGGTTCTCCTTGGGAAAGTCGTGCCAGTAATCGCCGTTCACCCCGATCTCATCGGGGTCAGGATAATTGGCAATGCGGGCAGATCAGTCCTTGGCCACAGCAATCTCCCGGCGATCGAGATTTTTCATGTCTGTGGGCAAGTTGAAGTCATAATCTGGACAGCCATTGCGAGCTCTTCCCAGGCGCCAGCAGCTTCTCAGGAGGGAACTCCTCGTCGAGGAACCCGTCCGTGTTGGCGATGTCTTCAATTGAGCTAGGCACCGGCATAAGTGTCGTATTGGACAGCTCGACTATCTGGGTCTCCTGCCCTATCTCAACGGGTGATCGAGCCTCACTAAACCCGATGAAAGTCCTCGTGCTTGGAGCGGTTCTCCTTGTACTTGAACAGACCACAAGAATGCGAGGTCGGCCTGTGACCGTGGGTTGCCCGTCTTGTGAACGTACGTGGTTAGCCACTCGAGCAGTGTCGAGTTGAACTGGTCGCTGGGGCTTAATGTAGCAAGCGAGAAGTGACTGCTTGGAGAACTGTGCGTCGTCGGCCACGAAAATCTGTGGCTGCTGCTCGGTTGGCCGGCAGTCGACGTTTTGGCAGTCCCTTCGAGGCGACTCAGTGGCACTGTAGTCCAGGAGGTAGTGGATGATTTTGGGGAGCGGCTAGTCAGGCTCGCCGAGAGCTTGTTGGGCAGCAGGAGACAAATGACAGCAAGGGGGCATGGCTGCACACGAACGGCAGCAGGTCGCGTGAAGCGACGCAGACTTGGTCTCTACCTTTACCAGGTAGTCCTCAACGCTGTGGGCACCCGTCCAAGGCTCTCTAGGTCAGCGACAGCGTCTGGTTATAAGAGTTGGGCGGGAGAGCATTGCGGGTGGCGACAAATGTCCAACGGCGCGGATGGAGATCCTTGAAGCGGTGTTCGTCGCTGGTGCGGCTGAACCTTGTTGATGATGTTGCAAAGCTCCTCATAGAGTGAAGCGCTTGCCTCTGTGCCGCCACTCGGCAAGATACTCATAAGTCGCCGACACTGCACTTGGACCAGGCGCCGATGTGGGGGTTAGCCATATTGGAGGGTTGGCAAATCTTGACCTTGTTGTCGTCGTCGGTAGCCTTCCGCTCCCCGTGCTGGTGCATGTGCTATGTGGGTCGTGCCAGTGTGGTCCATCACGGAGAACGTTAGGAATAGCGACGGTCGGCTGGGCGCGTCCACGAGACCTTGAGCTCATTTCTGCGGGCATTCAGAAGAGACCAGTGGTCCTAATGCTGAAGATAACGCATGAGCAGCAACACTCAAGCCGATGTCCCCAAATGTACACGTGTACGTAGTTCAGCTGCCGAGCATAACGATGAACGACTTCGAAAACTGAGAAAGCTTGATGTTGACCGAGACAGCAAGGCCACAAAGACGATGAGTTACGTCGTGAAAGATTGCTTGTCAACAACGGACGAGATTACCCACGCCCAAGATGAGAGAGAAGGGGTCGGCGTGAGAAGAGGGGGAACATTAGCTGCTGAAAGAAGTCCTGGTCGGTCAAGTTGTGTCGTCCTTACACCTTACCATGTAGATGCGGCACCGCGGTGAGGTCCGCAGGTGAATGCGCTCAGGGCAAGGGATGGTGCACAGGGGCATGCCCCCACGCTGGGATAAGGTCGTGATGTGCCGCTCAGCAGCACGAACATGGAGGCTGGGGTTATCCTTGCAGCCTGCGCAGATGGCCTGTCACACAAGACTGGCGCACGGCTAACATTAGGCAGCCCGATAATAAGGCCACGGTCCTATATCGCCGGGCTTGGGTCATGGGAAGAGAGAGACTGGGCGAGTGTATTTCTCGATGCGCCGACAATGCGTTCTGCTCAGGAATCCGCTACGTCACTGGTCCGAGACGTAGCAACGGCCGGGTGCTTGATTTATCTACGGATTACTCTTGTACAGTACACGCTCAGCAGGATGTCGGGTCTTGCGTCCCACGACGGCCTTCACGCGCATGGAGGGCATTGGTGTTGAGGAATGCCTCACAGCTAGAACGACGCGTCCCTCTGTATCGCAACGACACCTTTCACTAAATCTTTATTCCTGATGCCGTTGGATCTGTACGACTTCTACGCAGCTGAGTTCCAGTCGATTGACCCCACACTCGTCTCCTGCGATGCCGAGGTCATGCCCTTTGCCCTTCTCTGATCGAAGATAAGAGCGCCGGCCCAGCCAATGGCTCTGTGAGATCCTTGGCACGCACTTCCTTGTCGTTGTCGGTAAATGTAATTGTGTAACTCAATCTTGTTTTGCTCTGATCAAAGCTTTTCTCCCTCTCTAGCAAAATGTTTCTGCCGCGGGGCATCATCAGGAGGAACTAAGAAGATTGCCAGGGCGCAAGCGTCGAGCAATAGGTCGTTGCGATCCCGTATAGTGGGCGGATACCGGTTTGTTTGAGAGGGCCGAAACGAAATTCCATTTCCGGGCTCAAGCATGACAGCTCGCCGACTTGCTCTGCGCACGATCCGGGGCCAGTCACGATTGTGCTGGTCTGTTGAAAGCATCTGCGAACGATAATCCACCACTGTCCAGTAGGGTTGTAGGCACTTCGCTTTCGATTAACCTTCTCAACGGCATATGCATGGTTGACACCGACCACCTCAGCATGGGAAGTTTGCTCTCCGCGCGCGGACAACAACTGGCTTTCTGCCCAGAATGCAGTATGCTTTGCGTACTCTACGAACCTGCTCGCTGCAGCCTGGACGCTAGCTCATGCGGGAGGCCTACCAGAAACTCACTCAACGTGTCTCAAAAACCCTTTTCAACTCTATCCGACTCGTATGCACGCGGAATCTCGCTGAGAGCGTGTGGAGGAGGCTGAACACCGCCCGAGACTCTTGCCTCAACACAATGTTGTGACTCACGCGCAGGAAGCGTGCAAGCCACCACCGTCATGGCCTATCATAAGCCAATCCAAAATTGCTTTGTTTCAGCAGCATAGCGTAAGAAGCAAGTGCGCATTCCGCGCCTGAGCGGCTGCAACTACAACTCGTCCTTTCCCTTGTGGCTGGTCTGACTTTCCTCTATTCTCCGCGTTGCCGCGGAAGCACGTTTGTTGTACTGTGCTACATGTGACCGTCTCTGCTCACGCGTGCTTCTGACATGATTTCTCCTCATGGAATGTATCAGTTGGTGTGCCAGGTGGTGGCGAAGCAGTCTCACAGGGGAAAGTACCACAACTCCTTTATAGGTCCTCGATCAACATATATAAGACCTTGGCTGCCCATGGTGACAGCCACTTCCTCTTAATCTCACCAGTAAGCTCCGAAAGCAACCGACGGCAGTTTCTTCCTCATTATATTCCGACAACTCCGATCCAACGCTCTCGAATTTACCACTACTGTATTGCAATATCCACTCACCGACCGACCCTCCTCCTGCTGTGAATATGGCGATCACGACCGTCCAGAACGAGGCCCTGCAAGGCCTGTGCTCCAAAAATCGTCTCGATCTGATGGACGCTATCGATCGTCTGCGCTCCGAGGGCATCGACCATCTCATCTCGCTGCCTCAGATCATCGTGGTCGGTGACCAGTCATCCGGCAAGAGCTCCGTCCTTGAGGCCATCTCCGGCGTCCCCTTCCCAAGCCGAAGCAACCTCTGCACCCGATTCCCCACCGAAGTCGTACTGCGGCGAACCTCCCAGGTCAGCGCGCACGTGTCGATCGTCCCGCATATGTCGAGAGACGACTCGGAGAAAGCTGCATTATCCAGCTTCGACGAGAAAATGGACACGTTCGAAGACCTTGCCCGGCTTATCGACGAGGCGAAATCCGCTATGGGGATATCGATCCACGGGCGGGCATTTGCTCGAGACCTGCTGCGCGTAGAGATCTCAGGGCCCGACCGCCCGCATCTGACCATCGTCGATCTGCCTGGCTTAATCCACTCCGAGACCAAGCATCAGAAGGCCTCTGACGTCGAACTGATCCAGGAGACGGTCGAGTCGTACATGTACGAGGCACGAAGCATCATCCTGGCAGTCGTGTCGGCGAAGAACGACTTCGCAAACCAGATCGTCCTGAAGCTCGCAAGGACGGTCGACCCCAGTGGGCAAAGGACCCTCGGTGTCGTCACAAAGCCCCACATGCTGACCCCAGGATCCGACAGCGAGGCTCTCTACATTTCGCTCGTCCGGAACCAGGAGGTCAACTTCCGCCTCGGCTGGCATGTTGTCAAGAACATGGACTCGGAGAAGGAGACTGGTTCGTTCCATAGACGCAATACCCTCGAAGCAGACTTCTTCGCTTCGGGGGTCTGGACTAATCTCCCAAGCACCATTCTCGGTGTCGCTCATCTCCGAAATCGACTAAGTAAAGTCCTCTTGAAACACATCACAGCAGAGCTCCCTAGTCTGGTCACGGAGATCGAAGCGAAGCGTCAGGCATGCCGTAGTCAGATGGAGAAACTCGGTCGGCCAAGAAATACGCACTACGAACAGCAGCTGCACATGATCACGATCTCGGAGTCGTTCCAGCGCCTCGTGCGAAATGCTGCGGATGGCAACTGGACAGATTCGTTCTTCGAGGCCGTCGAGACTGACAATGGCTACAAGCGCCGCCTCCGCGCCTTCATTCAGAACTGCAATGACGACTTCGCTGCAGACGTCCTGAAGAATGGTCGGCGTCACCACATCAAAGAAGAGGGGGAAGAGGCCAGCGATACCTCCACAGATGCTACATTTATCTCACGAGATGACTTCATAGGGAGAATCATGGCGAAGATGTCCCGTTCCCGCGGCCGAGAGCTGCCGGGATCCTTCGACCCTATGATCATCGCCGAGCTATTCCGCGAGCAAGAGAGGCCATGGGAGGCGCTCGCGCTTTCCCACGTCCAGCGCACCTGGGATGCTTGTAAAGTCTTCCTCAGACAGGTAATCGACCACGTCGCGGACACCAATACGTCTTCAACGGTCCTACAGAGGATCATCGGCCCCGCGATGGACGTCATACTGGCCGACCTCCGAGTCAGGACGACCCAGATCCTTAAGCAGCACCAGGAGCTGCATCCGATCACGTACAACCACTACTTCACCCAGACGCTGCAGAAGATCCGGGATGACAGAAGCCACGCCAAAGTCGCTGCCGTGATCATGGAACACTTCGGTACAAAAAGCTTGAAAGTGATCTCACACGGAGAACAGGATCTTGCAACCCTGGTCAGCAAGATTACATTGGGCACCACAGAGCCTGACATGAACAAGTTCGCAGCGTCAGAAGCCCTGGATATGATGATGGCATACTACAAGATGACCTGTGCTCCTAGCACCCTTTGATTTCCCCCAGCGATTCGCCTCGTCACACATCACGACTAACAAGCCATATTGCTACAAAGGTCGCCATGAAGCGTTTCGTCGACGACATCGCCGTGTCCGTCATTGAGGCAGGGCTTGTGCTCGCCCTGCACCAGATGCTGTGCCCGGCCGAGGTGTACAAGATGGATACGGAGCTCGTGGCCAGCCTGGCGGGCGAGACCGAGGAGAACCGCGTTTGCAGAGAGCAGGCTGTCCGGCAGCTCGAGGTGCTGGACAGGAGCGCCCAGATCTGCCGCCAGTTCCCCGTTGACGGCATGGGTAGTAAGGTATCTCCAATAAGCTGGGTGCAAACACTGCTAATGAATCGCATGTAGGCATTGAGAGGAACGGAAGGGTTGATGATGGACATGCCCACACTGCCCTAACAGCGGATCGTACTGCCTCCGAGATTGATACCGACGAACCTGAGCGCGTTCCATTCCAAACAATTCAGGAGCGTGAAGACAGCCCTGAATTTATCGATTCCGACTCACTTGGAATGCACGACGGTGGAGAGGTAGTGGACGATGGCGACGAGCCCGTCATGTCGATATCGAAGAAGAAATTCGGGAAACCTCTCTGATCAGATTATCTCTCGTGGAGCATTGTCGGGAGATCCACGGGGGATAAAAGAACAAATCTGCTCCAGTTTCACACTTAGTAACGAGGAGGGAAAAGGCCCTTGGAAGACAGCGCGGCTGGAAATCGCTACGGCATGAGGGTCAGAGGGAGTGCCGTGCTACCGGTGTAGGACATTTACTTAGCACAATATAAGCTAAATTGACCGTACGCCAGTGGTTGCTTTAGTGCACCCGACAGTGCATGCTACAGTGGGCGCGACCGGGGACGTCACAGGGGATAGCTAGCGTTCCTACAGTGGGTGTGTGCAGTGTTCCAGAATAGCGCGCGAGCTTCCAACGTCACTTCCGGATCCCCCATCTTAGGTAGATGAAGTACAAGGAGTTGTTTTCTTACCTATAAGTCGTCATGGTCCGACCTGAGGAGGTTCTCATTGTGGACAAATGACGAAGGCGAGATTGTGCGCGAGTTCGTTAAGGAGAGCGGCACAGTCCAGCTTTATAAGACAATCCGCGAATGTCTTGTTTACCTCACACATCGACACTGAACAGATCATGACCGACAAGCTCTCAAATGTAGTTGACGGAACTAAATGGTCATGGCACAACTGTAACGTGCTTTTCTGGGCAATCGGTTCCATTTCGCTTATCATGAACGAAGAGACAGAGAAGCATTTCCTCCTGACGGCCATTCAGAGTCTCTAAAACCTGAGATGAAGTATGGCAAGGGCGACAAGGCTATCGTCGCCTCCAACATTATGTATTATATTGTTGGCCAGTATCCTCGCTTCCGTAAGGCTCACTGGAAGTTCCTCAGAACGGTCGTCAACGAGCTCTTCGAGTTCATGCGCGAATCTCATGAGGGTAAGCATTTTATCCGGCGAGTTTTACTTGAGACGTCCACTAACAGTCAAACAGGTGTGCAGGACATGGCATGCGACACTTTCATGAAGATCGCCGCACTTCATAGCTCTGCAACCTAGCGAGAGCGAGCCGTTCATCAAGGAGATCGTTCGCAACCTGCAGCACATTACTTGCGATCTCACTCGGCAACAGATTCATACCTTCTACAAAGCCTGTGGCCATATGGTTGCGGCACAGAGCAACAAGCACCAGCAGGAGAGCCTGCTGGCGGAGCTCATGCCTACTGCCAATGCTGCGTGGGATGATATTATCCGTGCTGCAACTCAGGGTCCCGGGATTCTAGAGGACTCCGAGACGATCAAGATCATTGGAAACATCATGAAGACCAACGTCTCTGCTTGCTCTTCGATCGGCGGCTACTTCGGCCCTCAAATTGGCCGGATCTATATGGATATGTTGGAAATGTACCGCGCAACAAGTCTGCTAATCTCGGAGGCTGTCGCTCGTGATGGGTAAGCTTCTGATATAAGTCACAACCGTGTTATTCGCTCTTCTCTAACATATTACAGGTGCAATTGCGCCGCGAACGCCCAAAGTACGAGGTTCTAGAGCCATCAAGAAGGAGATCCTAAAGTTGATCGAGACCTACGTCGAGAAGGTTGTAGACCTACGAGCTGTCCGGGCGCAAATGGTGCCTCCGCTTCTTGATCCCGTCCTGGTCAACTACAACCGCAATGTGCCAGGTGCCCGCGGCGCAGAGGTCCTTCGTGCCATGTCTGTGGTAATCACGCAGTTAACGGCATGCCGTTCTACTTCCCACTTTCCCTCCATTTCGCATGTCTAACCCTTCGCAGGAATTGATGGAGGACCAATTTCCAATCATCATGCAGAACGTCCTCGAGTGCACGCTTGAGATGATCAACAAAGACTTCTGCGAGTTCCCCGAGCACCGCGTCGGGCTCTTCAACCTTCTCAGAGCCATCAGCCGGCACTGCTTCCCTGCTCTGCTCGAGCTCAACAACCGGCAGTTAAAGTTCGTCATCGATGCCTGCATGTAGGCCAGTAAGCATGACAACCGTGATATCGAGGGTGCAGGTCTGAATATGGGCCTGAAGCTCGTTACGAACATCGCCAAAAGACCTATGCCCAGACTGCGACCGCCTTCTTTCAGCAGTTCTTTTCGACGATTCTAGACCACGTCTTCTTTGCGCTGTGCGACCCCGATCACAAGGCCGGCTTCGAGACGCAGAGCATGCTGCCCATGCGCATGCTTTGCCTTGTCCACCCTGCCGATGGCACGACGCCAAAGATCCAAGGTCCGGTCTACTCGGACGGAACACCCAGTAGCATAAGTAACAAGACTATCTCGTTAACTACTTCGGTGGTCTCCTACGCCACGTAACTCCCAACCTCCAGGTGGAATTCTGATCTTGACGTCCACGCACAGTTCCGCCATCATGTCCGCGACTTCCTGATCTCGCTGAAGGAGTTCGCCGATGATGACGTCGAGCTCTACGTTGTCGAGAAGGATCAAGAAGATCGTAACAATCTTGCTGCTAAGCACGAGCGGACATCGAAGGTCGGCGGCTTGTTAAAGCCGTCCGACATTGGGGACGAGGAGATATGACTGAAAAGGGAGTTCCGGTAGTTTGCGATTAAACACGTCACGAGGCCAGAAGACTGAGGCTCTAGTAGTGAGACCTAAACGTTCCCTCTTTTAGTGGCAAAGCCGAGCACGGGAACCGTGGTTTGGTCTGCCCTGAGACTGGACATCGGAAGCAGACGGACGAGCGACACAATGCCTTTAATAGGCCAAAAGAGCGCGAAAGGAATGTTCCCCCATCACCAACGTGGAAACCTTTGATGTATAAGATACATAAGCGCACGATATAAGAGCTTCGCACTTCCCCATGATTAGTGCTGCTGCCCTTGACGTTCCCGATTCTACCTCTCCTCGCGTCGTACTAACAAATCGAGGTCATGCTACTGGCTGGAACTCCCGCACACGTTTCCGATTAGCTTTGCTCCCCGGTATTTTCACCCTGATAGTGTCTGCGCGAAGTCGAATTACATCACATGCAGCCTGAATGCTTTCGTGCAGTTTTCGCAACTCTGCCTCGACGAGGGCCTTTTTCACATCCGCGAGAGTAACCATTTCGCTGATGACTTGTGTCTCCGCGATCTCCAGCGCCGGGATATCGACCTTGTTGTTATCGCCTGAGTCGGGACGGTATGTACCGGTGCGGACCGCAATGCTGCTACCGGCTTCGACACTTGCGGCGAAGGCCTCGTATTTGCAAGCGATTGTTTCAAGCGTGTCGGTCTCGCGAAGCGGGGGGAGGATCGGGAGGGTGAGGTCGTGGGTGATGGTACTTTGGTTGATCGGGATTCCTTGGGGCTTGTTGTTTGGGAAGATCTTGTAAAAAGAAAGACGGCTCTCCATTGCTGTGCTGTGGAGACTATCGCTTCGTCACCGGTCTTTTGCATGCGGTCTTCGATGGTTAGAAGATGCCTGTTTGCGCAGCAATCACTGTTGTGGAGGGGAATGAAAAGAGAGAGAATGGCTTCGAGCACGTCAAAGTGCTGCAGCCTATTTCTGAAGGGTTGATTGCCCTTTTGATTCCTGGAAGGTATGGCTACCCTTTTCGGCGTAGTATTAACCATGACTGTGTACGTGTGTCGAGCATGGACCTGGAACTGGCGAATGGCAAAGTCACTTTCGCGGACAACGTTTCAACTGTGCGGTACAGTACTCGATTAGTTATCGAATTTCCTTTGATGATGGAAGCCGACAGTTTTCGCTGTAGCACTGGTGACGGAGAGGGGGGCGGATTTGCTGAGGAAGTGCTTGCGCGCTAGACGATGATGGGATGTCCACGTCACTTATTTCTCATGATGACGAATGAGTAAGTTACCTCGTACCTCGCACATGGAGTCGAAGTCGACCGTAGACCGCAAACTTGGCGGGTGCTCTTGCAGCTGCGACTCATTGGCTCGTCGCGATCGCGCACGTGTCACAAGCAACACTTCGGCCATCGAGCTTTCGACACGATGGTGCAGGGCCTCAATGAATGCCTGATCTGCTCTAAGAGCTTCGCATCGCATCAATAAAGAGTGATGAGAAGGTGGCTACATGCAGGTTTGATCGACTTGCTTTTGGTCTGGAGTGTCTGTCGCAAAGGTTGGCCGAGCCATTGCCATGCTGGCCGCTTGATGGTTGCGCCTCGGGGAAGAATCAAGATATCGGTTCGATGCAGACAAGTGATTGGACCAGAGCGCGTTAGGTCTTTGTGCATTGCCGGCGTGAAGCCTCGCAGTCTTCCTTCGGTCATGATGATTGTGTCTATGATGCCTCGCTCCCTTACTCAGTCTTTTAATTCGCTCAGAGCTGTACATATAGCTGACGACAGTCGGACTGACTGACCGGCCAGCCGGCTGGTTCCGTCTTTGACCCAATGCTTCCAGGGACTTCGTCGAGCAGCTGGACGACCTGGGGTAGCTTGCATATTTGCACATCTCGCTTATGCGGACTTGCTGGTCTATCCCCGGCTTACGCCGAGCATGCACACAAATACTGGGCAGCTCCTGTCGTGAGGCGTTATGCTGGGGTGCACACAATTTGAGTGCTAGGGCGCAACGCTACTGCACTACCCCTTACAGACTGCTATGTTTAATCTTTGCATGTAGTTGGCGATGCCATATCCATGATGCTGAAGCCCAGTGGGCATTGCGAGACGCTCTGTCTGATCCAGTCGGCGTTGTCCTCCAAACCGCGTGAAAGCAACGTGGTCCATGCTAGTCGCTTGTTGCGGCCTTGCCTTCGTCCTCGCGCTCATGGCTCTCCGAAGCCGAGTCCCACTTCAGCCACCGGCGCGCTCGGCACCTCGTCGTTTGGAAAACACCCATCATGATTCCCATTACATTGAAGGATGGAGGAGCTCAACTGGCGCGCAGGATATGCAAGTTGCCGGATTGAGGGGCCAAAGCCTGGCTTACCCCAAACACTCGTGAGCTTATTACTGGCTGCTTGATCTTGGCAGCTTAGGCAGGGTCTTGGCTCCAGGGACTGTCCATCCGTTGCACTGTCTGGGCTGTCAGCTCTGGCCAGCGGACCATCAATGGAAGACCCAGCTCGGATCCGGACCCGGCTGGGCGGACCGGCAATACTCGACTCTGTGATGTGCATGTTGGACGGCCGGAAATGGGCAAAGTCGGACAGGCTGGTAGCCTTCTTCCGGGTTGTTGCATGCAGTTGGTCAGCCAGGACCTCGGCGAGGACAAGCCGCGGCCGAGCAGGGGCCAAGATGCTGCAAGCTTTCCAAGAGGGCCTTGGCTAGTCGGGCCGTCTCCAGCCAATGCCCTTACGAGCAGAGAGTCGGACGCACTGCTGCCTTTTTGCGTGCGGCCGCGAACGTGGCGAGTGAGTGACCTGTCGTGGCACCACTTTTCCGAGCCCCTGAGCGGGGGCTGCGGCTGCGATTTGCCGGGCTGGGGATTCATCCTCCCGCATGCCAAGCTTTAACAAGCTAGGCCAATGGTCCCGGCGTCCGGCTTCTGGATAAAGTGTCGAAGCGGGTCCCCCACGAACTTTCCAGCTCCCGGGGTCGGCCCCAGGTCTGGGGTCCGGGGTATGTGCGTGGATGACAGGAATCATGCGAGGGTAATTACCCGATTGAGGGCTTCGCTGTCTGCTACTTAGTCCGGGGCAGCTGCTGCTACTCTTCTTGACATCCCAGGTCTCCTCCAGCTCACGCGAGTCCACCGACATTCGACAAGACAGTCTCGCCATCGCTGCTGCGCGACCGCTATCATGGCCTCCAACAAGACCATGGGCCACACGGCCGACCCCATCGTCACCCGCCTCGTCGAAGAGGACAAGGTGCCGTGGTACAAGAAGCCCAACTTGCGCGTCATGTACGTGTGGCTCTTCATCTGCTGCATGGGTGTCGAGATCACCTCGGGCTTCGACTCGCAGCTGCTCAACACGCTGCAGTACTCGGACACGTTCAACAGATGTGGGTTGCTTCCTTTGTTTGCGCACAATCCCGCGCAGTGCTGACTGGTGGTGGTGATGCAGACTTTGGCGACGGCTACATTAATCCCAAGACCAATAAGGTCGATATCAACCCCAGCCTTTTGGGCTTCATGAACGCCTGCTACCAGCTCGGTACCATCTTCGCCGTCCCCATCGCCCCCTGGCTGAACAACAAATTCGGTCGCCGGTGGTCCATCATGTCTGGATCTCTCATCATGATGGTTGGCGCTCTTATCCAGGGATTCGCCCAGCACGGTACGTCTCGCTCCCGTACCCAGAGCCGGGCCAATTGTGTGAGGCCAGACAGGCTGACCCAATCTGTGCAGTCGCCATGTACATCATTGCGCGTATAATCCTGGGTGTCGGCATTCTCTTTGCCATCATCGGCGGCTCTGCCTTGATCGGAGAACTGGCCCACCCCAAGGAGCGTGCTATTCTGACGTCGTTCTTCAATGCTTCCTACTTCCTGGGCGCCATCCTTGCTGCTGGCATCGCCCTGGGTACGGTTACGATCGATGGCGACTGGGCCTGGAGACTCCCGTCTCTCCTCCAGATCGCGCCGTCAGTCTTGCAGGTTGCCACTGTCTTGTGAGTCTCCTCGAGCGACTTTGACGTCCCTCTCTTCTTCCACAATGTCTTGCTAACGGAAACACAGCCTCCTCCCTGAAAGCCCACGTTGGCTGGTCAGCAAGGGCCGCGACGATGAGGCCATGGCGATCTTGGTCAAGTACCACGGCGAGGGCGATGCCGACTCGCTGCTCGTCAAGGCTGAGATGGAGCAGATCCGGACTACGATCAAGCTCGAGATGGAGAGCGCCAAGCAGACATGGTGGTCCGCCGTCTCCGCACCTGGAATGCGCCGCCGCACCGTCGTCTCCATCTTCCTTGGTCTCTTCACCCAGCTGTCTGGTAACTCCCTCCTGTCCTACTACTCGAACCTGCTCTACGAGATGATGGGCTACACCAACTCCTACGCCAAGACCCGTATCAACATCGCCAACCAGTGCTGGTCCCTGCTCACCGCTGTCATCATCGCCATCTACGTCACGAGGTTCAAGCGCCGCATCGCCTTTATGACGTCCGCTGGTCTCATGCTCCTGGTCTATATCGGCATGACGGTCTCTTTCTACAGCCTTCAGGTCGCCAAGGACAACAACACGACCAACCCTTCGGCGGGCATTGCGGCTCTGTTCTTCTACTTCTCCTGGCAGCCCACCTACAACATCGGCAACAACGCCCTGACCTACAGTAAGTCTCTTGGCCTGACTCGATCTCCCCTCGTTCCTATGACACGACCACGGTTACTGACACATCGCTTCTCAATAGCCTACCTGCTCGAGCTCTGGCCCTACGGACAGCGCAATCGCGGTATCGGCATCCAGCAGATGTTCGGCAAGTGCGGCCTCTTCTTCTCCAACAACGTTAACCCGTACGCCCTCACCGCCATTGGCTGGAAGTACATGGCCATCTATTGTGGCTGGATTGCGTTTGAGGGCATCATCGTGTTCTTCCTGTACCCGGAGACCCAGGGCCGCACCCTCGAGGAGCTTGCTTTCCGTAAGTCTTTCTGCAGTGATATACCTTCCGCCTGCCTGCTGGCTCGCTTCCTGGCTTGCAAGACTATGTTGAAACGCTGTCTCGGTATCAATGCTAACTGCTTTTTCTTCCCCTCGTCAATAGTGTTCGAGAGCGATGAGCTCAACAACAGGGCCACCGCGGCCGTCGAGAAGCGCATCCACGGCGACGAGATCAACCCGACCGTCAGCATCGAGGAGAAGCGCACGGATGTCTAATCTAGTTCCTTTCGTGATCCCACCTCGGATGACGTGGAAAGCAGGACGACATCTGCGGGTGTCGTCAGTTTGATATCGTATATTTGGAAACTAATGCGGTGGGGGCGGGTTGGTGGAAAGCTTTCGTGTTTTGCCATGATAACTCCATCTCACATACTTTCAGAATGATCAAACCCTATGCCTTCTGGACATCAATCAGTTTGCATCAACACCGCGTGAAACGTGATCAGGCAAGAAGGCAGATCCGAATGCTGACGCTCCGGCATTGTCATTAGCGAATCAGATGCGTTGATAAGGACAGAGCTTGGTGTGATCTCGAAGGATTGACGTTGATGCATGCGTGTGGAAGCACAGCTTAACACTTTATAAAGGCTGTAGCGCTCTGCTTCAACAACCGCTATTGGTAATCCGAATGCTGGAAAGCCTAAACCGTCTCTGAATTATGGCTTTGAGTTGCCTGTAAACCAGAGCCCGTCCCATGAAACAGCGGGCACACCACCTTCTAGAACGGGACTGAAAGGGCGTCCAAAAATAGCATATCGGGGACTGGGACACGCCCTGCACGATCAGCAATATCAGTTCGCCCGTACAAACATGGTCAAGTGATTATATAAGTACCTACAGGTAGGTAGGCATGACGACACGGCATTAGAAGTCTTAATTTCTTGGCGCATTGCCTGGTCGTGATTCAAACGACAGGATGCGGCTTCTGGTGAACGTCCAAGGCTGGCTGGCTGGCAGGCAGGGGAGTTGCTGTGTTTTTATGAAGCAGGGCGAGAGTCTGTGATGGACGAGAGGCCGGCAGAGCTGTGGGATATCCACCTCGAGAGCGACAGGGGTCTCTGCGTGGGGGTCTCTGCGTGGGGCACTGGACTAGTCGTGCGCACTACTGGACGGCGCAGCTGTGAGGCTGCCGTGTGGCTCAATTGTCTCTGCCGTGCGTGCCCCGCCCCATCTCATGATCCTCAGAATCTCATCTGCATCCCGTCCAAGGCCCGCGTCTCGCCCGTCACCTGGCGAGCTGGGTCTCAACTCACCTGCAGCAAATCTCGCCGACAAGATGACGATGATCTCGGCACTCGCTGCTCGCCCCGTCGACCCCCCTTCTCCCATCCATCACCGCCCGCCGTGATTCCAGGCCGTCCCGTGGTCCACGACGGACCAGCCGCCTTGGCTATGTCGACAGCTGAGACTTTTTCCACCTGTCCGCATATCTAGCAGTATGTACGAAAGCGTAGACACAGCTGTTGTTCCGGCTGCCGACCCGGAGCCACGAGGTCCATCAGGCCGACTGCGTTGTTGGCGTGCTCTTGCATCGTCGATAGACTCGTGGCAAACACGTTGGAACGGCCTGCCAGTCACTGTGCAACTGCTCTTTCTGCGTCGCGGTCCGCGGCTCGACGAGCGAACAACAAGACCGGCCGTGGAGACGAGCCCCGAAGCCCCTCCGCACAATGCACGGAACGGAAGCTTCTCCGGACGCCGCCGCAAAGCACCAGGCCACGCGTGAAGCCTCCCACAACAATTAATCCCGCCCGCCCCGACTCTCGACAAAAAGAAACCATAAGAGCTTGGAGGTCCACGACGGTTGATCCCGTCGCCGGCGCGAACTCTCTCTAGCGCCATGCCCGCGTCGCGTCCCTGTGGCTTCCGAAGCTCCGACAGCTCCAAGTCGTCGTCTCGAGCATACAGACGAACGGGTCGAGCTGTCGCCTAGGTACTGCTTACTGACTGCCTTGTCATCGGGTCACGAAACGTCACAATCATATCGACGCTCCGAAGCACCCCGTCCGTATTGTCGCGGTCCCACGGCCAGTCTTCCGCGCAGTCAGATGAGAAAGCTTCCGCAGGTCGCGAAGCTGGCAATCGCAGGGAGACGCCTTGTGGCGTCATTCAGTGTCTCCTTGTCTTGCAACCTCGAGTGGCGCATATAACTGGCTGGAGACACCATTGGGTGGTTACGAGAAGCCCCGTCCAAGCCTACAGTATGCAATTTCTTTGCTCACATGTCTTGCCCAGCTTCTCTAGAGCGGGCACAGCTCCGCGAGTCGCACCTTTGTGGAGGTGGCAGCGCTTCTGGACACAAGGCTTGCGCAGAGATAACTCTCTGGGCGATCAGCACCCCAACGACAAGGCAAGGCAGAGTTGCTTCCTGTGACGTTCTGGCCAGAAGGTTGGCGAAACTAAGGCGAACCCTGCAATTGCTCTCAGCTCCTCGAGTTGGTGTGTGATCATCCTTGTTGGCGATCTGCGGCTGCTACCACACCACGATGCGCCACACATTCTACGACCTAGCTAGCCACAGCTCAACAAGGGCAGACACTCGAGTCGAGGCAGGAACAAGTATGTTGTAAGAAGTCCAACGCGCAAGCGAGAACTCTGAAATGCAGCGTGTTAAATTTGCCAACCGGGCCAGATGGCATGTCCGTATCATCCTCTGTTCTGAACATCATCTTGTTGGACTGCAGCAAATTGTTGGAGAGAACATGGTTCAGGGGACTTCCGTCTGACCAATAAACTGGCAGATGCAGCATCAGCCCTCCCTCCGTAGGATGAAGGAGCATAAGGAAACTTTGCAAATGCCGCCGCCAACTGGCCAGCAGAGCAGGAGACTGTGAAGCACGTGCAAAGTCACTCAAGAAGCTGGCGATCCGCTTGGAAAAGCCATAACTTCGCACGATCAGACGACAAAAAGATGACAGAGCAGGCACTTACGTCGTTGTCGACGTGCTCGTACAGTGTGAGATCTGCTCACCGATCTGTTCACTCTTGCAATGTGCTTCATCTGGACACCAGCCTTTTGGGAGCATGAGACATGCTGCCGACAATGACAGCTGGGGCTGGGATCACGGGTGGCAGGGAGGGCGTGCGCATAGCCAAGCCAGGTCTCTGAAATCTAAGATCGTGCTCACCCAGGGCAGCCCCCGGAACCCCAAGGAGACCTTCCGGCCGCGAGACTAATGCTGGCCCAGCAGTAGCTTGCGAAGGTACGTACCAGCCTTGCTGGCCGTGGCTTTCTGTCACTTTTGGCAGCCCGGCTCGTCGCAGCCAACCCTGGGCCTCGAATGATCTGCCAGGGACGCTGGCCAGGTATCTGGTACTCTGTGCTCCGTATAGCTATGCCAATCTCGAGGCCTGGGGGCCCCCATGTCCTTGGCTAAACCCAGGGCACGATCTCGAGTTGACGGCTACACATCTCGATCGTCGTACTTATTCGACCTCTGCCCTCCTCCTCTCGGGTCTCAGACTTGGAGCTCAACTACAACACGTCACAACATCAACTCACGACATGTGTGTCTCTCTTATCTCATCAGGTGGTCTTTTGTCTTTTCACAACACTGTTCACACTATCACAGCACTACACACACCATCATCTCAATCTTTGGGGACTGCCGCACAGCATCCTCGAATTTGCCATCCATCGTCCCCACGAACCAACTCGAATATACTGGACGCCTTCGCCAACTTGGCTGTGTAGAAAGAACCCGAGCCTTGCGTTCTCTGTATCCCGAGCTCTTGGACTCTTGCCCTCTCTCCGCTTGGTCGACCTCGAGCACGATATCGACATGGCTCTGTCGACTACTCCGCCAGCAGCTCCTGGCTGGAACCGCTGGACAACTCAGCCACCATCTCCGGAATATGGTCTCATCGACGGAACGGCTGTCGTCCAATACGATGCCCGTGCTACAACTCCTGCGGCTATGCAGCGACCGGTTGATGCTTCCCACTACTTGGTTGGCAACACTTACACCATGGCTCCTCCCATGGCCATGCCCGCACCGCACTACCAAGGACACCCACAATACGGATTTGTCTGCTGCGTAACGCCGCCCTCCCCTGCGAGCCTGCTGCCTTCCTTTAGACGCTACCAGGACGACTGGCCGCGCATGATGTGTATGGACGCCGAAGACAATGATGCGAGCATGAACTACATGCGGGACACTCGGCATCAGAGCTACATCCAGGACCAGCTCCACGCCTCCAACGTGGAGCGAGCAGTTCATGTCCCCTTCTTCGCCAGTCTCCATGAAAGACGCCATCGTTAGCAAGACCATCACACCAATCATCGCCGCCGACCCCGAAAAGCAGACCGTGTTCCACACCGATGTCGACACCCTCATGAAGACTATCCAAGTACAGGACGAGGCGGCCCAGACACCTGCGCCTGTCGAGCGCGTTGAGGCCCGTTACCCATCACCGCCGCACCATGAATCGAAGATCAAGTCTTGCTCCCCAGGCACAAGCCCAGAGGCGACTGGAACCGGCTCTCGCACCTCGCGGGGGCGCCACATGTGCAGTCTGCCCCAGTGCAACAAGAGGTTTGCCCAGAAGAGCCACCTTGGCATCCACGAGAGATCTCACAGCGGCGAGAAGCCCTATGTAAGTAGACCTAGCTGCTTTGTTCTCTTCCTGGTGAAGAAGAGGAACTAACAGGAACCAGCTTTGCAAACAACCGGCTGTGGCCAAAGGTTCTCGCAGCTCGGCAACGTCAAGGTAAGCCACCCCCCATACTGAACTTCAATCAGCAGCACGCTAATCACGGCTTTGCAGACACACGAGTGTCGCCACACGGACGAGACGCCTTACCGCTGCGAAATCTGTGGCAAGGCATTCGCGCAGCGTGGCAACGTTCGGGCACACAAGGAGGTTCACAACAACTTCAAGCGCTTCAGCTGCAGACTAGACGGCTGCCAGAAGAAGTTCAGCCAGCTCGGTAACATGAAGGTACGTTGTCTTCGGCCATCGCCACTCCCACAAAGCCCAGCACTAACGATCGTCTAGACGCATCAAAACAAATTCCACGCCGAGACCATCAAGACACTGACCGCCAAGTTTGCGGGCATTCTCCAGGCTGGAGGCGAGCTGCAAGGCGACGACAAGGAGCTCTTCGAGCACTTCGCCATTCACTACAAGAACAGCAACAAGGGTATCAAGGGCCGTGGCAAGGACCGCAAGGTCAACACCGTCACCTCGGCGCCGGCTGTCCCGTCTCGTCACTACCCCGTGCCCCAGGCACCGCATCACTCGATGGCCCACGGCCTGCCCTACCCTGCTGTTGGCTCCTCCAGCGCGTTTGGCCACTATGGGACCTACAACATGCTGATGGCCCGCGATGCTCGTCGTGGCTACGAGGGCTACGACATGGATCACGACAGTGTCTCAGCGTCCAGCACCACCGGGACCCTCTCCGATGAAGGCCACCACTTTGCAGACCGCTACCAGGAGCGACTGTACTAAACGATGAGGGTGGACTTGTACGAGACCGATGCAAACGAACAAGATTAATTATAACGACATGAACGACCACGAACTACGGAGCGGAACTTATCGAGACTCGGCTCACTTCGAGCCGACGCAATGCATCACGGCCACGGGCGGCAGGGAGTCCCAGCACGTCCATGACGATATCGAGTCCAATGAACGTATGCACGTCAGTATCCTTCAACAGGATCAGATTCACAATTGACATGATTAGGAGGCTTAGCAATCAATACAAGATCTCACCATGGCATGTTTTCGTCGAACTTGTTCCAGCCTACTTGTGCAGCCACTACCGCATTCAGCATGCAAAGCCTAGGTTCGGCGTGCACTGCTAGCTAGTACTTGCCACCTGAAAATTGCATATTCTCGTGTCGAGCAGTTAATGTCTCACATTTTGTTCTTGGTTTCTTTTCACGCTATTACATACGCTGCTAAAAGCGTATTTAAGTTCCTTGCGCGTAGCAAGACATTGCCATCCGGATGTTTGCTCCTCAATCCGTGCCCCACCCAAATGGCGCCTGCCCGCAATCCCACACGCTGTGCGCTTTGTCGTTTCTGGATCCACGATGTTGCAAGTTCGTGCCCTATCCTCTACAGAACATCACCCATTCAGCGTGGCTGACGTTCCTCGACGGTGATCCAGGGAGCAACCCTGCACTCTCTGAAGAAGTTGACAGTGGCTCTGTCAGTTATCATGCTCAGTGCGCAGCGCACCAGTTCAAGCTGCCCCGGCATCTCCTTGCGATTGCGCTTTCAGGTTCCTATGAACCCTGCGCAGCCGAGATCAGCGAGCGCATAGCTTGGTTGCGCATTTACTTTGCAGTGCAGATCTTCGACGTGCCGCGCCTCCCCTTGGAAGTCAGGCTTCTCATTGCGGACTATGTGCTGCACGGAGACTTTCTGTCGATGCTCGCACTTGAGCAGATCAAAGATCTTCCGGAACCTTCTCCAACCACCACATGCCAGATGCCACTCTCTTCAGTCATTTGGGCTCAAACTTTGCGCTATGAGCGCGTGGAATACGTATCATCACTGGGCGAGGTGCCAGGGGAAGGATTCCGCCTGCTCAATCGCAGCCCCAGCATTTCCTGCCTGTATATTGGTTACAACTCAATCGGCGTCCGACAAGTTGTACTATCTTCCAGACAGAAGCCGCCGCAGGAGATGCCTGACACCTGGTGGGAAATTCTCGAAGTCGATCGAAATACAGACTTGACGATAGAGACAGACGTGAGTGGACGATTCGCTACCCGACGTGCGCCTTCTAACTCGCCCTTGTAGGGATTCAAGGTGCGCAGCCTTCATCAAGGTGGTAAGAAACACCTCGCGCAATCCTACTTATGGGACTGCCCGCCAGTGCAGCACGTCCAACCTCGAGCATTTCCGCTAGACGTACCGGGCGGAGAACGCATCCTCATGGCCAAGTTTCCGTGCGATGCGAGCGGATATACCATTTATTGGGACCTGGGCTGCAAAATTTTGCTCCCCGCTCGGCGAGTCAGCTCTGTCATGTACGACGGGAGAAAGTGTGGCATCTGGATTTACTTCCCGCTTCGAAAGGACGAAACGATCTCGCAAATTTTGGCGTATGGCAGGGGGATAGACTTCGGTTTCCTAGTGAGTCTACCAGTGTTAGATGAATATACGGCAAAGAGCATTGATCAGATCTGCAGCTGCGAACAAGTCAGGGGCGCCTCGCTCTCTTGGGCCCTCAGCCGAAACCACAAAGGCAGGCTCCCACCGTCACGCATCTCGCCTCATTTCGGCGGAATCAGGGACATTGCTACTTCGGGATGGCCAAAGACGGAGTACGGCGTTTCGCTTGTGCCAGCGAAGCTGTGGATCCAACCGCGGAGCTTCTGACAATACCAGTGCCATCGTCGCCCTATCCTCGCACAAACCTATACGACTACTTCTTCCATTCATCAGTCGTACTTGGTGACGTCACCGAGTTTCGCTTCTGTCGCTCCGTGGATGCGGGACAGCAGAGAATTATCGGCATTTTGTTTCGATCATCATTGGGATGCCACGCAGCTGTTGGTCAGGTGCGCTTCGATTCTTTAGACACTCCAATGGCTGTTGGCAAGAATGAAGTGCTTCGCCTTTACATAGCAAAAGCGCAGGGCCGACGTATAGTCACCGATCGATGTCTAGCTACCAGCACAGCTCGTTCGACATGTTTCGAGATAAAAATGTCTGGGTTATTGGAATGGTGGACTTCACTAACCAAGAGCTTGATCTACCACAACGGTATTCTACTCATGTAAAATAACAAGTTTTCAGAGTTTTCAAAAGAGAAGATATGTATCCCCTGAAATCTTCGTCAAAGACTACGATATCCTGCACTGCACGTCGTGTCAACTCCATTCGGAACCATGTGGCTGTGCTTAACCCGACGGACACGATCACCAACCCTCCCTCCAGAATCGATCCAGTGCAATTGCCTGGCCTCGAGAGTATTGGCTAGCCTCCTGAAACCTTGCGCCCTCTTCCTTTCTGGCCCGTTGCTGATTCTTGATAATCGTGACGTTGCGATTGTTGGCATGTTCGACTTGGCTGTCCGGCGAGAAGGCTACTGCCGTAACTACATCATCGTGGTGCTCAAGTATCTGGCGTCACGCGTCCGGGACGGCGTCCCGGAGGCGTACAGTCTCATCCCATGACGCCGAAGCTATAACTCTGCCAGTCCCTGGAGGACGTCATGAGTGTCAAACTCGATTCCGCGCCTAACACTTGCCCGCCAGAGCCTGTCGGCTTCAGCGTCGACATCGATGGTATGAGCATCGTGGACAAGGCCATTCTTGCCGTGCTGTGAAGTATGGACGCCTGGTCAGCTTGAGAGTCAGATTCGACGCCTCAAAACTGACAGCAGACTCTGGAAATCCCAACTCACATTCAAATCCGGACGACTCTTCCCGTGGAAAATAAAAATAATGGCTGAGCGACATCGATCTGTTGCAGAAGAGTAGAATCGTCGCAGGGTATCAGTGGTGTGTGTAGCCGCTTGCATCCAAATGGTCTTCGTTATTTGCTTTGTGCCTCTTCGAGCCTATGGAGGTGCCTGCATCATGTCGGCTTGTATGACGTGTTAGAATGTCTGTCTCACTCTGGGTAGCCAATCTGCGAAGTGACAGCCGCAGCCCGGCCAGCCCGTGCTCTGCTTCGCAGGCTGCAGCCAAACAGGGGCTCGAGATTGTACCGCCTGGTTCGAAAGAGTTATATGAACTGGCTCTTTCCTAATCTAGACTTAACTTCCTAGCCTTCCCCAAGATCTAATCCTGGATGACCTGGTCCTTGCAAGTGCCATGCCGCAGGATCTCCGTCTTGAGAGCGAGGATCTCATCGCGTAATTCCTTGACGTGGGCGCTTAGGATACTGTTCTTCTTGGAGAGCTGTTTCTTTGTCTCTTGGAGCTTTGTAATTTCACACTTCGTCTTGTTGCGATACTTGGTCGCAGCTCTTCGTTTCTTCTCGCGTATCATCGTCTTCTTATTACTGCTTGGAAGGGCCGTTGTATCTGACGGCGTAGACTGCGCCGCGAAGCTTGCCGTTACATCTGGCGACTCTGTGCTGTGCACGTGAATCTCGCTATGCCTGCGTTTCGTGCCGGCGAGCTGCGGTATCTCCGAGCTGTGTTGCTGCTGAAGGTGATGGTAGCTATGGCACCTAAGTGCTGACGACGAAGGCTCCGGCGTAATTCCCCTAGGGCTAGTGTGTATCGACGCGGTGGCAATGTCGGAAAAGGTGGTAAGATCGCTGGGTAGGGACATTAGCCACGAGTGTGTGCTCGAGGCGTTGTCGACTAGGGCAGTGTTCGAAATTTGGGAGGCGATCATGGTGCCGAAGGGCATTGCGTCGTATGGCTGCAAGGGCATATTGTACATCTCGGGCCCAAGGTCCATAATAAAGCCGCCGTCTGTTGCAGATAAAGGGGCGTCCAAATGGCTGGAGTTGCCATCAAGGACCATCCAGGACTTGTCGCCAAACTCGTCGCAGGCGAGGCCAACAGCACCCCCGGACCAGTTATGTACTATATGTGTGGATGGTTGGTGTTGCGTGTGGTCTGTGAGGGCAGCCATGGTGGCAGCTATGTGTGGTCGTCTGAGTCTTGCTGGCTTGAACGAGAGATTTGTACTACCTCTGTCGTCCTTTATCTTTGTTCTTGTTGTTGTGGCCGTGGAAAAAATGGGGGTCGAGGTGGGATGGCAAGGTACGGCTTGTCAGTGCGTGGGTCATGTGGGTCGCTCCCCAGGAATGGCGCCGGCTCTCTGGTGTGGCAACAACGCGCAGCCGGACAGATAAGCAACGCCGGCCGTGACGTGCTTATGACGACAGCGCGAGTGGGGGAAGCACAGGAACTGCCTGCTTGAAAATGCAGCCACGGCAAAATCCGTGCGCGTTGATCTGGGGTCAAACGGCAGAAGCGGGGTGCAAGTGGGGCCCCGCAGACTGTCGAGTTCTACTCAAAGGAAGGGATCTTCTTAGGCGATAAGAGGTCACTGGAGGCTGTCATACGCGACGTAACAGGCATTCCTACCAGGGCTTTACGAGATACACCATTATCCGACTTTACGACTTCTGAACGCGAGGCGTGGATACGCAACCGGGAAACAACATGCCACTCATCTATAGCGAGGGTCGCGAACAACCACAGAGAAGATTGCGAGAGGAGGTCCAGAAATCGGTAAAAGGTAAGACACCGCTTGGCAACAGAGGATTCATATTTACTAACACACTTAGGCACTCACTACAACAACTTCTCCATCACCTTCAGCCTTTCTGGGGTCCCCGAGACTCCACATTTCGTAGCAAGAGATGGAGAAGTAGCCGAGATTCGAAGAATGCTATGCTCGGATGGGAGCCGTCGCATTGTCGTGCTACATGGTCTCGGCGGCATTGGTAAGACACAACTGGCTGCGACGTATATCAACCGATATCGGGACGAGTACTCGGCCATCTTCTGGCTCAATATCAAGGACGAAGCGTCCATTCAACAGAGCTTTGCTAGGATCGCAGCGCAGATCCTGGAGCAGAATGCCGATGTCGGCAGCCTCAAGGGACTGAACCTACAGCAAGAACACGACGAGATTGTCCAGGCCGTGAAGGCGTGGCTCAGCTTGCCAGGCAACACTAGATGGCTCATTGTGTATGATAACTACGACAACCCAAAGCTTCCAGGGCGGAAAACCGATGCAGCGGTTGATATACACCAGTTTCTTCCGAGGGCACATCAGGGCTCAATTGTGATCACAACACGGCTGTCGCAAATCGACATAGGACATCACATTCGAATTGAGAAACTCAAATCCGAGCACGAGAGCCTACAAATACTTTCAAAAGCATCAGGCCGAAATGGCCTACAAGATGGTAAGAATCTCGAGGCAGTTAATTTTCGGCAACTAATGGTGTTTTAGACGGTGATGCAAAAGACCTTGTACGAGAACTGGACGGGCTTCCACTCGCTCTAGCTACGGCTGGAGCATATCTGAAGCGCGTCCCAGTCAGCATACGCGACTACACTCGCTACTACCAGGAATCTTGGGCAAGACTCTCCGGTAATCTACATCTCGGATCCTATGCAGATCGTACGTTGAGTTCAACATGGCAGCTGTCATATGAACATGTTCAGGCACAAAACCCACTTGCGGCTCATCTGCTCCGGTGGTGGGCCTACTTCAACAACGAGGATATGTGGTTCGGTCTTTTCTGTGCGAGAAGTGGAATGGGCCCCGTTTGGATGAAGCAGCTCTCAGAAGAGCTTAACTTCAACGATGCGATGGGCGTACTCCACGACTACGGCCTTGTCGAACCTACAACCATATTCCAGAGGATACAAGGGTACAGTATACATGGTTGCCTACATTCTTGGGCGATCCATATCTTGAATAAGGAGTGGGACGGCCGCTTGAGCAAGCTTGCAGTCGAAAGCGTGGCGTCGCAGGTTCCATCAAACGTAGGAGCAGATTATTGGCTGCTTCAGAAGCGACTCATACCACATGCGATCCGGTCTTGTTCAGCAGTACAGGACGGTGATGTTCCTTCAAATTGGGCTTTCCATTCTCTAGGCAACCTTTACTCGGATCAGGGGAAGCTGGGCGAAGCCGAGAAGATGTTCTTACGGGCGCTTCATGGGTACGAGAAGGCACTGGGACCGGATCATACATCAACACTTAACACGGTTAACAACCTTGGGGCCCTATACTCTAATCAGTGGAAGCTGGGCGAAGCCGAGAAGATGTACTTGCGGGCGCTTCATGGGCGAGAGAAGGCACTGGGACCGGATCATACATCAACACTTCACACAGTCAACAACCTTGGGATCCTTTACAGGGATCAGGGGAAGCTGGGCGAAGCCGAGAAGATGTACTTGCGGGCGCTTCATGGGCGAGAGAAGGCACTGGGAGCGGATCATACATCAACACTTAACACAGTCAACAACCTTGGGGTCCTGTACTCGAATCAGGGGAAGCTGGGCGAAGCCGAGAAGATGTTCTTCCGGGCGCTTCATGGGTACGAGAAGGCACTGGGACCGGATCATACATCAACACTTAACACGGTTAACAACCTTGGGGCCCTATACTCTAATCAGTGGAAGCTGAACGAGGCTGAGAAGATGTACTTACGGGCGCTTCATGGGTACGAGAAGGCACTGGGACCGGATCACACGTCAATACTTAAGATAGTCGATAACCTTGGGATCCTTTACAGGGATCAGGGGAAGCTAGGCGAGGCCGAGAAGATGCATCTGCGGGCGCTCCATGGGCAAGAGGAGGTACTAGGACCGGATCATACATCAACACTTAACACAGTCAACAACCTTGGGGTCCTGTACTCGAATCAGGGGAAGCTGGACGAGGCCGAGAAGATGTATCTGCGGGCGCTCTGTGGATACGAGAGAGCTATGGGAATTGATAAAATCACGACATACCGGCCAGCGATTAACACCCTCATGAACCTCGGATCTCTGCGCTCAAAACAGGGCCTTTTGGGTCAAGCGCGACAATATTATCAACGTGCTTCCGATGGTCTTGAGAGGCTACTCGGGCCAACGCATCCGGATGTCCAGTCAGCGCGGCATACTCTCGAGCTTACATATCGCACGGTTGAAGATGGGATGTCCTCGAGCGATGACCAACACTTGCCAGATCCAACACAACCCCGGTCGTCGAAGAAGAGGTCAAGAGATATTTTGAAGAGGGTCCTAGGCCTTCACGTAGAATAGGAAAGTCAACAATAGGGTAGTCTAATACTATACTGTAGCACATTTGCTCACGATCTAAGTTGAATGTGATAAAAGAAAGCCAATAATGGAATTGCTGCTGCCTTGTCGGTTGAAGAGCGTTTTGTGGCCGATAGTACACGCGCGCAGTCCTCCGCAATGCGCCGCAATCTTGCTTAATTGCAGAGACGCGGACACACTCTGAGGCCGGCATCGTGAAAGAAACCCGTCATGAAGGGCTGACGGGTGCTTACTGCCTGCACGGTATATGCCACAGTATACCAAACCTAGCTGGTCCGTGCGGAAATAGTAACTAACTTCGAAAAGCGAACACACTCAGGGGTCACTACTGTATAAAGAACTCTAGATAAGTTATATACAGTCCTACTCTGACGTTATGCAAAGGCTAGAGGAAGCTACAGAATGCAGAGCACTATCGCGAGAAACCCGGCACGCTTTCAACCTTTTATGGGACCAGCGTCGGTCATCCAAGGACCTAGTCGACGCACATCTTGAGTCTGTCCGCAGGCTTGCCATCCCTTTGTGTGACGCCGTCTGTGCTTATTGTATGATGCGGCCGAACTCAAGGTTCTTCACAATATATGATCACAGCATATGTGATTCATGCATATTAGCATTCGGTCGCGAGATAGAGCCATGGGTTTTGGAGTTTAGAAGATGTAGCATCTGTCATAGCCCTACGACAAGCAGGTTCGGGGTCAAGCCTGCTACCGCAAGCTCCAGATACCTCCGGTTAGTAGGTTATTCTCCGCAGGAAGTGTGGGACGACCTTAAGGCTCTCATGGCAGAAATACGTGTTATTGACACATCAATCACTGATTACTTTGATGGTGTCCTCGCGGATGAGAATGGTACATAACGATAGGGCAAACTGTTCTCGGTATCCTTACTAACATAATGAATAGGAGCTTTTCTCGCCATCGCAATCTTTGTAGAGCATTGGCCATTAGATGACTGTCGCCACCATCTACGACGGATAAAGAAGCCCAAAATTCATAAAGAAATCATCTCCTTCAGCCGCGAGCTTGAATGGAACCTCAATCACATTCAGAAGACCCGCCGAATATGGTTCGATTTCGACTCGCCGCGGCTTGCTAAAAGACAAAGGTATGTAGGTTCTTCCTTCCACGTTTCACATAGCTTATCAGGTAACAGACTTCGATTTCCGGAGGATGAACGTTGCGTCGAGGGCTCGGACACGCTTGTTCAGATAACAGAGTGCCACAAAAACCCTCAAATCCTTCGATCACTAGGTCTCCGAGTTATGGCGGGCTTGGTTTACGTTGAACTTCAGAGCCCGGCTAGCTTTGACGAACCGTTCCACCAAATCAGAGTCTCTGTGCTTTGCCGTATAGCGCCCTCGCCGAGTTTAATAGATCTCCTGTACAGGCTTCGCCGAGATCGAGCTCGTATCTTCTACCGAGTCGAGAACGAAAGCCCTTCCGCCGTACCATTATGCCCACCTGAAATACTAGGTCGATGTAAGAAACAGGCCTCTTTTCAGATTGATCTTACAGTCACTGTAGGTGCCTTAGACTCTTCACTAGATATTCGAATTGAGGCCGACGGACAATTACATCCTATCAGTACCTGTCCTTATCGGATCAGGGGACTTCTGGGGGATCACGTCATTAGTCCACCACGGCCAAGTGGTCTACGAAGCTATAAGCAACTTCTTTCGGATCGTTATCCAGAACAAGCTCATTCCGAGAGCGGCAAGAGCCATTCGAAAAGCTCTCTAGAAGACAAGGCATACCGCGCCACTTGGTCTAGAGCAAAGGCTGTCTTGGGTGACGTGGTAGCCACTTCGAGATTAGACTAGTAATGGTTCTCACCAAGATCCAATTATCACCCCGCACTGCAAAGGCATGGTGCAATCCATTACTCTCTTCTGGTATGCGCGATTTCGCGCGAGACCAGTGTGAGATGACCAACAACCTCTCGTTCTGGTGTGCGCGTGGCAAGAACCCAGTAACTCGAAGGTTTCCTACCCCTCACTATCCCTACGAAGTGCGATAAGAGGTAGCGCTTGAAGCACCAATTGGGCCACCTGCCAAGAGGCCATTGACCCGACAGAATGGTATCACATTCCTTCGTGGCTAGTTTCGGACGTGGCCGGCGCACCAGCTGAACAATAGTTCATGCGGGGGCCCTGCACGCTTACTCTCCAACTGTACAAGGGTGAACTTGGCTGTAGCACCACCATGACGACACTGCATGCACCACACCCTTGCACCATGTAAGCATGCACAAGACGACCAACAGTCCTCAGCGCGACTGGGAACCAAACCTTGACTACGACACGGATATCTATTGCTGGGTCTTGATACCTGTCGCGCCAGTGCTCCGCCGGAATTTCTCCAGTACCGTTCAACGAGGGACTGAGCACAGAAGCCCCCTGTCGCTTGCTAAGCAATGCTTGTTATCGCAAGAACCACCCAAAACAGGACACATGCATTCTGATTACCAAGTGCTTTCTAATTAAAAATGGCATGATCGGGCGGGGCTTCGCGTGCACCACAGAATCAGCTATAGCTACAGCTCTACTCTGGATGGCTGTCGTCGTCTAGAGTTACCAAACCCTGAATCGAAGCCTTGATCGCGGAGCCCAAATCTCCTCTGATATTATCAATGAACTTCTGAATTAAGTTGAAAGCAGTGAACAAGCGTTTGCCGAATATAGATAAAAGATTGTTTAAGTTCGTTCTTGTTATCATTTTTTCTTCGATCCGATCCAGGGTCGAGCTGGCCCTCTCCAAAAGTCTACATTTTGTCAGAGCTAGTCTTAGGAATAAATCGGAATGCCTTACCTATTCAAATGCTCCTCATCAACGTGGGAGGTTCTCTGATCCCCAACGGAGTCATTGTTTGGAGCACTGAAGTCGTAGTTCAGGTTGAAGATGTCCATGTCGGGCCCAGAGTCTTCCTGGAGCACCGGAAGGTCCAATCCATTGATCCAATTCTCCATTGTCGAGAAGCGCGAGGAGTGTAGTGAGGAAAACAAGGAAACTCAATGCGCGCGACCTTGCCGTTGTACACGGGGAACTAAGCGCCATGCGCCGCCAGTTTTTGCGCGCTGCCTCTACCCAATGGCACAGGTGATTAGCCGCGCTTCATGCTCCCCTCCTTCTCCGAAAATACACGCAGGTCCCGCCCTATCATTTCCCAGTACTTCATCGTTATCCTGGTCTCCACTGGGGAATACGAAGAAATGTGAGTGGAGCGTCCTCTGCAGCCTGCTCACAGGTGTGACTACGGCATTATCCGCAGCCTACCAACAGAGCTGAGACAGTATATAAAGTACACTAATTCGCCAGACAAGGTTCGAAGTCATGCAAGGAAGTTTGCATTGTAACAGGCCTTTACGCGCCCTGAACATACGCTTCAGTATGGTTTCCGAACTGCCACCTCTGCGACCTACTCGTGACTTTGCCAAGCCCAGGCTGTCCATTCGTACGGTCGATGATCCGTCACTACCAGAGAAATTACACGACCTCAAAGCGCATCTACACGCGCTGTTGCAAAAGCTGGACGGCATCACGAATGAGGTCTCTAGCATCGATTTGGAACATTCTAGAGAGCCAATGGTGAGTTCTGGCTTCAATAATGCATAATCACAACTACTAACATGTCAGTCAACGATCCACGAGTATCACAATGAGGAATGCGGGTCAGCAGCTACGGAAGGTGCTCTCTAGGGAAGTCACAATGGGGAAGGCGAGAGAAATGTAGTAGTGATGATGGTAAAGAAGAAAGGGTAACGTACTCCACAAGGGAGTGGGACAAACAAGGGAGTGGGACACTTCCGTCCTACCTACGCGACAATATATAAGAGAAATCAACCACAACGCCTCAAATTAATTCAAACTATTCAGAATCCTCTTCTTCAGAGGTGGACTCAACTTTCTGACACGTACGCGCATTATGGCCGGGCTCCCCGCAGACGCCACAGCGTCGCGCGCGCGTCTCTGTCCTCCTCGTACGGCCACTATGCTGACTCGTTTCTGCCCTTATCTGCTCCGTCGCGTCAATCTGGGACTTTAAATCCTTTGCCTGATCAATCGTAAGGGGCCCTCCTTTCTGTAATTGCTTTCTCTTCGTACGGCGACGGCGGCTAAGGCGGTCATTTGCATCTCGAAGTTCGGCGAGTTCGTGGCGTACAAGGGTCTGCTCGTGCACCATCATCGCGATTCCTTTATTTAGCTGCCGTAGGCTTGCAATTATTGATGTTGGAGAGCTGCCCTGATATCGTACGATGCGATTCTTGATGTATTCGGTCTGTGATTCCGCCTCAATTGGGTTGTTCGGCGTCTTCGAGACCCAAGGTGGCGGAAGGCCTGCAGATGAACTTGGCGGAGTTGGCGTATGAGGTTTTACATCTAGCTGCGAAATAACATATTCCGGGTCGTACGGTACTAGGCCAGTCGCTCTAAAGCCTGCCTGTATATTTGACTTGGTAATTGCAGCGTCGTACGCCTTGTAAAAGGCTAGGAGGAAGTCTTCCTTCGCGATGTGGGTAATATGCGCCCGCATGAGACCTTCGATTTCTTTTCCGTACGCCCTTTTAAGAGGTCCAAAGCACCCGACATCGAGAGGCTGGAGCTTATGCGACGAATGAGCAGGCATACAGAGCGTAATTATGTTCTGGTCCTTGCAGTATAGCTCGAAATCGACCGAGTGGTGGCTCTCGTGGCCGTCGAGGATAAGGAGCCGGTAAGCGCCCTTCGTACGGCTCTTTGTATGAAAATCGAAGTGTTTTACCCATTCGAGACCTTTCTCATTCGTCGTCCAGCCGTTTTCAGTAAGCGTAATTACCCAGCTAGGCGGTAGAGGGCTTTCGGTCGTCCAGGAGTCGAGGTGGACCTTGCCTGCGAAGATGATGTACGGCAGAATCGAATTGCCGGACGACCCGATACCCTGGATTACTGTAACCCATTCCTGATTCCCTTGTTGTACGGCTCTTGGCTTGCCGCGTCGATCGGAGGTCGTAACGACAGTCTCGGTGGAGATCTTACCCATCGCGAAGCCCGTCTCGTCGAAGTTGTAGATATCGTCGTCGTGTATCCCGTATTTCGCAATTACGTTTCGTACGAGGGAAAACCACGCGCGATACGCGTCTGGATCTTCGCAGAGGACTCTCTGATAGTCGATTCTTCGATTAAAACGCGTTCGGAGCTCAGGTCGTCGTCGTACGAAGTTTGCAGCCCAGTTGGTTCCGACGCGCGGCGCGTCGCGTACGCGGAGGAGTCGATCCGCCATTTCTCGAACACCACTAAGGCGCGGTGGAAATGATCGCGAATCTAGGTCGATTACGTATCGGACAATGCTGTCCTCTTCGTATGAGGTCAATTTCTAGCTTTGTGGTCGTGAATCGCGCTTTGTAGGTTGACCATGGTATCGTCTGTGGAGTGTTGACTTCGACACGTTGTATATCGATGCAGCTTTACGAATTGTCAATTGTGGGTTTGTTTTAAGCGCATTAAGCGCTAGAATCAAATCGCCTTCAGTTGATTGTCGTGGCATAATTATTGGTGGAGGAAAATAAGAAGAAAGAGAGTGTCTTTCAGAAAGCGGGAAAGTGTCCCACTCCCTTGTTTGTCCCACTCCCTTGTGGATTACGTTATGGGAAATATACGTAGATATTACAGGCGAAGGTTGAGACGCTGCTTTACTGCTGATATAAGGTGGCGCCCAGGTATAGTCGTTTCTGGGCGGTAATTATGCCAGCCATATAATTATACCCTGCCCATCATTCAGGCTGGTAGTGACCGTCACTACCAGGGGTAAGTTGGGGTAAGCCCATAGTTAAGGGTGGGTTGGGTAAACCCCTGTCGGGTCGAGTGACGGTCATTACCATGACGGTCATTACCACAGGGGTGCAGCCGCACCTGAGACCCCTGATTTGTGTCGGAAGCTAACCTTAACCCCAGCTAACCCTGTGTGCTGTGCCGTGTCTGCTGCTGCCCTCTCATTAAATAACCCATGACATATGGCGCGGCCCTGGACGCCGCTCGCTAACCCTGACGGCGAAAAAGGTATCGCAATTAACAGACAATAACGCGTAGAATAGAAAATACACACCTTATGCATACAATATTTCACTCCTCAATCTAACACTCCAGTCGTGATCAAAGGACTATCTAGCGATGGCGATACACTTCGAGGCGGACGCTGGTCGCACCGGTGGGCAGGTTGGGCTGCTGAGCTGGCCTACGTCAGACGCTAGTAGTAGCCAAGAGCATCGTGTCCTCCTCTGCGTCTCGTGTAGAGTTGGGATACGACCAGACGACGGCATACGACTGCACTTCTGGCGGACGCACCGTCTCAAGGGCGAGGCACTCGGCCATATTATCGACTACAGCCACGCCGCCGAGCCAATTGCGAACCCGTACACCGTACCAGTACCAGACGACGGATCACCATCCATAGACCAGCTGCCGGTCTTAAATGGCTTCAGCTGCTCGGAGTGCCGCTTCCTAACGACGAGCCGGAAGCTAATCAGGGTCCACCGCTCGCAGTCAGGTCACGGTAGTAACTGGAAGGAAGTACGGCTGCAGACCCTAACGCCGGGAAACCATGCGCGGTACTGGGCAGTCGAGCAAGGACCTACCAGAACGGCCAGTCCCGGCGTATCCGGCCCTATTTCTACTTCCTCACAGTACATATTAGACGAACGCCTCGCAAGATACGAAGAAAGCCTAGCGGCCGAGCTAGAGGAGACACGGCGGACGGTTGATAGCCGGCAGGGACCTAACTTCGAATCGACCTGGGTCCGCGAGATGGGCTGGGCAAGGCACCTAGCCGGCAGCGACACGAGCGAGCACTTCCGAGCAGGCCGGAATGCCCTTACTACCATAGAACGTGCTAAGCTACGGACTGAGGCAGAGCTTGCCGAGTAATAGCGTCTGGTCCGACTCGGGGCTAGCTTCGACAGGCAGATCACGAAATGTCTTGAGCGAACAAGTCGAGTACCGAACGAGGTACTGCGATACCTCGCTAGCACAGATGCTAGCCGCCCAGCAGCTTCCCCTTTCAAGACGGAGAACGGCCAGGATACGAAGGATCGATACCAGGCCTACTGGAAGCGCTACCTTTACTACTGCGTCCGGGTAGGGCGTCTCGGTCGAGAGGTAGCGATGGAGAAGTTCCGGATCCGGTTCGACGATTCCCAGTGGGCTGCACTAGAGGAGATTATTGTGACGACCCGACCAACAGGTCGCAAGATCGGGCCAGGGACAAGGGCAGGTCATGCACGCGGGGCAGCACACCCCTGGTTACATAAGCATTCCATTATGTCAGCCAGACGGCAGTGGATCACCAGGGATCACCACAGATCCAAGGTGATCCAAGATCACTGGGGATCACCGAAGATCCAAGATGATCCAGGATCGCGACAGGAGCCAAGCGATCCAGGAAACCACGATGAAGGACAAAAGGTATATAGGGCCAGGAGGATCTCCTTGTAGACAGTCATTACCTTTGTACTTCAGCGATCAATCTAAGTATCAGTTTCACCCACACTTGAACTAGTCACTCAATTGCCGAGACTGGTATCTCTTCCCAGAGACACGAACGACAACCCAGAGAGAGAGAACGACAGCAGTGTTAGTTGTTATCGCACAGGCTTTACCTATCTTGCAGAACAGCAACCCAGCGCCCTGCCAGACGGTTGACCCCGGAGGCAGGATCGTGACAAAGACCTATAGCTACTTTAAATTTTATATTTAACGTAATCCACAAGCAAGCGGGTCACACAAGCGACCGGGTCACCCTCCCAGTACTCGTACGACAATATATAAGTCAATTCAACCACAACGCCTCAAATCAATTCAAACTACTCAGAATCCTCTTCTTCAGAGGTAGACTCAACTTTCTGACAGGTACGCGCATTATGGCCGGGCTCCCCGCAGACGCCACAGCGTCGCGCGCGCGTTTCGGGCCTCCTCGTACGACCACTATTCTGACTTGTTTCCGCTATTAACTGCTGCGTCGCATCGATTTGAGCCTTCAAATCCTTTGCCTGATCAATCGTGAGGGACCCTCCTTTCTGTAGCTGCTTTCTTTTCGTACGACGACGGCGGCTGAGGCGGTCGTTTGCATCTCGAAGTTCGGCGAGCTCTTGGCGCATAAGGTCCTGCTCGTGTACCATCATTATGACTCCTTTTCTTAGCTGCTGTACGCTCTTAACAATGGACGACGGTGAGCTATTCTGGTGTCGTACGATGCGATTTTCAATGTACTTCGTCTGCGATTCGGTCTCAATTGGGTTGTTCGGCGTCTTTGAAACCCATGGGGGTGGTAGTCCAGCAGAGGAACCTGGCGGTGTCGGCGTATGAAACTTCACATCTAGCTGCGAAATCACATAATTCGGGTCGTACGGTACTAGGCCTGTCGCTCTAAAGCCTGCCTGGATGTTTGATTTGGTCATTGCAGCGTCGTACGCCTTATAAAAGGCTGGGAGGAAGCCCTCCTTTGAAAAGTGGGTTATGTGCGCCCGTATTAGACCTTCGATTTCTTTACCGTACGCCCGTTTCAGAGGTCCAAAGCACCCAACATCGAGAGGCTGGAGCTTATGCGACGAGTGAGCAGGCATACAGAGCGTTACGATATTCTGTTCCTTGCAGTAGAGCTCGAAATCGACCGAATGGTGGCTCTCGTGGCCGTCGAGGATAAGGAGGCGGTGGGTACCCTTCGTACGACTCTTCGTATGGAAATCGAAGTGTTTTACCCATTCTAGGCCTCTCTCGTTCGTCGTCCAACCGTTTTCTGAAAGCGCGATTACCCAGTCGGGCGGTAGGGGGCTATTCGCGGTCCAGGAGTCGAGGTGGACCTTCCCGGCGAAGATGATATACGGCGGGATTAAATAGCCGTACGACGCGATGCCCTGGATTACTGTAACCCATTCCTGATTCCCTTGTTGTACGGCTCTTGGCCTCCCGCGTCGATCGGAGGTCGTAACGACAGTCTCGGTGGAGATCTTACCCATCGCGAAGCCCGTCTCGTCGAAGTTGTAGATATCGTCGTCGTGTATCCCGTATTTCGCAATTACGTTTCGTACGAGGGAAAACCACGCGCGATACGCGTCTGGATCTTCGCAGAGGACTCTCTGATAGTCGATTCTTCGATTAAAACGCGTTCGGAGCTCAGGTCGTCGTCGTACGAAGTTTGCAGCCCAGTTGGTTCCGACGCGCGGCGCGTCGCGTACGCGGAGGAGTCGATCCGCCATTTCTCGAACACCACTCATCCGCGGCGGAAACGATCGCGAATCTAGGTCGATTATGTATCGTACGACGCTGTCCTCTTCGTACGAGGTCAAATTCTGGTTATGTGGTCGGAGATCGCGTTTCGCAGGTCGGCCGTGTTGTCGTCGCTGGAGGGTGGAGAATGATACATTATAGAGTGATGCAGCCTTTCGTACGCTTAATTTTGGGTCGGATTGGAGCGCCTGAAGCGCGAGAATTACGTCGCTTTCAATTGATTGCCGTCCCATAATTACTGGTGGAGAAAAAGGGGAAAGAAGAAGGCCTGTACGAAAGTGGCGGGCGACTGATTCACTAGCTTGTGTGATTCACTAGCTTGTGTGATTCACTTGCTTGTGGATTACGTTATATCTAGAGCTAAAAGCTTATATAAGCTATTTATTCTAGGAAAAACATATTTAACTGGACTATAGAATATTCTTATCGTTTACAATCGGTACTAATACTATTTTAGTATCTTTTAAAATGGAGAAGTTATAAGATATTGAAATTCCTTATATAAGCAGCGATAAGGACTGATTCACTCGCTTGGTTGATTCACTTGCTTATGGATTACGTTATATGACTTGGTGTTAGCCTGGTCTAGGTCTTCGATGACCGTGCTACTTAGGACGGTCTTGCCGCAGCCTGGCTCGCCGTGTAACCATAGAAAGGCGCTCGGGGTGTTTTTCCATGAACTGTACTCGGGAGTCTCGAGGAGCCAGCCGCCCGTATCCTGGTGGCGCTGTTTTAGAGCCCGCGTGTAATTTGTCGCGTCATCATACAGTCTGACTCGAATTCGGTGTCTGTCTTTCGTTGAGCGTAAGTCTGCGCACACGAGCCACGTGGGGGACATGAGTGGACACATGCAAATGTTGAGGCGGGGCATCTTGGACAGCCGTTTTCCGCGTGCCAAGTAGTCATGGCATTGTCTCATGTCTTTTATGTACTGTAAGTTCGAAGCGATAAAGCTCAGGTCCAGATGCAGGTAATGACACAATGCTGGCCAATGTGGGGCGTGGTCTCCGAAGGTACGCAACAAGGTGGGTCTTCGTCTGTCTGAGGTTGTGCAACTATTGATGGTCTACTGGCTGTTGACCGCCGTCGAGATCAAAACCGGAGTGAAAGTCGTTTACTTGCCTGGGTCGAAAATTCTAGTAGCCTCTACAACGAGCGTATTGTCTCTGGGCAAAGTGGACGATCGCGATTAACGAGGTAAGATTAAGGAGGGAAGAGAGAATCAGTAACGACTGAGGCGCCAGAAGTTTGATATCGTGGCTCCTGATGCGGTTGTGGGAAGATAAGGCCAATAGGTCGTAAGAACATCATCGCTGATCATTCGCAAGGTTGGAAAGAAATACGAAAGACTCGACTACATGGCCACCAGAGAGTGAGACGGATCTAAACATAAAAGTCGGAGAACGTCGGGGTCGCTCGTCCGATGTGCCCACCATACTAACTCGCGGGCCCAGACGTCTACATCACTCGCTGCGCCCTTTCCAGTTGATAGCAATAGAGAAACGACCCGCGAATTGCCGTGCCTTACCGCCGCATGGAATGCTGTTGAGCCGCGCCAGTCTGTAGCGTTGTAATCAGTACCACGATTGCTAAGTAGAGTGCGGACGACTCCTAGGTGTCCAAACCAGGAGGAAAGAAAGAGAGAAGTACGGCCCAATGGATCTGGGTGATTGGCATTTGCTCCATCCTCTATGAGAAGCCTGACAATCTCGGCGTGGCCTCTAGCTGAGGCGGCCTGCAGAGCGTTGCCGTAAAAGCCGCCCTGCGCCTTGACGTCCGCCTCCTTCTCTAGGAGCAGCTTGACAATGTTGTCGTGGCCTTCTCCGGTGCGATGTCATTGCCTCCCCACAACTGGTCGTGTCTGTTGAAATCGCCGACAATGATCGTATGCGTGACCTTGCCTCCTGGCCTCTGCTCCGCCCGAATGGCGGAATCGAGTAACACGCAGGTTTCTGAGAGGGCTTCCGGGTTGCCGCCTGGGACGTCGAAACCATCAATATTAGCCGTGGTGAGCGCGGCGTCGATGTCACCGTCTATGATGACATACCGCTTCTTGTACGTCAGCTCCAAGTCATCTTCGTTCTCAGTCTTACGGATGCGGGCGCTCCAGCCGGCGGTATAGATGTCCTTGCCGGTCGTATCAAGAAGCTGGGCATGCAGCTTGGTGACGCTTAGGGGCATGTCGAAGGTCGACAGGACGCTGCTCGTGAGCTCCGTGTTGGGACCGAGGACTGCGGTGGGTTTGAGGAGGAACTTGATCTCGTAGTCGGGCATCATATTTGGCGCTCCCTGCATTGCGGAGTCGACAATGGCGGTCATAGCGAACAGGCGGCAAGGGGAGGAGTGTATGGTACCTGTGAGTTCACGGGCAAGGCTTGAATGAAGCAATAAGGTCGACTGAGCAGCGGTAGTTTGCAAGAGGGGACCAAGTAGGTGAGGTAGTCGCTGTTCTGGAACAAAACGATGCCCGGCCCTTGTTTCTGGACGGCTCCTTCCGCCAGCCCCATTTTCGAAGCATGAGGTAGAGAAGACGCACATCCGGCATCCGTTCAAGTGACAGAACAGGCCAATAAGAACACGCAATTGATCACCGTCATCTGCAGAACATGAACAGACAGAATGACATCAGAATGACCCCATGCAAGAAATCGGTTACAAGATCCACATCAATTTCATATGCCTCAGCGGTGGATTGGGTTGAGTTGATCGCCAGCTTGGTTGTACGCATATGCCGAGTAGAGGAGTACAGAAAATCCAACGCAGCAGCTGTCTCCGCTGTTCGTATTCGGCCAGCAGGTTATTTATAAAGTTACGGTGATGCGTACGGCTGGGGTCATATTGAAGCTTAAATAACGATAGAAAAATCATCCAGTTGTCGAGAAGTAGCTTGATATGTACCAGTAGCAAAGATCACTCCGTAGAGGTGCTAGTAACGCCTCTAGCTAGCTGCTACGATACTCGGGGCATTGATCACATGCCAAGTTATCCTAGCTGCGCGCCTCCTTTAACATGAGGGCCCCGGAGGTTCAGTAAACACGGGTCGTGCTTGAATACACTCGCTCTACCTTTGGGATGATTTGGATAAGTTCCCAATTAGATAAAATTAGTCGGTGACGGTATACCATAATTGTTGGCGCCATGCCTAACATTGTGTTGCCATAGTAGGCGTGAATGCAGAGGGGTTTTCACATGCCTTTCTCCGAAGTTCACTAACCAATCCCCATGGTTTGTGGTGCTGTCAAGGGGTTTCACTGGAAAAATCAGGGCATGGTGCTGCGAGCCTGGTGCCGCGTCAACCAACGCCTGCATCACAACGGCGATCAAACCCACTGCGCTCGGGCCTGTGCCTTCGAAGTTGCGCGGGGGGGAGGGAAGCGCTCCTCTGTTGGCACATCTTCGAATGTAGCCTCGGTAAGAACGACCGCGAGTGTGCGCCGCCCCCGTACTCCGTGCACAGGGTCCCTTCAATCAGAAACGGATGATCGTGTCGCTGACGTTCCCGATACGTCCAAGTTGGGGCGGAATCACGAGCACCTTTCGATGGACTTTGCCCTAGCGGTCTCGCAGCGACAGAGGAAGTACCTTGCTGCTATTCGTCAATAGATCCGCCACAGCCTTCTGTTGGTCGATCAACAGCCCGAGCGAGCCAGCCGCAGCGCTTTCAGCCCAGCCCCGCGATAATCGCGCAGGATGAAGCCGTCAAAGCTTCTCGTCTTATTTATTGGTTGTATGAGTGAAATGACTTCACAGTCGTTTGGCCGTCTCCATAATGTACTCTTGTATCAGCGGGCTCTCGCAGGTGCCGTGCCGCAGGATCTCTGTCTTGAGCGACAGGATCTCGTTACGCAGGCACTCGACATGTCCGCTGAGAATTCTGTTCTTCTCGGAGAGCTGGCTCTCCATCTCCTGCAGCTCCTCGGCGCCCTTCTTTATCTTGTTGCGGTACTTTGTCGCGGCAGTCCTGTTCTTTTCACGGATCGTCTTTTTCTTCCTCCGGGTATTACTGGTGGCGGTTGAGGTACTGGGGCTGCCGTCTTCAATAGAGAATGTTGTAGTGGCTGCTTGTGACTTTGAAACCGACGAGCTGGCTCTCCGTTTTGACCGGCCGGCTTGCGATTTTGTCTTGTGTTGCTGCAGGTGATAGTAGCTATGCCGCCTTGACGAGGATGGCTCGGTGCCGACATTGTCCGGACTGGTATAGGTAGATGCGGTGACGGCATCAGAGAATGCGCCTAGCAGGCTGGAGGGCGAATTGGGCCAGGATTGTATGCTCGGTGCGGCATCATCGGCTATGGCCGTGTTAAGCTCGGCTGGGACCAGCGTGTCGAATTGCATTGTGTCAAACGCTTGTAAAGCAGCGTTGCCGAGGGGCATCCAGGACATGTCGCCAAGCTTGTCGCAGGACAGGCAGTAGCTCTGGCCGGACCAGTCTGCCATTGTGTTATCTTGTGTATTGGCGGGACTTGTCGCCATAGTGGTTGGTGACTCCATGCCTATGAAAGAAATGGGGGGTGTTTCTGGCTCCAGTGTCGTGTGAAAAACGAGGTCTTTGAAGTCCGCGGGTGCGGATGCGAATGCGTGTCTTGCGATGGAGGGGATGGAAGAAGATTGGGAGGTCGCAACCTCGAACGTCGGGACCAGTGCGGCGGTGGCAGGCGGCACCAGGGCAGGCCCAGGGAGCTGCCTGCCCGCCCGCGCGGCGTGCAGGATCCTCGCCCAGCTGGGCAGTGACGACCGACGGACGGCAAATGCCGTTGTGCGCTGCGGGCAGGACAGTTGAGCTTGGCGATTGGTAAGACGGCGCAAGTAGGAGCAGATGCTCCTCCCCCAGGCCAGGAGCTGCACAATGAGGTAATGGGTCATTGAGTAACAGGCCTGCAGGAGCGTTGACGTACCTCTACGCCTCGGATCACCAGAATTACTCATGCTCCCGCAGCTGCGGCCGTTCCCACGCGTGCGTCGGGAGGAGAGACACAAAAGAACCCGGGTCGGCCGTCACGCATGCAAATCTTTCTCTTTCCTCTTTTCTCCGGCCTCGCATGCATTCGAAAGTAGACCCAGGTAGTCCCATAGGATCTCACCGCGCTCCTCTCGCATATCCAAAGAAGGAAGCCCATAGCAATCGACTTGATGCTCTCGCCAGCTTCGAGTAGCTCGGTTTGCCAGTCTCCGAGGTTTTGATCGTTGCAGTATCTGCTCAGCCGTCAGTCGCGCCATACACGGTCGTGGGATCTGCAAATCAGTCCACCTACCTCTCCCGTCTCTTTGCGGTATCAACAACACCCTTCTGGGTTGCGAGAGACCAGACTGGAGGTATGAAATGTACCGACTCGAGCTTTTTGCGTAGCGCCGCATGCTGTGCATTGTTGAGAGCATCTACGGCGGGTTTTCCACGAAGCTTTGCTTCCCGACTGTGGAATAACCGGAGGAAGTCTTCGTGCGCGTGGGCAGGCACTTGGGTGGCCATGACGTCTTTGTACTCGTTCTGCTGGGCCCCAGCTCTTCAGCGATGAGATCGCGGTTCCTCATTGTGATATATACTACCTATGCCATGGACAATCAATATCTCGTCACCCTCCCAGCGCCCAGACAGGCCGAGTTGCATGAGAAGGGCGGCCCATGCGCACGGCTGTTAGGCATGGGCTGTGTGCCGCGCTGCAGTGGGTTGCCCCACTACAGCGCTTAGAGCCCCGCTGGACGAGAACAGAATTCTGTCTTCTGCGAAGTACACGATACCTGCACAGAACAGGATGGTGTTCGAGCATCTATTAATTGACTCCCCAGCTCGCAATTAACAACCCCCCCAGCACCGCCTTTTGTCTCCTCTCTGTAAGTTTCTTGAAACAACGATGTCGAGTAGATTCTAGCTAACGGCAGTCCAGCTATGGAGACTTACCCAGTCAGACGGCTCTGGAGAAGTGGGGGAACACCTTTTTGGTCGGGTGGGAGAACCGTGACATCACCTGGGAACCTAAAGGTGGACTTCCTTCGGACCAACCGGATGAAGTCTGCAGCCCAAGAGCAGGCTAGCTGGTCACACCCTCTTTACCCCGCTCGCTTTGCACCCCCTCTCTACCCCGCTCGCTTCACTGAGACTGATTGTTGATTTTCCCTCCCGCAGGAAAAGCGGACGAGCGCGCCACGTCATCGTTGGGCTGGCAACTTCCAGGCCTTGTGCAGTAAGTCTTCTCTCTCCCTTCATCGACGAACCAGGGAATGATGACAATGCCCAGAAAGAGGCGGATCCCCAACAAAGGCCGAAATCAACATCTTCAAGGACGATGTTGGATTCAAGTGGGAATGGGAGCAATCAAAGTTGGTCGCTCTGACATCCAAGGATCTTGAGGGACTACGAGGCAGTTTGCCGAGTGACGATGCAGGGGAGGAACCTTAATGCAGGATAAATATGGATGGAGTCTTCCCCGTACGGAGTAGTGCAACCGCTTGATGCGATCTTATTGGCGAACGGTAGTTCTTGCACCTGTGTACCTAGGTAGGTACATTTTCATCCAGGTTCTGTGATGAAGGCGGTGGTAGCTCAACGCGCACTGATACGCAGATCTGTGATAACCTCACTCAGATGGCGAGGTCTCATATCATCCACACGCAATGCTCCGTCTCACCAGGGCCGCGAGAGCCGCATCAGCAATTCGTGATCACTCTCTCGACTCTCGTCCATGGCCAGACCTCCACCAACGCCGCCCTCCTCCAACTTCTTTCTCTGCCCGCCTTGCCTTGCCTCTCTCCCTCTTGATCCCCCTCGGATCCCCCTGGCCTCTGCTCCTCCGTGGCATTGCAACTCGGCGGCACTAAGCACTAGCCAACCCAGTCCCCCAGCTGCCCACCCGCCCATTCTCCCACGCCTCTCCTACAGCGTCGCAAGCCTCAGGCCTGCCTGCCAGCCACGACCTCGCTCTACCCATGAGTGGTGCCAACCTTCGGCCATTGCTGCCGCCTCCCCGAGAGTCCGGCAGTACCACCACCGACGCCTCCGCCGAGTCAGCCGCCGGCCGCCGCCAGAACTCGGGCGCCTGTGACCGCTGCCGCAGCCAAAAGAGTCGTGTCAGCCTCCTCTTCTCCCTTCCACTCTGCCCTCCTGCCTGTCCCCCGCTGACCATGGCCGCTCCCCTCCAAAGTGCAACCGGAGCCGGCCAAAGTGCAGCCTCTGTGCCAAGCGCCAGGTCTATTGCTTCTACAGCGCCGATGTCAAGAAGCAGTCCCTCGAGGTCCACAAGCGCCAGGGCGAGCTCCTCCACATGATGTGCACCGCACCCGAGGGCGAGGCTCTCGACATCCTCTTCCGCCTGCGGGCTTCAGGTGATGCCCAGTCCGTCCTCGAGTCCTCCCGCGGCAGCATGAGCCGCCAGTATCAGCCTTCTGCCATCCAGGCCGCCCGTGCCGTCCCCACAGACCTTTTCGATGCTCGAGTTCGAGATGTCGACACGCCAGACGATGCCATACCAGGAAGCATCCATGTGCAGCAGGACGGATCGCAACCCGTGACATCAGCTCGAGGCAGCCTCGGCACTCGGCGAAGCAAAATACTCGAGGCTCGTCACGGCACAATTCGGGCCGAATAAGGAGCAGGTCGTCGGGATAGAGGGGTAAAGAGGCCATGAGAGTGGATTTGTGGTTCCCGACAGTCATCACCCGTGCTTGGAGGTGGTGAGAAAGCCCTGTGTATGGTCTAGCGGGCGTCATGCATATTTTGGATGATGCATTTTCGTTCGCACAGCGACCACTCTCAGACTGCCACGCGGCGGCATCTTGCTGCAAGGTTCCCCTTTCCCTTTGACTTTACTCCAAGCCAGCCACAGAGACTAATCAGTCCGAGCATCAAATCACACCAGCGCTTCCGCTCATCCCTTGCAGTGTACTTTCTCGGGGTTCTTTGCCTTCTTTGCCGTGTGCCAAAGGACAGGAGGCCCGTGGCCTGCATGAGCGCCCCTGCAACACGCTTCAGCCAGCCACCGCTGTCGAAATAAAAGCAATACGGTTACCTTGCAATGCGATGCGCATGCGACGCAACGCTTAGAGATGCAGCTGGGCTAATGCAGCGCGAGCTCAGCTAGCCACAAGCCATTGGACCCCCTGCTATACTGAGCCGTCCTCTGCATGCAGTAGCGGAATTATCGCAATAACGGCATTATTGGGTCCGTGGAGGAGTGCCGGTCTTCATGCGAGACGACCATGGAGCGCAACGGAGGGTCTCAAGAGAGATGGCCACGGCTAGCCGTTCGCCTTCACTCGTCAGGCAATGTGTTGTGCTGCACGCAACGTCAAGACTTGACAAGGAGGACACGCGTTTTGAAAGCGTGTGTCAACTACCTGGCCTGCAATTTGTGCCTCAGTCACAATCATGCCCCAGAGACAAGCAGCCGGTGAAGCCCAAAGTCATCAATAATTGCGAGCATGGCGTCCGACATCGTCCCCAGCCAAACTACATGTTCCTGCGCCTCGATAACTTCATGATCCAGAACGATGTCCAGCGGCACGCGAATCTGCACAACACCGCCCCGGCTGGCCCCATCTCCGTCACCGCCGGCGGCTGCTTGAGGAGATATGTTCACGCTTTTAGAGGCGATAGTCAAGCAATCAATCTTTTCTCGTTCTCGATGATAACTAACGTGGAAGGGTGAGCGATACGGAGAAGTGGGCGGCATCCTTAAGGTGGCTGTAACTCATCGATACGATGAGCCAAAGGGAGCTGCAGAAACCAGTGGATGCAATGGCCAGGGCAGAGCCGTAGACAGCGAGCGTGAGCAGCCTCTATCGAGCACACCGAGGACTGGTCTCGGCTCAACTGTTCCGACAACGGCAAGCCGTTCGCGCGAAGCTTTCCTCCTCGAGGTTCAATATGCGTAGCCCATACCGAGTCATCTGCTCTTCCTTCAAGCCAAACAACCCAGCTCCCGAATCGGCGGGGTATCCTTCAGGGGCTGCTGCGGAGCGTCGTTCGCAGACAGTACACCCACCCTGGGCAAGACGCCTGCGACCGCTGGGAAAGACTTGCTGAAACGATAGGAACGACCCCATCAGAGGAGCGGTCACGGTAGGATGAGTTTGAGAGGACCTTGGTGATTTTGACTTGTCTTGTCCAGACTACTGGCTATAGAGTGTATCTATCGCACTGTAGACAAGCGAACGCAGCTAGAGTGTGAGAAACTAGCTCCTCATGGACCAAGCAGTGTGCCGCTTTCAAGCTGCGGCAAGCTCCCTCAGGTCTTTGGCGCTCCTCAAAAAGCCTTGTGGCCTCTAAACGTGCGCCAAAGCCTGACACCAGTTCTTCTGGTAATGCAGTAGAACCAGTAGAAGTCAAGGAGCATCATTGAAACAAGGCCGGCGGTACACGACACCTGCCCTGATGTATAGAGCTGATCAAAGTCCATATAAGCGGGGCAATTACTACACGGGCATGAAGAATTGCTACCCGGGCATGACTCTTACACGGGCATGACCTTTTGCAGCCTCTGATTGGTCCATCCCTTTTTGTTAGTGCATTTAGATTCTGCCAACGCTCCCCTTGTACCTCGGGATTAGCTCTCCACCACGACGATCGACGAGACATATGGAAGCTATTCACTAGCTAGCTACTACACCAATTACCTCTTGTCGCATGTCAAGCCTACTGATAATGATTGTTCGTGAAAGATACCATATTTGTCAAGGTCACAGGGCTCCAGGCGTGGTGTGTTAGGTCCCCTGCTGAGACCAACACTCAAAACACAGGCTGTATCAGGAATATCTAACAGCCTCATCTTCCAAGGCATCTGCATCACAAAGCAGGTCATTCCTTTGTGCTGAAATTGGTCCCCTCTTTCCTTCTTTCATAGTCAAATCAACTGCCCCTTTAACCATGTTCTCATCCGTGCGTGCGACACTCTTCCTGTCGCGATCAAGGCCGTCATTATGTCCCAGCCCGACTCTCGATCTAGCTCAGCAAGCAACCAACGACTACGAAGCTATCAATTACGTCCTCGAAAACGACAGCGGCAGAACCAATCTGAGAGTTCAAGACCACCTTCGTCTAATAGCACAGGGACGAGCATTGGCCCACACTATGGCGTGGGAGACGACGAGGCACTCTATAATGCTTTCGCCTCGTACCCAGAGACCTTCACGACCGCTCCACGCCCCCATGGATCGCGTGGGCTGAACGAGCCACCATGGGAGCTGCGATTCGATCATGAGATTCACCTATCGAATGATTTCCCAACCCGAGGAAGACGGTCGCAACGAGTAAGAATGCCTATACCAGGCCCGGAAATCGACCAGCCACCTGCCTGCTCTCCACAACAATCAGCACAAGAACAATTCTCTCCAACAAGACCCCAGTTTCAGTCCGCCCTTAGGCTAGTGCGCGAGGTGATTGGGACAGATCGAAGACTTACCATCGAGCTCGTCCGGTCATACGAACGAGTCCGCCAATGGCGCGAGATATGGGGCTACTCGCCGCTCAGTTCAACTGCATTCGAATCATCTCCGCCATACTCGCCTCCCCGAGAAAGGCACTCTCCGCCTATCGCCTCGCCGCCCTCGCCCGACCACCCCTTGTCGCCTGTCCCTGACCCGATCCCGAACCCACCTATCCCAGGCGACCCAGCGCCGTCAGCCGAAGTCCTGTTCGAGTGGGTGAATACTTTCGCGAAGGCTAATGGCTTCGGTATTGTTCGACGAAATGCCTACTCATATAAGGGTCGGAAGATCCGGTACTCTTTCCAATGCGATCGATTCGGAGAACCACGCCCCTCAGAGAGTACCGGTATTCGGCAACGGAAGTCTCGAAAGTGTGGTTGTAAATGGATGGTCATTGCCGAAGCACTGGAGGAGGGTAGATGGCTTCTACGACACCACGATAATTCCGAGCATAGCCAGCATAACCACCGGGCCAGTATCAAACCATCCGCCCATCCCTCCCACAGACGACTCACTACACCTATCAGGGCAACAGTCGAATCGACAAGCCGTCGGGTCGGAATTCGGGCCCGTGACGTACGCGCGATCGTCCTGGAGCAGCATCCCGAGTCATCCTTTACACGAAAGGATATCTATAACGCCAGGTCTCGTATCAGCCGAGACAAGTTGAGCGGCCACACTCCTACTGCAGCACTGATCAAGCTGTTCGACGAGATGGAGATTCCCTATCTTGTTAAGTGGGCGGATGATGAGCCAAACCACCTCGTCAGTCTTATCTGGACCTTTCCGTACTGCCTCTAGATGTGGAAGCGGTTTCCTGAGGTCATCAGCTTCGACAACACATACAACACCAACCGCTTCAAGCTTCCATTATTCCAAGCAATAGGACAGACCTGCCTTGGTTCTATCTACAATGCGGCGTTCGGTCTGATCGACAACGAGAGACGGGAGGGGTTCCAGTTCCTCTCTGAGAGCATTCGACAGATCTCAGAGCAGCACTCTATTCGCCAACCGGACGTTATCATTACTGACTTCGACGGTCAGATGAAGGCCGCGCTGAATGATCAGTTCCCTGATGCACAGCAGCAGCTGTGCATCCACCAAATCAGTTCTAACGTCTTGCTCAAGTCAAAGCAGAAGTGGGTCAAGGGCCAATGTAGCAGTAGTAGTCCCGACAGCAGCAACGGGGAGGACTACGCTCCACAGGCACAGGCTGAGCTCGGCCCAAAAGACGGACAGTTGGTCAACGCGCAGACAGCTGAAGTCGTCCCTCATAGCCATCGAGGGGTTCTCATGATGTGGAAGGTCGTCTTGTTTGCGGAGACAGAGGAGGCTCACGAGAAGGCGTGGGGAAGCCTCTGTAGGGAATTTGACGATCAGCGGGCCATCCTGCGGTATCTCCATGGAACCTACATGCCTGTCAGGGCGCAGTGGGCACGATGTTTCATTCGCAACTATCGCAACTTCGGCATCCGCGTCACATCTGGGACAGAAGCAAGCAACAACAACATCAAGAGCTATCTCCTGAATGGTATGAGCAATCTCTATCGGCTTATCGAGGCTATGCAGGACATGATGAAGGACCAGGAGCGAGATTTCAACGACGCCTGCGCAGCGGACGAGGTACTTACCGCGCGAGAGTACATAGGGTCCAGCTCGGAGTATCTAGGCGAACTCCGGACAGCACTCTCTTCGAAGGGTCTCGGGCTGATCAACAAACAATATCGGCTAGCAAGGAAAGCAATGCCGACGGGGAAGAATCCGTTCCCTGACCCCATTGGCGATTGCAGTGAGGACTGCTCGGTTTCGACCGAGCTTGGAATCCCCTGCTGCCACACAATCTACTCAAAGCTGGTGAGTGGCACGCCTCTCACCAAATGGGAGGTCCATCCTCGGTGGCGCCTACGAGAGCCATCCTCTCGAGATCCATACCGACGAATCCTCGACCCTAAGATCGCCACTGCTCTCCGTGGCAGACCTAAGAACACCACACAGGCTGTTCCAGCGCGGCTAGCCATTGAGGCAAGCAGCCAGCCGAGTAGCCAACGAGCCAGCAATCCAGCAAGCCAAGCGACAGGGCGCAGACGAGGTCGACCACCAGGAAGTCACAACAAGTCAACGCTAGCTAGGCTTGCTCTGGAAGCGAGCCAACAGGCCAGCAGCCAGGCTAGTAGCCAGGCCAGTGCCTCATCCCAGCGCCAGACGCGCAGCCGGTCAGCTGTTCTTGCAGCTGGAAGAACTACAGGAGTACATGCCAACGGACGGAAGACGCAATCTAGCATTCGCAGGCGAAGGAGTCAGTGGGAGCTGCTTGACAGCGACGAGGAGGTTCTTCCATCTATAGTAGTTAGAGGATAGAGATATAGATAGCTGCCCTCTAGGGCGCGCTGGAATTGGCCGTGTTCTGTATTGAAAACCAGACCTTGTTTTGATATACGCCTAAGACCTGTTCTAGAGGCCTGGTTGACCTGGTTGGTTCTGACTATACCGAAAGCACGGCCTTGTTAAGAGAGCTTGCTTCACCGCCTTTGCACTGATGTACCTGTGGGTCGAAGGAAAAAAATGAGCGAATCAGAGGCGATAGAAGTCATGCCCGTGTAAGAGTCATGCCCGGGTAGCAATTCTTCATGCCCGTGTAGTAATTGCCCGAGTAAAAGCCCACACAGAAGGCCGCAAGGACCGGCACTGTCTGAGGGCGCTCGAGGTCGTCCAACTTCGTCTGCATCAAGTAGCCGTTGTAAACGAGGTAAGAAGGCGAGAACCCTATGGCAATGGCCTGATGGACACTTTGGGTTCCAGATCGCTTGGATGGCGGCTTGATTGTCTGTGAATATGGCGCACCAGCCGGGGCGGCTGCTTCTTGCATGTACGTCAAGTACCATTTTGACTAGCACCAGTCCCTTGAGCTCTGCTGTGTACACCGTGGAGGTGGTCGATAAGCCTCATGTATGATGCATCCAGTCCGTAAGACGTGGAAATATTATCTTACCCTTGATTTACCCGTCCCTACGTACAAGCTGGACCAAATACGCAAAATCGTCTCGCGAATATGGTCTCATTGACCTCAAGCCTGCTGCAAGGGAGGGATTACAGTCTCATCTGAAACAGTTCTCGAAGGATAAGGATGGTTGGTCGCCCCTATCGTAGGTCTCGGCTAATGGCCATGAGCCTGTCGTGAAGTTGCTGCTGGAAACGAGCAAAATCGATGCCGACTTACCTGACAGTAATGGTCGGACGCCGCTCTTTGTGCGGCGAAGGATCCGACGTGGTGAGTTCTGGTGTTGCTGCAACAGTTGAAGCCCGGCATCGTTCATCACATTTCGCAGAGCCAAGGGCGGAACTGGCATGAGACGCTCGATTGTTGAATTATAAAGATATGTGAGTGGGCGGGCGGGTGGCGGCGGCCCTGGCTCACAGTATGACGCAGCAGCCGCAGCTCTCGCCGCTCTCAAAGGTGAGCAAAGCGGAGCGTGTGGCGGCCTCGAAGACATTGTCGACGCCCTCGCCGCTCAGGCTCGAGCACTCGAGGTACTTGCGGGCTCCTATCTCCTTAGCGACGGCATCTCCCTCTTTCGGCGTGACGAAGCGCAGCGACTTCTTGCGCATCTCCTCTATGGCGAGGGGGTCTTCCCGGAGATCCTTCTTCAGGCCGACGAGGATGATGGGGACGTTAGGGCGGAGGCGGGAGGCTTCCTCGATCCACTGGGGGCGGGCGGGGTGTATCAGCGAACCTTTGACCATATCCCCCCAGGCGGATGCGTGGGATATCGAAGGGACCAGGGGCCGTACCTTGTGCTTGACGTTGTCAAGGGAATCTGGAGTATCAAGCGAGAAGCCGACGAGGATGACATGAGCCCTAGAATATGCCAGCGGCCGCAATCTGTCGTAGTCTTCTTGTCCAGCGGTATCCCATAACGCCAACTGAACGGACTTGCCGTCTACTCTACAATCTGTGACATAGTTCTCGAAGACTGTCGGGATCTGCGGGATGAGAGCGGATGGTCGGCGGGCGGACGGTCGAGGGTTCGGGGAGGACATACGTAATGCTGCGGAGGGTCGTGGTGGTTAGCTTGATATGCTTCGCGGCAGGCTCGGGGGGCTGACTGATGGGAAGTAGCCGAGCGTAAAGACGCTCAGCAGAGATGTTTTGCCGCAAGCACCGTCGCCGATGATGACCAGTTTCCTGAGGGAATTAGAAGTCAGTATCCCTTTTTCTTTTTTTTTTGGTTTGGTTGGGTTGGGGGGGGGGGATTCATGTGATGAATCGAGTTCGGCGGAGGACCCCTGAGGAGGGATCGTCGAGACGGTCGAGGGGCAAACAGGTGGGTGCGTACCTGCGGATGACGTTTTGAGGGCTTTGGCTGGCCATGGTGTCCCAGTGAGAGTAGCCGCGCGGCGGAAGAGATGGGGGACGCGGTCTGGATGGGTGCGGGATCCCTCTGGCTGCGTATATTGCGTCGTCAGGGGACGAGGATTGCAGAGGCGGATTCGAGTCCGAGATCTCAGGTTCGACCGGGGGAAGGCCGAGTTGACAGGAAACGAGGGGGCGGCCGTCCGTCGGGGAGACCTTGGGGGTGGTTCGTTGGGTATAATGGCGAGTGTGGTAGTGGTGATAATAGATACGTTTATCGATGGTTGATGAATGGGTGGCCTGGGTTCCGTCCCAAGGATGGGCAATCGAAGAAAGCGGTGGTCTGGTATTTAGGGATTATGTTGTAATAAAACAAGAGACGGCGCAAGAGCGGGAGATGACAAGCGATAAAGCCACGCGCATTGCAATGCCAGTCCTTATTGTCAAACGATACTCCGCCCCAGCCGAGGAGGCGTCCCGACCCCCATGGGCACCATTGTTTTGTGTATATAACTCGTCCCCTTGACTTGGGCAGTGGTTAAGGACCAATTTCAACTCTCTACAACCCACACATCTTGACACTTATCTCGAGCCCGGTTGAAAGCGATATGGGGGTGGACGGGGAAAGGGGCGGGACTATGAGTCGTGTCACGCAAGAGGCAGAAGATGAAGCGGCAGCGTCCTTTTTCAAGTCCTGTCCGGTCGATTGCTCTGTTCCTCGCTCTCTCGGTACCTAGAATCTGCCCCGGCAGAAGCTCTTTACTTGCGTAGCAGTCCACCGGCCAGCTTTAATACGAGCTAGGCACAGGACAGTACTGACACTACGGCTAAGCTCCATTTACCGTTGCAAACCCCACCCCCGCGCCCCGGGGCGAGAGCGGGCTGCAAGTCGCCATTTCAGGATAAGGTTACTCCGATACGAATCAGCCAGGTGACACTGGCTAGTACACTGTATGGGAATTGACCGTCGACTGTACAAGTCGTCTTGGTCCGAGAAACCCACCACGCTGTTGACACGGGGCAGGCAGCGATCTACGCCCTCTTAAGGAGCATCGTAAACGTTGAGGGCAAAAGAAACCTGCCTAGAGCGGCATGCTCACCACGTTGGGAAGCTGGCGGGCGTGTTTGCAACTACGAGTTTGTGACATGGCGTTTTCTCCACTGCTGCTGAACCACCCATTTGTCTCTCCATTGTGGTCCTACCGTTTGACCCCTACCCGACTGATGCATCGCATCCTAGTCCCCGCCAACCCCGCCGCTCCAAGCGGCCGGCACGACCGACCCAGCTGGCATGTTCAGCCCTCCTGTCGCTAATTCACTTTGGTCTTAGGGCTTGGAGTTTCGCCTAATGCCGGCCTTGGTCCCATGGACTGGATTATCCTCCCCGATGTGGGTCAAATTGAGCCGCATGCACACGGGAAGTTTCATGGGCCAGCCAGCCACCTTGCGAACCAACCTCCATTGCCGGGCCAAAACCTTCGTGGAAGTGATCCGTGGATGATCATGCCATTACTGTACCTCTGGCGGGGTAACCTGCACATGCATCAAGAGTCGCTCCACGGCAACGTCTTTGGTGAACCTAGTGCCTTCAGATGCCTGTCGAGACAGAAAAGGAGCCCGAGCGCTTCATCCATACTCACACATCAGGGCCTGATCCTACAATATCCGTAACAACATCGTCCCAATATGGCCGTCAGGCCAGCTTTGGTTTCCAACAACATTATTGAGCAGGGCATGTTCTCGGCCTGCCTGGTCTTTTCACTATTCGCGGTCAACTTCTTTTCCTCCGTCTTCTCACTCATCTTGCAAGTCCTTCTCCTTGTTACCCGCTTGCCCCTCATCTTCATTACCATCGCCGCCTACGGGATACTACTGCAATGGTTCCCAAGTGGCTCCGTTGTTAAGAAGCTTGCTTTATTCATACTGATGGGTATCTCCGGCACGTGGTGGACCGACCTACAAATCGATGGCGTTAGACGTGGCTCGGTAGCCCAACAGCCATCCTGGCGCCTGCCTCAAGGCGGCTCCGTCATCGTGTCATCGGCAACTTCTCCTATCGACGCTGTGTACCTTGCTGCGGCCTTCGATCCTATCTTTACTACATCTTGTCCTGGGACGCGCAAAGTGCGCCGGCTGGGTTTGCTTCAGGCAATCCTACGCGGGTTTCGGCGAATCGGGGATAATCCTCTTGGAGACGCTGCCCTTGGGGAGCTGGAGACCTTGCTTGTGGAACACCCAGCGCGAGTCATTGTGGTGTTCCTGGACTGCCCAAAGACGAACAACAAGGGCTTATCAAGCCTAGTCGCCGTTCCCCCTTCCACAAATGCCTTCCGAGTCAGCATCCGGTACACGCCGCCGGACGTGACAACACCGGACCATGGCGGGTGCCTGGCAATCCTCTGGAATGTGCTCTCCAGTCCTCTGCACCTTATCCGAGTGCATATCGCCGACGACGTGAATGTCCACACCGCTTTGTCACAGTCACACAAGACGAACAGCGAGCCTGCCAATTTGGTAGCGCGGCACAACGGAGATGGTCCGAACCGGAGTTCAAGGTCGAGGATGACACGCCGACGCACAACTAAACGGCCGCTCAGGGTTCTCGGCGTCATTAAAGAATGAGTACAGCAAACAGGCATCAGCCTTGGGTGGTCAGCAAAGGTCGCGGCAGTGGAGGCGACGGGGATGGATTACTAAGCCCCGAGCAACATGAATGTAGGCAGCGCCCGTGGTTGGTACAGATGTAGTTCAACAGAAGAGGATAAAAGAAAGAGACGATGCATGGATGGCCAGAAGGCGTGGTAAATAGCAATGAACATGCCACGGCGCTCGCAGAACGTAGGATATCGTACATTGGGACTGTCGATGAACACCGCCCGTCACGGCGGGAAACTCGTTCCCTGAGCCGGGCTAGGAGGCCTTAATGCCTGTCTCATAGTTTCCTTGCACCGAAATAGTTCGTCTTCCAAGGCCCGGTTCTTCCGCAGGAGCTCCTGGACGATCCTCTCGCGGTTACCCTTGCCCTTGAGCAAGACAGAGTGATTGACTTCTAGAAAAATGTGTTCAGGCCAGACAACATCTTTCGTGACCCAGTCGCCGTCAGTGATACTGTGCTGCTGGTGGTCGAGCAGATAGCAGCAGCGAATCCGGACGCGTAAGGTTCTGTTGGTGTATCTCTGAAGAGGTAGTAGATCATCGGGATCAGTTTCGACATGTGTCAAACGATCACGATCCTTAGGACCCAAGTGGAAGCTGAATTTCTGGACCGCGGCTCCAGGGGCAATTGAGTTAGGGCCTAGCGCGAGTCTCCTGACTGACTGGTAATACCGCTCGTTCAGTGCTTCTGGTCGTATAGGAAGGCGCTTTGGACTACGAATGTGGGCATGATGAAGGGATTGCATGATGCAGTGGTTACTCTGCGGATCACCCGGATATTCGTTGGTGGCAATTCGGTCATCGCGGCCTGGGAACAAGAGGCCGGTCGAGATTGGTTTCGTCGGTATTGGCTGTGTCACAAAGGGTTGTAGAGGCTGAACAGCCCGCCCTCTGTGAATCGTACTGATAGCCATCGAAGCCTGCACTACGGGGAATCCGGATGGATATTGCCTACTCGCCCCAGTGACCGGGAATACAGGTGAGTGAGCTGAAACAGGTGAGCCACTGGACCAGTGCGCACCGTAAGAAGCACCGAAACTAGCTTGCTGACTTCTTGATGGTCCCCAGACATGCGCATTCGGCCGCGCATGTGTCTGCTCTACGGGAGATTGAAGTCTCTGGGGTTGACCGTGCCAGGCTAAACCCGGCGCCTCAGTACGCAAAGCGTGCTGTGTTGGCGCTGCCGTCACCGGAGATGGTGCTTGCTCGGTCGTAGAAAATTGATAACTTGCAACACTCATCGAGGTTGCTGACTCTTGGGCGAGCGGCGACTCGTTGGGAAATGCTGGGAGGATTGGTGTGAAGAGGTTCAATGGTCGCGGACATCGTTTGGCTTGGCAGGGCCGTCCACTGTTGGTTTGGTGCCGCCGGAGAGGGGACATTTCCGACAAAGCTCTGAGCATTGTTTGGTACAGCTGTTGGCGAGGTCGATTTTTGAACATATCGTTGTTGCTGAAGTGTTCGGGCGGTGTGGGCCAACTCCTTGTATCTCTGGACAAGATTGTCTTCGTAATGGAGAACGTGCTGTTGTCCCCACAGGGTATGGCGGCAATCTAAAAGGGCTTAGCGTGATTGCCGCTTTGCCACTATTCCTAATCTAGCTCGGTTCAGAATACATAAGTGAGCTCTCATTCCCATCACTTTCTTGTACATATGACTTCGTTCAACCTTTCTCTCATCACGCCATGCCCTTCAGCTCAGATGATCCCTCTCATTCACCTCGCTCCGCCACCTCCTATTCTCTGTGAGCCCCCACCGCGCAAAAAAAGATCACTATCTAGAGCCTATCACATCGCGGCTTCCACAAATTTATCATCGAAAGTAGTCAGCTCGTTATTAACAGCCTGGATAATCACATGGAAATCAATCGTGGACTGAGGAATGAGTCATTGAGGGCGCATCTACGTGACTGTCGGCTGCAAACGCGTCAGCATTAGCACAGTCTTCATCGACACGATGAAGCCCGCGCGCTTCGGAACTCGGAGCGCTCATCTCAGTGTCTTTGACGAAAACCGCGGAACCGGCTTTGAAGGAATAGTGGCATATCGTGGGCGTCTCTGTGTCTGGGGCGTCTCTAGGGAGACCACATTTGATAGGTTGGCCTCGACGGTTAATTCAGCTTCTGCCGCAGTCACATCATGTTTATCTAGCTCCAACAGGTCGGAATAGCGGTCATTCGTTGACCGGGCTTGACTGGGTAGCACAGCGTCCAGCAACATTATCTTCTGCACTACGTGGGCTCTCTTAGATAGGGGCGGGTTCATCGGCCCTGGGCTTCTCGGGTATCAAAGAGACCTGGCCATAAACTCACCCAGAAATGAGGTTCAGTGACGTGTATAATTTAGCTACCGAGTATATAAGCTACAGTTCACCTCATGTTGAACGGATTGAAACTCTTCTTCTCATCACTCCTTTTCCCCTCATCACTCCCTTACCCTCATCACTCCCTTCCCCTCATCGCCATGCTTATCACTCTAGAGAATCAAGAGTTCTATGTTCCGGTCTCGGCTAAGGCTACTGCAGCTACAAGCCAGTCAATGAGACAGAGAGCGCCTGTCTCTGCGATTTATCCTCCTCCTCCTCCTCCTCCTCCTCCTCCTCCTCCTCCTCCTCCTCCTCCTCCTCCTCCTCCTCGTGGATCTGTTCAGCGACTTTCCAATGTCTCAAACCCGGCTAGCAGTCGACAGCCGGACCGCCCTGGGAACCGCTGGGAAGATAACCGGCCAGGAGATGGCAAGGCTGAGTGTTCATTGTTAGACTCAAGCAGATCAGCGGTCGAATGCAGTCTACAACGTACGTCCAGATCCAGCAGCACGTTACCGCAGTGCATAATTCGTGCGAGTTGCAGAAGCTGTAACTAACCTAGTATACGACTCGTTCAGCATCTCCCGAGTCTCCTGGGCTGGGTTTCGAGAGCCTTCGGACCAAGACCATGGCTGAAACGCGGAAGGAATCTAATGACGTTGGTCTGAGAAATATAGATCCTATCCTTGCGGACAGCCAGGGTCTGTCTACGAATGCACGCCGGTTGCCTGGTATGTCAATCCTGAAAGAATTTGTGGCAACGAATTTCAAGTTTCTGGTAAACTAAAGCATCTCTAGTCCACGCAATGGACCATAATAGCCACAGGAGAGACACTCCCGAGCTCCAGCTAGGATGCTTCCCGTCTCCGGCCGAGCCCCACCGCCAGACGACGAGTGACTCTCACACTACCCCAATTCACAGTGAAGCACGACGCCCGCGACCCGGCTACGCTGGACTGGACGACTGACGACTGCATGTTGTCACCCGACAACCCGCTCGGGTTCCCCTTCGTCCCGGCATGCCACCGCCACGACTTTGGCTACAACAACTATCACAAGCAGAACCGCTTCACGACAGCTGGGAGACTCAGGATTGACAACAAGTTCAAGACCGAGTCAATCACCCCGTTCAACCCCTCAAATGGATGTAATACTAATATGCTTCAGTTTGTACTACCAATGCAACTCGGTGACGCTCAAGTCTCTGTGCCGGGCTCTGGCAGAAGTTTACTACGCTGCGGTGAGAGCGTTTGGAGGGTTAGACCCCAGCAGGCGCGACGCCGGCCCGCCGGACAAAGTCTGTGCCGTCACCGACTCCGTAGCCCATGGCCGCGGCGTTGACGGAACAAAGAGGAGGCCGAGGACGATGTCGGCCCATGTGATGACATGGCGGCGGCCCACGGTCCAGATGATTCTTTGCAAGGACAGGGCGTGAAGTACGCGGTCGGCCCCGAGAGCACGGATGGCCCTCAGGAGTAGGGAGCCCAGGCCGACGGCCAAAGGGAGGAGCAGTGCTCCGACGAGGATTGCGTACCAGTGGGTGACGTCCATGACGCGGGGGTGCGAGGAAGTCTGGGCCGCGAGGCGCGAGGCTGCCCTGGGCACGCGCCAGCCAAGTCGCATGCAACTTTATGCCAGCCCAAGAGACTTATTCTCGGCCACAGCGCTCGCCAGACAGGTGCGATTTCGCCCAAGAGGGTGGGGGCCGTCGGATGGCCCTTTTTGGGCTCTGGCCATGGACGTGGGTGGCAAGGCGATGAGGGCGGGTCAGGATATAAGCCCGCGGACCAAAATTCGGCAAGAGGTCGCCACGCACAGCGAGAGCAACCAGATGGCTTCCCTTGACACCGTGCACACATCGTACCAGGAACTGCCGCTGCGGCCTTCCACGTCTCGGTTTCCCAAGAATGGCGCCGCAACCCGAGCCCGTCGCGGCAGACTGTGGGGTGAGCAGATAGGGCGTGCATCCCATCAAGTGGCCATCTTCATGCTAATCGTTGCGTCCCAGTGCCCTCAGAGCGGCCCCGATCCGTGCGGATGTGCTGCCGCGCTCAAGCTTGACTTTGACATCTGGTCCACCAGCCAGACCCTCAAGCGCATCCGCGCGGACACGGCCAGATGGCACGATACGGTCAAGAGAGGAGCCGTGGAGCGCGGCCGTCTCCAGCAGCGCTACGAGGCACTGGCGGCGCAGTACGATGCTCTGGTCGCGCAGCACAGCCAGACGCAGGCCCGCTGGTCGAATTTCCATAGCCAGCTGGACAGGGCGCACCAGCAAACGCTCATGGACCTCGAGGCAACTCGTGCATCGCACGAGAACACCAAATCGAGGCCTGAAGCAGCCGAGCTTGGGTCACGAGAGCATCAAGCCAACGCCGAGCTTCAGGAACGCGAGGCCACGCGTTGCCGGAGGGAACTCGCGGAGCAAAAGTTGATCAATCAATCCCTGGAGGCGGTCTTGCGAGAGAAAGGCGTCGAGTTGGCGGAGCTCGGGGTCGCCGTGGCCCAGCACGAGTCGCTAAGGGCCGAATACCAGTCGATCGCGAGGGAGAACGAGGGCCTCGAGAAGGAGCTCGCGGACGCGCTCGACGTCGCCAACGACATGTTCGAGGTCAGCGCCGGTCGCGTGCAGGCGGAGCCCGCGGAGCTTCTCGGCGAGAACAGGGCGCTGCGGCAGGAGCTGCGGGACGGCAAAGACGCCCTTCTGAAACGAGGGGGCGACGAGAAATCAGAGGAAGACGGCCTCGAGGAGGAGTCGGGACTTAACGATGTTCCTTGTGACGTCGCAGAGGACGGCCGGGGGAAGAAGAGGAAGCATGAGGAGTAGCGGCGGGCTGCTGCCTCTGCTCGGCGACGCTTTGCAGTCCGGCTTTGGGATTGGACACGTTTAATTGATTGCTAGTATAAATGCACTGGCCACATTCCACATAGGTGCGTCGCGGACCGTGACCCCTTAGTGTGTCTTCGCGCCCTGATGCCCGACCGTCGCTTCCCCACTATTTGAGTCCTTCTAGTGCTAGGAAACACTGCGCACCATTCGGAATCTGAAGGTGGCACGACCTTTTCCCCCCCTCAGATGGCCCTAGACTAACATTTATTTCACCCGGCCATACAAATTGCATATAAAAGTGGAAATATATTTTCTCCTGTCCAATCAGGTCAATAATGAATGCGTTCTCCGCCTGCGAGGAGGACCTGCTCGAGCCTCGTTTTTTGACTCAGAACGTCGTTATTTAGCTTCTTCTGGGCCACTTTGCGCCACCCCTCGTGGATGATCTGCTCTAGATCGCCTGTAGTCAAATGTGCAGTGTTTTTGACGTGATACTTGACTCTCCTGATGTTCGTCTCGATCCAATTGAGATCAGGAGATAGTCCGGGACCAATAACGAGTTGACGGTCATTGTCCGCGATCCATTTCATGACCTTCTTCGAGTGGTGTGAGAAATCGCTGTCGACTTGAAGGCGGAAATCTTTATGTCCAACGTGATTCTCTATTTCGCTGTACAGTAGGCGTAGAATTGGAATCAGAACGTCCGCCGTCATTTTCCCATTTTTGTTTGAAGGGATCGTGTACCAGTATAACTTCGACCTGAAGTTCCAGCCGACTGCGCACACTGCATGCATGAGGGTCTGTTCGTTCTCGTCCTCTAGCTCCTCGGCACCCTGAATGTCATGTTCGTTGTTTTTTATAGCGTTTCTGGCGTTTCTGAGCTTCTTTGACTTCTGGCGAGGGTCCTCTGGCTGTACAACCCAATGTTCATTTCGGTCCTCTGGACGGCGGTGGACCTTGGTGGTGAGTGCCGGCTGAAATCCGAAGTGGACTTCATCCATTGAGAACCCTGTTTTGAGCCATTCCTCGTCGTCGTACCTGCCCTCTCGAAGGCGCCGTCGAACCCATCGAATTCGTGCTTTCTTGGCGCTGTCGTGGAGCCCCTCCTTCAGTGTTGAGACGCAGGTATGGTACCTGAAGCTCCTCCGCATCTGGTTCCTGATTACCCTCTCGCAACAGGTGACCTTGAGGCCCGACTCTGCTGCCGCGATTGGCCACGGCAGGCGGTAACCCTGCCATTTATCACCCTCAGGGAGGTCTAGAAGCCAATGATAGATAGTTTTACCGTCCTCAACGCTGAATTCGACGCGCCTACCACGTTTATTATCGATAAGAGGGTTATGGGCCGTCCGGCGCATATAATACTCGTGGTCGAAGCACTGCCTCTTTGGTAACGGTGATGGTGATGGCGACCCTCTTTGCGAGGTCTCCTCGGACTCGGCTGTTTCTTGAGGAGGTTCAGGAATAGCACGAAGCCACCTGAAGCCAGTTCTCTTCGGAACATTGAAGTCCGCGAAGACCTCTGCCTTCGAGAACAGCCTCTGGCCGTTGTTGTCGTGGGTTCGACCGTCTGCCGTCAGGAGGCCTCGCTTCTGTAGCCACCATATGGTACCCAGGGGCCTTGCCCGCCGGGGCGTAGTATGCTCTGGACCGGGCATCGCGTTTTCTCGGTACAGAGTGACGGTATTGGTAAATGAAGACGTTTGGCGCGTTCAGAATGATTGACTTAACAGAATGGCCTAAAAATCATGCGCTTAAACCGACGTTGGCGACGGTGACGTCGTCGCGAGTGCCATCGTCGATTTCAGGTGTTGGGGGTTTAGACCCCTGTCACCCTGGTGATTAGCGCCTTGGCAGACCCCGTGCCACCTTCAGATTCCAAATGGTGCTTAGCACACCATGGCGGAGCCTTGCCCCACTGGCCTTGCGGCCAGGCAGCCCCCCACAGAAGGAACCACGAGCGAGGCAGCCATTGAACCTCTGAGGTTTGATAAGGCGGGGGCGGGCCGGGGCTCAGGCTACAGGCCGTCCCTGACGTGCGGACAGTCTGCCTAATGCATGGCTAGCAAAAGCCACGGCGGCTTCATGCTTTTTGCATGAAGCCGCCATACATCGGGTGGCCCTATAGAGACAACTGCACGGCCCGCATGCCGCCTGTGGCACGCGGCTCGCCATCGTGAACCCTCCATGGCCCCACTCGGGAGCCTCGCCGGGCTCCTGGGTAGCGGAGCGAGGTTCAGAGCCTCTAGCCCTCAACGCGCAATCGTCCCCTGCAGCCGGGATGCTTCTCCAATCCGAGTCGCGTCACACCCAGTGGCCGAAAAGATATGCAACCTTGACCAAGGCTCCGATGCGGGCGGGCCGGCAGGCGCAACCACCACCTGGACCACATTAGAAGATGTGTGAATGGATTGTAGCCGCTGCTTCAGGTAAGGACTAAGGCCCCCGGGCTGCACAGCTGAACATTGATTCGGCTACATACGACATAATTATCGCTGACAGACTTTGGGACAAGCGCGACTATGGTGGGTATGGAGGTATTGATAGCGGGGTTCCACGCCAAGAATCTAGAGCTAGGTTATAGAGCCGATCTTGCATGTAGATCGGTCGCTGATACCACGGCCAGTGCCGCGATCTCGTACTTCGCGGGACGATTCTCGTTGAAAACCTCCACGCATAATCAGACCCTAGGACCACGGCACATCACTCATAACGAAATACCCCTTTCCCCCACATTCGATTTTCATAGAAATCTCTCGTGGTGACTTGGTTCCTGATTGATTGCAAGCTCTAGAGTCCTGGTTGATCGCCCAGGTGCGCCCCGCATCAGTGTTGCCCCACTCGTCGTCCTGCATCAACAGTCTGGCTTGGGCGCCGCTCACGTACTGTACCAGACGAAGAACATAAAATATTAAGGATGTTAAAATCGATATGATCCACAATTACGTGGTGCACTTGATGATGCGAAGATACTACTCATACACTCTTTGAGGCTCTCGATAGCCGGCCGACTAAGTCCACCCTCCGCCTCGCGACCAGGGCGCATCACGACCAGGGGTCGCGACGCGACGCGTTCAAACACCCCACCATACAATCTGCCATATAAACCTGTTTCCTCGCGTCTCTCTGCGACATAATTACGACCATTACAAACCCCAAAAATGAGGCTATCGTCATGGTGCCAAAAGACTACCAATTGCGCGCCCGCCGCGCACTGGACGACATCGAGGCTGGCGTACCTATTGCGACAGCTGCCAAACTACACGAAGTCGACAGATCCTACCTACGTCGTCGCCTCAAGGCCGTTCCAACCTTCAAGCAAAAATACCAAGTCCGACAAGCCCTCTCCGTCACCCAGGAAGACTATATGGTCTCCTGGGCCCTCGACCAAGCAAAGCTGGGCTATGCAGCACCATTGAAGCAATTCAAGCACACGCGATGCGGCTGCTGTCGATCGACGACCCCGCCGCACATCTTGGGCAGCACCGGTACCGTCGTTTCATCCACCGAAACCCAACCTTGACAACCTCGAGATCACGACTTATCGAATACAAACGGTACAACGGTGCCTGCAAGGCCAACATTGATATCTTCTTCGACCGGTTGACGTCATTGCAGCGCAGAAAGGTGCAGCCCGAGAATATCTGGAACGTGGACGAGTGCGGAGTGGCAGAAGGCCTAGGTCACAATGGCTTCGTGGTCAGTGATGCTCTGCGCAAGTTCACGTTGAAAAAGGACGGCGCCAGGAGGACCTGGATCACGATAATCGAGGCCATTTCTGCCGGCGGTCGTTCCATCCCTCCATTGGTTATCTTCAAGGGCCAGTCCGTTCAACAGCAATGGTTTCCTGATGTCAAAATCGATCGATGGAAGCATTGGTGTTTTGAGACTTCACCAAACGGGTGGACCAGCAATGATATTGCGCTAAAATAGCTCAAGGAGTTGTTCATCCCCAACACGGTTCCTGCTATTCCTAGTTAGTGGCGATGCCTTCTCCTAGACGGCCATAAGTCGCACGCAATAGAGGAATTCATAGCGGAATGCTTCATTAACAAGATCTGGCTAATTTACCTCCCGGCTCATACCTCACATGTTCTTCAGCCACTTAACGTAGGCGTGTTCTCGGCGGTAAAGTCGGCCTACCGTACAGCGGTTACAGAGGTTGCTTACGACACCATAAACGAGACCCCAGGCAAGCGGGAGTTTCTTGAGGTATATGAAACTGCGCGCAAAAGCAAGCTGAACAAGGAGAACATAATAGCCGGCTTCAGAGGCACGGGGGTGTGGCCACACAATAGGTCAAAAGCGTTGAGCTCCCGGTTCGTGATGTTGACCCCTGAGGAGTCCCAGTCGACATCTCAAGATGGCCCAAATCAGGCCCAAATGACGTCTACAGAGCCGGACTTTTTGACGCCCTTATGCGCAATTGACGTCAAAACGCCAAAAACAGGTCGCGATATCTATGCATTGCATCAGGTACTGATAAAATGCGATTCTGCGCTGGCGACAGCGACGTGCAGGAAGCTGTTCCAGAAGGTGGCGAAGGCAATCGAGACTTCGAACCTCCGATACACCACTGCAGAACACCAAAAAGACCGCCTGCAAGCTGCATTGGAGGCTTCAAAGCCTAACAAACGTCGCAAAGTCGACCCGGATCCCAACAAAGACTTCGTTACCGTTATAAACGTCGAACGCGCGAAGAGACAGGTGCGGCGGGAGATGGGGTCGGACATCAGCACAGATAACAACACCGACAGTAGCGACGACGAGGTGGAGCTAATTGAAAGTGATAGTGATGAGGATAGTTGCATAGAGGTGCAGGTCAATTAATTTAAAGCCTTTTTATTGGGTGGCTGACGAGCTATTGCAGAGTGACGGCGAGGTTGACGATGCCTTCATGCGCAGGTGGGGGGTGGTCCCGAGGGGGGCTGGTCGCGAGGCGGAGGGTGAACTTACAACTCGTCACCACCACAGCCCACGATATCAGCATAGAGCTTGAGGAGGTGGCATCCGGCTCACGCTTTCCAATCAGCGGGTCACCTTTTTCCCTAACTGCGCTTATCAGAAACAGTGAAGCGACAGCAGTCTTTGGGAGGCGTGTACAGAAGAGGAGAGGTGACTGTATGTACGGACCAACCGTAAAGCGCCGGGCAATCTCTTGATGTAGTAGAACGAGTCAAGAAGAAATATACACATTATGATTTATCTAGCGCTATTCTGCGACTTTGTGGGAAATGAAGCATATTAAGTTATTCCAAAGTACGTCGATGGTGTGCATGTCACTCAACTCACTGCTGAGCAGTGCACTTTCTTCGAGATCCGAAAACATGCCAGAACATGTTCTCTCCAGGTAACAAGCTTTATCTGGACGACGAACGTTTTTCAATTATGCGAAGGGGAGTTAGGTATGCCTCCATCATCGATATCGTCGAGTTCATGGTTTTTACATAAGTGTCTTGCGATTCGCTCTTGACAACCATTCGCCACTCGACAGTATATTCACCTGAAGAGGCTGCATCTATCGATGGTACGGAAACCACTGGCATGGTGCATGGTTGAAAGCTGTTGTGTTCGTCTGCGCTCGGACTATTCAGAACCATCGTGCCGCAGTCGTCCCCCCTCTACTCCTCTCCTGACTCCTCTCCTGGCGCCTCCGCTACCCTCCCTCCTCCTCCTCCGGCACCGAACATGAACAAGTATTTGGCCGAGGACGAGGACTCATTTTCTTGCTGAAGAGGGAGACGACTCTGGGTCGGTCTCTCCGGATCCTTAGGGGTCAGCTTGAGGTCAAGCTTCCTCGAGCGATAAACGACCTTCTCGACCTTCGTCAATCCTGGCTTTTCGTGAAGTTTTCTCCAACCATCAACGACCGTCTTGACTTTCGTCAATTTGATTTTTTGTGAACCACAATGGGTACCAAATGGATTACCGGGAACTTCAAATCCCGATTGAATTCGAGTGTGTCTGGAGATTCATGGCTCCCGAGTCCGCTTGCCCATATCTTGCCCCCTTCATCGAGCTGGGATGTGAAGAAATGCTTGAGCTTGAGAGCTATGCATAGAAAGTATTGATAGCAGACCGGACCCCAGATCCTGTAAGCGAAGGGAATTATCTGCACTAATTCAGGCAGCCAGGCACTCTTTGATCGAGACACATCGGGCAGACATACACCATCTTTACTTGCGAATGAGTAGTCTGCCTGTCTCTCTGCCCAGCGCATTGTGGCGAGGTGCATGACGGGATGTCATATTGATTGGCCCATACCTTGCGGCTTGTCAGTGTGGTGGCTGGCATCGTGCATGAGGAGGGTCCGAGGCGGACTGCACCCCTGCGCGCATCCTCAGAAGCCATGACAGACAGGTACTGTACCACCTGCCGCCCCACGATGTTGATGGAGAAGAGCCAGAGGTATTGCTGCCACTGAGGTGATTGATGCTTCGCTCTTTTCAGGGGCTGCCCGGTCCAACCCGTCCCAAATGACCATTGAGAAAAAGAAGCAAGCCAGCAACAGCTTCAATAGCGAAGCACAGTCTGGTTGTTGGCCGGTAGGCCGTCTGTTGGTTGGTCCATCTGGATTGTGCCCTGCGGGTGGTGGTGTCACACTGCGCCCGCTGCAACAGGCAACACTCGACCAACGTCATACCAATGCTGTCGCATGAGCAAACATCACCTTGGATGGTCCCTTGTCTATCTCAAGGCTCGACATCCGAATTACATTCGACTTATCCTTCTCACCACCCGAGCGTGATGACGCCAGCACCCAGCATGGAGCAGCCGCCAGACAGCCGGAGCCCCGACAGGCATCCCACAGACCCCGCCCCTGAACCAGCATCAACACCACCACCACATCCATCATCAGCGACATACATCGTCGAGCCCACCACCACGCACACTCACTCGTTCGTCTTCCTCCACGGCCTCGGCGACAACGGCCGCAACTTCGGCGCTCAGTTCCTCGAAGCAGGCCACACATCGACCGGCCACCTCGTCCCACAGCTCCTCCCGGGAGCGCGCTTCATCTTCCCTACCGCCCCGCTGCGCCGGGCCAGTGGTTTCAAGTGGACTGAAATTCAACAGGGATTGAACCCCCAAGCAGTATTGGGTGATTAGCAGGGTATGTATCTTCAAGTCTATACCAACGGGCGCAGGAACAGGTTCCTTAATACGCAATTCAACCTGCCAGATCTCTGCGGCGAAAGGCGGGATCTGACGGAAAGGTGTTCATTTTTCAGCCTTACGCCCCATCCCATGCTGCTGCGTGCTGACTCGCGATATCGTACTGGGGCCGTCCATTGCAATGGCGGCACCGGCCGACAACGATGACCTTGGCGCCTCGTCCGTTTCGGTGTTGAAGAATTGGTCGTGACGCCTCCCCGTCTTGGTGAAGGCTATCAGCTCGTTGAGGATGACGAACTCGATCTTGAGCTTAATGCTGTACACGACGGGCTTGTACGTCGTCTGGATCTGGAAATTCCCGCTGTATTCGGTGGCGAGGAGACTGGCGTCAAGCAGGACGGTGAGGACGAAGAGGATGACGAGATGGCGGAGGATGCGCCGTCCCTTGGTGACCTTGACCGCCAGGATAGGCGTGAGGCCCGTGGCGGCCTCCCATACGTACAGCCCGGATATGATGGTCTCCTGGATGAAGCCGGCGAGTTGTATCTTTTCATACACATCAAAGGCGCCAAAGTAGGGGTCGGGATTGCCGCTGTTACTGGCGAGGAACAGGATCGACACGGGAATGTGGAGGACGACAAAGTTGAAGACGATCATGACGGCCACGAGCCGGGTCTTCCAGCGGTCAGTCACGACCAGCCCCAGACGCGAGTAGAGCACGACAGACTGGCCAGTCACCATGGCCCACCACCCGACGACGGTGACGACGCACATTGGCAGGTTTGGCGCAAGCGCGAAGAACCGCAGGAAGACGGCGATGGTGTGGATGAAGATGCCGAATGTCGCGACGAGCAGACTCCAGAAGTAGAGCCCCTGCTTGCGGCGAAAGATGCTGAAAATGGCGATGGTAATCTCCACAGTGTTGTAGATGGCGACGGCAAAGAAGCCCGCAATCAGCATCGCGATGGGCAGCGACACATCGATCGGCCCCGTCTCTCCCGGCATGGTTGCCACGGGTTCGCCGCAGCTTCGACGCTTGTAGGGCTATCGGCACGCGCCAGATCTCATGATGGTGTGTCTGCAGGGTTGTTGACAGCGACCAGCAGCAGCGCTTTGTAGCCGAGTCTTAGTCGTCAAACGGACACGACGGACGCATCTTGACATGTCGAGGGCACAACCGGTGCCAGGTTTGCTTCCGACATGTGGGCGCGGGTCCCTGCGGTGGTCCAGCTGAGGTTTTTATGGCTGCCAGCTTTCCCCCTAGTTTCCGGGGGAGGTTCCTCAAGTCCGACGCTGCAGAAGCCCTATCACGCGCCCACTTTTCGGTTTGTCCTTGATGACGGACAGTCCAGCCACCAAACCCAAATGCAAGGCCTGTGCTTTCCCAGCCGCTCGCAAAGCAGGACGCCATACCTACTATGGTACAGCCCCGCGCGCACATATGCGGGGGAACAATAGCTTGCAGTTTGCTGCGCACGCCAGTCGAGGGCGGTGTGCTGCTTGACACAAAGCAGGCGAGCCCCCGAATCAGGCCCCCGCTGGCAAGCGGAAACGCCACCCGGCTGGTTTGGCACCTTATTTGGCTGCGCGGTCCAGAGAAGCTACCTACGCCCCGGCTCGTGCCCGGATTGGCTGTGTGAGCTCGACGCCGGGGCCAGTCATCCTTGACATCTCGATCCCACATTCGCCTGCCACGAGGTATGGCATTTTAAACATCTAATTCCTACAGCCCCGTCCCTAAGTGCCCACCCCGAGCGCATTTCGCGCTGCTTCGCCACCCGCGAGTTTCGAATCATCCCCAGGAACCCGCTTTTCACGATCCCTAGGCCGTCGTTAAAAGGCTAAGAGGGAAGGTACGTGGGACGGCATGTCATTCGCTTGGGTCTCCTGTGGACCAGGAGCCGAGCAGAGTCTGGGGCGTTGTAGAGTCCGGGGCCGGGAGCCTTAAAGAGTCGGAGCCGTCCGGGCCCAGAAGTGAGCGGGAGTCGCCGCGCGACTCTGGCCAAATGCTACCATCTCCCACATGTAGTCCGAGCAGTAAGACGACACGGCCGGTCACGAGCTCTGGTCGTCCCAGCGATCGCTGCCGTAGCCACCCCGTCGCCACTTCCATTGAACCCAAGTCACCTATTGTGAAGCAGTCACCCGCATATACGTTTTATTGTGCTACGAACTAAATCAGATCATGGGCATGGCAACCTTATGGATACCTGGACTTGTGCTGACAGCCCGGGCGTGATGGTAGCCGTGGGGAAGATCAGGCAGGGACTGGGACTGGCTGGCATTTGCCCAGCCGGTGATGCTGCCTTCCTCCATCCATTTCTCGCAAGCCTGCAAGCTTTGCGGCTAAAATCAGCTTGTTTAGTAAACAATAATCACTCCGCGTCCAGCGGACAAGCATAGACCAATAAATATTACGTAGCGTAGTCTCACACCAAAAGATTATATATACTCCAAAGATAATGTCACCGACTATAAAGATCCCTATACCGAGCATATCTAATCGGTGGTAGAGATAGTCCACCGTATAAGAGTGGTTCATCAAAGTATGATAAAGAGCCGAACATGCAAAGCAAATGGTCGCCGTAAGCATAAAGGACGAGAAAGCAACAAAATCGGTGCTAGTGACTCTGGAATGTTTGCTAGCAAGGTACTGCAAGATATACCACTCGCCGAGGAGGAAGACAACCGCCGGAATGAGATGGGAATATATGTTGACCGTCTCGTTGTGGAGATACCACCAACTGCGGAACGAGGCGCGAAACGAGCCCGATATGGGCCGGTAACCGTGAAGGATCCACTGATTGTTGTCGTGTTGAAATCATTCTGGCATCTCGTCGAACGAGAGAAGAGCCGGGCGTCCTGCCTCACCGGACCCGGATGCGTCGTCTTCCATTCCCTGCCCTTTGCGCGCCACTGACTCCTTGGGCGGAGACGGGGTGTAGACGCCATTTACTGTCGCGCCTGGTGATGTGTAATGTCTGAAGGCCGGGATTTGAGAGTCAGTAAGAATCGAAGAAATGCGTTTCCTCTTTGCTGCGTAGTCCTTTTGTGTCTTGCGAAGTTGGGCCGCGGCTCTTTTCTTCGGTTGGTTGGGGCCGCTAAGCGCCAGCCTCGCTGGGCTGGTTGCATGGGCTCACTCACACCTCTTCGGAGACCCGGCCGGATGGACTTTTTGCCAATCAACGTCTGAAACATCCTAGTCTCCGATGCGCGCTCCTCGGCTCGGGCCGTGTGTCAAACAGCTGCACAAGTTGCAGTCCTCAGGAGGAGCACGGGGAGGAGAACCGCCCGAATATGCCTACGACGGCGAGAATTATGAATGCAGTGATGTCTGCCATTGCTAATATATGTGAAAAACTACGCTTCCCTTTCCAAGTGTCGGCGAGCAAGCAAGCAGACTCAACGACCAACACGGTGAGCGTGGTGGTTTGTTGTGCTACAACCTCCACTTGCGAAATAACAAACTCAATGGATGTCTTGTCTGCTGGCAAGCAAACAATTTCGCAACCCACGGAATTGATAAATGCCCTAAGCCGGCATATCCTACGTGGGAGTGAAAAGGACGTCGAGGTGTGCACGGGCGACACTGTATATGTGGCACATGTTAGACCCTGGAAGTTGACTAGATTCTGGGGTGGAATATAACAGTAGGCCCGCCCGCCTAAGACTGTAGTAGTAGGTTTCTCGGGTAAGTCAGAAACTAGGGCCAGAGCGTTCGGTGTGCACATTCTCCATCAAACCCTTTATCAATGCTGCTCTTCACATAGGCTGAGTCGAATCGGGCTGCCAAACTCAAGTACACGGCTGCATACACCGCATTGAGTGCCATACGACCATCCTAAAAGACAACATCCAAATGCAGTCGTGTCAATATTCCTCAGAAGGTGTGTGGCGTCCTTACGTCTCGCTGATCTACGGACTTGCGGCTGTCAATGTAATGGTTAATAGCTCTGGTAAAGTGCAGCGTCGAGGGAACTGAAATCATGTAATATATGCTATATGGCATCTTTCCCATAACGTTCGCAAGTTATTCACCATTATGACTTATCGCCTTAATGAACTTTTCGTTAAACCACTAGTCTATTCTACAACTCAAATCAAGCCGTTCTAGGAGAGAAGGCTTTTACCCCCGTTCTTGGACTAACATCATTATTGATTTTATTATAATGGACGGGATTCCCACGCAGGTTGCATCTACGGGGTAATCGAGGATAGCTCCAGGTTCAAGAAGTCTACGATTTCTCATTTTGATTTCGTCGCGTGTTAACTTAACCCTTGTTTCGGTTTCTAGGTCTACCGACTCGCGGAAGACCTCTATAAGTTGAGAAGCAAGGACGCTCTTGTCCTCGGCCACGTCCAGGTCTACGCCTTCCTTGCACCTCGCCGGCAATACCGCCGCGACTAGCAAGCGGTGAACTCCCTTCGGTCGCAGTGGTTGTTTTGTCCCCGACCAGAAGAATCCTCATTCGCCCCAGGACACCCCTCGATCAGTGTTGCTTTGGTTTCCCAACGGAATGACTCCTTGCTGCATTACAATGAATTTTATGTCACCCAGGTCCATGTTCTAAACTGTTAGGACGCCTGCTCCGTGGGTGATACGTCACCCGTCTTACATCGGAGTTCGCGCAGCCCATGGCCACTTACGTGTGAATATCGATTCATCTTCGATCCCCGGGTTCGGATTATACAAATGACACGATTCGCAAACGTCTATGTTCCAGCCTGGAGGCATCCAATTCAATGGCGTCGTAATCAAGTTCGATGAGCTACAGTCCTTTTAGTAACTCCAAGTCTATCCATCACTTCATAATCTCTCAATCACGCCCGGGCACGTAAATACTTCCGGCGAGAGTGACGCGAGGGAGTAGATCGTGGACGTTTCTTGATACTACCACTCATACATGTACTGTACAGTACTCCACTTTGAACCGAATCTCTTGGACTTTGCACCCATTTTTGACCATTCCTAAGGATCGTCTCTACAAAGCGATGCCGTAAAATCCTTGGGAGCTGGCACCTAGTAGCATAGCCTCGCGTAGACCGGACCACCGGAAAGCGCGAGATCTCGTCTACCGATCGTCTGTTCCACAAGCCTCTATCGTCCTTGCTGCTGTGCCTCCAGCAAAACTCTGCCAACAAATGCGAGAGTTTCCTGGTTTATTGGATTTGCTGGCCACAAACAAGGCAGTCCAGAGGCTCCGTCCACTTCTTGAGACCCCCGGTCACTTCTTCCCGCAGATCAGTAATCTCGACAAGTGGCGGACTGACGTCACTTCTCATGATGGCAGAGAAATAACCCTCGTATGGTTTTGCCTTCTGGGCATCTGATTTGCGGCCGCGGCCTCTCCTTTTTGGTTCGGGCGCCTGTCCCGTGCGCTCTGCCGTGATAATGGGAAGCACGTTGACGACATCAGCCATTTTGACGGTGTTTTGCTCCTCGGGCTTCACATCAATAGAGGGATCGGCCGTTGTTGCTGCTCCGAACTCGCTGGGCGACGGAGGCAGGCAGCCAGTCTCGTTATCTTGCTCGTCCTTGACGGGCGTCGGCTTGTGAGGCTTGTTAGTTCCGAGGCGTGCGAAAGTGCGGAGTAGAGCTTCGTGGACCAGGCAATCGTCGTGCAGCCACTTGCGGCACGCCTCGTTGGTACAGCCAATGAGCTTCTTGTCGGCGTTTTCGGGACGATTGCAGTGGCAACGTTCTTCGGCGGACTGTTATCAATACATGAGTCAGCAGCGTCTCAATAGCAGGCAATTTCCAGAGTCCTGTGCGAATGTGGATGGCATACCGAGAGGTCCATGGTTCGCACGTCAAAGGCTTGGCGCCAGTACAGAGCCGGCTGTACTTCATCTTCATTTGTCTCGTCCCACTGATGAACAGTTGCGCTTGCCGTGACACTGGCGACGTTGATGACATCCACTGCAAAGACGACGAATGTCAGCTATCCACAAGATACACACCACACCAGTTTGGGCGCGCAAAATTCCTTACTGTGATTGGAAGCGATGAGCTCGTTGTTGCCGTGGTAAGGCTGTCTACCCTTGATGACCCGTTTTCCTTCTGTCGTGCCAGCCGGCAGCTCGTCAGGCCAGTACATCCAGTAGACGCGCGCATACACGTGATGCTCGTCCGCAGCGCGAATTTCGAGAATCCTTGCGACCCAGTCGTCATCCGACTTCTTTCTAGGTTGACGGGACTCGCCGGGGTTCTTCTGGCGCTCAATAGTGTTGTCATTTGCGACGAAGACGAAGCCCTCGCTGTGGTACTTGACACCATTCACTACGCACCATCATGTTAGTATCGAGGCACGCGTTATCAGAGGACGAAGCAGCAGATATTACAAAACATATGGATACAAAGAGGGGTGGTGTGGGGGCGCGTACAAACGAAGCTGTTATATCTGGTCATGTCCATCCACTTGGCAAACGGAGCGATCTGGTAGTGGCGGTCCATGGTGTTGTCCTTAGCGTTAAACTTGCCGATGGGAGAGAATGGCGAGACCTGGAGGTCAATTTTTGGCGGAGGCACGGGCCGATCCTCTGAGCCGCCACCGCGGCGCTTTGTCTTCTTCTCCTTCTCATTGGGATCCGGATGTATAACAGTGAACGGGCAGTCGGCCACGTTTTCAGTGGACTCCTCCGGCCGAGGCCGCTTGCGAGCGGTGGCCATTGCTGCAGAATCGTATGTTCTTCGAACCTTGAAGATTGGCGTGCTTTTGGCAGCAGCGTTACCAGTTTGCTATGCCGATATTCGCGCGTGGGATTCAAGCGACGTGTCTGGGCCGCGTGGACGGCTGAGCAGTAGCCGAGGAACAGACGGTTAAAGCTCAGCGCAATCTCTTGGAAAGGAAAATAGAGCAAATAGGCCCAGGCAGCAGCGGAGCGTCTGCAACAAAGCGCCGCGTTGGAGTTGCGCGCAGCCTCGGAGGGGGGTGGCAAGTGCTGTGCGGATGGCGCAGCAGGAGCTACTACAGGATCCGCAGCTAGAGAGCTACGCTGGCGTGGCGCACGCGGCAGGGGACCCTGTCTCTATCCAGCGGCAAGAAGGAGGGATACTGCCCACGATGATATGAGACTTGCAGCAAGCAAAGAGGATGGATATCGGCTGCTATGCGCGGCGCAGGCGAGGAAAAGCTTGTAAAGGTGTGTGGGCTTGGTTGGGCGGTTGATGCGGCCCGAGGTGCTGACTGACTTGCAGACGCCGACGCGCGCACGGCTTCGAACAGGAGCAAATTCAAGCTGATTCTGAGGGATCGACGAGAGCGCAGGCGTTGTCGCGATTTGACAGGCGCGATGATTGAGACGGAGCGGCGCGCGGCGGTGACGCTCGCGTGCAGCGGCTACTCTAGTGGACAAGGGTGTGGGCCGGGGGGCGGCGCGGCGCGTGGAATCAGCTCGTGCTTGGGTAGGTGGGCAGGCAGCACCATCTAGCAACTCGACAAGCTGCAGCTCGTCAGAATGCGCTGGCCACTGTCCTTCTCGTTACGGGCACCCGCCAGCACAACACCACCCCCTCCGAAATCCTGGTGGCGGGGGTGAATCGTGTCAGCCAAGCCCAGCCGCCTCTGCTTGTGTGTTCCCCCGCCATGCTGGGCACCACCACAGCGACCTAAAGTCAGATTCTCCATTAAGGCACCCCCAAATGCAGAAGATTACGCCGAGTATTATACTTACGCGCCAATCCCTCTGGACCTGTAATGCGATACGCAGAGGCCTAATTCGTGACAACGCGAGATCCCCCGATGATCATTACCAGGGCCTTCTGGATGCTGGACAGAGCTGGCATGCAGACCAGCTACGCGCTGGAGCTCGGCCATGTCCGGCCCCACTCCGCATATTCTGTCACCACTTTTGCCGCCATCTTGGCCTCACAGTCTTAACCTCCACCGCCGCCATCCGGCCCCGGCTCCGCCCTTGCATGCGTGGTAGCTTGCCCCGCTGCCGGCGTTCCTACGACCCAGTACCGCGTGCGGTGCATTGCCGACGAGAACGACTGTAGTCGCACTTCTTTCCAATACGTGTGGCCTATGCCTGCCGAACAGTCCTTTTGGCCGGGATCATGGCTGACCGCCTCTCTAGCCCGGTGCTTCTGAATCTCTTCCCGCCTTCTTGTCACGAATCAGCACGCTATACAGCAGAATCCGGAGTAGACCTGCAGCTTCGTGATAGTTGGACTGCCGCCCACCGGGGGCTCTGCCTCGTATGGGTCCACGTGCCCTTGGAAGCCTTCTGCTGCTGCTGCCGCTGCTGATTTGACCGCCTGTAGCTGGCCACCCTTGAGCCGGTGCCTCGTAGAACCCAGAGCACCCATGCATATGGAGCGAGCCATTCTCCCCACGCTCGCAGACCAGATGCTTGGCCATCGTTTGCAGGCAACGTCTCGCTGATCACGGTGGGCCCGCTTTCTCAGTCTCCCGCCCACCTCCGTTCGGGACACCAGCTAGATGTCGCTCGAATAGAGAGTCCGGTAGTGGATTTCTATGGAATTCAAAGAACACCAATGAGTTTAGAAAACCCAAAGCTATCGTATATTATGATGGGAGGAGGATGCCGTGAAGACCCTTTTTAATAGGTAGGTGCACGAAGGCGTACTCAAGGACGACCTCTTCCTTTTGGAAAGCCCCACTCTGCCGGGGTCCTCGCGTCCTGTGTTGGGCGCTCGCGATAGCCCAATTACAGGTATGATCCAGCGTGTTCTATCTTTCAAGCATATCCATCGCGTCTATCACTCTTGGACGGCAGCTTGACATTTGGTCAGTGCACCTCTATCCTTGTCAAGATATCTTCCGTTGCCGCACACTTGGTGGCGCAGCCTAAGGTCTCGTCAAATGCTGGTGAACTACTATGTATCGTACCCGGCTTTCTAAAGCGATCCATGAGTCCGAAGGCACTGCAACCATACGCTCTATGGCGAAGCGAAAGTTGTCTGGTAAAGGGGACATAGGATTGGTTGCTGAGAGTTGCGAAGAAGCATTCCTCCAGCGATATCAACAGTCCAACAAAGGAGCACTTGCCCGGCCTCACCAGTATTGCTGGCTCGGATGCATCTTGGCGGTGGCTCCGAGCCCCGGGGATCCTCACATGTTCGAATTGGTGCTCTGAAGCTCGTCCTCCTCCACTCGTCCAGGTATTCGCGGAATGGGAAGCATCAACATTACTCCAGTCTTTGTCGCCCCTGAGAGGGCATTCGCAGGGCTGCCAAGCCGATCTGGCCACATGGGGCGCGTTCGTGGCCTGTAAACCCCAAACGTACTCGACCTTGTTCTGCCTGCGTGCTTCGCCAGTAAGCCGGTCCTCAAAGTTCTGCGGGTTGTCACAGTTGGCCTCATCACCCATATCAACCTCGAGCTGCTGAATGACTAGTCCTCGAATGTGTCGACATAGCTCGATAGCCACGTGGCGATAGTCAGCCACGCTCAGCTTCACACCAATACGCGCGGTCGTGACGGCTACATGCCTGACGGTCATTACCAGAAGCATGAACGTCATACAGGAGGGGGTGACCACGTAAACTCAGCGATGAAGGACAAAGGTATATGGTCAACCGGATTCCCTTTACTCTAGATAGTCACCTCCTTTGTACTTCAGCGAACAATCTAAGTATCAGTTTCACACACACTTGAACTGGTCACTCAATTGCCGAGACTATTATCTCTTCCAAGAGGCACGACAACGCCCAAAGAGAGAACGACAGCAAGAGTTAGTGATATTACAAAGGTTCAACCTACCTTTCCAGAACAGCAACCTAGCGCCCTGCCAGTCGGTTGACCCCGGAGGCTGGATCGTGACACTGGGCTCCGTACGGTGAAATAGCGTGTCGGCAATCGGGTCTATAGCAGATGAGGACATTGTATGTTAGGTCTGCGTAAAGCTGTAGGTATATCAAGACCGGATCGGGATTATTCTCGCGGTCCGGCGTCGTCGCGGAGTCGGTTCGTAACTGGTTACTCATCGTTCTACTATAGGCTGTCCTACTGCTGTCGGGTTTGTGGATTCATCGGTGGATCACATTTAGTGGAAAATATGGGGTTAGAAAGGGAATCTGGGGTAATGAGGTTGAGTAAATCCGCGGGAAAAGGGGCTGGAATGAGACAGACCTGCTACGTGCACAGACCTTTCGTAGGACATGACATGTCCAGGAAGGCAATGAGCGAGACTTCACGGCATGCAGGGATTCTGTTGGAGATGTGGGGCGCGTGGATCCCTTGGATTTCACCTAAAACCGCCCTGGAATAAGACAGTAGGAGTCATTACTTAACGTTGCAAGACATCAAACCGCGTTGCGTGGACGAAATTGATATGTGAGGTCCATGTGAAGCGAAATTCAAAGTAAACACAGGCTGTCGCCAGCTGCCAAACGCATGTCCCACTTTTACAGGGCCGTCATCCAGTTGCGGAAGGTTTTGCGGCTGGCAATACAAAAGTTTGGACCAATCAGAGACCGAAAAACTTATTTGCAGGCTGGCACCAAAACCTCATATTCGGAAAAAAAAACTTATGGATTAATGTATAGACAGCCTTCGGCTGAAAAACTTATGGACAAGAGCGAGGAGAAACAAGAGCGAGGAGAAACAAGAGCGAGGAGAAATAAAAGCGGTCATTTGGACGGCGAAGTCTTAAGCAGGCTTTGCTCTCCTGAGAAAGGGTGCGTTGCCGCCTTATGCCTGCGGCCGTCTCATGGCCAGCAGCTCAGCCCACAACTCGTCCATGTGGAAGGTGGCGGCGAGGTGGCCGCCGTGGAGGACGCGGAGAGCCGAGTTGGCGTAGTTGTCGCGGAGCCAGCGGTACATATCGTGGCCGAGCTCGTCCTTGTCGCTGGCGACGATGAGGACGGGCGGGCGGCGGTGGTCCGCGTCCAGCTCGGCCGGCACGAAGCCCCAGTCCGAGTGCAGCACGTCGCTGCCCTCGAGGAAGCCGTCCCAGCTGCGGGCGCAGCGCACCGCGCCCTCGGCCATGCGCTCCAGCCAGCGGTCCTGGGTCAGCGGGGCGGAGCCGTCGTCGCCGTTGTCCTCTCGCTGTCGCGCGAGCCAGTCGTCGAGCTCCCGCCGCTCCTCGGCGTCCATTGGCTTGACGATGAAGTCGTGCATAAAGGCCTTGGCCGTGGCCACGTCCTTGACCTTAGACCCGATGGCGACGCTCACCAGGCGCGGCACCGCCCGGAAGGGCAACCACTGGCTGACGGGGCCAACCGAGATCCAGTTCTGCCAGGTCATGCTGCGGCTGTAGCCGGCGTGCGCGCGGAAGGGCGAGAAGGGCGCCAGGAGCAGGAGGCCGGCGATGCTGCGGCCGATGGGGAAGAGCCCGTAGGGGGCGCCGTAGAGCATCTGGGCCTGGACCGTGCCATACGAGCCGCCCGCGACGTACAGCGCGTCGAGGCCGCCCGGATGGAGGTGCTCGAGCAGCCGCGTCATGTCCTGGCACAGGCCGACGTTGTACGGCGCGCCCCGGATGGCCGACGACTCGGCGTTGCCCGGGAGCGTCGGGCTGATCCAGTGCACGTCCAGCTCCCGCAGCGGCGCCGGGATGCTGCGCGCCATCCCAACCGAGAGGTAGCCCGAGAAGAAGAGGACGACGGTACGGCTGGCCCGGTTGCCGTTGTCAGCGTAGACCAGCTGCCGGTTGTTAGGCAGCTGCAGCGTGTGCTCCTCCTCGCGCATCGCAGTCCCCGTGGCTTGAGGCATCGTCTCTGCCGGTCGCTAGCGCATGCAATGAAGGGCTTGCTTGAGCACGTGTCTTCGTGGGCGATCTGCGGTGCGCCAGATCTGGCAACGTCCTGTACGTCGATTGATCTCACGAGGCGCTCAAGTAGCTCTGGCTGTCCGACCCTGTAGCAGTATGCGGCGCAACAACAGGCAGCAATATTCACGGTTAGAGGGGGTGGGCCGTGAGGGAAGGGCTGGCCACGACAATCGCGAAATACGGTGTTTTACAAGGCCGCCAACCAGTTGCGCAACGTTTTGCGAGGTCCATACGAATTTGGGCCAATAAAAGCGCGAGAAACTTTTGAGCCCCATAAAACTGGGGCCCACTTTAAAACCGCAGGCGTCCAATCGTTCAACGATTTGCGGCCATCTGGACCAATCAGAGCTGGAGAAACTTTTTGACCTGTCTGCACCAAAGCATTAACGTAGAGACAGCCTTCGGCTGAATTAATGTATAGACAGCCTTCGGCTGAATAAGATTTTCGTGCTCTCCTGGTATCCTCTTTAATAAAGGGGAAATATGAACAATACTTCCAGGATATGTGTAAAGCTACATCATGATGGGAAATGTAGGAATATGAATGTGTTCCTTCTGGTCCTAATAGCAACTCTAGATCCTCGTACAGCTGAGGCGTTAGCTTGGTAATCCGGTGGTAACCAAGCGAAGTTCCTCCCGTCCCGTGTGATCCAGTTGCCAATAGTACTTATACCATATCTAGCCCGACTATCTTCGGGCTTAGTAGTCACAGCAGAGTTTCTGCTTCGGCTATCTGCCCTTAGCTGATTTGATTCAGTGGTAGGAAACTTACCGACGTTAGTCGTAATGGTTGGGTTATTAATTAAAGTATCAATATCGAAACTTCATAGTAGCACACCCGTGTGCGCATCCCAGATCTTGACCATCTTATCCCCTGACCAGCTGCAGACCGCAGACCGCAGGAAAGAAATCAATTCAGATCTACCACCTCGTGGTCATAACTTTATGTCCTTGTTCCTTGCAGTTGCTTGCCTTATATGGTCTGCGTTCCGCCTCCGCACTATTGTCCAGTCATCCGCCTTGCCAGCTGTTGTGCTGACTGATCACGACGCCACCAAGGGCATCGTTGACCAAACCAACTTGCACAGCCTCCACTGGCTACGGTAATCGCCGGCTGACTAACGCGTCCATATACCTGTCCCAGTATGGATTCAAGGCCTGGCAGACTGAACCACGTGCCGCACGCCCTGAGTCAGCTTCGGGTGGTCCAAGATGAGGAGGATACCGCCATAGGTGTGCTCAAGAGATATTACGAGCCCGCAATTCTGGACGAGGTGTGGTTCTCCGCGTCTGGAGCCATCATGGAACCCCACCTCTTACGACAATTCATCCAGGGATATCGCATTGAAATATCGGCGCTTTGAGCTTGGCGGATTGGTCCACCTGGGCATGTTATCAGTCCGATGCGGGGTACAACACACACCGGCCTGTTCGTACGCTTGCTCACCCACGAAGAGCTTGGAATTGGGGGGGACAAATTGAGCTTGAGAAACTCTCTCTACCCCCCCTCAACCACTACTCCTGGTTGCACACGACTGTTTACCGCCACGACCAAACTCATACACTGCATGATCCGGACTCTACACCGCCAAGATTTCTACGACCAGCATACATACCTGCCGCCCCCCCCATTGCCCGCCACGGACTGAGGGCAGGAGACAAACCATGCCAACATTTCGAAAAGCAACCGGGGGGAAGGCCCCTCGAAAAACACTTCAGCAATCGTGCGCGATGCGAGATGAGACGCCGATGGAGCTCGAGGAGACAGCCGATTCCTCACAGGGCTGCCCCTGGGGCGCAACCTCTATCCCTCCACTGCATCCGACGCAGAACAACCAGAAGCCGAAGCCCGACATTCCCGACTCCGTACACCTGCTGGACAAGGTCCTCCAGACGACCAAAATCGAGTAGACAGAAATTGTCGATCGTTCTGTAAAGCTCTTTAATCGCGAGGACCTTGTTGCTCTAGTGCCCGGAACACTACCTACAGTGGGGGCGCAAATAACGCGAATTTCTCCACAAACGCGCACCGACGCGCTCTTGCCACCTCCAACCCATTCAGCATCACCACCTTCAATCGACAATGGCGACACCACAACGACCATTGAAGCCATTTAAAAACATTCCACGCCTCGCACGAGGAACCGCGTTTGGGCAGCATTTTCCGCTGGTAAAAAAGCTGCACTAATCGCCGAGGATGGGGGGATTCCGGTAAGCCTTGTGTATGGCATCAAAAGACGGTTCACAGCGCAGGATTGGGGTGTATCTCCTCCTGGCCGAGGGCGCCCCAGCCTCCTTTCTTCGCACAATAAACGGCGCATCAAGGATGCAATCAATGACGACGCTTTCATCTCGATTAGAGAGCTTAAGAAACGGGTTACTCCTCAGGTTTCTATCGACACTATAAGGCGGTACCTCAAGGCGGACGGAATTATGCACCGTAAGGCTGCACAGCGCCCCTTTCTAACAGAAGACCATGCTCAAAAAAGACTCCGATTTGCGCAGAAGTATCATGATAAGCCGCTTACGTGGTTTCGTCGTATTCTATGGAGTGACGAGTGCTCTATTCAGCGCAGAGATGGGCAGAGTCAGAAGTGGGTTTGGCGGCCAAGAGGTCTGTGTATGGCCACAGGCACTGCCAGTGTGGTGCAGGCCTGGCACCGATTTGGTGACGATATGGTGGAGATTGGAGCAGACAGAGCCTCGTGACCGCCGAGGGCCACAAATGTCCGTTAACGAGAAGTGGAGTATGTGGATTGGCAATACCGCGTCGAGCCGCCCTTTGAGGTTGCCTAATGCGCCGGAGACGCCGGAGAAAATGAGACACGTCATAAAGCGTGGGAACCCTCAGATATCATAGTATGATAATTCTCTGGTAGTTGTGCCATCGCATCACATGGCTTGTCCATGCCGGCAATCCTGATCTTCCTATACATACCAGGAAACTGGAATCGGCTCAGCTGTCATCCTGCACGAAATCAGAATGACCTGTCGTGAACTCGACACATGTGTTATTGTGGAAACCACCGGCACAAAAGCCTCTGTCATTTTCTTGACTCATTCGGAATGTCCGTTTTGATCATCCACGAACGGTCAGCTGACAGTTCATGGTTCCAGCAAGCAACCTCAGCGGCGGTAGATTATGAAGTGGTCTCAGGAAGGTTTCTTCGCAGCAAAGGTGTTCGATACTCCGCAGATATGCTTCGCCAACCTCTCTTCGGGAACGTGGCGTGCTAAGTTAGGCTCATTTCTTCACTTACCCCAGATCCTGCATCTCGATCTTGACTGTCATGTCTCCCATTGTCATATCGCTGCGCCCTCGCCCACGCTGCTGGGTGTGCTGCTTCTCACAACGATACCGAATGCATATACCAGACAATCATGTTCTGGAGCTTATGGTCGTCGATGCCTCACTGCTACCGTGGTTGTCCAATGACTCATTGCCAACGCCACGAAGCCTACTGTACCGCTTCCCCCTCTTCATCAATAATCTCTCATAGGTAAGGGTCTCCCTTCTCACTGGACCGTGTCGTGCCAGTGATTAGCTGGTGATGTTCCACTGCATGGAACGTAGCTGTGGCCTCTTCATCCCCCGTTACCAGAATTGCATAGACAGCCACATCAGTCGTCTTCACGTGGGTCCCAACTTCCTGAAGGCTTACACGGATGGCTCTTATAGCGATACTTAAAACACCATCGCCGCCCCTCCCGCAGTCTCCTCCTGATAAGATATCGCCCGCCACCTACAGGAAAAACTCGAGGCCAGCTAAGCCTATACTTATGTTGGAGAGCCTTCCTACGATGACTGACCTTGCTACGTGCCACTTTTGCAGTCACGGCTTCATTGAGACCAGCAAACCCGGGCGTCATAAGATTCAGCACCATAGGCTGACGTCGCGGACCATTTGACAGCCACACCATCGCCATAGGGGTTCTGCAGGGTCTGCGGCCTTCTAGACGATCGAGTTGGCGCATGGCCGACCGAAGCATCAGCGCATACTCCGCGACTAGGCCGACTCTCCCGGACTCTCAGCGATGAAGGCCTCATCACCATAGACGGCGAACACCCGGCCCATGGCGACCACGATTACATTTTCTATCCCTACAGATATGGAGTTCAACGACTGGCTGCAATCTACCCGGACGATCTTGAACTCGTGGCTGCCCAGTGTGCTCTGAAGGCTCCTAATGGTGATTTCACCACGACAGCCCGCCAGGAAATGGCAGTCGATATTCTACTCTTGCCGATGTCGGTCATGTGATACCTATGCAGCTCAACCGTCGAGCGTATCGCGTCCATCATATTGGGAGCGAGATCCATGCGGGAGTTGAAGCAAAGACTATACCAGACCACGTTGCGACCTGGAATCGTGTCTTCAACTATAGATATCACGCCTTGGACTTAGGTGCACTCCTGGTGGGCAAGCGTGGCAGTCAAATATATATCTAGATATATTCCGACATCGACTCGCATTATGACTTCGCGAACCACGTGCACCGTCTGGCCCTGTCTCGCCGCGGGGTACCCCTTTCGCCGACGACAGGCGAGACGGGCATTATGAGCCGACACCAGATCAACGAGCACCGTAGCTACGCCGCCGTATTCGACGAAGAGACCCGTGCCGCCGTCGCATCGCACCCAGCGGTGGCGCTCGTCGAGCGTGACGGAATCGTCAACATTGGGCACCAAGTGCCTATCGATGGCGAGGATATGAACTACGAGGACCGTTCCGGTGGCAGCAGCCTCATCAGCCTGGGCGACGAACTCCTTCAGAGCGACGCGCCTGGGGCCTCGTTTCCATGTCGCTCAACTGGACCTCGGGCACCCCGCTGGCCGCCGATGGCTACCGCTTCTACAAGGATGGCCAGGGCCAAGGGCTGACGGCCTACGTGGTGGACTCAGGCGTGCGCATCACGCACGGCGACTTTGAGAAGCGAGCGGGTTATGGCGCCAACTTCGTCAAGACGGAGGAACGCGTAGATGGGAATGGCCACGGCACCCACGTGGCAGGCACCATTGGCGGCAAGACATTTGGCGTGGCCAAGCAGATCAACATCATCTCAATCAAGGTGCTTGATAAGAACGGTAACGGCCCCATGGCGCAAACGCTCGAGGGCTTCCAATGGGCCTATCAACATACGCGCCGCAACAAGCGCCTCAACAAGTCGTTGGGCAAGTACTCGGCCGGCGGCACGGGTGAGAGTAGCGCAGCGATGCGTGATGCGATCCGCGAGATGCAAAAGGCCGGCATGGCCGTGTTCGTGTCGGCGGGCAATGACGCTACGAACGTGGAGAAGGCTAGCCGGCCAACATGCCCGAGATCTTTACGATCGCCTCGGCCGGCAACACGCTCTTGCGCGCCCGCGATAGCAACTACGGCAAGCTTGTCGACATGTTTGGTCCCGGTGTGGATATCCTATCGTGCGGCCACAAGTCGGACAAGGCTACCGCCAGGCTGTCGGGCACCTCACAGGCCGCGCCGCATGTCACGGGTTTCGCCAAGGCTACTGTACAGGGGATCTCCGGCAGGGTTCTTCGCCATTTTCTTCAGCTGAGCAAACTTTCTCGGCGATCCGCCGATCAAGAGACCTCGGCATGATGCTCAAGCCGCAGGCACAGTCTTCTTGCGCAGTGTAACACTCATCTCAGGATTGAAAGCCAATGGCCAAGGCTCTACCCCCAGTAACTTACCTTGTGGCGAAGACGGCACAGGCTTCAGAGTAGTGTGAATGCTCCACGGTGGCCTCAAGCACAGGCCGAGGGCGAAGACTTCAATAGGGTTGTCAACCTAGCTGATCAATTGGGGAGCAGCTGAGCATGAATCTTTGCACCGCTCGGCCTAGAAAAGCGCGTATTTGTGCGCGCATACATGTGCACGTGTGAGAAAGACTTGTACAGTCGTGGATACCTGTCCGCAGTTCGGAGCTTCCGCGCACCGGCTACTGCTTAGGTAACTAGTCGCTGACAACCAACAGTTGCTTGGTCGTTGCCATGCCCCACCACAGAAATCGTAAAATCGGCCGCTGGCTCCTCTCCATTCCGATCGCGATCACCCTACAACGCAGTTTATCATTTCGCAGCGACAGCGAGTACGCGATCACCAGCCACCACGCGCAAGGTCCCCATGGCCAAGGTTCTCTCGTGGCTCAAAGAGGTGCCGCACCCCATCACCATCGCTACGGAACCGCCAGCCGTGCTCGGCAAGCGCCGACGAAGTGCAAGCTCTAGCCGTCCACCAACACCACCGGTATCTTCACATCAGCTTTCCATGGCAGCAGAAGCAGGCGGCATGAGTCCAGGTTCAGACCGCACCAACACGCGGCAACGGCAGCGAAGGAGGTCACGGGAGGACGAGAACGACTTGGAGGACTACCCGGCCAGTGGCGATTCCATACAGCACAACACCCCTCGCGCTGCGAGAGTAGCCCATCCACGACTTGATCGCACGCCGACTGCATCGTCAAGTGCCAGCCGCAGCGACTGGTCGGGCCAATCTCGATCATCTCGATCACCGACGAAGCGGATACGCCGGCTCGAAGTTGCACGCAACAAGTCCTTGGTGCTGCAGATTGACCGCGCCGATCTACGCATGCCGGCCGCGCTCAAGAATGAGCTTGCCCAGCTTCGACAATGCAGCCGGGGCGACAAGGTCATTCCGCCTTACCTGCAAGACGAGCTGACGAGCCAGCGCGGAAGCGACGAGACGCTATACGATATCACCGACGCCGCCTTCGCCACCAAGGAGGACGAGTTGACCATGGCGACGGCAGGTTTTCCGCTCTTGTCGATGCAGGCCGTGCGCGATATTTCCTTGGAGGCAAAAGAGTGCTACAACCACGGCCATGCCGAGGCGTCATGGAACATGCTCGTCCATTGGCCGCTCCTGGCGCTCGCTCTGGGCCGAAACGAACAGCAGCCGCAAGATCCCACTCAGCCTCGCGTGCACGCCATGCCTTGCACCATGGCGCGGCTATCTGGCGATGCGCGTGGCACCAAGATGATCGACTTCTGCCTCTATATCGATCCAGCGGACGGATGCGATAAGGACCGCATCGACGAGCTGCGGGCGCAGCGCCCCAGCGAAAACATCAACCACACCGACTACACACCTCTACGGGCACGGCCCATCGTTCTCAGCGCCGAGTCTAAGAAACCGGGTGAACAGCTTGCTGAGGCGCATCTGCAGTTAGCTGTGTGGCAGGACCGCCAGCTGCGGCTGCTAGAGTCGGACATTGCTCCTGAGCGGAGAAAAGACACAATGATCGCTTTCCTCCCGTCGCTCGTGATTCAGGGCCACGAGTGGTGGTTCACCGCGGCCACACGGCACGAAGGCGCCACGGTATGTCATCATCCTCCGAAATCTCCCCTTGACATCCCAAGCTGACCAGTCGCACGTCGTACACAGATCCTCTGGACACAGCAGCATATTGGCAGCACCAGCACGCCACTAGGGATCTTCCAGATCCTTCACGGGCTGCGACATATCGCATGCTGGGCCAGTAAGATATACTGGCCCTGGTTTTGCAAGCACATTCTCAGGACATCGATGGCGTCGACAATGATGATTGAGTCGAAAGCCTAGCGTGACCTTGCAGCGCCAAATCCTATCATTGCTATCACTGTTGACACGTCACACAACTTGGCTCAGAACAACGCCATCCAGGAATGGCACGAGCGTCTCGTTGAGGGTCGATGCAGGCTGGCTTCTGAAGTATATATATGCCGACCGCAGATCTCATCGTAGTAGTGATAGGTATCAAGACAAATTGGAACTGAAGCTGTTCCCTTATGATGATCATTTTCAATACTGTTCAACCGCAGCGAACGGGTGCGGGCTACTTCTTTCACGCCTTTGGCTTCTACACGAATCGTCTTCACTGTCTCTGCCAAGATGTCCTACTTGACTGACGCGATCGTGTAGTACAAGGATTGTGAGCAGGTCATCGGCGGACGGCGGCATCGAATCGGGCGAACGTTGAGAAGTATTTCGATCCCAGCAGCCCCATGCCCGAAGTACACAACCTTTCTGGATCTGGCACGAGAATCTGTAGTTCTACTAGTAGCTGACAGAAATGCACACGGTCGTCAGCCGGGACACTAGGCCAAGGCAACCAGCGTCTTCTGTCCTATTAGATCCAGCCGCTGCTGGCTCGCGAGCAAGGCCTGTGGCCACTCATCCGCTAGACTGGCAATAACCTCCTTATCTACTGCTTGATGACAGTGTGAAGGCTTTCCAGGCTCGATGATTCCGTTCAGACGGTAGTGCCGCAGTGATACAAGGTGGCCTATTCGAAGCCCAACAGATACGAGATGCGTTGCAGGATGCAGCAATGCAGACGTTGGACCTAAGTCAGGAATCTATACGTAGAAAACTTGGTACCCTCTAAGGGTACCAAGTTTTTTTGTATGGAGGGTACCAAGTTTTTCTTTACTACTATGGTACCTCGATTTCTTGTATAAGACTAGGTACTAAAAGTTTAAGAGCCTGTTTAGAGTAAATACTAAGATCTAGTAATCCTATAAATATTTCTTAATTTGGGCTATTACTTATAAAGTTATAAGCGACTTAGGGTAAGCTCCCTAGTTAAGGAACCCTACTGTCTTATTCCACCCCGGATTTGAGTCAGTTTTCAGGGTTCAACATGCCCCACATATGTAATGCCGACCGTGCATCCCTCGACGTCCCTCTCATTCCCATGTAGGACATTGTCACGATCCTGCCTCCGGGGTCAACCGTCTGGCAGGGCGCTGGGGTTGCTGTTCTGGAAGATAGGTAAAGCCTTCGCAATCTCACTTAACTCCTGCTGTCGCTCTCTCTCGATGGGTTGTCGTGTCTCTTGGGAGAGATACCAGTCTCGGCAATTGAGTGACTAGTTCAAGTGTGTGGTGAAACTGATACTTAGATTGATCGCTGAAGTACAAAGGTAATGACTGTCTGGTCAAGGAAAGCCTCCAAGCTATATAGTCCTTTGTCCTTCATCGTGGTTACTCCATGGTGGCCATGGATCGTTGGATATGTTGGTGATCTCATATCCAGGGTCGCCTGGATATGTCCATATCCACATATCCGTCTTGCTGACATAATGAGATGTTTACGTAAGTCGGCCCATGACTCCTTCACAGCCCCCGCTCTTGTCCACGGCCTGGTGCTGCGGCCTTGTTTGTCCTTCCCTTTTGGCCCAAACAGGGGATTACCCAATCGCCTGGCCACTACCTTTCCCCCCGTGGTCCGCGCACCAGCGTCCCAAATTTTGGCAGGTCTCGGATGCACTCCTTTGATTCGCGTTGTCTTCCCAGCCCAGGGGGGCCTGATGCAAGGTGTTCATGCATCATTGACCGGTCAATGTCTGATAAGCCGGGCCCAGGAGGATCCCAGCCCTTGTTCCGACGGTATTTGCCCTGCATGGGACGACAGCGTGCAACCCGATCTTCGATATGATCTCGCCCCGCCGTCGTGGTACAATCTCGTGCACTGGTGACACGACAGGTCATCCATTTCACGAATGAGCGACATCAGGACCCGGAATTCGCAACGCCGCTGCACACACGGCCATTCTCCCTGCACCCGACATGATTCTAGTACGACTCAGGTACTACTACACCGCCGGTACTTAGCAGATATGCGTCCGTAGACGCATAGATGGCTCCATTGGAAACACGGCAACGCGGCGAATTGCATTGAGTTTCCGATAGCGCCGGGGACTACGGCTTCTGTCAGGGCCCGGGATGGCTCGAGGGGTCCGAGCCGCTGCCCCTGCACCAAGCACTTTGCGTTGGGGATCACCATCCAAGGACAAGATGGGCGAGTACTGGCACGCCCTGAATGGCTAAGTACTGGATCACTGACCCCACGAGTTCTCAGGTGCCGCTTTGCGGCCCAACTGAATGCTCCTCGACGTGGAAACATGCGGGGGATGGCATCGACGACACAAGGACCCCGCATTGCAATGTGGGATGAACCCTTGCCAGACCCATCCCGAACATCTGATTGCTCAAGTGTTCAAGGCGCACGACTCGTTGCACAAAAGACTGCGTTCTTCACCGATGCCAGGAAGCCTTTGTTGCACAGGCACGGACATGATCTGATCGAGCTGTCGTCCGACCGTGTAACTTACCCTGCCACAACCAGCCCAGTATAGTAGCAGCAGGGAGGGGTACCCGGCTGCATGCAGCAAACATGGCCACCGGCATCCCAAGCCAAACCGCTCCGACTTCGCAGTTGCCGCTCGACGACCTGCAAATCCAAGTCGTCTGGGACGCCGGCGACTGGTGACACGACAGGTCATCCATTTCACGGATGAGGGTAGTTGCATATAAGCTCGGCAGCGTCCGCACTTTCCATTACACACAAGGTCTTGCCTCGCTTCGTCTCACCACAACCACCAGCCATCGAACAGAAGCTGGGGGTCAAGACCCCTGGCCGCTGTGTGTGGGCTGGCCAAGGCAGCTTAGCAGGGCTACGGGTGCTGCGAGTACCGCAAAGTACCCACCGCGATCCAGAGCTCTACCATCGTCATCCGTGCAGAGGGCTGGCGCGAGGATGGCAAGGAAGGGCGACATGTGCCAGGCGGGAGGGGAGGTACCTGGGCCACGGGCCACGGGCCACTGGGCCAACTGCAGATCTACCTTGCTACCGACCAGCGGCCTGAACGAATCGCCCAACACATACCCTCTGCCAGTCAGCCAGACATGGGAGCATACTTGAAGGGCTGGGAGAAGCGCTGGATCGATGCCGGAGCTAGAAGGGAGTGAGTGATATCTGTGATCACGTATCCCACAGCGGCATGTGCAAGACTAGTGTACATGTGATATCAAATGGTTCGCACCGCTTGTCGGGGACATTGTTGGCCAAGCCAACGAATTGTGCAGATGTCCTTGAACGCAGTGGTGCTTGAGGGATAGCCTCACCTGAACAGTTCCCTTCTTTCCACTAGAGTATGACCGTTATCACTTTCTCATAACGTAATCCACGGGTAAGCGGGTCACACGGGTGAACGGGTCACCTTCCAGTAACTCGTACGACAATATATAAGACAATTTAACCACAACGCCTTAAATCAATTCAAACTATTCAGAATCCTCTTCTTCAGAGGCAGATACAACTTTCTGACACGTACGAGCATTATGACCGGGCTCGCCGCAGACGCCACATCGTCGCGCGCGCGTTTCGGGCCTCCTCGTACGACCACTACTCTGACTCGTTTCCGCCCTTAACTGCTCCGTCGCGTCGATTTGAGCCTTTAAATCTTTTGCCTGATCAATTGTTAGGGACCCTCCTTTCTGTAGCTGTTTTCTTTTCGTACGACGACGGCGGCTAAGGCGGTCGTTTGCATCTCGAAGTTCGGCGAGGTCATGGCGCATAAGGGTCTGCTCGTGCACCATCATTGTGATTTCTTTATTAAGCTGCCGTAGGCTCTCAATAATGGAGGACGGAGAGCTATTCTGGTGTCGTACGATGCGATTTTTGATATACTCTGTCTGCGATTCGGCCTCAATTGGGTTGTTCGGCGTCTTTGAAACCCAAGGGGGTGGTAGTCCAGCAGAGGAACCTGGCGGTGTTGGCGTGTGAAACTTTACATCTAGCTGCGAAATCACATAATTCGGGTCGTACGGCACTAGGCCGGTTGCTCTAAAGCCTGCCTGGATGTTTGACTTAGTTATCGCAGCGTCGTACGCCTTATAAAAGGCTGGGAGGAAGTCCTCCTTTGAGATGTGGGTAATATGCGCCCGCATGAGACCCTCAATTTCTTTACCGTACGCCCGTTTAAGAGGGCTAAAGCACCCAACATCGAGAGGCTGGAGCTTATGTGATGAATGAGCAGGCATACAGAGCATTACAATGTTCTGTTCCTTGCAGTAGAGCTCGAAGTCGACGGAATGGTGGCTCTCGTGGCCGTCGAGGATGAGGAGGCGGTAGGTACCCTTCGTACGACTCTTCGTATGGAAATCGAAGTGTTTTACCCATTCTAGACCTCTCTCGTTCGTCGTCCAGCCGTTCTCTGAAAGCGCGATTACCCAGTTGGGCGGTAGAGGGCTATTCGCGGTCCAGGAGTCGAGGTCGACCTTCCCTGCGAATATGATGTATGGTGGGATCGAATAGCCGTACGACGCGATACCCTGGATTACTGTAACCCATTCCTGATTGCCTTGTTGTACGGCTCTTGGCCTCCCGCGTCGATCGGAGGTCGTAACGACAGTTTCGGCGGAGATCTTACCTATCGCGAAGCCCGTTTCGTCGAAGTTATAGATGTCGTTATCGTGGATGCCGTATTTCGCGATTATGTTTCGTACGAGCTTAAACCACGCGCGATACGCGTCCGGATCTTCACAGAGGACTCTCTGGTAGTCGGTTCTTCGATTAAAACGCGTACGGAGCTCTAGTCGTCGTCGTACGAAGGTTGAGGCCCAGTTCGTTCCGACGCGTGGCGTGTCGCGTTCACGAAGGAGTCGATCCGCCATTTCTCGAATACCACTTAAGCGCGGCGGAAACGATCGCGAATCTAGGTCGATTATATATCGTATGATACTACCCTCTTCGTATGAGGTTAATTTCTAGTAGGGTGGTCGGATATCGTATTTCGTAGCTCGGCCGTAGTATCGCTACTGGAGTGTCGTACGAGATATATTATAGATCTGCGCAGCCTTTCGTACGCTTAATTTTGGGTCGGATTGGAGCGCATTTAACGCTAGAACCAAATCACTTTCAATTGATTGTTGTCCTATGATTAAAGGTGGAGAAAAAGGAGAAGAAAGTGAACCTCAAATGAAATTGCAGTAAGGTGACCCGCTCACCCGTGTGACCCGCTCACCCGTGGATTACGTTATCGGATTTGCTTGGAGACTTCCACTCTGCCAGCGTCTTAGGCTTGGCATATGTTCAAATATCGGCGCGTTGACGATGTCCAGAACAGAATGTGATGTTTGTGCCAATCCACTTTGACTTGCAGCAAGTGACTCTGAATTATATCGTGTCGATCAGAAGTGTCTTGTGCGGTAGGAAAATATCTTCGGGAAAGCATTGATTGGGATTAGTAATACGCTGATAGCTACGCTTCATATGCAATCTATTCCAAACCAACAATGATGTGTCACTCCCAAGCATTCTCGGTCGTGGTTTTCTCCTTCCCCCAGCATCACCCTCACTAGCACTCCTCGCTTTCTCCCTCCATGCCAAACCCCTCACGATTTTAGAAAATCGCATTCAGCTTCAACCCCGTCCTCGAGACCCTCGCAAACACAACCCCCGTCGTCCCCGCCAGCAGGAACGCGCCCGCGAACAGCTTCAGCCCCGTCCACCTCGCGGGCGTCACCAGGATCACGCCCGCGATCGGGCTCGTGATGAGCCCGCCGATGGCCGAGCTCAGGAACGTGATGCCGTTGCGGTACCCGATCTCCTCCATGGGGCTGATGCAAGGGACCAGCGCGCCCATGAGGGAGATGTACGCGCCCGAGGCGAGGCCGAAGAGCAGCGCGAACGCGATGGCCGCGGCCTCGGTGCGCGCGGGGATCCACAACGCGAGCACGAGGATGCCCGAGAGGTATCCGCAGATGATGTAGATGTTGTACTTGCCGTAGCGGTCAGAGAGCCAGCCGGAGCCGAGGCGGCCGAAGAGGCTGCGAGGCGGGGTTAGTATTGAATGGGGGTAAAGGGGGGAGAAAGCGGAGTAGGGGGTATCGTACCTAGCTGCGTTGTAGAAAGCCACGAGATTGATGGCCATCGCCGACGAGACGTACCCCTCGCCCTGCGCCGCGACGGGGAGGTACGTGATGGGCACGTACATGCCGAACGGCATCAGGAACAGCCCCAGCACGAGCAGATTGAACGTGAGCTCGGTGAATGGCCTGGCGAGGGACTCGCGATTGAGCTTGACCGGCCTGGGCGCACGGCGCGAGCGCACGGTGAGATTCGACACGACGAGCAGGGCCATGATGAGGAACGCGTCGATACGCATCGTCCAGCCGTAGCCGACCGTCTTGATCAGGTTCGACGTCATGATGGGGAAGATGACGCCGCCGAGACTCGACCCCGTGGCGAGCACGCCAAAGGCCAAGCCGCGCCGCTTGAGGAACCAGTCGCTTATGGTGCTGAAGGCGCAGACGAAGACCATGGCGACGCCGATGGAGCTGCACACGCCCTGGGAGAGGAGGATCTGGTAGTACTCGGTTGACAGCGAGGCCATCATGAGCCCGAAGACGTGCATGAAGGAGCCGACGCGGATGAGGTAGCGCATCCCGCCGCGGTCGTAGACCTGGCCAATGACGGGGCCGAGGAAGGAGATGAAGAAGACCTGCAGCGAGGTGATCCACGAGATCTGGCTGGGCGAGTAGGCTTTAAGGGGCCCGTTCTGGTAGTACTCCTGCCAGGTGCCGATGGAGTTGATCCAGCCATAGCTGACAAAGGAAGCGCACCAGGCGCCCAGCACGCACAACCAGGCCGGCGCCCCGCCGTCCGGGGGGGTGTCGTCGTTGTGGCAGTCGCTGTCCTCGCCGCTGCTGCTGGTGTTGCCGGGCGAGGTGCTGTCGGCGGCCGTCATCTTCTCCTGGACGCCGTAGGGCGCCGGCGTGGCATCGCCAAGCGTCACCGGCGCTGTCGTCTCGGAGGCCATGGCGCTGGCGGCAGTGGTGCGGAGCAGAGTCCGCACAGAGGAGCACGGCCGGAGGGTGGCGTGGGCAGTCAAGAGACGAGCGCGGTCCTAGAGCTGAGTGTCCGGTGTCTGTGCCTTCGAGTGCTGACGCATTGGAACCTTGGGACCGCCGGTGTTGATAACCTGATGGTGATGTTGGTACCGAAGCCTCGGCGAAAGAGTCACAACCGACAAAGAAAAATCCAATCCAGGGGCCGCCGCTTATCGAGTGAAAGCGGGCCTTGAACTCCGCCGGGCTCCGCGGGAAGCAACGTTTCGGCTGCTTATTCCCGTGAAGAGTGGAGAAGATCGAGGTTCGGGGGCTAAACGCGATCGGAGCTGTTCCGCTTTTCGGGGGCGGGCAGACGCTTGTCTTCTTTTTATCCTGGAGCTGGCTTTAGTCAGCTCCTCCGCGTGCGGAACTCCCCGATGGCTTTCCCCTCACTTCATCGGCAGGGGTCCTGGGTTGTGGTCGGAGTTCGAGATCGGAGAGGAGGCACTTGTGATTGGTCATGTCTAGAGCATTGGGTTCACGATTCAGCCGCCGCACTGCAGACACCAGTTGGAGTACGTTGTATGGCCTTTAGTGTGGGAGAAACCTTGAGACATGGCAAAGAAGCGCTCTGCTCGGCTACGCACTTCTTATGCAACTCACTTATAAGCTTAACCCGTGACGGGAACTCGCCATTATTTCTCGATAACCGAAGCCGAAACGACGGTGGAGATCGCTACTCCCAATCCGCCGGAGGCTTTTCTGCCCTCCTTTCGGCCTCGGAAGGTCTCTCCTATGGTTTAATTATTCTGGCGTACCACTGCATCCAGCGGCGATTTTCCTCTTTGACGGTACCAGGATAGATACCCTGGATCACGCATGGGAGTACATCTGTGATACTGATACGTCGTATTTGCAATCTGGCCTCAGTGGGCAGCCACTGGAAGAAACCAAGCTCCACCTGTTCCAGATTGAGCAAGATTTCGACTCCCTGACTGCAGACACTTACGGTGAATGTTCTGCAATCCGGGACATTGCCGACGGGAGATGTCGGTTCCAGCTTGTACTGTATAAGCACCGACTATGGCGTGAGCCCTCGCCGCCACTACAATTCCGACATTGCCAGAATGAATCTCCCAGAAGCTCGATATCTATGGAATCTTTGGTCGATCAACTTCACAGCCTCACGTTCCTCGAAATGAAAATCAGTCTTGAGGAAGCAGTTTCGCTGCGATTACTCGCATCCGCGACAGATGGCCGTGGTAGACACGCCGCATTTCGCAATGAAGGTGATGGGTTCCCAGAGAGTGTTGACGAAGGGGCCACGTACGAGGCAGATTACTACGATGATGCCTCTATCGCGTCATCTGGGTCGAGACCTCCTAGTTATACGACGATATAAGCTGCCCATCGATACTTCAACTAGGCAGTTTTTGACTTCCCAATTCGTGATTTTTATCAACCGTGGGACAGTGCGCAGCAAGTGCTAGATCGCTTCATGCAGTGACACCGGACTTGTCGTTCCTTGTTCGGCTTCGAGCTGGTCGAGTTATGGATTCTGTCTTTGAAGGTTCCCACCGCGCGTCTAGCGGATTGACGCCAGAGAGCGCCGTGGTTCCACCAAAGTGGAAACCTCACGAACTTCGAAGGCTCCTAACTCGATAGCTTTATCAGTACCCTAGAAAAGTGTATAACGTAATCCACGGGTGAGCGGGTCACCTTACTGCAATTTCATTTGAGGTTCACTTTCTTCTCCTTTTTCTCCACCTTTAATCATAGGACAACAATCAATTGAAAGTGATTTGGTTCTAGCGTTAAATGCGCTCCAATCCGACCCAAAATTAAGCGTACGAAAGGCTGCGCAGATCTATAATATATCTCGTACGACACTCCAGTAGCGATACTACGGCCGAGCTACGAAATACGATATCCGACCACCCTACTAGAAATTAACCTCATACGAAGAGGGTAGTATCATACGATATATAATCGACCTAGATTCGCGATCGTTTCCGCCGCGCTTAAGTGGTATTCGAGAAATGGCGGATCGACTCCTTCGTGAACGCGACACGCCACGCGTCGGAACGAACTGGGCCTCAACCTTCGTACGACGACGACTAGAGCTCCGTACGCGTTTTAATCGAAGAACCGACTACCAGAGAGTCCTCTGTGAAGATCCGGACGCGTATCGCGCGTGGTTTAAGCTCGTACGAAACATAATCGCGAAATACGGCATCCACGATAACGACATCTATAACTTCGACGAAACGGGCTTCGCGATAGGTAAGATCTCCGCCGAAACTGTCGTTACGACCTCCGATCGACGCGGGAGGCCAAGAGCCGTACAACAAGGCAATCAGGAATGGGTTACAGTAATCCAGGGTATCGCGTCGTACGGCTATTCGATCCCACCATACATCATATTCGCAGGGAAGGTCGACCTCGACTCCTGGACCGCGAATAGCCCTCTACCGCCCAACTGGGTAATCGCGCTTTCAGAGAACGGCTGGACGACGAACGAGAGAGGTCTAGAATGGGTAAAACACTTCGATTTCCATACGAAGAGTCGTACGAAGGGTACCTACCGCCTCCTCATCCTCGACGGCCACGAGAGCCACCATTCCGTCGACTTCGAGCTCTACTGCAAGGAACAGAACATTGTAATGCTCTGTATGCCTGCTCATTCATCACATAAGCTCCAGCCTCTCGATGTTGGGTGCTTTAGCCCTCTTAAACGGGCGTACGGTAAAGAAATTGAGGGTCTCATGCGGGCGCATATTACCCACATCTCAAAGGAGGACTTCCTCCCAGCCTTTTATAAGGCGTACGACGCTGCGATAACTAAGTCAAACATCCAGGCAGGCTTTAGAGCAACCGGCCTAGTGCCGTACGACCCGAATTATGTGATTTCGCAGCTAGATGTAAAGTTTCACACGCCAACACCGCCAGGTTCCTCTGCTGGACTACCACCCCCTTGGGTTTCAAAGACGCCGAACAACCCAATTGAGGCCGAATCGCAGACAGAGTATATCAAAAATCGCATCGTACGACACCAGAATAGCTCTCCGTCCTCCATTATTGAGAGCCTACGGCAGCTTAATAAAGAAATCACAATGATGGTGCACGAGCAGACCCTTATGCGCCATGACCTCGCCGAACTTCGAGATGCAAACGACCGCCTTAGCCGCCGTCGTCGTACGAAAAGAAAACAGCTACAGAAAGGAGGGTCCCTAACAATTGATCAGGCAAAAGATTTAAAGGCTCAAATCGACGCGACGGAGCAGTTAAGGGCGGAAACGAGTCAGAGTAGTGGTCGTACGAGGAGGCCAGAAACGCGCGCGCGACGATGTGGCGTCTGCGGCGAGCCCGGCCATAATGCTCGCACATGTCAGAAAGTTGTATCTGCCTCTGAAGAAGAGGATTCCTCATAGTTTCAATTGATTTAAGGCGTTATGGTTGAATTATCTTACACATTGTCGTACGAGTGCCTGGAGGGTGGCCCGCTTGCTTGTGTGGCCCGCTTGCTTGTGGATTACGTTACGGCTTTTTTATGGGGCTACATTAAATAACACTGAAGAGGCGGTCTCGATGCGCCATGCTCCCGAGGTCTATTTTCACGCGCCGACATGGATGCCAAGCAGCATAGCTCCCGATCTGCTTTGCCACACTTCGTAGGACGAGATCCTACATGACCGCGACACAATCAGGGTGCACACTGACTCCAGCCCCCCGGGCCGCTCAGATATGAGAGCGCGCCAGAGGCGTGCCAGCATTGCCTACACGCCCTCTTGGCTAGTGCAGACTGCAACAAACACGATTCAGCGCCACCCGTTGTACTCATCGAACTCACAGCTACCACCTGTAGTCGTAAAGGCGATGCTGCAACGATAAGCTATTGCACTGAAAAAAGCGCATTTCTTCCCTCGTACCAGGCTCCGGCCAGATCACCCTCCTCACACCTCTAAGCGGCTACCCGCGACCGACCTGTGGCCCTGTAGCGACGGACGCTTTCGTTGAATGCGCCACGCATGACTGGACAGTACCCACTTTAACCATTGCCTCTATGTTCCGCTCATGGTCTTGAACAGAAGCTTTCTTATTCTCTCGTAGCGCGCCGCATGCGTCGCTGCTCGGACGAGAAGATGGTCGGTGAGGTGAGAGCGCGCAAGCCTGAGCATCCTCAAACAGCTCTCCGTTGTCATGAATCGTAATTACGTGCTGGCTCACTGTGTTGATGGACTTCCCCGAGCTGTAGAATAGAACCTCTTGCTCGCCTTTGCCCTCAGCAAAATCTTTGAGGTTGTTCAAAATATGTGTGACTTCACGCTCCACTGCTTCTATCTGCTCCGATGCAACTCGTCTAGGCGAGTCGGTAACGAGCGGCAACCCATCGAATCCCCTGTCAACAGAGACGTAGGCCAGGTCACAAACGACGCTGCCAGTGATCTGGCTACAGACACCACAGCTGGACAGCCGCTGCTCCGCTCAGCGACAGACGGGAGCAGAGTACTGCCTGGTTATGATCCAGGGGGATTTGCCCCCGTGGCTTTATCTAGCATCAATGCGCCTGAGACTTCGATCAACAGCAGTCGCGATTGCCAGAACGACACTGCGATTGGCGAGTATGCCCAGAAGTACTCTACGCCCCCGACTGTTCCCCATGAAGTTCAGACAGATCGTGGTCACCACGTGCAGAGCCTCGGTGACGAGTGTCATGTGGGTGGCAGAGAACACGAGAACACGGGAGCGAATCACATCGCCAATGGTACAAGCAACACCGTGGCTGATCGTACAAATGGGGATGCCGATGTTGAAGTAGGGATCGAGGATCGCGCGGCGAGCACCGCCCTCGGCAAGACTACCGCGCCCAGCAGCCTCGTCAACGGGGAGCTTGCGACCACAATGGACGTCGATAACAACCATGCAGCTGGGTTGGGCCTCCTGCTTGAGAGCTGCTGGGATAGTTCAAGGCAGGACGATCCCCGAGGTGATTCGCACGAGGCTACTGGCGACGGTCGCGGTAGTCCTTGCGACTAGAACAGCCGGGAACGCGCGATATACGATAACAGATGTGCCGGCATCTGAGTGTTTCCGCCGGCCGCCAAGCCATCAGTACTTGCGACTTGCACCGAGTGGGTACGAGAAAGGTGGAGTACAGTACGAAATGCCTTATGTATCATCGTCTCCTCTCAGCGAGTCTGTCCTATTCGTGATTACACAGTACTTGACGTTGTTACACCTGCCGGGGCATTAATGCACACGACCTGGCTACGCTTGGATAGACGGAATAGCGCTTGCTCTACAGATTATGGATGCCAATGGGAATTTCCGAAAGATGAAAGAAGCCCAACAAAGGAAGCAGCCTCGTAGGGTACGCCCCGTTCATGATAACTGCTATACAGGACAAATCTGTGTGGTCAATTGCAAGGACATCACACTGTGCCAACCTGTTTGGTGTTTCCGAAGCGATCGACACCGTTGGGGCTGATGCGACTGTGCATACCCATGGAGTCGATATGCAGATGGCCCTGGAAAGCCACTGCATGCTTGGGGTCGATAGTCTTTTTCCGTCTTATAGGAACACGATGATCCTTCCAGTATTGCTGGAGAAAGGAAAGATCGAAGTTAGACGCCTTAAGCAAGCTGGTCTCGGCCACGTATGCATTCCGAGTTCGCTCGCCGCGGACTTCTTGCAGTTCTACAAAGTACCAGATCTGCTGCCGACTGTTGCCCAGCTCATAATCCGTGATGCGAGAGAGTTGTCGGCGTGAAGGCCACTGGCCGTGATCGCAGTCAGACTGCCTCCGTGTCAGACGGCATCGCCCGCACGGAAGCATAGGTCGCTCCTCAGCATACCCTAGGTCCTCGTCAGAGGCCCCCAGCTGGAGTAAAAACTGCGTGATGCTGTCTGAGGCATCGTGCCGAGCCAGCTCCATCGGTGACAAGTCGTTGACTCCGCTCGCATCCAAAGAAAACCCATACCTGTGTAGCTCCCTGATGTAACTCAAACGGTCAGTCTCCTCGTCGTACTCCAGGAGGTCGACCTGATGTCGGGTGTTCAAGAACCTGCTGAAGGTCCGCGGCAGACATGCTGCTGCCAAGGGGCGGATACCAAGCGGATTATGCACCACCACCCTAATGACAGATAGTGTCCATCGCTAGCTGGTTCGAAATATGGGGAAGCAGCACCTTTCCCACACGAAATTGGCCATATATCCCTGCGATGTGAAGGATATTCCATGGAGCAGGAGCCTGTGCATCTATAGTGACACCTGCGTCGACAAGCATTTCAGCGATCTCGTCTGCTCCGTCAGAATGTCCTACAACGCAGTAGAACAAGGCTTCTCGCCCAAGTTGAGGCATCAACTCGACTTCCTGCAGTAACACCTCTATGATCGAGAATTGCCGGTGTGCCACGGCGGACAGGAATGAGCGTTCGAGGATATCCTGTGCCGCCTTCACCTTCTTGACGTGGGGCAGCAGAATCTCCACAGCCTGTACTGAGCCGCCACATACTGCTATCTCAAGTGCGGTCCAAGCAGAGTCGACTCTCAAGGTCGACCCTTTTGGCCGTGACTCAATGAGCCACGGCATGCCATCCGCGAGTTCCGCCGGACTGGACCAGGGTACATCGTGGTTGCACACGAACTTATGGTTGAGATCAACCTGAGCGCCGCAACTGAGGATAACTTCGATGCCCTCGGTACTGTTATGGAAGCTTGCGATAGCTAGTGGCGAGAGCGGAGCGGAAGCCCAGAAATATTTGTCCAGGTGAGGGTGGTCGTACATAAAGTCTGGGTCGATGAAGTCGTATTCAGCGTCCAGGTCCATGAGGTCATACTTGCGCGTATAATCGTAGTCTTTGGGCTGGTTGACCTCGTCCTTGCGCGTACTCCATTTGAAGAGCTCTGTGGCGGATAGTGGTCCGAGTCTTGCAGCGTGTACAAATGCAAGTGGGTTCCGGCGAATCTTGTACAGTTGGAGTGCTCCGGCCAGCGTTCGACAGGTACGGCCTAACAGCAGCCAGGCGATGTCATCTAAGTCATCTGTTAGTATGTCGAAAACTTTGGCAGGTAAGCTGAGTATTGGTGTCGGCATTGTCGCAGCAGTATGCTTTGGCCTGCAAGCAGCTGGATGTTGATTCGGAGGCGGGTTATTTGCGTGTGGGAGGATGTGAAAAGAAGATATCACTTCAAGTACTTTCCGTACCGGGTGTGCCGATATCGTTAGGCTCGATGAGGACTGATACTATGTCTGAGTCGTGCGCATAGCCACGAACGCATTCGCTGTGCCAATGTAAGCGGGACTCACTGCCGAAACTCCTGCTGGATGCGCTAATGTGGTAGGGGCTCACGCCGACGTTGAATCCAGAGATCCTGGGTGATCCTGCGGCCGTTGCCGGCCGTGTCTGGGTTTGTACGAAGACCACATCTGTGTTTGTGTGCCGAGCTCATCGATTTGTCGTGTAACGATCCAAGGGCACTTTCCTCGTCGATGAAAGAGTCGAAGCAGACTATCGTTTGTGGTGGAACGCGTAGTAACAGATCACAAGCGACGATCTAGGGCGTTCATCTTTGTGACGATCAAGGCAGCACTGGTCTCTTTATTTTTGTACTCGAGATTGCAAGAGTGACAAAGCGCAGGTGTCTGTCTTGCAATTTGTGCATGTGGTCAAGGCGTTTCCCATCGTGACAATTGCCTCCCTGCTGTCGATTGTGCGCTCCACGAAAGTCTCTGGCCAGCAATCACCGACTGCACTGCGTGAACCATTGACGTGAGTCAACACAGCCCCCCGAATGCCAGTAAAGGTTGCAGTTGGTGGCGAGGCGTTCAGGTATAGATTGAGAGACCGAATGTTGTGAAAAGAAACACAGCCCAGAATTGGAAGAGGCCCCTCGTGCTTGTGATCAAATGTTTTGCTTGATATGAGATCCATCCATTCCACGCCTCCTGCCGGATTCGTATAGAAGACCATCGTCGGCTTAGCGCTGGCGTTTGCAGCCAGTCCTCCCTCTCCGGGCTGGATGCCCACCCGAGGACGACCAACAGATATAGAACCGAGGCTGTTATGAAACTGGGGCAGTCAGTTAGAGGATCCTCATAGCTGATTCGCACACTCGTTGTAACCTACTGAGAACCCGCCTTTTCTCCACTTGACAACCATGACGTCCATCTCTGAGTGGCTTTAAAGGAACAAACACCTGCCCTAATATGCAGCCGTATAACGCCTGCAGACGTGTGCGGGTTCTGTCGACGTACGGCTCGCGCTCCGTGTGACGATGGACGCCCACGATCTTGCCAGACTCCAGCAGATAAAAGAACGTGATGCTAATGCAATCCCACAGTGGGATCCCATGCGCCACCAGAACAGGACTTGAGCCATCTGCGGGTGGCATTCCACTTGGGACGCTTGATGTGTTTGAGAGTAGTATGTGTCCGCTGAAGTTACACGGTGGCTCGATGAGGCACAAGCCCGACTGACTTGTTAATGATATGTACCATCTGAAGGCCTTCGCGGGTACTCTCATACCTGGAAGGTTGCTTTGCATTCCTGGAGCGGGTCTGCAGCCTTGACGAGGCAGAAGAGGAAATGCTCATTCCAGCCGAAGTCGTCTGCGGCGGTTGGTTCGCAAATCTCAACGAGCCCAGCCCAATCGAACTTGAGTAAGACGTCATGTTTGACCACAGTCTCATGAGATAGTGGTTCTGTACCACGTCCCCATGAGCTGACTTGCCGAAGGCGCAACCTTTTGCCTTCCTTCTTTAGATTCAGCGATGGTATCGAAGAGCCAATGTGAAGCCAGCGGCGCTCCATCCGACCAGTAGTATTGGCAATCTGCTGCATTAATTCAGGCGGTAAACGGCCGCCCGGCAAGTAAATCTGCCCGCCTAGAAATCTCGGTGGTAAAAGTGGAAAAGCCCAGCATTGTGCCCAAGGAGACCGCGTGCGCAGCGCGAAGCGTACACGTGTGGCAAGGTCGATAACATCGACACTTTCCTTAAGGCCAGGGAGCATCTGCAGCAGGTTCTCGAAACAAGCTTGGTGGGTGCTCACGCCGTGGCAGCGAGGGGAGCACTTATAACATATTGCATGTGAGCAATACGACGTTCGCGCGCCACAGCGAGGTTCGCAGGGGTCGAATGCGCCAGAGGCTGCCCTCGGTGGCTCAATCGCGTACGTCTTGAAACTGATCGGGCCCTCACTGCTGGCGCTGACATCGACTGTTAAATAGTATCAATAAGTCGCCTTCTCACAGACCGTCCTTGTACTTACTGATGACCACGGTTTCACCTTCATCGTAAGTTTCATTGCACAGGCTGCAGATGAGGTGGAGATGGTTTGGAAAGCGTCGCGCACTGCTGACAGTGGCGATGTCCTTGAGGTTGCGAAGCATAATGTGTTGTTGAGTCAGATAGAAATGAGTTGTCCGCCGTCGTGAAATTGTTCCGGAATATTGGAGTGTATGGAGGCGAGCCGTGGCCACGGAAAGCTCATGTTAAGCACTCTTATATTTGTGCCTGAATGCGGCTAATGGCTCCTATTCCTCTGAAAGCTTTGACCACAGGCACGCACAGAAACTCGTGGAGCTTGGACAGCCTTAAGCTCTGCACATCAAGCGTGTGAGAAGACCACTTCAGTTCAGCCACCAGATATCAGAGGCTGAGCTTCCACAGAGGGTCATGGGCTGGGTTTGCATCGTGTTGTTGTAGTTGCCCGTCGTGCAATGCAGATTGGGGTCGATGAAGGTTGACCAAAGCGGCCCTGCGCTTGATCTCCCGCATACACATGCTGCTTGGGTGTGTGACATTTCTGGTCAAGGTTGATCGGAACGATCGACAACTGGGAGACTTGGATTGTATGTAGGACGATTGAGACCCTGGTCCACTGACAGACGTGACGCTACCCTATGGCGCATCATGATTTAACAGACTTCGTGCTGCTGAAAAGTCTTTGCGGCGTCTCAATGGTATGTGCATTGTTTTCTTTTACATGATACAAGAAGAAAGTCGTGAATGTAGCTGCGATACTTCCCCGCGACGACAACAACAATCGCCTGTCGCGACATGTTCTTCCACGTAAGCGCAAGACCGGTCTTCTCAATCCTGTCCTCCTGTGAACCTCGGCAACTCTGTCATGCCCGCCCAGTAGAAGCGCGCGGTGTGCCCCTTGTTGATTCATTCCATCCTTCTTCTCCCCCACTCCAGGACTACAATCCATGTCTAAGAAGACCCAAAGATGCTGTGCACCGCGTGCGATAAAAGGGTGGCGTTCTCGTAGTCGAAGTCCTCGCTAGGGGTTACGAAGAAGGCGAGCGCAATGATAATGTAGAGCGCCATCAACTACGCGGCGTGTCAGCACATGATACAGCTTCCGACTCTCCAGACCTGCAAGACATACCATGGCACCCTCGAGGTAATTCGACTTTCCATCCATGACGGTGTAGATGACGACAAGCACGGACTGCGCGAAAGAGACAGTCTCGACTGCGGGGGTGTTAGCAACTGGGTGCACATCAATAAGCAGTCTGCAACTTACAAGTCTCAAAGTGCAGGTCCATGTCGCGGTCCATGATCCAGCCGAGAATGACGAGTAACGGCGTGACAAACAGGGCGATCTGGATGCTGGAGCCAATAGCAACTCCCATGGCCTGGAGTGGACGATGTCAGTAGCCGTGACTGACAAATGGGCCAGAAGGAGCTCACGAGGTCCATCTTATTCTTGACAGCGACCACAACAGCCGTAATGTGCTCAGCCGCGTTGCCGACGATAGGAATCAGGATCAGGCCGATAAAGTTACGGCTGATGTGGGTGCGCTCTACTAGAGGGTCAATGCTGTCGACAAGGTAGTCCGCGCAGATGGAGACCAGAACAGTCGTCACAATAAGAACGAGACCAGCCGACCACGGGCTCATGTGCTCCTCCTTCTCCTCTTCTTCGTCGTCCTCCTGGTGCTGGTTCGCGTTGTTGCTCTCCACCTCGGAAGCATCCTGCGAGTCGGGCGGGGTTGTCGCGGACTCGAGGCTGCAGAGGTTGTGGTGCGTCTTAAGCTGGAAAAATTACATGACGTAAAGAAGGAGAAGGATGATTGCGGTGCCACGAGACAGGGCGAGGATCGGTCGGCGAGTCGACTCTTCGTCGTCGGCAGGGTTGATGATCATGAAGAGCTGTGCCACCATGTACAGTCAGCATGAATAAAAAGAGGCTGGTGCGATTGTGCAGCCGGTGTTCCTCACAGTGCCAGGCAAGATCATAGAAGCGGCCGAGAGTGTCATCAGTGATGAGGTCGTCTGCGCAGTGATCGAGGCGAACGACTGCTCTGTGCCTTCACCATTGCCGTCGCGCATGTTGACAATGCCGCCGAAGAAGAAGCACATGCCCATGACGAGGAGGATGTTGGAAAGGATCGACCCAATCATGGAAGACTTGACGACCTGGAGCTGGTTGTTCTGGAGCGCAATGATGCTCACAATCAGCTCGACCGCATTGCCGAACGTCGCGTTGAGCAGTCCGCCGAGCGACTCGCCGAGCTTGTCAGAGATCTCCTCGGTCGCGAACGACAGGACGGCCGCCAGGGGAATGATGGCGAAAAAGTTGATGGTGAAGACGGCGATCGGGTCCCAGCCGCCCTGGCCGGCAATGATACCAATGGGTACGCAGACGAGGAGGATGTTGATCGGGTCTGTGGACATCCGCGGTCAGCTATGTGCGGACCGGCATCCCATGCCTGACATTGGGGACCGCAACTCACTGCTCAGCAGGGTCATCTTTGTGATGTGCCGGACGTGGGCGGGATGCTTGACCCATGGCTTGTCGCTCTCGAGGGCGATCTCGGACGTTCGAGAGACCCCAGAAAGCGTAGGAGGCGTGTCTACGGTGGTCAGGTTTTGTCGGCACATCCGTAACTGGGACACAATGCCCCCAGGGGCACAGCCGAGAGCGCCAGATAGCCTTATTGACAGGCTACTCCAAGGCTGGCCTCAGTCCTTCCCTCGACCACCAACACGGCCCTCGCCCGAAATCACCCCTCTCAACCATCACGAGCTTCCTACCAACCTGGGCCCGTCGCTCACGCGCATCTGCCACAGACTATCGTCCTCGCGCCACCGCAGCCCCGGTGGCTTCGTCCCGAGCAGTTACGCGAGACGTTCAAGATTGCCCACACGATCACCATGTAGTCGTCACACAGTCTTCAACGTCGCATTCGTGTGCTAAGCTCCTGCGGTCTCCTTTCAGCGTCGCTTCTCTGGCGGTCATCAGCTTCAGACTACCCTCACTCGACTCAGACTGCCAGCGGTGGCCGGGAAACTCGCCAGGCATCAAAGACTCCACGGGACCAGGACGCTCGCAAGCCGACATTGACTGAGACAACTTCCCCGCCAACCAGCTCCTTGAGAGATCGTCAGCCACTGCTTGTGGAATCCGACAACTACCTGTGCTCGCCAGCACGTAACAGTGCAATTGTAATATCATTGGCACTTTCTAGGTCTCCACTGACTGCAGCTATGTTCACAGCTCCCCCTTCTGACAAGCTGCGCAACCTGATCGGTGCTTGGCTGCCAGCCACCACACGTGTGCTGGGAGGGACTTCTATCCTGCCTTTTCCGACCATGATCCTGCCGACCCTTGACGAAACCGCTTCACGAGAAGCCAGCGTCGACCTTTGAGGCAGTACCTGCCAGAGACCAACAGGGCTCCAACGAACCCCGACCAGACCCAACCCCTCGCTACTAGCGCAACCACGCGCGTCTCAGGAATCTCAAACATTGACGGCAAGATCTTACACGACATGTAGGCGCAGGAAACGAGCTTGACTTGCGCGAGTGTCGTGATCGCGACCTACAAGCCGAACAAATGTCAGCAGCTGGGTCATGCTTTTGTCACTCGGGCGACTGCGTGCAATCGACTCTCAAGCAGGCTCAAGTAGCTGCTCACAGACACACCAGCTCCCGGGTGTCGTTACTCCCTCAACTCTGCGAACGGACAGCTTTCTAGCCTCCAAGTCACCTCTCTCGCAGGCAAAGGCGTCCACTTCCCACTCACTTGGCCTCACAACTGTCTGGCTCCTTCGCGGGAGGGACAGCCCAGAAGAACGACACATATTTTTCTCTCCCGGATTCAATCGGCCACGACAACGGGCATCCTCGAAATACAACTCCTCACCGCACAACACAAACCCCAACAGGCGATAGTTCTTCGCGGCCGGATCTTCGCATTTTCAACCTGTAGCATGAACTCCTCCACGAAGTCTGACTTTCATCATTACTCGATTGTTCTTCTACATCTAAAGTGAGCCAAGCTGTCTATCAAATGGCATCTGCCCACACTAACGGGCGGCACCATCGACAGGAGGCCCCATATCACGATACACTCGAGACACGGTAGAGCCCAAATAACATTCATTCTTGTTCCTTCATAAGCATCACCAGTGGCGCATTGCAGAAGACTTCTGCTTTCAATGGAGTCGTAACGTGCAGCCGCAGTGCCGCCGCTGATGTTCTACAACCCGTACTGCCCCGATGCCATTCTAGTAAATGTGCGGGCAGGCCGTCTAGTCAAACACAAGATCCAAAAGGTGGCACATAGATTGACAAAGATTTGAGGAATGTACAGGCCATATCCACAGCTTCCTTAAAATTCCAGCTTCGGCCTCTGAAATGTCCACCGAGTAATTTCACTCCAGCCAGCCCAGTCCGCAAGGCAGACGGGCAGGCTTGGCTCACTAACATGGTCCTCCCCAGCAACCGCCTTAAAAAAAATCAAAAGAGTCGGACCCTCGAGCTTGTTATGATATGCTGAACAACTGAGCTTTTGGGAGGAGATCCACCATGATGTGTGACCATGATGTGCGATGCGTTGCAGGGCCCTCAGAAGGGGTTCAGAAATTGTTTCAAAGGAGAACACCGGGCTATGCAAGAGTGGGAAGTAAATGAGTGCGAGAAAAGAGCATCATAACCTCTCCAATGCAGAGCTCATGGGATCAAAGTCCCAGAATCATGATGCCAATATATTTGGGACAAGCGCAAGGAGAACATGACCGCTGAGTGCACCGCCGTGACTTCTCACGGCCGAGAAGAATGTGCGTGATGGGACGCAAAGATCGATGATCCCGTGGGTGGGCATATGTTCCCATAATGACTTGTAGGAGGATGGCTCGCCGCTGAGGTAGCCACCGGCGTCGTGCCGCTAGTCATACTGGAAAAACTTGAGCTGGTTGGTGGATCCTCGCGCAGCAGACTTAGATCACTCGCCAGTCCAAATAGGATGTTGCGCTCCGACTTCAAGGGGCTTGATCGGTGCGCGATGACGTCAAAGAACTCAATTGTCCGCCTGAACAGCCCAGACAGCACTTCGGAATCAACAAATCTCGTAAGAAGTGGGTCGGTGTAGCAGGCGGCAAGGGTGAGGAGGTTGCCCCATTGACTGCAAGTCGAAGGAGTCAGATATCAATGCAAGTGTTAAAGAGTGAGCGGCAGTGTTACTTACGCGTGGGCAGTACCGAAAATGTTGGTTACAATAATGCGCTGCTTGCGCGGCATGCCATGGAATGCACTGGTGCTCTGGATCAACGCCTCGATGCCGAGCCGGGCATAGTTAAGCGTGCGGGGGTCGACCCCCTCGGGAACCGACTTGTCGCCGATATTGATTGCCAATTCATGGAAGCTTTCTGGTCGGGGAAGTCGAGGATCTTTGTAAGCGCCATATGGGATAGGCTCCTTCTCGAGCAAATGTCGTACGAAGGGGCGATAGATAATGGCCTGTGATCCCCAGTACTTGGCACGCAGGCGAGCAGAGAGGATATCGCCAGCAGGCGGCTCATCATCATGCCATCTGAATGCGGCAGGAACCCAGATATCACGAGATGTCTTCAGTTGGGTTTGGAGACCATGAAGGCCTTCGTCGATCGTCTCCGGGGACGAGGGTCGATGTATCTTGTCCGGATTATATAAGTGGCTGTGGATCTCATTGAGCTGGCGCCGGAGATGAAGCTGGGCGAAATAGCTACCGCACTCTTCGGCAGTGTAGCCATAGGTTGTCACAAAGGTCGTGTTCGGATAAGGCATGTTGTCTTCGTACTGCAGAATAGGACTCTGGGACAGCGGAAGCTCCGCAAGGATGTCACTGAGCACAAAGAAGTCAGCAGGCGGCCAGCAGCAGCGAGTTGGGCCTATGTCTTACCTTTCTAGCTGCAAGCAGGTCCAGTACGCCAGGAGTACCTGGTTGTCTCTCCTGGACTCCTGAGGCACATATCCATCGCCCATCTTGATCTCGTGGAATCGGTATATGCTCCTGCTTCGAACTTAGCGCTGCTCAGTACCAGCCATGGCAGTTTTGACTTACGTCCTCATGACCTCCTGCAGAACAGTACAGCCCTGTTTTATGTATGCCCAGCTTTCCACAGCCCTCGCGAGTTGCCCATGGTACAGACCAGCAAGGACCCAAGCATAAACATGCTTGAGATCAATCCCGCCCAGATGGCTGCCCAGAATGTCCGTTGCCAGTGCGAAGTACTCAAGTCCAGGAATTCCGTCGTAGTTTCGCTTGATCGGTGTCGGACGCACTCCTGTACTATTACCCTGCATGGGAGCACGGCGACTGGGCATGGTACGGTCGCACGGGTCTTGTGGCGAAGGCAGTCCAGAAGACTGAGAGTGCGAGTTGAGTCCGGGGGGAGAGCCGTGGATCGGAGACATTGCGCCACCATTTCGCATGGAGGGCGATCGATGTGGCTGGGCCTCACCTTGCTCCCTGACAATGTCAGGAATCCTCTGCTTGTGGAGGCAAATCTTGCCCAGCGCACAAACGAGCAGAACGATAGCGCTCTTTATGCTGCGGAAAGGATGGCCGGGTTTAAAGATGTTGAAGGATGGTGCCGGATCATCGCCACCAAGCTGGCGTTTCCTCTTCGCACCAACAGCCTCGGGCAGTGATGGAGCGGCAGATGTCGGCTGGCTGACAAATTTGGGGTTGCTGCTGGACCGCACACTTGACTGCTGCTTATGCTGGGGGATCTCCTTGAGAAACAGCACAACCAGCGCATCCAGCTCTTCCGGTATCATGATCGGATGCATGTTCAAGATGTTGTCCTTGAAGCTGGTGACATATTTCCACACCGTCGAATGCGAGAAGTCTGGATTACCGTCCGTGCCAATGACTCCGCCTCTGAATGTCATGCCTTGGGCCGGGGAAAGCCCCATATTCTCTGCTCGTTGATCCGAGTGGTCTACCGGCGCATGTTCTCGTCCAGAACCTTCTCCGGTCCCGCACACATGCAGCACGCCGCGAGCCTTTTCCTGTTGAATCGGGAACTCTTCGACATAGCCAATGTGCTCTGCAGCGAGATGGGGAGCGACCAGCCGGCGTATCGACTTCCATTTCAATAGCAGTCCGGCCGAAGTAGTGTGATTCGCGGGCAACTTCGTCTTCCCTGCGGCCGGCGGCCCCGGCTTTTCGTCGCCGTCATTGTGTGCCCAGAATCGGATCATTTTTTCTGCCTTGTCCTGATCCATAACACCATTCTTTGCCGCAAATTCGTTCTCGGCACCTCGGCCATCAGGCGGCGGGTGGTCGTGTGGGCCTGTATCATCTTGATACTCGTTACCCTCATTCGACTCCATCTTGAAGTTTGCAGCGCTGTTCCGGGGGCCGGCGTGGATGCGACTGTCCAACCGATCAACGCGTTGACCAATCTGTTCCAATTTTTTCCTCGTATCATCGCTGAACTCAATCACGGCATCCAGTATGATGGCTTTTTTGGACCTGCAACACCCTAGATTGGCACTCTGCACGTGGACACCTTGTTCCATTCCACGACTTACAGCTTGGGTTGTGAGTCGAGGTCATCGCATTTGGTATCTCGTCGTCTGCAAGCATCGCAAGGTCGCCACTCATTACACGTGGTTTTGAGGTCGCGACACGGCTTATAAGCCTAGGTATGAATGAGGTCAGTACTGTTTAGCTGCACAGCGCGCAGGAAGGCTCCATACCTGAGATGCGCTCGTCGCCTTCCGTTGATTACTTTCGGCTTCGGCAATCTCGAGTGGTATGTGGGATGTGGGCGGTGGTGCCTGGCTTGGGTGACCCCCATGACCATTTGGGGCACCATCGTACGGGTTGCGATGAGGCACTGACATCTTGGGGACCGAACCTGAAGCTGGGTGATGCCTGGCGGTCGCCAATGAATGCGCTATGGTCCGGTCGTCGTGAATGGTCTGTCCATAATGTTGCTGAAGTCCGTGATAAGTCTTTTGAGGAGCCGGAGAATGGCTGTCGATTGGGTGGCCCGGGTTTGGCTTCCCTATGGGAGGGCGAAATGTCCCGGGCCTATTGAAAACGCTCGCCATGACCCAGCGGCGCAGGGACTCTGCTAGGCGTGCGAAGTGCGCGCAGAACCTGGTTTGAGAAGAATGAGAAGCGCGGTGATTCTGCGGCGGCGAGCTCGGGCGAGGTTGCGTCTGTCTGTCCAGACCCGGGAGGCGGGAATGAATTGGGCAGTACGGATTCCATGCTCGAACTTATGTATGAAGCAATGCAAGCCGGCTGCCAGGATGAGGAGCATCAGGAGACGGCGTATGACGGCTCCATCCCTGTTATGTGATGTACATGTGTCCGGGTTTCACCCACGGAATCCACCAGTTGGGTACGTGCACAGAGACCGCTCCCTGCTGCTGCGATGCGCTAGCGTCAGACCAGGAACTGCAAAGTGTCTGCGACATCTTTTCTTCTTCTACACTACTCATCTATTCTGCGCCACAGTACCTCTACGCTGTACTCTCGCTCGCTGACCGACCCTGGCATGATACCGCTGTATCAGCCCCGTTCGTGTACTTTTACGGTGGCTGTGCGAGTGCGGGGTCGGAGAACTCTAAGTGTGGTAGTGCCCCCCAGGTAGCGATTAATCGACTACCGTTATATAGACCGTTCTTTAGGTCTCCCGCGAGAGAGGGCGCGTAGCGCCCTGTCGAAGTCTCGTATAATTCCCAACTGTTTTCTTTTCTCCTAACTACGCAGACATGGGGACCGGGGGGTGGGGGGGAATGGGGGACAGATAAGGCCACCCCGGGACGTTGGGGGGGTCTCCAGTACGGGTGAGGAGCGTGCATGTATGCTTGCGCTGACGATGGTGATGCTGCGGGTGACGAATGATGCTGGATGTCCCGAAGGCGTGGGATGAGAGGGAGGAGTGTTCGGACAAAGTGCCTTGACGGCGGAGCGCGTGATTGGTCGATGAGTCCGCGAGCTGAACCAAAAATCTGGAGGCAAGGGGGGCCCCATGTTGTGTTCCAGTACTTACTGTACCCTAACCCAGATCGTGCTTGTGTTGCTGAGGGCAGGGCCTGCCTGCGGGGGAATGCGATAGAGGGGGAAGAAGAAAAATGAAACAGTAGGGCCCAGCCCAGCCCAGCCTGGCCCAAGGACCCGGAAGAAGGGATGTGGGAAGCGGCGCAATTGCCGCTGCAGCTTCTGACAGATACGGCGGATGATGTGCATCAGGGAACAAAGACACAGAGGAGGCTACTGTGCCTTCGGAGGCACGCCCGGGCATGTGGGCGAATCGGATCGCCTGGCGGCGAGGCCGCTGGTGCTTTCCAACGGCTGTTAGGGCGCCCCATGGCCATGGCCATGCCCGAGCCTCTGCACTGTCACGTCCGGACCGGCGTGGGCCCCGTCCCGGGGCCGGGGCCTGAGATGGGTGATTGTCGGGGCTGGTCTTTGCTACGCTGGGTCCGGATCGCTGGCGACGCGTCCCGCGGCCTTGAAGGGTGCGCCCGGCAGACACCTTTATCCAATTAGGTTCGAGGTAGTAGAGGAGGACGACCAGCGTCTGCGCAGCTGCACCGAGTGGGACTCGCTGCATCCTGAAAGCGTGGGGTGCCGACCACCACGCGACAAGCTGGTCCGCTCGGCTGCCATCCATGGAGCACGCCAGGCACGACATTGTGGTGGGTCGGTTTATGGTTTAGGGTCTAGACCAAGACCGACCGATGCGACCCCCACCCTGGGACCTGGTGCTCTCGACGACCCCGTGTCATCTTTTGAGTTCTCATATCTATCGCCAACGGCGAGATCACAGCCCTCGGAACGTCATTGTATCCCGCCTGCCACGTGCTTAGGTTCAGACCAGCCGCCACCCTGTGCGGCGAAACATCACCACGGAGCAATAGCAAGTTGGATGCGGCTGACCTTGCCGGGTTGTGACGGGCAGGAACCTCGTGCCAACCATCACGCCATCGCGAATGGCCGCGAAGAAGCTCGCCGCCCGCCGACGCAACGTATTCTTAGACGCCACTGCGGCTGCGGTGATGGAAAGGCGCATGATTGCCACTATGGCGTCACAGGACTGGGATCGGCAGAGTTTGTATCACTACAAAGGCGACGCAGACATCCAGGTCGCCGCCGTATTCCGGCTGCATGTCCTCCCGAGGGGTCCTTCTGTGCCCATTGGCCGCAGCTAGTCAGTCATACAAGGCTGCATATTTGGCAGTCGATACTCTTTGCAGCGACAACGGACGCGCAACATGTGATTACGAGCAAGCACCGCATCTTACATGCCATGCGCACGAAACAGTGAGGCTCGGCTATACAGAGCCGGGTTCATGAGTTGCAAGTGCTAATAACTGACAACATCGGACTTGAATTATGAATAACTGCCATCGCGCCTACCAACCAATATCACACCAGAGAGAACAATGCCCAAGTCAGCTCCCATTTGGCGTGCCCGGCCACTTCCGTGCCGCTTCCGCCTCGGCCACGTTTCTTTTGACCGCCACAAAGCTATCTGGGCTCACGGAAATGGAGTCGATCCCCAAACTGACGAGGAACCTTGCAAAAGTGGGGTCGTCACTGGGTGCTTGACCACAAAAGCCGATCTTTGTTTCCGTCGCACTGGCGGCCGTGATCACCCGCTCGATCATCCATTTGACGGCCGGGTCCTGCTCGTCGAAAAGGGCCGCGAGCTCGCTGGAGTCGCGGTCAACCCCGAGCGTAAGTTGGGTTAGGTCATTGGACCCGATCGAGAAGGGTGTTGCTTCGGGGCTTGGCGACGAGCAAGGACAAAGACATGGAAAAGGTCCCCGTTATCCTTCACGTCACTAGCGTGGCCAGTAGCCCGCTGAGTTACCCCGGCGCTGGCCAGGGGCAGCCCGGCACACACCTTGTCACTCGAGGTTCTCGCAAGATTTCGCCTGAACAGGACTAGACGGCTGGCCAGGGATCGAGGCAGCCGCCTGCAGGTGCCTCTGCCAAGCGCCCTGACCGTTTCCCTTTGCACGCCCCTCTCCAAGGGACCGCTGGCGGGCTCACCCCTTGTTCCACCTTCCCACAAAACAAAACAGAACAGAACAACACAGGCCCTGGTCGCCTGCGATACCGAGCCTCAGGCCTCACGGTGCTCGGTGCACAACCAACTGCGAAGGATCAACTCCGTCTTCCGCGGCTCACCCGCCTCCAGTCGCCGACACCCGGTCCCAACGAGCGAGTCCCAACCAGCCATGCCCAGTGGGTGATTGCTCAATTACTCGAAGGATGCCGCTGCACATCCAATCGAGAAATCAGCACGCTGGACACTCAAGGGCAATGGGAAAGAACCAGCAGAGCCGAGGATTGCTCTGTGCAAGGGGGCCAAGATTCTGCAACAATGAGAAGGAGGGGCCCCGGGCACGGTGGACCGATTGCTGTTTGCCCGCTGTCACTCGGTTGCGACGTGCTCGTCCGTTCCATGTCGAAAGAACCCTGGGTCTCGCATGCTGCACCCAAAAGCGGCCATTTGTCAGGGCCCGCTGGGAGGAGACCAGCCAGGGCCGGAGAACAGGCCGTTGCGCAACCACGACCGCGCGCTAGTCAGACCACTGCCGGGCGATCCCCGAGCAACCACATACCGCCGTATCGTCATGGCATCGTCAGCACCGGGCCGCTTCCTTTTTCTTAGTCGTTCTAGAAGACGCCATGGAACAATGACAGAAGGGCAGCGGTACTGGCACCATCACCGCCACGGGCACGCCGACACACTGGTAATCTCGCCAAAGGACCCTGCCTTGTGTTCGCATCAATGCCGGGCGTAAGCTCCTTTCTGCACAGCTGCACCCTGTCATCGTCCGGTTTTCCTTTGCTTTTCCACCTCGACTCCTCCACTCGACCGTGTTCCTGGGTGCTCTGTGCAAGTCAGGGCCCGCTGTCCTCCCCACAGTCGTCAGACACATGGTCCCTTTGGGGGGGAACAGGTTTGCTTTTCTGCTGCTGTTGCAGGGCCTCGCCAGTGCCGGCCCTCTGGCCTGTGGCTCGTTCTTTGAAACATGGACGCATACAGCCGCCAGATTTGGAGTGCATACGTGCTCGACTGGGACAGGGAGGCTTCACCCCCGTCTCCTCGAGCGCCTTGCAGCCGCCTTCTGAAGGGACAGGACAGCTGCGGGGAGCAGAGGTTCCCTTCGCCAACCTGCACAGCCAGGATGAGAAGACGTCTGTTTCAATGTGTTTACTACACATCACATATACCCCACCCCATCCACCCATCCGTCTACCCGCACGGATAGGAAACCCCAGCTAGCATCCGTCCTTGGCACGCTCGCCATGCAGCTGAAGCAGGGTTCCTGTCACCAATAAATATCTACCGGGCCTTTCCTGGTTGTTGATGCCGTGATCCCTCCCGAGCCCATGGCTAGCCATGATTTCGAGGACTTTGTGCGCCTCGTCCACCGTGCGGCAAAACGGGATCATGACAATGGCATTTGTGAAGCCCATATGGTCCCTGAGTTGCTGGATGGCACGACACTCTAGTCCAAAGCTGTCCCTGTACCGGGGCGAGTAGTAGCGCGCCGCGCCGCGGAGACCGAGCATGGCGTTTTCCTCGACAGGCTCAAACTTGGCGCCTCCGAGCAGGCGTGCATACTCATTGGTCTTGAAGTCGCTCATGCGAATGATTGCTGGCCTGGGATACGCCACGGCGCACAGGGCAGCCAGCGCTCGCGACAGCTTGTCCACGAAATAGTCCTCCTTGGACATGTACGCGGCAGTCATGCGGGCGATTTGTCGCTTGTCGTCGCCATCTGGGAGCTCATCGTAGTGCAGAAGGGCCATGGGGTGCACCTGGATAACGCTGCTGATGACAAACTCCATGCGTGCGAGGCCCACGCCGTCATGGGGCAGCCGCCACCAGCGGTACGCCACGGCAGGGTCCGCCAGGTTGAGCATGACTTTTGTGTGGGCCGGACCGAGGGCGGCAAGATCCAGGGTTTCCGTCACGACCTGGGACTGCCCGGCGTGGATGTAACCGGTGGTGCCCCGCGAGCAATCCACCGTCACGTCCTGGCCGGGGTGCAGCACGCGGGTGGCATTGCCGCAGCCAACAATGGCGGGAACGCCAAGCTCGCGGCTTACAATGGCAGCGTGGGAGGTGCGCCCCCCATGGTCTGTGACAACAGCCACGGCGCGGCGCATGAGGGGAACCCAGTCCGGGTCTGTGAACTCGGTGACGAGTATGGAGCCATCGACGAAGCGGTCCATGTGGCGAGCCGACGCAATATGGCAGACCCGACCTGCTACTGCGGCGGTCCCGATTGCATGTCCAGTGGCCAGGACCGGTCCTGGCTCACGGACAACATATGTCTGAGCCACTTCGCCAGAAGAGCCAGGCCGCCCCATCTGCGAGTGCACCGTCTCGGGTCGCGCCTGGACCACGAAGAGGTCGCCCGAAACTCCATCTCTCGCCCATTCGATATCCATGGCGCAGCCGTAGTGCCTCTCAATCGCGCATGCCCATCGTCCAAGCTGCAAGATTTCATGATCGCTGAGCACGAAGCTTGCACGCTCGGCCGCGGTCGTCGGCACACTAGTCGTTGGGGCGTCCGTCTCTGCCTCGCCTCCATACACCATCTTGATGGCCTTGCTTCCACACGTCTTGTTCACCACGGGGAAAACACCGGCCCCACTACCAATCAGTGGTTTGAACACCTCGTACTCGTCTGGATCGACAGTGCCCTGCACGACAGTCTCGCCTAGTCCCCAAGACGCGTTGATCAGAACCACTTGGTCGTAGCCACTCTCGGGGTCGATCGTGAACATGACGCCCGCCCCGCCCCCTGCCCGGTTCGCGCGGACCATATGCTGCACACCAACCGAGAGCGCCACGCTCGTGTGGTCGAATCCCTTGGCTTCGCGGTAGCTAATGGCCCGGTCCGTGAAGAGCGACGCATAGCATCGCCGGCAAGCGGCCAGCACTTCCTCGGCGCCGCGTATGTTCAGGTACGACTCTTGCTGCCCCACAAAGCTTGCGGTGGGGAGATCCTCTGCTGTGGCGCTTGACCTGACTGCAACGCTCGGATCATCCATCCCCGCCTTGGCCCCGAGGTCATGATAAGCAGCCTCGATCGCAGCTGCGACCGGGCCTGGCCAGGAACCCCCGAGGAACAAGGATCGGATGGTGTGGCCCGTATCAACCAGGTTTGTCTTGCCCTGGCGCCAGTGGTCAATGGCAGCTTCAAGCCTGCTGCGGATGCCATTGACCTCAACAAATTGCCAGTATGCGTGGGATGTTGTGGCAAAGCCATGTGGCACGGCAATTTCCTCGCTATCAAGAGCGCTAATCATCTCACCCAGTGATGCGTTCTTGCCGCCAACCAAGGCCACATCCTTGCGAGACAATGAGTGAAAAGTCCGGACAAACTCGCCGTATGTGTCCATCTTAGATTGTGGGTCTGGTGGTTCTTGTGGTGGCGATCAGTTAGAGGAACGATTTGTCATGGAAGGCTGTGGTACAGGGAGGGCAAGCTGATGTGGTCCAAAAAAAAAAGAAAGAAAAACAACAACAAAATGGCTCCAGACCAGCCCCAAGGTCTTAGACGGGATGATATAGTCCCTCACCAGGTCAGCAATTGAAGTGTGTGTTCCAGGGGGTGGGCAGTTCTTGATGGCACTGTCTGACCCCGCATGGTTGTCAACATGATGCAGCATTGGCGCACCTGGCTCTCGGGTCGGCGTGCGGCTGTAGTCCGTAGGCAGCTTGCGTCTCAACCGTGCAGCCTGCAGGTCAGTCGTGCAGCTTCGTGCAGTCACGCCACTGCAGGGGGCACAGGCGTGCATCGCATGACATGCAGTCAGACATGTGACTTGTGGTGATGCCTTTGTCAAATGGTGATCCCGGGAAGTATGCTCACTCAGCACATTCTCAGCTCGACACGTCCCTTCCACCTTGTCTGGCGAGTGCAGATCATTGTCTTTTTTTTTTCAATCGCTTTCCGATGCATGTCTCGTCAGCCAGGGATTGGTCAACTCGAAAATCGAAGTGATGTGATCAATTTCTCATTCAAGTTATCTCCTCACGATTGCAACTTGCGAACAAATGGTCTCTTTGCTTGTTTCCTCCCCTCGACGGCCGTCTAAGAATCCATATGCTGAACTGAACAGCCCGCCCTCTGACCAAATTTAGATCAGCAACCATACCCTTTTGAACTCGTGTGCAAAGGAAAATCAAGACACTTGCGCAAAATCCTCCAACCATATGGCGTTCATGGTATCGAGCTCTTGTTGGAATTTATTGAAACTCGCGCGCACATTGTACCATTGCATCTCGAGCGCCCGGGTCTTCTTCTCAAGCGCCAGGACCTTGCTCTCGAGCACCCCGTTTTCCAGCCTTTTCTTTGCGCGGCTTTTACGTGCCGCCACGACGTTGCGCTGGCGCCGTGCGTCCGTGCCGTCGGCCAGAACTCGCATGTGTAGTCTCTGCTCGTGCACGTGCGTGACTGGCGTGATGTCGTGCTGCTCTGGACATGCGGGAATGATGCGTGGTTTGTTCTGCTCGGGACCGTCCTCACTTTTCGACTGCGGCGAGACGGTGTCGCTGTCCATAGAGTGTAGCTCCACGGTGTCGTTGCTGCTGTTGTTTCCGCTGTCTCCATGTCTAGCCCGAATACCTGCTGCATTGCTCTTATTCTGCTTTGCGAGGCCTGGGTTGAGCTCTGTGCAGGTCGGGTGGAAGTCTTCTCGAAAAGGCAGAGAAGGGATTTCTGAGACGTGTAACTGGGCTGCCCTTGATAATACAATCCCGTCCGTGCCTTCTTCGTGACTGCTGATAGTTGATACGAGACTTGGTGACTCCGTCTGGACGCAATCCGGGATGATGAACTTAAAGCAATGCTCCGGGGCCCATCTGGGGAGTCGCGGGTATGGGACCAGGGATGTCTCCCACTCCATGGCGTTCTCCGGTCCGCCAGGGAACTGCTTGTCCTTGATAGATATCTGGAGTGCAAGACTTACTCTGCACAATAAAAGTTGTCAAGCAGCTTGATGTGCTGAGCCGCTGGCAAAGATATGTGGAGACACGTCAGACGACTTATATGCACACAGGGTGTCGGGCTGAATCCTGCTTTCGCAATGACCCAATGGCGTGGTACGACCACTTAGATAACCATTGTGCCTTACGCATGCATGCTCGCGACCAAGATCGACCACGACTAATTGGCGAAACGCCCGCAGGTTTGAGCTGCAACTAGTCGCAAAAGGGCATATGCTTGTGCCCTTGCTCTGCATAATCAAGCATTGCGACAGTAGCACAACGGGCGGTGGCCAATCAGACCAAAACGCGCCCGTTACACGACCTGGAGTTTTGCCAAGAAAGGCCCCCTTGATAACTCAGACAGGGGCTCTTGTAACGTATCACTTGCCATGGCGGACACACAGGGGTCATATCCCCAAAATTTATTCCTCACACATAACAGCGCAACTATATTGTACGTTACAAGGATTTCTCATGCCAGTCCTGCTAAACGGTGACTTCGGGGGCTTTATCGTACAGCACTCTTCTCTGGCATAGAGGACACACGTCATGATCCCGCTCGAACCACTTGTCAAAACACGCCTTGTGGTAAATATGCTGACATGTCAGAGCTCTAATCAGAGTCGTATCTTGTATCGCATCCAGACAGATGATACTTTTCCAGGAGCCAATTGGCAATGCTCGTTAGAGAACAATTCTCATGTCCCGGAAAGGTCTCGTAAATCTTTATTCGTTGCGAAGGATCCATACACACGACAGACAGACTTACCAAAGTTGACTCTCGAAGCTGGATTCCGCAGCAGGGACGGCAGCTGGTAGGGATGGCCAGGCCGAGTCTCTCTGCTGCCTGCCCCGCCACTTGCTGAACGGCTCGGCTTGGAGCTGCTTGTCCAAAAGCCTGAGCCGCTGATTGGCTATTTGTTGGCTCCTTTCCATCGGAGCATCGGGTAGTTCATGTCGATTGAACATGCTTTACTGGTTCAGTGGTCTGCCCAGAGGATCGTGTATGCACATCTGCGGAGCTTCGGCCTTAGCATACAGTATCAGAAAAAAAAGCAGGACCGATGCTGCAAGCACGACAGCAGGGACGACTGCTGCCGGAAGGCTGCCAGACATGGGCTCTGCCGCGTTGGGCTCTGCCGGGTTAGCCATGTCGGGGTTCTCGGGTGCGGTCCCCGAAGGGTGGGGGAAGAATGTTGAGTGACTGGACATCCTTGATTTCGGCAAGCTGACGAGGGCGACGTGAAGTTTGAGACGGAATTCGTCATCTAAACTGCCAGGGAGATAGTTTATATGCATGCAAAGACGTGCCGCGGCCCCCTTGGGAAGCCAATCTCCGATAAATCACATACGGCACCTTGCCGGCGGGTGCCAGTAGACCGAAGATGCATCCCGATGATGCATCCCATTCATCGGACCGAAGAACCCGAGTACGTGTGGCTTGCCGGTCTGGACTACTTTCAGGGTTTCTAGGCATGTCACTCCGATACGGCTACATATCGTGGCGTGAGACGCATTGCTGTCGGAACCCTGCGACGCCCTTGGACGCTCGATCATGGGCCCGCTGCAAGTTTCGTTCGACAGAGAGTTCTTGGGCCGCGCAGGGACAAGAGGGTTTGCGCTAGCCCCTTGTTCGGCATGAGCAGCTGAGCGGTGCATTGCCGCTCGGTTCCTGGCTTCATTGATAGAATACCTCTCATGGTCGGGCGCAGCAAACGCGTGAGGGACAACCTCAATTTCGACATGGATGGGCACAGGCTGGTATCTTGCAGGGCTGCAGACAAACGGCGCAGCCGCACCGGAAGGAAACAGAAAGGAAGAATACAGCAATGTCAGAATGACTCGGTGGGCTTTAGCGCATCGCCGTCTGTGACGTCTGCCGCAAGGGCATTCCGTCCCATTCGTCTCCGCTGGGTGGAGGGCAGGGTGAGTGAAGTTGGTGGCGTGCGGCCATTGACAAAAGTTCATCCGTGCTTACAGCATCTTGTTGGAGACTGTGTTGGCTCGGTCAGGTTCTCAGTGGCAGGGTCCAAGTGATGAAATGTGGGGCATCCACCGTTTCTCCGACAGGCCCGGGCTTCGCGCTCGTCTCCCAGAGTTGGCTCTCATGTTGCCCAAGGTTGCAACGGTGTTGAGTTGTGGCAAAGACTTCTCCGAGATAGGAGGACGGAGGAAAGCACAAGTTTCTGGTTAATGTCGCAGTGCGGCATGGGGCTGGGACAGTCTTTTTCAGCAATCGAAGCTAATGCTAATGGATGCGAGCCCGACCGAGGCGGACTCCGATGCCTTTACGCTGAAGTTATTTGCCGATGACGGAGATGGCGGTGGTGTCTACTTGGCACCGCAGCTTAGACGGCATACGCGCTGAGGCGCCGAGCTGTAGTTGAGGTTTCACGCGCCACCCTCGCAAGGACGGCCTAAGAGCAAGGGACCGGCAATCATCGACCAGTAAGGATCGCCAATGCAAAGCAATGCCTCCAGAAGACAGCCCTGCGACGTGCTGGGGCGTTGCGCGGAGACTGGACAAGTGGGTACAGTAGACCCTCGTTGAGGCGGATCGCGCTAGTGCGGATCCCGCGATATTGCGGACGACGGACGCGTCTGATTTCAAAACACCACTCAAAATCCGCAATTCCTCACTCCTCGCTAATCCGCACAATCTCTGAGGCTATCCCCATACAAAATCCGCTATAACGAACCAGAGGTAACGTGGTTTAGCCTCCTAAAATGCCTTGCCAGGCCATTACCCTCACCTAAAAAGTGGCTCTCCGAGAGTAGCGCGTCGCCCACCCGAACCTCTCCAACCACGAGCTAAAAGCCTGGTTTAAGCGTCAATTCACGCGCCCCGTCTCGACCTCCTCCGCCTAGATAAGTACGAACGGCAAATCAGGCTTGCTGCGTAGCCCTAACTTATGTAGAGTAACATCCGTAGCTTCTTTGCTTAATAATAGACTGGGAGTACCCTCATATTGGCCCCATTTCGCTTATGCGGATTCCCCTATATAGCGTACTCTGGCCAGGTTTCATATAATCCGCTTAAACGAGGGTCTACTGTATTAGCTGGTTGTTTTACCTGGTGGCGTCCTTCACACAGGCGAGACAGACACGCTACCAGTAAATGTCACCGTACTTTCAGTGGTCGGACCTGTAGGAGCGTCGGCCGGCCTTTCGGACCCACGATCAAGGACCAGCCCGCTGGTTGAAGGAGACGTGTACTGGCTCTTGATTCAGCTGGATGGCACGTGGTGGCAAGGGCCATGCAGCCTGCAAGCCACATCATATCAACCATCCTGCATGGATGTTTCCCTCGTTTGACAACAAGGATTGGCTCACATCCAGCAACGGTATATAAATAGCCAACGACGGCGTCACTGGTGCTATAAAGACGACGAGGGTCTGATGTATGCCATTTGCAGTAAACTCGAGTCTACCCATTGGCCCAGAATGGTACCTAAACGATGGGACAGCCCTGCAACAGCATCATATCCTGTAGAGGGCACATCCAAGGCCACAGAGCTTTGCGGAATCCTGCCGAGTCATCTTCCCGAGTTCCGAATAATTGTGCTGCCCAGAGACGCATGCACGGAAAAGGTATGTGCTCACGGCATGTGTCTGGGGACGGCTGCTTCGTCGTCGTACTCTGTGTGGTCCTGATGGTATTGGTGGCGACGACGAGGCGCAGGGGCTGGCATGACGAGTTCGGGACTCCTGGGTCGTTTCGTTATCTTCGGGGGAGCCGGCATATACACCTCGGGCTGGACTGGGTGGTGGGGGTTCGATGTGAAGGGGTGCTGTGCTTGTGTTGAAGGCACAGTGAACGATTTCGGACTCACTGTGCCGCTGTGTGCCGGGCTTACACTCAGCACACCCACCGAGTATGCCGGCGTGCTATATGGGCTCACACCAGTAGTGAGTTCTGACACGCTGGGTAACGCCGCGGCCGTCCTTGGCTGGGAACGGGTTTGTATTGGTGGCAGGGATCCGCCGTGTTCATGCATCGAGGACGGCGGTGGAGGGGCGGCAAAGCTATGTCTCTCCTCCTGATGGTTCGTGGCCGCCGCCATTGCTTGCGAGTGCTGTGGGAAGCTGTCTCGCCGCGCGCCACTGAACCGGTTGTGACTTGGCGGCACCGATTCTCTTGCGCCGTGGCAGTTCGACTGTCCCATGACGTCGCGCGAGAAGGTCGAGTGCGGGTGGGAAAGCGGATGGGAGTGGGAGTGTGAATGGTGGTGACCGCGACTTGCGGACGCTCTGGGCTTTCCTGCCTGTCCCTCGCCGTTGACAGCGGATAGACAGAAGGGGGTCACTCCCGCCCTCTTCGCCATGTCGACCTCTCCGAGCTGCCAGTGCATCGCCTCTGCCACACGCCATGGTATGGCCATATCCTCTGCCACTTTGGCCCACATCTCCTGTTTAAACCTTCATGAATAGTTATGTCAATGGTTAGTTTGGGGTCCGGACGACATCGCCGGCAGTGGCCGTGTTTGTGGGGCCTGTCGCCGCAGCGGACACCCGGTCGCTTACCTCTCGTAAAGCCTTGCGAGCTTGTTCTTGCGCTCTTCATCCCATTCGCTTCGGCGTTCCAGGTAGTTCTGATAGTGTAGTCGACAACTGATGGCGCTTCGTCCTGGCAATCGTTTCGAGATGTCTTCCCATTTCATCCCGCTGCCTCTTAGATCGATAATTAATGCATCTTCTTCTGCAGACCATTTGCTCTGCTTCTTTGCAGGCGAGGCACTGCTTTGCGAGGCACTGCTTTGCGAGGCGCTGCTTTGCGGTGGCATGTTGCCCTTGGTGGAGCTCGGGCCTATCCCTCGATGGGCAGTCGCACTTGGGCCTGGTCAAGGCTGCAAACGTTTAGCAAAAAACTCATTACTGACATTGAGGAACGGCGGCAGTCTTGCCTTAAAGCTGTTGGCTGGGCCCCACTGATAACATGAGCGATGCAACGGCGTGTGAGCATTACCAACAGGCGAGCAAGTTCAAAAGCAGAAAACACGCAGGAACCTTGCCATCGAAGGTGCAGACAAGGGTAAGCTTGCAAAGGAAAAACGGGGCGGAAATGGCTGGGAAGACTTGGACCACGTCCTGCTGGTCCAGGCAAACGTTCTGATCCAATCCGTACGAGTCCTCCTCAGGCTGCCATACAGATACACGCCAAGCACCGCCGTCAGCATTCTTGAAGAGTTGGGACAAGGTTCGATGGCCAACATGTGCTAGGACAACTTGCAGTCCCTGGAGAAGCGACCTACAGATGCAAAGGATGCTGCCCAACTTCTCGTGGGCGTGTAACTGCTGTATAGAGCTCATTACAGGGCCAGTCCAGGTCTTCCAGTGCAGTGAAGTGGCTCGGCGGATACTGTACCCCGCTATGCTGCACTCTATTAGACTGAGGAAAGAATTCGTGCGCCTTTCTCCACCCTGAGCTGCATCTTCAACAGTGGTAGACTCGGCCAGCGGGTGACAGTTGGGTGCTGAGCGGCTGTGAACTGGTTGCTGAACACAGCTGCCACGAAGCCTAGCCACGAGGGGTTTTGTCACACTGCGTTCAAGGATATGACATGCAAAACATCCGCTAGCCTAGTGAGCCAACGACTGGGGCCAAGTCCGTTGGCGCAGAGGCTTGACGATCAGCCTGGTGAACCGAGGTCAGCCATTGGTACGGCCAAAAGAACCTTGGATGCGGGGGCTCTGCAGCCAAGCCATCCCACACCCTGAATGCACGAAGACTTGCCTTTCTCATATCGACTCTAGGCCCTGCTAGATCCAGCCGCCTGCAGTGCCAGGCTGTGCCCGGAATGGAGAGGGGTGGTACGTCCCAGCTCCAGCATCGTGGACAGTCCAACAAAAATACACCAGCAAGGGCAAGGGCAGAAAAGGTACTCGCCAGTGGGGCGCCTCTCTCCCAACCCGTATCAGGAGCCCCTTGTATGCGGGTCATGGCCTGCAACGAACCGTCGTGCGGGGCAACAAGAGATGGCAACCCTCCAGCAGTGGTGGCGTCTGAAGGCTCGAAGAGGGCGCTACTGCCAGCCGTCACTGTGGAAGAGCAGCTCCAAGGGGAAGCCAAGATACGTGAGCAATTGCTTTAGGCACCCAAAGCCGAACCCCGTTCGATTCCGAGGATGTGCATGATGATCGAGTCGTGCGCCTCCCTTCGAGAACACTATTCCACCGAACGCATGGGAGGACGGCCATCAGGTCGGCGGCCACCCACCTGCACAAGCGTGGAGATGCACATGGCGACATCTCAAGTCTCATTGACTTGGACTACTCAGGTTCAGTTGACAAGACAAGCAAGAGTGGTCGTGCTGCAGGCTGGAGAGGCCCCTGGTATGCTGTGGGGAAGCAGTTTGATGCCTCCTCCGTCGAATTGAGCATATCTGCAACTGGCTCCAAGAGGACTAGGATGAGCCGAATAAGACTATCTAAAGGACGGGATTGATCCTGTGCCGGAGATGGACGCTCAACGCAGGACGTGTTCACCAGGCGAGAAAGTGTAGCATGCAACGAGAGCCGAGGCAATCATGGCTTTTGCAATCTCCCAAGATAGCCATCCACTGTGGCACCAGGACCTGATTGGCCTTCCATAAAGTCCCTTCTCCATACGCGTGCGACATCGACTCATGCTTGTGCATGCCATTTCCTCGCAGCCTCTTTCTCCATGCTGCCAGAATGCACAACCCAGTCAGGCATTACGTCAGCTCCCTGCTTGTCCCCTTTCCCCAGGCAGCCTGCTTCTAGGCATTTTGTTACAAGAGAAGAGAACACGATGATGATGGGGTGACACTTCATCTTGTGCTCTCTGGTACAAGACCGTCCGCATATCTAGTCAAAGGAGCATCGGACGGAGGCGTGCGTGTTGTGGTTCACGTGGAGAGCATGGAAGAGCGTGGCTCGAAGCGCTCATATCCTGATGCATTGACGAGTTGGTGACTTTTGATAAATAACCGAGGGCGACAGCCGCACCAAACCACGCCACGCTGTCTTGTGATGACCGGGTGCCTGATCCGGACGGCCTGTTGGTGGCTGAAGCGCCTGATCTGATCTCATCGAGTTACAACGCGGGTTGCGATGCGAGTTACGATGCGGGCTGCGATGCGAGTTGCGGTGCGATTTACAACGCGGGCTACGATCTGCGAGAACGGTGGAATATATATTGGCAATTACTACACGGGCATGAAGAATTGCTACCCGGGCATGACTCTTACACGGGCATGACCTTTTGCAGCCTCTGATTGGTCCATCCCTTTTTGTTAGTGCATTTAGATTCTGCCAACGCTCCCCTTGTACCTCGGGATTAGCACTCCACCACGACGATCGACGAGACATATGGAAGCTATTCACGAGCTAGCTACTACACCAATTACCTCTTGTCGCATGTCAAGCCTACTGATAATGATTGTTCGTGAAAGATACCATATTTGTCAAGGTCACAGGGCTCCAGGCGTGGTGTGTTAGGTCCCCTGCTGAGACCAACACTCAAAACACAGGCTGTATCAGGAATATCTAACAGCCTCATCTTCCAAGGCATCTGCATCACAAAGCAGGTCATTCCTTTGTGCTGAAATTGGTCCCCTCTTTCCTTCTTTCATAGTCAAATCAACTGCCCCTTTAACCATGTTCTCATCCGTGCGTGCGACACTCTTCCTGTCGCGATCAAGGCCGTCATTATGTCCCAGCCCGACTCTCGATCTAGCTCAGCAAGCAACCAACGACTACGAAGCTATCAATTACGTCCTCGAAAACGACAGCGGCAGAACCAATCTGAGAGTTCAAGACCACCTTCGTCTAATAGCACAGGGACGAGCATTGGCCCACACTATGGCGTGGGAGACGACGAGGCACTCTATAATGCTTTCGCCTCGTACCCAGAGACCTTCACGACCGCTCCACGCCCCCATGGATCGCGTGGGCTGAACGAGCCACCATGGGAGCTACGATTCGATCATGAGATTCACCTATCGAATGATTTCCCAACCCGAGGAAGACGGTCGCAACGAGTAAGAATGCCTATACCAGGCCCGGAAATCGACCAGCCACCTGCCTGCTCTCCACAACAATCAGCACAAGAACAATTCTCTCCAACAAGACCCCAGTTTCAGTCCGCCCTTAGGCTAGTGCGCGAGGTGATTGGGACAGATCGAAGACTTACCATCGAGCTCGTCCGGTCATACGAACGAGTCCGCCAATGGCGCGAGATATGGGGCTACTCGCCGCTCAGTTCAACTGCATTCGAATCATCTCCGCCATACTCGCCTCCCCGAGAAAGGCACTCTCCGCCTATCGCCTCGCCGCCCTCGCCCGACCACCCCTTGTCGCCTGTCCCTGACCCGATCCCGAACCCACCTATCCCAGGCGACCCAGCGCCGTCAGCCGAAGTCCTGTTCGAGTGGGTGAATACTTTCGCGAAGGCTAATGGCTTCGGTATTGTTCGACGAAATGCCTACTCATATAAGGGTCGGAAGATCCGGTACTCTTTCCAATGCGATCGATTCGGAGAACCACGCCCCTCAGAGAGTACCGGTATTCGGCAACGGAAGTCTCGAAAGTGTGGTTGTAAATGGATGGTCATTGCCGAAGCACTGGAGGAGGGTAGATGGCTTCTACGACACCACGATAATTCCGAGCATAGCCAGCATAACCACCGGGCCAGTATCAAACCATCCGCCCATCCCTCCCACAGACGACTCACTACACCTATCAGGGCAACAGTCGAATCGACAAGCCGTCGGGTCGGAATTCGGGCCCGTGACGTACGCGCGATCGTCCTGGAGCAGCATCCCGAGTCATCCTTTACACGAAAGGATATCTATAACGCCAGGTCTCGTATCAGCCGAGACAAGTTGAACGGACACACTCCTACTGCAGCACTGATCAAGCTGTTCGACGAGATGGAGATTCCCTATCTTGTTAAGTGGGCGGATGATGAGCCAAACCGCCTCGTCGGTCTTGTCTGGACCTTTCCGTACTGCCTCCAGATGTGGAAGCGGTTTCCTGAGGTCATCAGCTTCGACAACACATACAACACCAACCGCTTCAAGCTTCCATTATTCCAAGCAACAGGACAGACCTGCCTTGGTTCTGTCTACAATGCGGCGTTCGGTCTGATCGACAACGAGAGACGGGAGGGGTTCCAGTTCCTCTCTGAGAGCATTCGACAGATCTCAGAGCAGCACTCTATTCGCCAACCGGACGTTATCATTACTGGCTTCGACGGTCAGATGAAGGCCGCCCTGACTGATCAGTTCCCTGATGCACAGCAGCAGCTGTGCATCCACCACATCAATTCTAACGTCTTGCTCAAGTCAAGGCAGAAGTGGGTCAAGGGCCAATGTAGCAGTAGTAGTCCCGACAGCAGCAACGGGGAGGACTACGCTCCACAGGCACAGGCTGAGCTCGGCCCGAAAGACGGACATTTGGTCAACGCGCAGACAGCTGAAGTCGTCCCTCATAGCCATCGAGGGGTTCTCATGATGTGGAAGGTCGTCTTGTTTGCGGAGACAGAGGAGGCTCACGAGAAGGCGTGGGGAAGCCTCTGTAGGGAATTTGACGATCAGCGGGCCATCCTGCGGTATCTCCATGGAACCTACATGCCTGTCAGGGCGCAGTGGGCACGATGTTTCATTCGCAACTATCGCAACTTCGGCATCCGCGTCACATCTGGGACAGAAGCAAGCAACAACAACATCAAGAGCTATCTCCTGAATGGTATGAGCAATCTCTATCGGCTTATCGAGGCTATGCAGGACATGATGAAGGATCAGGAGCGAGATTTCAACGACGCCTGCGCAGCGGACGAGGTACTTACCGCGCGAGAGTACATAGGGTCCAGCTCGGAGTATCTAGGCGAACCCCGGACAGCACTCTCTTCGAAGGGTCTCGGGCTTATCAACAAACAATATCGGCTAGCAAGGAAAGCAATGCCGACGGGGAAGAATCCGTTCCCTGACCCCATTGGCGATTGCAGAGAGGACTGCTCGGTTTCGACCGAGCTTGGAATCCCCTGCTGCCACACAATCTACTCAAAGCTGGTGAGTGGCACGCCTCTCACCAAATGGGAGGTCCATCCTCGGTGGCGCCTACGAGAGCCATCCTCTCGAGATCCATACCGACGAATCCTCGACCCTAAGATCGCCACTGCTCTCCGTGGCAGACCTAAGAACACCACACCGGCTGTTCCAGCGCGGCTAGCCATTGAGGCAAGCAGCCAGCCGAGTAGCCAACGAGCCAGCAATCCAGCAAGCCAAGCGACAGGGCGCAGACGAGGTCGACCACCAGGAAGTCACAACAAGTCAACGCTAGCTAGGCTTGCTCTGGAAGCGAGCCAACAGGCCAGCAGCCAGGCTAGTAGCCAGGCCAGTGCCTCATCCCAGCGCCAGACGCGCAGCCGGTCAGCTGTTCTTGGAGCTGGAAGAACTACAGGAGTACGTGCCAACGGATGGAAGACGCAATCTAGCATTCGCAGGCGAAGGAGTCAGTGGGAGCTGCTTGACAGCGACGAGGAGGTTCTTCCATCTATAGTAGTTAGAGGATAGAGATATAGATAGCTGCCCTCTAGGGCGCGCTGGAATTGGCCGTGTTCTGTATTGAAAACCAGACCTTGTTTTGATATACGCCTAAGACCTGTTCTAGAGGCCTGGTTGACCTGGTTGGTTCTGACTATACCGAAAGCACGGCCTTGTTAAGAGAGCTTGCTTCACCGCCTTTGCACTGATGTACCTGTGGGTCGAAGGAAAAAAATGAGCGAATCAGAGGCGATAGAAGTCATGCCCGTGTAAGAGTCATGCCCGGGTAGCAATTCTTCATGCCCGTGTAGTAATTGCCTAACCACAACCGTGGTATTTTCTCACTACAAACCGAATCCTTGTGGAGAAACAGCTAAAGATCAACGGCACACTGACTATAACTTTATATACTCGCGAGGGGGAAATTTGAGTCTCCTAAACAATAGAGACGTCTCGGCACGAAGGGTTTCTCTCCACATAGGGACGGACGTTATGATTCCGTCTAGTCTTCTCTCTTCCGCTTTCCGAAATACTTACTGCTCTAGACAGTGGATACATTCTTCAGATGGCTACAGAGCGAGCAGAGCGGCCAGAGCGCCATTTCTCATTACTTTGATCACCGCCCTTCTATCCGCCTTTCATTCTTAGAAGCGGTGCAACGTGTTGCTGGCCACGGATCCTTGGTAACTCCAGTCGCAACTCCTGCGGAGAGCACTCTGGATGGCGAGCCTGCGGTACCCGATTCCAAGGAGGATGCTGATCGGACAGATTCGATAACTTACGACGATGTGGACGAAAGAGTTTATGACGAGGCCAGCCTTATTACAGATGAACCCGACATAAACATAAATGAGCATTCGAGCTGTAGTGCAGAGTCTCAACACCGAGTTCTCCGGAGCAAGACGGACTTTTCTTTTTAAGATCTGATTCTAAAAGAAAAGGGCTGTTCGAGCTGGTCGGTAGCGCGTTTGGCGTTATTCACACTGAAAAGATAAAGCACCGCAATGACTGGATGAAATCCGCACTTTATTCTCGTGGTCGATATTTCTACATACGTTACAGATAAATCTTTGTTAAAAAGCAGGAGAAGACTGCCTATCCATAATTCCTGAATGAATTTAGGGCTGAATACATTTAAAATAAATGAGGGGTACACGGGCCACCACTAAAGACGAGGGTAAATAGACTCAAGTAAATCAATCCCGTTTTTTAGACTGTTTTACTAACTTTAACTAACTTATAAGATGTGAAATTGATCGGTATCGGACGGAGGATTTGGCGGTTTGGTTACATGGCCCATCGATGAAATGGAAATAAATCTACGGCGGTAGACCCGAGTCACATACCTAGACATACATAACAGGAGTTCTCTTCGCTTGCCTGCTGCGTTTGACTTGGAAATATACATCCTTAGCAGCAAGATGCATACAAATACCAGGGACCCATCATCATGTCTCAAGTAGACGGCCAAAACATTGTGTCCTCATCTAGCAAGGTCATGAGCTGCTGATTCTCAAGATACCAATCACTCAGTCCATAGTTTTGAGGGCCATCGGGTCCTACAGGGTCATTTCCTGCTGTCCCTACCTCCACCCCAAAGCGGGTGAGATTGAAGCCGCCCCGGGACTCTGAGACGCCATGAGTCAAGTCCGGGGAGATATGCAAAGAGGTGGAAGAGGACATGTTTGCCTCAATATAGAGCCGCGCAGCCTCGCAGAGAAGCTGGTACAGTCGATAAGGGTGCGTGATAGAGTCTGGGGGACTTCCATCAGGCAGCAAAGAGGCGGCAAATCGGTCTAATCGGGCCAAGTCGGCTAGGTCCGAAAAGTGGACGGCACGAGTGAAGAGGATATTGAACGGGACGAATGGGGTGTATAAGATGGCCCTGTTCTAGTATTAAGCCGGTGCCCTGCAGTGGTAGGAAAGTCGTGATGCTCAAACCGCTGGGTGGAGATAATCGGCTTGTACAATGAAAGGAAACGCCGCTAAAGAATCTGACAGCTTACCAATTCATATACCTGACGATTAGAAATGGATCATTCGTGCAGCCACGTATACCAATCATACATTGCTGGTGCATGTCCAAAACCTCGCGGGCCACTGCAACGCAGTCGTCTGAATCACCGTCACTTTGGGAGGGCCATGCAGGAGGAATGGCCCTGAGGATCAAAGCCAGTAGTGCAGATTCGCAGACGAGATCAAATTTCAGAAAAAGGACTCGCAGCGTATCAGCTTGACGGTCGCTGGACTGGCTAATGGCGTCCTGCAAAAAGACGACTCGTCAGCGGGTTTCTAGTGTGACCAAAACAATGCAACCACACACAGCAACTTCACTTCGTGTCTCGTTGACCACTTCTCGTAACTCCTTGGCAAGTGCCTCGGCCATGCGACCGCGTTCTGCATTATCTGGCTGAGACAGACCTGCCGGGCTGTATAGCTGCTCGTAAACCTGTCCCTGGATTCTCCCAAGTCTCGTCGGTCGTGTCTGGTCTATTGGCAATGTGATGTCGGCGTCACGGATAGTGGATGACCGTCCAAGCCGAAGGGAGAGTCCTTTCTCAAACCTATATACGGTCCAAAAGAGACGTCTCTGGGTAGCCAGGAGGGACTCGTTATCTCCCCTCGGCGGGTGACTGCGATGATATCCCAGCGTCTGGCAAAAGTTTGCCGCAGTCGAAATGAAGGTCCAAGCCTGTGAAGATTTACAGTTTTCAACTGCGTTGAATGTCTGTCGCAGGGAGAATTAGCACTAGTGAGTCAATACCGCTCCCCCCGGTCCTGGCACGGGAACACGTACTCCCAGCGTCAGCGCAGCAACGACTTTCATGGACGGTGAGAGGAGAAGCGGGAGCCGTGAAAATGCGTTGTGGAAATTTTCCCGACATAGTGTATAATACTCTCGGTTCTTATTGAGCCCAGACACGATGACATGCTCAGAAAACATGTAGTACAGATATCCGTTGGCGAGGATAAAATCAACATCATCGTAGTCCTCGACTGCGAAGTAGACCTTTCGGCAGATCTCGGCAAACATCTCCAGAGGAAGTATCCGACTTATCCAGGTCGTTTTGATGTGACCCTCGTGAGCTGGGGGTTTTTTCTTGTCAGAAAGTCCGGCAATAGCAACTTTGCAGGGTTAAAGAACTAACATTTAGCCCAGCGCAAGACTGCCACGGCAGCTTCCAAGGGCGGTAAAGGAGAATTGGCATAGTGTTTCGCGAGGTCGACTGCTGGGACGGTGAGGCGAGGAGGCGGAGCGGAGCACTCCAGAGTCTGTAGAAGCCTTCTCAGCGACGAGATAATCTCACCCCCCTTTGAACTGTCATATCTCGCACCACTACCTTCCACAACAGCCTTGACAAGATCGATTATGTGCGCTGAATAGTTCCATTGAGGTTCGCTGACAGATGCAGAGACGGGAATAGACCCCGTCAGGGGTTTCACCAGATCGAATCGGGCCGGGTGGTTTACGAAACTGCTATTGTCGGGCTGTTTTATATTCGGAGATACGTCAAGCCCACGTAGAAGAAGGTTGATATTGTCGATGGCCCTTGCAATACCGTCGATTTTCTGTTCGCTAAGCGACTGATTGAGCAATTTTGCACAACTGTAAGAAAGGGTCTCAATATGCCCAAACAGGGTTGACTGACTAGTGCGCTGATATCAGCACCCTCTGCTTGGGATTCGTTGTTGTTTTGCTCGCAATCGTGCTGTGTGTACAGTCGAGCCTGGCAGAGTTGCAATTCGAGCAAGGCGATGCCCTGTCACAGCCAATCTAACACACGGAATTTGCCAATTGCTCCTTGCTTCGCTCGTTCCACTCCCTTACTTCTTGTGCTCTACCTAGCTAGCACGTATGGGCCAGTTCGAGGGAGACTGACCTTGCGAGCGCGACACTGATCGCACTGTTGCATCAGCTGTTAGCGATCTTGGTCTCCGATGACGAGAATTACACTTAGCTGACTGAGCGACGTGCAATCGCCAGGCGGTCCTTCGGCGGACCGCTGACAATGTCTCCGCGGGATTCCATCTTTCAAGCACGATAATAGGGCCTCCAGGAAGCGGGTTGCGCATCGACGAAAGTGTCGCCTTCGACAGCCATATAACGAGATAATGGCTACGAGATGACAAATCAGGAAAGCCGCGGACTCGCGCGGTTTTCCGGCTCTAGGCATTTGTGGAGAGAGAGTGAGAGAATGATTGGTTAATCAATCCCTGGACCCACTTCCGTATAACCGCTAAGCTATCCCCTTAGCTGGTGATGGTCAACCGCCTTGCATATACGGGCCACTGACGCCTTCACCGCTATAGGGATGATAGTTATTAGCGAGTGTCAGTGTTCTAGAGTAACGATGTAAGCAGTATGGAATTGAGAGTATAAATATCCACGTGCTCTTTCGCTCACTGCAGACATACACTCTCTCCATTCACAAGATCTTCTTTTTCCATCGCCAGTCCTTCCATCACAAGTTCTTCCTCTATCACAAGATCCGGCACTATGAGCCAGAATATTCTCGTCACCGGTGGCGCCGGCTACATGTAGGACGCACCCCTGGCTCCCTTGGCCGTCCTTAGCTGACATGGCCTTCAGTGGAGGCTCGGTTGTAGCAGAGCTTCTATCTCGCACAAGCAGCTCGATCAAGGGAGCCACTGTTTTCGCCACAGTTCGGTCGGAAGAACAGGTCCAACGTCTGTCCAAGCATGGCATCGGCGCGATACAGCTCGACCTTCACAACGAAACGGCTGCCATGGAGGCCGTGATTCGCAATGAGAGTGCGTCGTCGTCACATGGGACACTTATGAGATCGATGACTCACCATTATTGCCTTAGTTGACATTATCATTCACACTGCAAGCTCCGCCGTCCCGAGTCACGTATCTAATCTCGTCAAAGCTCTTGGTCGTCGTCGCCAAGTCGGCGGCAAGGAGACATATTTTATCCATGTGGGTCCTTCTAGCTTCTGTCTACTCGACATCCCACTGACTTTCGGATCAGTCGTCGATATTGACCATGTTCGGCGAGGACGGTGGCTGGCCGAGCGGGGAGGTCAGGGATACCGACCCTTTATTCGAGAAGGAGAAGCAGTTAGGGACGGATCACCCTGGTAGAGCGGTAAGTCTTGCTAGCTCTCCACAGATTGTCCACACCAAGAGGGGTGCCGTTTTCTGACCTCCCAACAAAGACCGACATCGCCGTCGTCGAGCAAGCCAAAGCAGAAGGTGTCGTTACCTTCTTGGTGATGGTGCCAACTGTCTGTGAGTGTTCCCTGCGGCGATACTCCATGGGTGTCTGATCTGGCCGAATTGAGGCTTACGGTGTGATAGATGGGAAAGGCAGCGGTCAAGGGAGGAGACTCTCTGTGAATATCCCGGCTTACGTCAGGACCAGCATCAAGCTCGGAATCGTGTACAAGTTTGACAAAGATGGGGTAAGCTCAACCCTGAATCGTTCTCTCATGGGTAACTGAGCTCCCCCGGGATTGAGGCTGCTCAGGACTGGGCAGAGCTGCCCACTATCTTCACTCCTTATTCCCAGACAATCTAAGTATACTAACATCTTCATAGAACCCACCTGCAACACATATTTCAGATTTGACAGCATTATATGCTCTTCTCGTGGAGAAGATATTGCAGAAAGAGCCGATCCCAAGTGGCGAGAAGGGCTATTACTTTGCAATGGCTCATAGAATATCATGGTGGGCTATCATGCCGCGTCTTGCCGAAGGTCTGCATATGCGTGGGCTCGTGACTGAGCCCAGGGCACAGACCTGGCCTAGCTACGACATGGCCTCAGAGTATCTCAGATGGCCGCCCCAATTTGTGCGGGCCATGGGGACGTCTAGGTAAGTTGTTGTCCTCGTGTTATCATCGTAGATACAGTGATCAAAGCCTGACAAGCAGCACAGTGGACAACAGATCCCCATCAACGCCTATCAAATTGGGTGGCAGCCTAAGTGGGACGAACAACGATTTCTGGAGGGCATGGATGATGAGATTAAAGCTGCTCTGGAATCTGACACAGTTCCAGCAACCCTCTTTGACAAACTACTAAGTCCTTCCAAAGGCTCCACCGGCGCCTAGTGTGATGGGCGCATGTCGCACGTGACCGCAGGAGGGGGAATTGTTGCGAGAGACCACGTGCGCACTCGAGACATAGTCCAAACGAGGCCCCGTCGTACTCCTAGCTGGTATAAGGGTAGCTAAGGGGATAGTTTAGAAAGGGGCATCGATTAGTTTCCTTTATTATAGAATAACGTAGATCCCGGTCAAGCGGGCCACCCGGTCGAGCGGGCCACCCTTAAGGTATTCGGACGACAATGTATAGAAAAAAAATCAACCAGAACGCCTTAAATCAATTCAAACTAGATGAAATCCTCTTCTTCAGAGGTAGACTCAACTATCTGACACGTACGAGCATTATGGCCGGGCTCGCCGCAAACGCCACAGCGTCGCGCGCGCGTCTCTGTCCTCCTCGCGCGACCACTATTTTGACTTGTTTCTGCCCGTAACTGCTCCGTCACGTCGATCTGAGACTTCATATCCTTTGCCTGGCTAATCGTTAGTGACCCTCCTTTCTGTAGCTGCTTTCTTTTAGTGCGTCGACGGCGGCTTAGGCGGCTATTTGCGTCTCGAAGTTCGGCCAGGTCGCTCTCCATAAGGGCCTGTTTATGCACCATCATTAACACTCCTTTGTTTAGCTGCTGTAAGCTTGCGATAATTGAAGTTGGGGAGCTATGTTGATGTCGTACGATACGATTCTTGATGTATTCGGTCTACGATTCCGCCTCAATTGGGTTATTCGGCGTCTTCGAGACCCAGGGCGGCGGTAGGCCTGCAGAACCTGGCGGTGTTGGCGTATGAGGCTTTACGTCTAGCTGTGAAATGACGTATTCCGGATCGTACGGTACTAGGCCAGTAGCTCTGAAGCCGGCCTGGATATTTGACTTAGTCATTGTAGTGTCGTGCGCCTTATGAAAGGCTGGAAGGAAGTCCTCCTTCGCGACGTGGGTAATATGCGCCCGCATAAGGCCTTCGATTTCTTTGCTGTACGCCCGTTTTAGAGGTCTAAAGCACCCGACATCGAGAGGCTGGAGCTTATGCGACGAATGAGCAGGCATGCAGAGCGTAATTATATTCTGGTCCTTGCAGTACAGCTCGAAATCGACCGAGTGGTGGCTCTCGTGGCCGTCGAGGATAAGGAGCCGGTAAACGCCCTTCGTACGGCTCTTCGTATAGAAATCGAAGTGTTTTACCCATTCTAAGCCATTCTCATTCGTCGTCCAGCCGTTTTCAGAAAGCGAGATAATCCAGTTCGGCGGTAGAGGGCTTTCGGACGTCCAGGAGTCGAGGTGGACCTTCCCTGCGAAGATGATGTACGGCGGGATCGAATTGCCGGACGCCCCGATACCCTGGATTACTGTAACCCATTCTTGATTGCCTTGTTGTACGGCTCTTGGCTTACCGCGTCGATCGGAGGTCGTAACGACAGTCTCGGCGGAGATCTTACTCATCGCAAAGCCCGTCTCGTCGAAGTTGTAGATATCGTCGTCGTATATCCCGTATTTCGCGATTATATTCCGTACGAGGGAAAACCACGCGCGATACGCGTCCGGATCTTCGCAGAGGACTCTCTGATAGTCGATTCTTCGACTAAAACGCGTACGGAGCTCAGGTTGTCGCTGTACGAAGGCTGAAGCCCAGTTCTTCCTAACGCGTAACGCGTTACGGTCGCGTAGTAGTCGATCCGCCATTTCTCGAACACCACTAAGTCGCGGTGGAAATAATCGCGAATCTAGGTCAATTACGTATCGTACGATGCTCTCCTCTTCGTATGAGGTTAATCTCTAGGTAGGCGATCGGACATCGCGTTTCGCAGGTCGGCCGCGGTGTCGTTCTTGAAGTGTCGTACGAGGCACGTTATAGACTGATGCAGCCTTTCGAAGGCTCAATTTTGGATTAGATCGAAGCGCATTAAGCGCTAGAAGTAAGTCGCTTTCAATTGATTGCCGTACCATTATTGCTTGCAGAGAAAATGGATGAAGGCTGGGTATGTATGAAGGAGCGAGAAAAGTGGCCCGCTCGACCGGGTGGCCCGCTTGACCGGGATCTACGTTATTGCCATTGTTACGCACAGTTAGTGCTATTTCAGTTGAGCTAGGCCCAACGAGTTCCGTCTGATGACGAGGAATTTCCCCCTTCATCGTCCTGGGGCTGAGCTCATATGCCTGTCTCGTGATGGATGTGGAAGTACCCAAGCCAAGTCTTGAACCATGGGTTTTAACGCCACGGAGTCTGACAAGCGAAATTCTTTACGCCCGACATATCTGAAAGACAGTCTGGGTGCGCATCCTCTATTCTGTGCGTTTCACCAAACCCCCCGAAGAAAAGGGGCATTCTGAAGTTCCTCGCGATCGGAGGAATTCGACTGTTGCGGACATCTCGTCGATGCCCCTACCCTCTTGAGGCTGTGGCCCGATTGTTTGCAAATTGTAGCCTTGGGGATGATACCTGTCGCCGCCAGAGCCGGGGATGCGGCCACCAAAAGCTTGGAAGAGGAGGCCTGTAGGCCCCCACTTGTCCCATAGTGGCTCTACATAACATGGCTGCAAGCTGAACTGACTAAAGTTGTAAAGGCCTGATTTCGAGTTGGGCTTATCTGCCAACGCCTTGACGGCGAGGAAGGACGGCCGAGGAAGCACAAGTACCGCAGAAGCTCTTCCGTGGTTCTCTCCAGACGAGCATAACGCTTGAAAGGAGGAAACCTGGCGATTCGAGACTGTATGCATTGCTAGGGCGTGACGCGCAAGATTAAGAGTAGCAAATAGCAGCAACGGAATCGCTCGCGGATACATACTTGAGACTATTTCGCATAGCTTCGTCCCACTCGGAACCCAGCATCTTTCGCGCCAACACGGTAACTGCCCTCGGGAGCTTCGACGTAGCACCATCGACGTAGACCCTCACATACTGATCACTGGCTGCGTTGGGTTTGGCCACCAATTCTGCGTGCTTCACGGTCCAGTCTCGGAGCTCCATCGCGAAGTGGAGTCCGTCGTCCCATCCACTTCGGCTGGAGGGCAGAGGCGTGAGCGGGATTTCCAAAGCTTGTCCACGCACCAACCGTACCAAAACATACCGGCTGGCAGAATTGGCGCGGCGTATGCTGTAATCAGAAGTCGGTCTTCTGGTCTGCTTCTTCCCGTTTTCTTCTTCTGTGCTTCCATTATGACGCTCCTGAATCGAGCCTGGATGACCACGGAGGCGAGCATGCCAATACCACATTGCCAAGCCCGACATACGCCAGTCCTGAGATGCCTGTCGACCAGCCGTATTGGCCCTTAAAGACGATCGCAAAGCCAGTGAATAGGAGGAGCAAGAGTTCGAAGGCGAACGCAGCAGAGAGCGACAGAAAGAGCACGATGGGAGAGAAAACCAATAACCGCAGGGGCCGCGTGATCGTGCTGGCCATTCGAGCGGCCGCCTCCTTCATCGGGAGTGATTCCACCTTGGCCGGCTGTCCCTGTTCCTTCCTTCGACGGGCTGCTCGGCGACGTAGTATAACCGGTGCGTATATCTCTCGAAGGAAATCGACGCACAGGGCTCCAACAGCTGCACACTACTCCGCTCAAAGGTGGTTAGTTTCCACGACGCCAAATGCCTGCAGAGTATCATAACCCACCAAGATCAGGATGATTCTAAATGCCCAGCGCCAGCCAAGATTCTCAGCTGCAAACCCTTCGGCGATTGGGCCGATGACAGGCCCCAGAAGGGGCCCCAACACGAACAGACTCATCCATTTTGCGCGATCCTCTCTCGGGATCACGTCGGCCAACGTGCCCCCGGAGAGTGCCAAGCACGCTGAGCTGCCGGCGCCGCTCAGGAAACGGAACGCGATAAACATGCCCATGTCGATTGCAAATGCACTCCCGATCAGGAAGGCGATGAAGATGCCCCTGAGCTTGCATACACGGGCAGCCGGCCGTAACGCTCGGACAACGGTGCGAAGAGAAGCGGGCCGATGGCAAACCCAAGGACGTAGATGGAGACTGCCAGGCTGGCCACGGTTTCGTCTGTAACCTTGAAGTCCTTCACCAAGTCGTCGACGCCCGGGGCAAACATGGTCGCCGTTAGACTGCTGCAGGCGACCAGAAGTTAGCGAATCCTGCGACCGCAAGCTGCGAGCACCTGGGAGGAGGGCTCTTACGCAAGTAGCGTGTAGAGGGCGATGCAGATAACCTGCACTCTGCGCTTCAAGGGGCCCAGTTTAGGGGGTTTTCCGGATCGTCTGGCCCATCCCAGTCCAAAACATCGCCTGCGGCCTCTTGTCGTCCGGCAGCCTTCTCGATGTCACCAGCGGCCTCCGATGCGCCCTCCAAAGCATCAGTATCGTCTCCCTGCTGAGGTTCGGTTGCCGTCTGCGACCCCGAATCCGGCCCCTCCCCCTCTCCTAGTTTCTGTATATCCGCTGCGGTGGGTGGTGGCGACGCCATGTTTGGTAGTGGCTTGGGTCGGGCGTTAGGCAGACAAGTCGGGGTAAAGTGTCCATAGCTTTCGTTAACGTTATTGGAGATTTCTTCGAAAATAGTACAATGTTTATATTCATTTCAGAGATATCCCAGGGACTTAATTTTGGAGTCCGTCTTTCACCCGCCATTGGAGCTACGAGAGGCACCAATGAGCCTGCCTTAAATCCGGGCCGGTGCTTCGGTCCTCGGTAATCGGTTGCACCAATCACGATGCACGTCAGGATGACGCAGCGTTGCAATCAGTCACCAACTGGGGGTTTTGTATGCGCGTGGGAAACACCGCATTTCTTGAAGCACCGGTCTATACGAATTGAGGCTCGTGTCCGACAAAGACGACATGTTCGATCATCATAGCTATTCGTATCCAACCCATGATTCTATGAATCACATAAGCAGCGCTTATACTTTCCAGGCCCTGAAGCCTGTGAGGCACGCACTGGTCATCTGCGGCTCTGCTACAACGGCAATCCGAATCAGCGTAGCACAATTCCCTACCGAAAGAACCTGCTCATCAATCTGCCGTGCGTCGACCCCACCCACCGCCATCCACACCGAGGACCGTATCTCCGGGAAGCACACCACCCCTCGAGAAGAACGCTACTTGGTCGTATGCTCATCGAAAAGAAGCGGAAATGGCACTTCCACACTTCCCGTCTGTCATTTGATTGCATGCTTGGCCGCTTGGGTACAGTAGGTTTCGCATTATATGCTACTTGGTTTGTCCCACTTGATGACTCTTCGTACACGCCGCTTAGCACCCCACAGCTTACCTGTTGCATATAATTGGTGCAGTATTTGGTGGGGGTTTGGGCTGGGTGCCTATTAGGCCTCTAGCGCGTCGCACCGTCGGCGCGAAATTGAGAGCGGTGATGTCCGTGTCCGATCCAGGGCAGGTTATCGAGAGCACGATGCGCGACTTGAGAAATTTAGAGACCACTGTAATTGACACTTTCCGTAGCAAAGGTTCATGGGTGATCGGTTGACAGGTCTACACCATCTAAAAGGTGATTGTGTTGAATGTTGAAGTGGTTTTCTAGGGAATCGATGTGCTTTCCCGCCTCGCGCTGTCGGGACGTCGGCGGTCGATTAGATCACTATGCTGTGTCATTTTAGGTCCATACTTGCCCCCCCCCCCAAGGGGTTGGCAATGCTTAGCGTGCCACAGCGCACCCTAGGGAGCGTGGGCGTCACAGACATAACTAGCAAGGGGCGGCTATTGCTTAAGCGTATAGCCTATGCGGCTAGATTCAAAGAAAAGCTTCTCTTAACCTTGATGGCATCACATGTTGGACAGGTTGGGCACACGGAAACTGGTTGACTCTGGGGTATGAGGGATCGTTGCCATGAAGCCCCAGCTCTATCGAGTTAAACCTTGAAAATAAAGGGAGCTACACCATCTCCTCGGCTAACTTATACCTTAGAAGACCCAAAGACCAGTAACCGAGTCAGAGTGGCTTGCCGCGATGAAGGCGACCATCATATGGTCAAGTTGGTACCGGAAGCCTCGATTGGGAGGGGAGCACGGGGTGATGCGGGATGAGCTCTATCCGGTCAAAGTCGACCACGTTAACAGATTAAATCTCTTGAATGAGAAGGCCGAGATTCGAGACGGGCAGCAGAAACTTTCAGCGAGGAGGACGAGGCCAACGTACCCAAGATAGTATGGCTAAGCAAAAAGGATGACGCGAAGGGGGTCTGATGCGAAGAGATTGCTAGCCGAGGGGTTCTTCCACGCCAGCGGCGAGTCCGGATTCACCGGAATCTTCGAGCGCGGACTACGGCCAGAGCAATGCTTCAAATGCCAGCACTCAGGCGTGCGCGAGGTGTGCCAAGGAGGGCCATTACCAGAGCATTTGCATCGAACTTGTCCTAAGATGTGTTCCCTGCGGTGGGCCACATGAATCCCTCCAGTAGAAGCTGCAAGATATCTTTGCTAGACTTGTTCATGGGCTGATAACCCAAGCTTCTTCTTTCTTCGCTGCGTCGTTCTCTGCTGCTTTGTTCTCTGCTGCTTCTGGGCCTGATCCTGGGGTATCTCGAAGTTCTCTTCCACTTGATAGTGCTACGTCACCATCTCCAAGCGCATCAGGCAACTGGTCTCGCGCACTTTTGCTTGCCCCGCGATCGGAAAGCCCGCTGCGCTTCTTCCCCCGTGTTTGCGATTTCTTAGCTGCAGGGGTTACTGGCGGAGCGATCTTCTGGTTCCTCTTGAGCCCATGGAACCAAACGTAGAGCTGTCCGCTGTGCACGAGCCTGGGCGCGTCAGCCTACCGAGCCGGGCTCGCCTATACGAGCTTTGGGCGGATGCAGCAGTGCTTGTCCTTTAGGGCGTCCTCGTCGCCAGTCATGCGGGCGCACGCGGCGACAAGCTGGCAGAGGTGGCAGCGCGTCGACCTGCGCTCGACAATCTTGAGCGAGAAGTCGTCGATGTAGACGGATCGCTCTACCTCGAAGTTTGTGGCAGGGCGCGCGGCGTGAGCCTGGCGGGCGTCCTCGCTTGTCAGCCATAGCGCAGTGACAAGAGACTCGAGGTCAAGCGCTGCACATGAGCCGCAGAGGTGGTCCGGAGGAGGCATAGGGAGCCGGGACATGACTTCCTTTGCCACATGTGCCGCGCTGCTCTAGTCGTATGTTTGCATGCTAAAGCAGGTCGCGCGAGAACACCTCGAACACGAAGTGGCTGCTGTGAGGGTGGCAGCACGAGTCTAGATCTGCAGTATGCAGCACGTTTCCCCTCTTCTGCGGGTACTCCTCCCGTCTAGTGGTATCGACGGGAAGATCTTAGGACCGTACAGACGGCGTGCCAGTGACGCAGTTAGCGACGTTTATATCGCTGATACCGCTGAACACGGCAAACGCGACATGGTCAAAGTCTTGATCGGTCACTTACGGCTTGAAGACGTACTGGCTGGCTGATGGCCGCACAAATTGGACTTTCTTGCTGGACTTGCCGCGATAGACAGACCAGAGCAATTAGTCGCACATCGCGCACGGATAACGTGACCTTATTTTACTGGACAATATTCGGGTACGCTGTCGTCATTACGAAGTGGTAGCATTGTTGAGGCCATAACCATTCAGCGGGGGTAGGGTAACCAGTCTCAGTATAGATGCCATCATTCAAAACTGCCAAACTCTTAACTATGGTCTAGTCCAGCTTGCAAGCAGCTCTTGGAGAATTGCTTGGAGGCCCACGAGTAAAGTTCTTTGTTCCATAGAGTACCCAGATGCTATTCCAATCAAGCTCAAGTGGCCCGAGGCAGCCAGGTGGCTGTCCTTGTATCCTCGACCTTTGTTTTGTAGTCATCTAAACAACCATCCGAAACTTGAGCTTGTTCCCATTGACAATCTCGTCCTTCTTCGACTCGAGCTCTTTGACGTCCCAATTGGCCACCACGAAGCGCGCCTGTAGCCACTCTCGTCGCTCCCTTGCAAGCCACGTCATCCAGTGCGCCGGCAATTCGACCTCGTCCACGAGCCACTGGTGCAACGGTTTGGGCAGCCGGGTGCCCAGTTCGGTCTTGATACCGCCAGGATGGGCCGCGATGCAGATGAGACCCTGGTCGGCATAATCGGCGGCGACATGCTCAGTCAAGCGGCACACGGCGAACTTTGCCGTCTGGTAGCCGCTGGCGCCCTCGCTAATAATCACAGCTCCGAAGCTCGTCACATTAAGGATTGTCTTAAGCGAGGCAGACTTGAGGACGAGAGGCAGGAAGGCGTGCGTGAAAAGATATATGCCGCGGACGTTGACCTCGAAGTTCATCCACCAGTCCGCCGGGTCCGTGTCGACAAGGGGCGTCCATTCGGACGAGTAGCCGGCGTTGTTAATGAGGAGATCTACGGCGCCGAATACCTCGCCGACCTTCTTGGCGAAGCGCGACACGTCCTGTTCAGAAGTGACGTCGGCGGTGCCGCTAAAGATAACGGGCTCTTTAGGCCGGCCAGCATCACGAGCGGCCTTCAGCATAGCTGAGACCACGTCATCGAGACTGGAGCGCGCGGTAATGGCAATGTTGGACGCGCCGGCTTGCGCAAAGGCGATGGCGGCAGCGCGGCCTATACCTTTCGAGGCACCCGTGATGACGATGGTCATGCCTGAGAGGTCGGCCTTGAGCGGGTCGATTTCTGCGTAAGTGTCGTTGTGCATCTTGCCAATAAAGCGGACGGCGGCTTCTGCGCCGGTGTCGCGAATAGCTGCCGACATACTGATTGTGTAAGGAATTCCGTTATAGTTGGTTTCGGCTTGGGTGTCAGTGGTCGAATGTCTGACTCTGGGAGCCTGTCTCTGCCGAGGTATATATATGGAAGCTCGTCAGGGCAATGGCTGTGCGGACTTAGTGACGCCGATATATCCGTACCCGCTAACACCGCATAGTTCGTCATAAGTCCAGGTCGTGCAGATGGACGGAACTAGCCTCTTGGCGGCAGGCACCCAGTAGTCAAAAAGAGATAGGACCGGGGGAGGTTCCCAAATGCCAAGACCCTAATCGTTTGCTGCCCTATCATATATTCACCAATAACTCCATCAGGCAGTAAAGCCAGTATATCAGCAATTGATTGGGCAAGGTTTAGTTAGCGGGCTTAACCTTATACCGACGAGGGACTAAGTTAGTTCTTCTAAATATGTGCTCAGAGCCACGCGGCTCCGGTACAAATATTATGGAGAATTCTCAGGGATTAGAGCCAATAGTATCAGACCCTATTGGAAGTACACTCAAAATCCGCCAGGAGCTCACTGTAGCTAAAGTACTGGTGATGTGCTGAGGCAAAGTGAGCTTCCTTCTGATCATGAGAAGAACAACCACCCAAGGGGAGTTCATCGCCTACCAGATTCGGTGGTATTGCCAGCGAGGCTCACTTAGGCGGTACTTAGTCTATTCCCAGACTTTTTGGGGCCCGGCAGTTTTGTTGGGGGAGCTAGCAACGATAGCACAAAAACAGTATCGCTATAACCATGAGGGAATGTCTAATTAGGGCATTCTCATTTGAATACACTGCTGCTCAAGATGTGAAAACATGAAATTAAAAATATGACGACGACTGCTTGGATAGGTATCCGCTTCTCTGTCTGTCTGCTCTGGACGACCATCGTGATGCAATCAATTTATGGAATGGTACTTTACTGCGCAGCACCCTGCTCTAACTAATCTACCCCACCCCAGCACGGTACCTAGCCGGAGCGAACGAGCCCTAGAGGTATCTATGTAGTAGAGTTAGCTATGCCAGAGGGTGCGAGGAAGGCCTGATCGGGTATAGCAGCGGCTAGTTACGTGCTCCTATCCTGTTCATATTCTGCATAATCCCTTCGTCTATTAATATGTCATCTTCTTTCCAGGCATGGAGCTCTCCGACCCTTGCCGAATCGAGGCGGGGGCCCCTAGTCTTGCAATCCTGCAGGAATGCGGCGATAATTACGTTTCTGTATAGGGTCTCCAGGTTTATCGAAAAAGCCCGGTACTTCCCGTCTATACGAGATCGCTAACTAAGTTAATGCTTTTGCTTCTGCTACAGACAGCACTACGGTTAAGTACAATCCATGTAGTGCAGGATTTCGCCAATCCTGGCAACCCTATATATCAGCCAATGAGGCAATTGATCACCCGAGCTGACGAGCGGATCGCGGGCCGCTCAGCAGCATTGGAGGGGTTCGTGGACTAGCTAGGCAGGCCCCGCCAGACACTAACTGCACTTTCGGCACTGCATGCGAACTAGATTATCTACGGTCGGCGTTGGGGTCCGATCACTGATAAACCACCAGGTTGTGAGCCCAAGAGAGACAGATACATGAAGGAAGTCATGACGTATTCCTAAGCTAAAGCCTAATCTTGCTTTTAGAAGGGAGCTAACGCCTAGAAGGCAAACTGCAGATTAATCAGCTGTGGCCTGACCTGCGCGCGGCTGTGATTGGCCAGCGGACACCGACGATTGGAAATCCACATCAGTCAGCACGGCAATTCCCGCACAGACCAGGGTCTGACAAATGGGGTCGGACAGCAGTTGGCTACTAGCTCGGGGCGGGCCGATGGGGTTTGTCCGGGCCTCAAGGTTCGATCGGAGCTGCATTGTAATCCGCAGCGAATAGGCGGTCCGTGTCCGTGCTGGGCTCTCGATAGTCGATCTTTGACTCTACTTCTTGAGCACGAGCTTGGAGAACCCGTAGTATGGATGCTGAGTTACGCTCAAGGCGGCTGAGACCGTGCTCGGTCTTGATTCTGGCGAGAATCGTCGAGATTTCGCGATTAGGTCGGCGAAGGGAGTCAGCCGTGCCATCCTTCGCCATGAAATGGCCTGGATATTGTCTGCCGAATTCGAACTGCACGACCTGTTGGCTGATGACAATGTCGCCTAGAAAGATCTCGGGCCCGGCCTCGGGAGAACCTGGCACACCGCCGCAGACGCCAGCCAGAAAAACGACCTTCAGACTGTTGTAACTGTGCCGCAGGCTGGCAGCGGTGCCGGCACTGCTGACTTTACCCATGCTAGGAAGCAGCGCGAGTACGACATTGTGGTTCCCTATACGTTGATGCAAGGTTTGCTAACACAACCTGGCTGCGACTCCACTAAGTCCACCTACTTTAGTTCCGACAGGCCGCGAAGGAATGAGCGCAATGCCCAATGCCCCGTGTTTTGAATGAACGCAGTGAGTAAAAATCACAGGGGTTCTTTTGTCGGTCTCTTCTCTATGGGACCTCTTCCCAGATAGGAATTTTTTTTTGACCTCCCATTGGAATGCAAGCTTTATCTACAACCGTTGCATCTAGTGTTTGCATGGAGTGCGGCATGTGATTTGTTGTTGTTGTTGTTGTTGTTGTTGTTGTTGTTGTTGTTGTTGTTGTTGTTGTTGTTGTTGTTGTTGTTGTTGTTGTTGTTGTTGTTGTTGCTGGGAGAGCCGTAAATAGATCGGACATACTTCCCGACATCGACCTCTGTGTGACAACCCGACCAACAGGTCGCAAGATCGGGCCATGGACAAGGCAAACACACCCTGGTTACGTAAGCATCTCATTATGTCAGCAAGACTGGATATGTTGGATCGCAACATATCCCGACATATCCACGCGGATATGTTGGATCGCAACATATCCAAGCATATCCTGGGAAACGCACGATGAAGGACAAAGGATATATAGCACGAGAAGAATCCCCTAGACAGACAGTCATTACCTTTGTACTTCAGCAATCAATCTAAGTATCAGTTTCACCACACACTTGAACTAGTCACTCAATTGCCGAGACTGGTATCTCTTCCAAGAGACACGACAACCCCCCAAAGAGAGAACGACAGCAGTGTTAGTTGTTATCGCACAGGCTTTACCTATCTTGCAGAACAGCAACCCCAGCGCCCTGCCAGACGGTTGACCCCGGAGGCAGGATCGTGACACTCAGCCCCTTTTTGCCTCTCATCGCGCTTCTGTAGCAAAGAAAATATATAAGGGACAACACGCCTCTGGTATACTACAATGATACGCAGACCTTAGACAACACCAATGGTTTGAACTCTTTACCACTGTTACAAAACAGAAGCCCCAGCCAGAACGATCACATACTACGGGAAGTCCGTACTCGGAAATATGCGCCTCTCAAGTTCTATTGGCAATTACTACACGGGCATGAAGAATTGCTACCCGGGCATGACTCTTACACGGGCATGACTTCTATCGCCTCTGATTCGCTCATTTTTTTCCTTCGACCCACAGGTACATCAGTGCAAAGGCGGTGAAGCAAGCTCTCTTAACAAGGCCGTGCTTTCGGTATAGTCAGAACCAACCAGGTCAACCAGGCCTCTAGAACAGGTCTTAGGCGTATATCAAAACAAGGTCTGGTTTTCAATACAGAACACGGCCAATTCCAGCGCGCCCTAGAGGGCAGCTATCTATATCTCTATCCTCTAACTACTATAGATGGAAGAACCTCCTCGTCGCTGTCAAGCAGCTCCCACTGACTCCTTCGCCTGCGAATGCTAGATTGCGTCTTCCATCCGTTGGCACGTACTCCTGTAGTTCTTCCAGCTCCAAGAACAGCTGACCGGCTGCGCGTCTGGCGCTGGGATGAGGCACTGGCCTGGCTACTAGCCTGGCTGCTGGCCTGTTGGCTCGCTTCCAGAGCAAGCCTAGCTAGCGTTGACTTGTTGTGACTTCCTGGTGGTCGACCTCGTCTGCGCCCTGTCGCTTGGCTTGCTGGATTGCTGGCTCGTTGGCTACTCGGCTGGCTGCTTGCCTCAATGGCTAGCCGCGCTGGAACAGCCGGTGTGGTGTTCTTAGGTCTGCCACGGAGAGCAGTGGCGATCTTAGGGTCGAGGATTCGTCGGTATGGATCTCGAGAGGATGGCTCTCGTAGGCGCCACCGAGGATGGACCTCCCATTTGGTGAGAGGCGTGCCACTCACCAGCTTTGAGTAGATTGTGTGGCAGCAGGGGATTCCAAGCTCGGTCGAAACGCGCGAGGGCGAAACATAATGGTAGTATTGCTTGCATTACCGAGGAGCTCAGTACGAGAACTACGTGGACTACTATAACGAAGCCTACTTTAACCGCAACAGAAACCACTCATCAAACTATCACTTTTACACGAACATTACGGATGACGAGACAAGCCTTTCCTCTAGCAGTACAAGTGCGCCTCCAGTGGTAGATCCTATTGGACTGCCAGCGAAACGGGAACTACACAAGCAACAGCAACCCCCGGTGAAACCGTCAGCGACCCCGGCATTACACAAACAGCAAGTAGTAGTGAGAGCTCTAACATCCAGATTGCGGGAGCTACCGCTTCTAGCGATAATCCCCTTTCGCAGATAGTTCGGGTTCTTCCAGACCGAGCTATCTTGCTACCTTAACGATCGCCTCAACAGTTACCATGATTCAGACTGTGTCAATCTGCTAGGTTCTAGCTTATCGAAGGGATAAATAAATTGATCTACTGGCCGAGGGGCGAGCCGTTAGTTATGTGTGAGAACCTCTTCAGTACACCGCGGGTCGCAAAGTTCAACTATAGATAGTATTATACACCGTCTTACTAAGTCCAAGATCTTACTTGAGTTGTTATGAGGTACATGTGACCATGTCGACGCGTGACGGAGACGCCTAAGTGCTATAAGCTGTCGCGACTACAATGTTGCTACTCCATACCGTGCTCACTCAGCTGTGGACGGAAGAAAACAACCTCCGGTAGATCAAGAAAGTGAATGTTATGCCTAGCATCTGCCTCTTTGCCCGGCTGGCTCTCTATGCCGGAACGTTCATGATGGTTGGACATTCCTCCTTTTCACCCTCTCTTCTTCGTTAAGGGCGCGAGCTACAGCCTGAAGTAGTGCTAATATCGCCGCTCGTGCACCGGAGTCGTCAATGGCAGACTGAAAAGGCTCACGGCAAGGTCCGAGGCCTTGAGTAGCGATAGGCTGTATCTGTGCCCGAACCGGATTGTACGACCGACGGTATCGCTGCAACCGGTCTGCCATATTTGCTAAGGACGATATTTGGAGATACTCAAGTAAGTCGGATTGATGTGATCGCTTTATCGTGTTGCAAGAACCAGAGTCATACGGATGAGCCAGTTCTTTATTCTACACTTTTGAGGGAACAGAGGAGGGCAAAATTGTGCTGAACTATATAAATAACTCCTTGGCCGACCGGGACACCGCCCGGAGGAGCGGGGTACTTTGGCACACGGCGGCTCATGTGAACTATGATTCGCCAACTAGCTGGTTGAATCGGCCCCATCATGTCCGGGCCCGGACGTCGTATGACAATTACGCCGGCGGGAACGGAGATGATATGATTGGCAGCGCGAAAGATGGATAACCCTTTTGGACTTTTGGCGCGGAACAGCTGACTCTCCGGCAACGACCCCGCGAGCTCTTTCGCTGTGCGTAGGCCACGCCAATGTATCTGCCCTGTTGCCGCTTGTCTTCCCATCCACTATGTACACCGGAAGAGCTGCGCGATTCTAAGTTGCCAAGAAAGGTCCAGGTTGCACCATCTTATGTGTCTCTGCCAACCATTCGGTCTAAACTGCCCAGTCATTATGTACCTAGCAATTGAACACCGCCGTGATCGAGACACTCTACCCTCAACTGCCTACTACGTAGTCCATGAGAGAGCCGGAACGTGCTTCAAGCACGCGAGTCGAGCCTTGTCTGTACTCTGAGACCTAGTCCCGAGCCATTGGCTTCTTCAATCTCCTCGAGTGCGCCCCAGGCTGCCGCTGCTGGTACACGCATGCCGCAGCCTTAGCTATGGCACTAAAGACAAAGTGCCTCCGTCGCCATTGCCTGCTGGGGCTCTAGGAGGTAGATACATTTTAGTAGGCAGCATCCTGTCCGCGAGTTGTGTCGCTCCCTTCAAGCGCGAGTGTTTGGTGCGGGTACAAGTCTCTATATATCCCTGATGCGATGCCGAGATCGCGGGGTGGTGCCTGGAACACGCCAAGGCCCACAAGGCCGCTGACCCGCGCACGGGCCACAATTACATCCCAATGTCATTGTGGCCCGTGCTCAGCCAAGCACAGTAACTCGCTTTGTATGGGCCATTGAGTATGAGCTAGCCCGATGTGACGACCCGACCAACAGGGGAACTGTTTGGGGCTGAGGTAACAACAGGCCCAGCACGAACAAGGCCGCAGGATCAGGCCAGGGACAAGGGCGGACCAGCGAAGGCTGGCGGGGAGCACATTAGGTAAGCACCCTCACGTACGTCAGCAACCGACAGTGGGCAGTCGCACGGCGACCACCACCTGTCGGCCGTACGACGACAAGACGTCGGCCAGCGACGCGACGGTGTCGCAGGACGACGGACACGATGAAGGACAAAGGGTATATAGAGCCGGAGGATCTCCTTGTAGACAGTCATTACCTTTGTACTTCAGCGATCAATCTAAGTATCACTCTCATCCTTCACTTGACCTAGTCACTCAATTGATCCGAGTGTGGTATCTCGCAAGAGACACGAACGACAACCCCCAGAGAACACGACAGCACGGAGTCAGTATTGTTTTACTGAAAAAGCCTCTTTCCTTGTGGCAGAACACCCGCCCTCCTGTCGGAGGACGAGTGCAACGGGGGCTGTGCCCCCATACCCCCCTTTGACCCGGAATCTTGACTATCTTTTCCGACAGCATGCTATGTCTGTGATGAAAGCATTCTCTAGCTGCACGCATCTCTGGATGTGTTGTGTTTCCAGTCACTTGAACCCTTCTACTGTCCTCAAGCCACTCTCACCGACGCCCCTAGGCTGAGCCCCAAACACCATCCTGCGTAAGGCCGCAAACAGGTGATCTCCCGACCACATCGATGACCGAAATGCGGATACGACCTCCTACCTTCAGAGGAACTCACGCTGACCGACGACATAATAATCGTCCCCATCCAGGCGCACAAACGGAACTGCCTGGTCTCTCTCACCTCGCTCCAAGCGGACAGAATACCTCTGTCGAGACAGAACAGGGAAAAAGGGCCTGTGGATGACCTCCCAGCATCGCATCTCGCACAACCCCTGCTCCGGTTTATAGACCCTTCAGTCCACAAGACAAGTCAGCGTCATATCGTATGGCCCTGACACCGTCCCGATCTCGAGAGCCCTCTCTCGCAGAAGAAAGGCAGCCCAGCCACAACCATCGTAGGCCTGCACTCGCGCTACCACGCGCATGATTTGCCTGGCATCCAGTCGCATCTGCCACCCCGTCACGGGTGGACAAAACCCTTCGCGCACGTTACGCCATCGCCGCGGGCATCTCTCATGCCAACAATACGGTGCATTCGCCGGACACTCGCCCTCCACATCCGTGTCCTCCACCATCTCCTCCGCCTTTCTCGCGCAGAGATCCCTCCGCAACACCTCCATCACCATCGTCATCTCCGTTCCAACCTCCTTCGCCCCTGGCTTCTGCACGTTCATCAGCTGCCGCACATCACAACGATACACCACCTTGTGTCCCTGGTCCCTCACTCGGGACCTCTTCCACGAGACCGTCGCCATCCCTGCCTCCGCGGAAACATCCACATCTCCAGCCACCGACTCTCGTCTTCTCCCCCCTCTCCCAGAGTCGTGTCCATCCTGTCTTGTCGTCCCTTCGCATCCACGCCTGTATGTGTAGAAGGAAGAGTTCATCCAATTTACCCTTCTGAAAAGATCCTCCTTTCATCCCCTTTGACAAGCATCGGGCCGGACACCACCAGAAATGCGCGTCGGAAGGCCCTCTGCCTAGACACACATTCCATCAGCGAGCTGACGAACTGATGAATGAGCCCCGAAAGAAAGAACAACCTTAAATAACCTATACATCGTACTACCTTGTCGAGAAGCTTCAATGGCAGCCTTGATTTAATGCGTGCATCTGTGTCATAGTACAATAGCCAATAGTTTGGGCAAAATCTCGGGGACCCGGGATATTGTGCGAAATCATCTGTTTCGTATGATAGTTATCATTTTTCATTTTCCAGTGTTCAATATCTAGCGAGGCATTACTGTGAGTGCAGTTCTCCTCGCGGCGATTGAATCGGTGGTAACGCAGGTGGCTGTATCACATGCCGTCAAAGGCGTTAGGTTATATTCACAAAAGGATTTCACGGCGAATACTAAAGCCACGCGCTCGTGTCATTGTCCATCTACTAACACGTTATTCTTCTTGCACAATGCGCGAAAGAAGTGTACATCAGTTGAAGGAAAGACATGTGCAAAAAAGAAAAATGCCAGGAAAGTATGACTTCAGTCAGATGTGTATGAGATTGGCTGATAACAGGACACACAATCCTGCCTTGGACTATGTCTAATTGTCACGATCCGACCTCCGGGGTCAACCGTCTGGTCGGGCTTCGGTGGGTTGCTGTCCTGCGGGTAGGTAGAGCCGTCGCAATATCACAACTGTCGAATGTCGTTCTCTCTGGTTGTTGCCGTGTCTCTTGGAAGAGATACCACTCTCGTCAATTGAGTGACTGGTTCAAGTGATGTGTGAGAATGATACTTAGATTGATCGCTGAAGTACAAAGGTAATGACTGTCTGTCTAGGAGATCCATCGCTTCCTTATATCCTTTGTCCTTCATCGTGCTCCCGTGGATATGTCTGGATATGTTGCGATCCAGCATATCCTTGGATCTGTTTGGATATGTTGCGATCCAACATATCCACCCTTGTTCGTGCTGACATAATGAGAGTGCTTATGTAACCAGGGGTGTGTCGCCCCGCGTGCATGACCTGCCCTTGTCCCTGGCCCGATCTTGCGACCTGTTGGTCGGGTCGTCACAGTTTCGTACAAGGGAAAACCACACGCGATACGCGTCTGGATCTTCGCAGAGGACTCTCTAATAGTCGATTCTTCGATTAAAACGCGTTCGGAGCTCAGGTCGTCGTCGTACGAAGGTTGAGGCCCAGTTTGTTCCGACGCGTGGCGCGTCGCGTTCACGAAGGAGTCGATCCGCCATTTCTCGAACACCACTTAAGCGCGGTGGAAACGATCGCGAATCTAGGTCGATTATATATCGTACGATGCTCTGCTCTTCGTACGAGGTCAATTTCTGGCAGGGTAGTCGGATATCGCGTCTCGCAGCTCGGCCGTGGTATCGTTGCTGGAGTGTCGTACGAGACACATTATAGAGTAATGCAGCCTTTCGTACGCTTAATTTTGGGTCGGATTGGAGCGCATTTAGCGCTAGAACCAAATCACTTTCAATTGATTGTCGTCCCATGATTAAAGGTAGAGAAAAAGGAGAAAGAAGGGAATCTCAATGAAATTGCAGGAAGGTAACCCGTTCACCCGTGTGACCCGCTCACCCGTGGATTACATTACCCCAAATAATTCAGGGTTATGATAGAACCGGCTGCTGCTCGGCCTAGAGACAATTGCAGCATTCCTCTTGAAGGCGACGGTCTTGAAATTTTATAGAAATGCAGTTAAGGCTCGCCTCCTTAACCCGACTTACGAGAGCTAGATCGTGAACCGCTTGGAGCTGCGACCCGCAGTGGGGTATAAACCTCAAGTCTAGCAGGTTAACCTTAAATCAACGACAATGCTTTGCAAAAGTCTTCGCTTAGCACGGTCTTGGTACCTCGTCGTCGCTAGTTGCCAACTCACCCACACCTAACATCCCTGCCAACAGTACATACCTTGAGCACCACGCCGACGTCGATTTCTCTATCTTTACGACCGCTGTCGATGCGACAGTAAGCTAACAAGCTCATTGATCGTAAGTCCACTAGCTTCATCATCGCCGTCCATCTGATCCACCCAGCCGTCGAAAATCTCGCCGTTACAGACTTGCGCCTATCGCGGCAAGGTGCCTTGGCTTACTACTCCCTTCACTCTCCTACTACCCCACGTCGACGTGCTTACCTCCGGTCTAATATAGCGACCTTCTTTATACTCGTTGCCGCCTTTAAGCTTGATAATCTGCTCTATATGATACGGCATCCTAACGATCTCGGCCCGGATATGCTCTTGTGGTAAGTCTCTCTAAGCCTTCTCCCAAGCCTTCTGAGCTGCCATCTTCGTGCGCCCTTCCTCGTCGTCTGCTTCTTTATCCAGAACCAGCAGGGCTCGATTGCGTTGAGATCTGGTGAGTTGCTGGGCCATAGCATGTTGGCCACATCCCACAGCTTGTAGGTTTCCTCTTGGAACAAATGGCGATGGCAAGGAGCGCCGTCCTCTTGGACGATTATGCCTGGCCTCGAGAACTGACACCTCTTCGCAAACGGCAGCAACGCCTCAAGCAGAATCTTCTGACGGTATCGCTACTAGTCTATCCCATTGCCGTTGCGGCGTGCCAACATCCCAGTCTTCTGGCTTCATCTCCAAGTCGGCTTCTGGCCTCCAAAGCGTGTCGCCAGCTTGCACCTCCTGACGCTATTGCAGAGCTCCCACTTGTCTCGATACTTCGGCTCCAACTCTGCGTTTAGGCTGTTGGTCTCCGCTGTCGCTGCCGCCCTCTCTGCCTTGTTCTCTGGCCGCTATATATAACAGGGCCCTTTCTGGTCGTAAGAGAAGCATCCCTAGAACATGAACTCCGAGTACCCCTTCTATCGCGATCGAATGTAGGACTTGATAATCTGCCCTGTGGGCTTTCTCCAGATCTTGTAGCTGCCTCGACGGTGGCTTAAGACTACCGAGGACTCATCGGAGAAAATGACATTCTTAAAGTCGGTATCGCGGTGTCCGGGGGTCCAGGCTAACCTCTTCGCTTTTATCGCTTTAGTTATCCTGGGATTACTCGTCGGCTTCGTTTTGCGGTACTGGGTACGGCGGAGAACCCGCCAGACTGTCGTCGTCGATATATCTATTCCTTCTGCGTTGAGCTCGTTTGAAATCATCGAGCACGTCTTCTCGCGACCGTACCTGTGAAGGCGTACCTTGAAACGAAGGATTGCGTTAACGCCGGGGACCTCTTGCGAGGACGCCCTGAGCGTGCTGTATCGTCAAACCACTCATCCTTTATTACCTGCGACGGGCCTAAAGCTGGGTCGAAGCCACGGGCGATCGCTCGCTGAACTGTCGACCTCACAGTGGACGCCCTGCCGCTAGTGATCATCTTAGCCTCGGTGAGTGGCAGCCTAGAGGCTCGAAGGAGAGCGCAGGTTGCGCGTGCGGCGACGCCGAGTTTGACGTGTGTGACTATGCTGACGGTGTTGTTGATATTGGTGGTGTCGGCGGTGGCAGGGAGCTCTGCAGAAGCAGAGTCTCCTCCGCCGTCGACGCTGCCTGCTATCAGAATTACTGCTCTCTTTCCAAACCTTCTCGATTCCGACGATTCCGGTCAGAAAGCAACTAAAAACGGCTCAAATCCGACCTGCATGGTGTTGACAAGGTTGTGTCACGATGCGAACTTCAAAAAACAAAAACAACAAGTCGTATACAAAGCACTGTCATGGGACGCGAAGCGAAGGCTTTTGCAAAGCACCTCCGTATAATATGACTCTTAAATACATTGAGACCCTATATCGGCAAGGGCCCAACGTTGCAGCTGATAACTATTCCAACGAATAATGGCTATCCGAGTCCTAAGAGACTAGCACGTGCATTTAATAAAGTGCGAGCCCTGTATCTACGCCTTTCTATGGTACTTACGTATTGAATTCGCCTACAAGGACGGTTCCCTTTCTTACGGGATCCCCGCAATGGATACGGCTTAGATATTAGCGATAAGCGTACCTGGAGCGGCGGTGGATCATGAAATGAAAGGTATTAAAGTTCAGTCAGAAGTGGACGATGGACGAGGTGATAGCCCTTGGATGCCACGATCCGGTCAAGTCAGGCGGGTGATAAATTTGTTTGCTATGTCTCCCTCAATCAGGCGAACATATTGATCGCTTGAACGCTGTCAACATTTCCAGCCGGTTAGTTGTGTTGGCTAGTCAACTGAAAGGTTAACCATTAACGCAGGATACACACAATCACCCGGACACAGGGCCCATCGTCTTAAGTAACTGACCAAACAACACTTGTTGCAACGTTTCAATAGAACTACCCTTGTGGCTTGGGGTAGATATCGTCGCTAATTCGCGTTGCTTGGTCTTTCTATCGTCTGGGTAAAAGCATGGAGCAACAAGATAGTATTAAGCCGGAATCCGGTCAGCATTATATGCACGGCACACATAAATTCAGATGGACGGAGAAACACTGGAACTTTGAGCAGCTTGATCCTCTGCGTCACCAGTACGATGAGCTGGGTTCTCTGGTGATGGGTATACTAGAGACGCTGGCCCGTAGTCAAGGAGTACAGGCTCATAACCGCCGACGACCAGATTTGTTCGCCCTGCTTATACAAGAGCGCGCTTCGGATCCTGTGCTCGCAAGATTTTGGCACGAGATCAACACCGTGCCAGCGTGGGTCGACTGGGCTCAGCTCGCTCGCGGCCAGCGGTTTTTCTATCGCTATGTGGCTACTACTATCATGGGCTTCGCGCTACAAGGTTTCATCGGCCAAAACGCAACTACGGCAAGCGTCGCCGAATTGCTGAGTCGCACAGGCGGCTTTTCCACACGCGCGTTGAGTCGGCGCCTGCTGGAACGTTTCCAGCTCCTCCTCCAGGTTACAGGCTTCTCCAAGCCCGTTGAGGTCGACCTAGGCCCCGGGGGTATTACCGCACACGAGACAGCAATTCGCGTTCGCCTGCGTCATGCGTCAGTACAAAGCCGAATCTTAGAAATCGCAGAGCAGAGGGAAGGGTATTTTGATATGGGTCAACACGGTATCCCCATTAATACGCTAAACTCGATCCACGCTATTGCAACATTCTGCTGCAACCATATATGGCTTCAGCTTCCGCAACAGGGTGTAAAACCTCGGCAGCAGGAGGCTGAAGACTACATCGCACTGTGGCGCTATGTCGGGTACCTTCTGGCAGTACCGACTGATGCTTATTTCTCGGGTTTTGAGCAGGCCAAGACCACGATGGAAAGTACAGCTGGGTTCAGGTTTAGCGTCCCGATGTCCAGATCGGAGACAAAAGAAAGTGGAGCTGCAGACAGTACACAAGAATATGATTGAGTATCATAATGTCGTGCAGACGAGCACTGCCCTAGTGCACAAGGTGAGCATTGCCTTATGCACAATGCACATCACCGGCCAAACCCGGGCCCGCTGGGCATCCCTGCCCAAGTGCACTCAGTGATCGCTGGCCCCTGGGCATAAAAGGGCACAGCGATCAGTAGTCTCATAGAACAGAATCTCGTCTAGTACGGCAAATCAATCTACTTTATATGCACTATTTTGCGGCACCACACATAATATGTAAGTCCTTACCAGTCGCCAGTTCAGGCGCACATAATATGACTCACAGATCCCCGCCCAGCTCCACAACCCTCCAGAATCTCCACAAGCGATGTCCTCCGTCTCTCGCTTGTGGAAGACTTCGCGGGAAATGGCTCCTCGACTGTACGATTCTTATCAAGACCAGATCAAATCTATGATCCGCCGAAGCTTCACGAATGAAGCTATCGCTGATGCTATTTCTTGTCCTGGAAAAACGCAGGTGTTTAGGATGCCGAGACTATGCGCCGCAGCCTCCAAATTTGAACCCAGAAATAGACCCGCTGTTAACACCCACCTGCAAGCCAGAGTTGTTACAGTGGGATTCAGGTTCACCCTCAAGATCCAAACTCCCAAAGTGGGGCCAATTCTGGGTCGCGCAAAGTGTGTGATGTAACGACCACACCCACACTAATAGGGATAAGGGCGGGTTACGCGGTAAGGTAGTCACAAATTTCTTATGTAATCACGATAACAGATAAGGACTGCATGTCTTGGACAAGTTGGGGGGTGCCCCATCGGTGCGACTCAGCATCCCTGGCCGGCAGGGTCGCACTCGACGACCCAGGGCCAAGGTTCACGTCGTTCGCTGGTGGCCAGAGGAAAATCTACGGCATTCATACTGCGTATTGCCGGAACCCCGGCCGGCCGCACGTCACACTCGCGCCCCGGCCGAGCCGGCCGCTGCCCAAACAGGCAAGCCAGAAACGCGGTTGTTTCGCACAGGGGCGCTGCTTCTGGCATGATCGCCGTCCGTTGTTCATGCCTCTCAGGGGTTCGCTCAGTCTGGCTGGGTCCGATCGAAAGGAACAGGCTTCTGACGTATTGCTTGGCGGATATAGTCACATCGGCCCGGAATGATCTGGAACCCCGTGCACTGGCTTCCGTCGGGATCGCTCTCGACTCTGCCATCTACAATCTGTCACCTTGCCAAGAAACTCGCAAGGCTCAGAAGCCGGCGGAGAGCATTACGAATATCCTTGCACGCCGGTGGTGCCCCAGTCCCCCGGGACCAAGGTCGATGGCACGCCCGGTTCTTGCCATTGCCTCCCAGGCAGATCTTTCTGCTCACCTGCCAGACCGGCATGACCAACAGAGACATGCTTTGCTGCATGTTTTGCCACAGAGTCCTGCAGACAGGAGGAATTGATGCACTGCAGCATTGGTGTAATCCTCGCTCACTCCGCACGAGGGACACGTTCTGAAGACTCCAACACTTCGCGAACAACCAAGGCTTTTTCCTGTCGCTGCATTGCTTGGGATATTTGTGTCTGAGTGCTTGCATGGCTCGTGGGTATTGTTTCATATCAAGCTTGGCTTTTGTCGGCAAATGCAGAGTGTATCACCACGAGAACTCTGTCCAGGGCATAGGGATACATTCCAAAGGGCCCGCGATACTACCGTGTGCACTCAATACTGATGGTCGTCGAGGACGGCCAGGAACCGTGCCAAGCAGATACCAGCTCATGTCGCTTTTTGCATCAGGCTTCCACTCGTCATGTGTATGCATGGTCCGGGCCATTCGGGGAGTTTTCGAAGCCGGGTTTGCCTGTAGTGATGCTTTACCATAGTCACAACTTGCCTGGGTAGAAGGAACACTGCCATTGTCCAAAGCAGAGCAACGTGCCACCGGGACGCTATCAGGCAGAAGCAAGTGGCTAAACACAGTCCGCAGCCAACGAGGTCACGCGCACAGTCCTGTGGCTTGTCTATTCTGCCTCGTCTTGCAGGGGGGTTTTGGGCGTCAGTGGCATTCGGCCGCACCTGAAGTCTCGGAGAGGGAACCCCCCAACCATCAGACAATGCCCTGTGCCTCCCTTCTTCCCCGTCGAGTTGTGGTTGTTCAAAGACTTAACCTTCCGCACTAACTAGTAGGAGCTTCCAAAGTAATAAAAAGCACAAGACTCAAATACTCAATAGCATCCACCATGGACACCGACGACTACGTCCGCCAGCGCAACACAAGCTGCCTGGCTGACCTCGGCCACTCGCTCGTCCGCCTTTCACCCGACAACATCTCGAAGCTCCTGCTCACAGCCAGCGGACTGCCCGAGAGGCGAAGGGCCGAGGCGGACGCTATATGCGCCCGCCTGGCTGAGCTCAACCCCGATGTCGCCAAGCACTTCCAGTCCAAGCAGACTGCCACATCGCGGCTCAAGCTGCGCATGATCCAGCCTCGGTCTATACAGGCTCACCCCGCAGCCGTAAATGGGACCACAAATGGTGTTCCACAACTTCAGGAGGACCCGGACAGGTCCCGCGAAGTCGACTCCTTCATCGTAGTCAGCTACTGCTGGCACTATCCCGACTGGCCCCTCCCCGCGGCGGCCTCGCCCATCGCGCCGGGCTGGGAGGTGTCGCGGCCCATGGTCGACGAGGTCATGCGCCTCGCCCAGGTCTCGGTGCCCGGCGACGGCGGGGGCAGCGTCTGGCTGGACAAGCTGTGCATCAACCAGGCCGATGAGGACGACAAGAGCACCCACGTCGGCGCGATGGACATGATCTACCGCTCTGCGAGACGGGTCGTCATCTTGCTCGAGGACGTGCAGCTCGGTGACGAGGAGGAGATGGAGGCGGCGCTGGCATACAGGAAGTTCTACCAGGACATGTGTGACCACGTCAAGGAGCATGATCTCGAGGGGGCGGAGAAGGGGGCATATGTCAAGGAGTGCTTCCCGAGGTCCGAGAAGGAGTGGTGCGAGAGGCACAACTCGGCCGCTTCGTCTGGAGGAAGCAATGAGCCTGCGGGCAAGTTCGATGTGGCGAAGCTCCGAGCCGCAGCGAAGCGATTCGTCTCAAGGCTCTTGCAGGCGCGCTGGTTCACGAGGGCCTGGTGCGCTCATGAGTCTCGAGTCTCGCCGCACGGCAAGATCAACAACCCTCTCTTCCTGTGCTTCGCTCCCGACCTGAACAACAACAAAATCACCACAGCACAACCTCGGGGGGATACCGGCAGCAGAGTCCTCAGCTTCGAGTTCCGCTTCATCCACTACTTCGCGCTGTACCTGTGCGAGCTGGTCCTCGACAGAACCGAGCTCGCCCCCTCGCTGGACATGCTGCCGCACCACCAGACGCGCATCGACGACCCGGGCCCGACGGAGCTGTGGCAGCTGTGGTACCGCATCCAACGCCTCCACCCCGAGCGCGGCGCGGCGTGCTCCGCGATGCAGCACCTCGTCAGCATCTTGTCGTTCGGGTGCACCTTCAAGGGCGACCTCATGTCCATCGCGCTCAACACGTCGAGCATCCCGCTCGTCTTCCGGGGCAGCGCGGAGTGTGTCGAGGACGTCATCTGGATGTTCGCCCTGCTGGTCATTGCGGCGGGGGACGTGGTACCGCTCATTGCCAACGGGGGTAAGCAGCGGTTTCCCCCGTCGAAGACCCTCGGCTCGGCGGCCGACGAGCCTGGCGGTCCCGTGAAAGACGGTGACACAGCACAGCTGGTATCCTGGGCGCCGCGCCCAATGCAGGGCGTGCTCGACGACACGATCCCGCTCACGGACAAGAGCTACATCACGGCCGTCACGCGGGACTACATCGAGCTGGACCTGCTCGTCTTCACCGCCCTGCCCGCCATGGCCACGCAGGCGAGCCAGGACAAGGCCGACGCCCTGATCGCCAAGTTCCATCTCGATGCCATGGCCGAGACGTTTGCTGCGGCCGCCAACGCCGAGACGCAGAGGCAATCGGAGATCATGGCGGCTGTGTTCGACCGGATCAAAGATGGGAAGCCGGGCTCCTTGCACGTCATTGTCAAGGTCTGGCTCGCGCACGGGATCGACTGCGGGACGCAGTGGATGCTGAGGTTTCCCGAGATCATGAGGCAGGACACGCAGGACTGGACGTATGGTGTGCCCAGGGAGGTAGAGGATGAGACGTTGTTGTCGGCGGCGAGGGAGCTTCTGAGCCTGGTCTCCGGCGCCAACGCAACACCTCATTCACAAGGAGACGAACTCAAAGCAGCACAGGAGGCACCGCGGTCAGATCTCGGCACCGCGCAAGACGACGAGACGATGATCCGCCGCATGGCCCTGTACCTCCGCATGATCCTCGACCCGCGCCTCAAGTTCTACGCCACCGCGCCGCGCCGTCTCCCCCTCGGCGGAGACGACCACGCCATCACATTCTCCTCCAGCAACCGGTCGTACATCGCCGTCCCGCTCGCCCTCGTCCCCCTCCCGTCGTGGCAGAAGCGCGCCTGGGTCCTCGAGCCGTACGACCCGTCCACCGACCCCCCTGAATCACTTGGGATTTCCTACCTGATCTCGCCCGCACGTGCATCGAGCCTGGCGAGGTGCTGGACGATGTGTATCCCGTCCTATCGTCTGACTATGCGGATCGGCGGAGGCCGCGGGATGACAAGGTAGGGGCGTGGAGGTTGAGGCGGCGGGAGCAGATCTTTGGGTTTAGGGGCTGGGATGAGGCGGCGCTTCAGGGGATGATGGCGCGGAGTTCCAAGGATGGGGACGGGGAGGGATATGTCGTGTACATGAAGAAGCAAAGAGTGTACGGCGCGGAAGACTATGACTGGGGCGCGATACTCGAGGTCGCGAAGAGGATCGAGGGAACGGGGGCTGCTGAGACGACTGAGGGAAAGGCTCCAAGCACGCCCCAAGAAATCACTGGAGAGGCGATTCAAGGAGCAAATCAGGTCTCTTGAACACTAGCGAGACCGACCAAGCCTACGAGCATGCGCTGAGGATTATGATCAAAGAGTCTTGGCTCCTGCTTGACGGGGATAATGGACGACAGACGGCACGCTGCACGCTGCAGATTTGTGCAGCAAGCGAGGGTAGATCGGGTTTCTCGAGGCGGTCACAGGCTACTAGCAAAAATACACACTCCAATCATACTCTGCATCGTGTAATGTGGCATGCTCAACATGTAGACCTCGCCGTTGAGGTAGATCACCCGAGTTGGTAGTTGTGGGGCTCAGAGCGACCTGGGAGATTACGAACGAGCTACTGTGCTCGTGGCAGTGGCCGCGGCAAAGGTCTACAGAATTTTAGAGGTATGGGAATACCAAGGATCAATATTGGGGCTATATTTAGAGAAGTAAATGCGCCAGACATGTCTTATCTGTTAACGAGTCATCAACGATAAGGGATCACGATAAGAAGGATCACTGGCTCACGAGGTGATCCAGTGAGCCTCACACCTGGATCACGGTGATCCAAAGGGACGCTCACGGTGATCCAGCGGTGCGTGGCTCACGGAGCTGAAGGATGAAGGAGTATATGATTCAGATAGTTTCCCCTGACCAGACAGTCTTTACCTTCATACTTCAGCGATCAATCTAAGTACCATTCTCACCCACACTTGAACTAGGCACTCAATTGCCGAGACTGGTATCTCTTCCCAGAGACACGACAACCCAAGAGAGAGAACGACATTCGACCAGTTGTGATATTGCTTGAGCTTTACCTACTTCGCAGAACAGCAACCCCGAAGCCCGGCCAGACGGTTGACCCCGGAGGTCGGATCGTGACAAGGACATCGCTCTTTTCGCTCTAGTCTTATGTTTCCTACTATATAGGCCTGAATCTTGATAGAATATGGATTGCGACCTTATAATCGAATTCTCCTCCTTTTTAGCTTTATTTTGAATATACTTAGAGCTCTTTCCTACTTAGAATAAGCCAGGTTACAGGGGTTCCAAAGGGCAGTTTTCGCGATTTTGGTGGGGTTTGGGGTGGTCGCGAGGTGGGGTGGTCACCAGGGGGTAGGTAGACTTATCCTCTGGTTGTTACCATCTAACACGAAATCGCAGCTTACAGTCAGCTATCAGTCGAGGGCGAACATCGTGAGCCTTGGACAGATCGCCAATCTTCAGGTCGTCGTCTGTGTAAGGAGTCTTTCTCAGAGGTCGTAGCCCTCGGCCACCATAATCCTGAAGAGCCATCTGCTCCAAGATTGCTCCTCCAAGCTATGTGGTGAGACTTCAGACGGCGAGTATCTCGACTTAATCTTGATGTGAACTGAATCTTTAATCGGACCAAACCTGTCGTAGTTGTCGTGGTGGTCGGATGGGACCCCGATGCTGAAGCTACGAGGGTCTGGAGTTGGGCGCAATAAGGACATTCTTCTACGAGTTCTGTACCGGGTGCTGGCCATTTCGGCCATGTATTCGAAGGCGCATTGGGAAAGGGCACCGTACTCTGCATTTATTCGAAATAGCTAAGCCGCAAGACCTGTCATGGTTATTCAGCTGAGGTGTTGCCTGGGGGCGAGATGCTCAATGTTTGGCCGAATGCGGGGTCGAGCGAGTGTCTCGCCCGTTGTAGCGTCGTGCATTGAGTTTGCGGCTCAGCTGCCCCTCCCCTCTCTGTCTCTCTCGGAGCTCACATTCTCCGTGTGATATACTCAAGTATACGCTGACGACGACGCGGGGGCCAGTTCTCTGTTGAACATATCCTCCTCGGATGCTCACGCCCCGGAGCTTTTCCCTCTGTCTCTTTCCTACAGGTGATCGGTTACCTGTTGGGCAGGCGTACATATAAGCCCCCCGAAGCTCGAGCAGACACATCATTCTTCCTCGCTCTCCCCGAGCTACACTGTCTCCGTCTCTTCCCCCACCCCTTCCCACCAAACAGACACCTGCGACCCAGACGTAGCCTGACAACATGACGCCCACGGCTCTCCCCGAATGACAAGCCTCGGGGTACTCCAGCCCAGACCGCCTTCGCATCCTCGTCCCGGAGAAGGTGTCCCCCGACGGCCTCGCCCTGCTCTCAGCCGAGTTCGACGTCGACTCGCGGCCGGGGGGCCTGTCCGCGGACGAGCTCATCGCCTGCATCCCGTCCTACCATGGCCTGATTGTGCGGTCCGAGACCAGGGTCACCGCCGCGGTGCTGAGCGCGGGCCGCAAGCTGCGCATGGTGGCGCGGGCCGCCGTGGGCATGGACAACATCGACGTCGGGGCGGCGACCAAGAACGGCGTTATCGTGGTCAACTCGCCCGCGGGCAACATTGTCGCGGCCGCCGAGCACACGGTGGCGCTGCTCCTCGCGACGGCGCGCAACGTCGGCCGCGCGGACCGCACGCTCAAGGAGGGCAGGTGGGAGCGCGGGGGGGCTCGTGGGCGTCGAGGTCGGGCGCAAGACGCTGGGCATCATCGGCCTGGGCAAGGTCGGGATGAAGGTCGCGCGCATGTTCGTCGGCCTGGGCATGCAGCTCCTCGCCGTCGGACCCTACGCGAGCCCCGCGCTGGCCAAGCAGGCCGGCATCGAGCTCGCGGCCGGGCTGGCGGACCTGCTGCCCGTCGTGGACTTCCTGACTATCCACACGCCGCTCCTGGCGTCGACGCTGGACCTGCTCGGCGAGGCCGAGTTCCGGCAGATGAAGAGCCCTGCGAGGGTGCTCAACGTGGCGCGGGGCGGCGTGTACAACGAGGCGGCCCTGCTGAGGGCGCTGGACCAGGGCTGGATCGCGGGCGCCGGGCTCGACGTCTTCACCACGGAGCCGCCCGAGAAGGGCAGCGTGGCGGCACAGCTCGCCGCGCACGACAAGGTCGTCTGCACGCCGCACCTGGGCGCCAGCACCGCCGAGGCGCAGGAGAACGTCAGCCTCGACGTGTGCTCGCAGATGCTCACCATCCTGCGCGGCGGCCTGCCCACCGCCGCCGTCAACGCCCCCTTGATCCTCCCCGGCGAGTACCGCAAGCTGCAGCCCTACGTCAAGCTCGTCGAGCGCATGGGCGCCCTGTACACGCAGCACTACGCCCCGGCCGGCGGCGGCCGCGGGGGCATGGTCGGCGGCACAAAGTTCGAGCTCGTCTACGAGGGCGAGCTGTCGGGCGTCTCCAACACGCGCCCGCTCTTCGCCGCGCTCGTCAAGGGTCTGGTATCGGTCATCTCCGACTCTGGCGGGCGGGACGTCAACATCGTCAACGCCACGCTCATCGCAAAGGACAAGGGCATCGTCATCAACGAGATCCACGAGCACGGCGGCTCCGGCGACGGCGCTGGGGCCTACGCGAGCCTCGTCACCCTGCGCAGTGTCGGGAGCAACGGGAGGCCGCATCCTCACAGAGCCGATTCTGCCGCCGCTACTGCTGCTGTCGGTACTCTCGGCGGTGCCAGTGGAAGCAGCAGAGCCCGTAGCACCAGTCGTCTTGCCGGCAGCGGTGGTCGCGGAGGCCAGATGATCCAGGGCTACGTGTCCGGCAAGAACGTCTACATCTCCAAGCTCGGCCGCTTCACGGCGAGCTTTATCCCCGAGGGCACGCTGGTCATCTTGCACAACTACGATGAGCCGGGCAAGATTGGTGGCGTCAGTGTCGCGCTGGGCAAGCATGGGATCAACATTCGGTTCATGCAAGTCGCTAGTCTTGAAGAGGAGGACGAGGAGGGTGATGGGAGTGAGGGGAAGCCTCTACCCGCGTTGGAGAGGATGGATTCTGCTGTTACTGGTGTCGAGGGTGTGCAGGAGGGAGGCCGAGACGGAGGCAAGGAGGCGCTCATGACTTGGTGTTAGTGGGGACGTGAATCGGGAGGTGGCGGAGGATCTGGAGAGGTCAGAGGGTATTCTGGATGTCAGTCTTATCAGGCTTGAGGGGTAAATTGTGAGTGGACATATTGGATGAAGCCAGCGTGGTCTTGTATCTTCAGGGTTTCAGACCATGGAACCCCTACACTGGGTAGATTCTTCAGGTATGTGGATGCGAATCTGCTGTATGCACCCACATCGAACACCGACTTCATCTGTCTATTGGCAGGTCAGGCGCCAAGTTGTGTGCAAGTGAAGTTGCCCGCTATATCATGGGCGTACAGTCACGCATGAGGACAATGCGGGTCGGCACATTGGCTTTGGGGTAAACTACACTTTTCTAACTTCGCATGGCTCGTAACTTTGACATACATGGCATCCATCTGTTGGCATCGTCTCAACTGTAGTGGATGACCTAATCCCGTCTTCAATCAAGCACATCGTGAACTATGACGCGGCTTGGGGCCCGTTCGGCACAAACAGAATCTCTGATCTTGAAACATTGCCTGTCTTCAGACGAAAGGGCAAGATTTGCGCCTCAGATGTAGTACATGGAATTCTTCAAGTTCGGGTGCACCGTCTTGGAAATGTCGTTACCAAATCCACCACGGCTCGTCGAGGAAGCTCCTCCAACAGATGCGGTGTCGCTCGTGTCGGAGAACAGGTCCGGCATGTACGCACGCTGTCGCGTGCAGACAATATCGGCATAATATGCTGGCGGGCAGATGCTCACGGCCTTGGTGGCGCGACCAAACATGTAACACATCTCGTGAGTCAATTCTTGAATGCCGTTTGCTGCGGCAATGCCCTGGCCAAGGGTTGAGCGGAAGACTTCGTCTAAAAGGACGGTGTAGTGTGCTGGCCGAGCGGTTCCTGCAGTCGATCGAGAGTATAGTCAGCGTTCTGTAAGGTTCAAATCATTCTGGCGGTGCGGGCAAAGGGGGTATTTTTGCATTCATGAAAGAAGTCTCACCTTGCAATGCAGCATGGGCAACAAGGAAGAAGTCCCAGATCTTGGCCTGAGTCACGCCACGATCAACAACAGTACCCGTGGCGACATTGTGGGACTTGGTCATGTGCTGCGAGTGGGTTGGGAAGAATCTCGTCTGGTGCCGTTTGACAGATACTACAACGGTGATCTTGGGCCCTGTGCTATTGGCAGGATACTTGCCACGGCACGCCTCGCGGATCAGCGGCAGCTCCTTGTCTAATACCTGCTTGAACTGTCCCTCAGACACGCCATCACGAAAGATGATGATGTTCTCAGGCAGCCTGCCCTGGTTTTTGTTCTGCCAGAGCACAAGCCGTTCGCCAAACTTGGCCTGCAAGGTCTGATCGAGTATCTCGACACGACTGTCTTGTGCCCATGCCGCAGCCGGCCACTGCGAGAGCTCCTTGTCGACACTGGCCACGAGACCCACGAGACTGGGCGCATTCGAACCCGGGGGCGGGTGAGTGACATCATAGCCCACCACCATAGTCTTGCCCTCGCGGATAATGGCAATGTCGTTTTTTATTTGGTGATTGTTACCACCCATCTTCAAGTTGATCTTGAGACCGACATTTGCAAAGTACTGGTCCATCGGTTTTCCTTTTAGGAAATGTTTGCGAACCATGCAAGTCGTGTGGATGCCAAACTCGGTGTCCCCGAGGGTCTTCACAGCGGCATATATGTCTGGATCGTTTTGCGCAAGGATCACGAAAACATACTGCGCGCCTTTGGCGCCCTTGCTTTCCTTGACCTGGTCAAAAACAGCTCTGACGGCGACAACAGGATGTTTTGACCGAGTGTCAACGACAAGGCCCTGAGGGTGCATGGGTTTCTCCGCAATAGGAATGCCCATGTTCGTGAGCACCTTTGTGAACTCGCCATTCATGATATGAGTGACTGCAGTTTTGTCGTCGCCGCGCGGATGCGGGTCAACGTGGACGAAAGTCCACCAGTCGATCTTGCCGCCCGGCTTGAGGACGTTCACGCGTTTCATATTCCAAGATCCCTCTCTCGGGAAGGCATCCTTATGGTTCTTGTACCGGATGGCCGGGTTCTTCAGTTCCCGGCCGTTGATGGTGAGAAGGTCTTTCTCGATTTTGACACCAAACTCAGACTATGACTTGTCAGAAAAGTGTGCGGAATGACAACAAGGATGTGGCTGTACTAACCAGTTTCTCATTACCGTCCAGCTGAAAACATTTCCGACCGAAAGTGGTGATAGAAGTCGCGTTCGCGACTGGCGACCGGCAGGCGAAGTTGATCAAAGTCGGCGTCTCCCGGGCATTGAGCTTGCGCTGCAATGGCTGACCAGGAATGATCTCCACGGCTTCCGCAGGCATATATACTGGCCTCTGCGTCGTTCCAACGTTGATGACGGGCAGATCGGGGTTCGGTGTTTTGCCATACCCTGCGCAAATACCGATCTCATGTGAGCGTCGACGCATCATGTCTGCCAGAAGTGGTGCATGGGCTAGAAGACTTACGCTTTTGGAAGTATTCAGCGACAGTGTAGTACTTGTTGGCAGTGAGTTTGTTGGAGCCTGTCGGTCCAGTCAAGTAGAATTGAACCTTGCCCGCGGTCGCGCCAATCTCCGTGACCTTTGGGGGGTTCGCCTCTTTGCCTTCAGCCAAGTAAGGAATCGCCAGGCCCTGGAGCATCTTCACCACCACTCGCTTGGCGTTGCCTGTATCATCATAATAGGTCACGCGAGCCCGAAGCTTCGACATGTTCTTATGAAGAGTCCTCTTGTCGTATAGCGCCGGAGGCGTGAAAAGATTCCTTGCCGGCCCGGCTGGACGGAAGACGCCATGACTGACGTTGGCATTGAGGAGGAGACGCCCAGTGGCGGGTCGCGCAGACTGGAAATAGCCTCTGATCGCTTCGTTCCAGCCCAGACTAAGACTCTCCGTCTGACGCGTTTGCTGGTCAATGGGAAAAAAGCGACTGCGGCCGATCGACGCTATTTGAGAGTTACCGCGAGGACTGTGACCCATAATCACGTTGAGCGCGTCGATGACATCTTCGTGTCGGGGAAACGAAACACTTCCGCTTGGATCGTCCATGGTCGTCAGGTATCTGAACATGGCAGGCAGATCTACGTCAATGGGGCCGTTGAAGAGAACCTCGTATTGGTCTTCGTGTCCCTCGAGCGTGTAGTCAACGACGACTGTCTTGTTGTCAGGAAGGGTGAGGGACCGCAATGTGATGACTTGGTTCTTGAACTCGGTCACCAAAGGGTGATCAGGTCCCACCTTCTGTAGAGCAGTCTTGATGATGTTCATTAGTTTCAGTCCCTTTGCGTCCTTGGCCTGTAGCTTCTTTTCCTTTTGGGCGACCGGCTTGACCTCGAGCTGGTATTTGAAAAGGGGTTGGTGTTGAACCTTCATCTCAAAATAGTTTGCCCACAAGACAACCGGTCGGCCACTTGTACCGAAGGCCGGTCGGCATGGGAAGTACTCGGCCTGACGAGCCTCAGAACCCTTCGAGATCTGCATCTTGGCCATCTTCCCAGATAGGGCCTCAGGTCCGAATTGTGATTTGAGAATCTGGTCCTCCAAAGCTTGCGTTGCTCCATCAGGCTTTGGTGCTGCCCCGGGCCTGTGGAGGTGTGAGCTCAACTCTTGACGGATCTGAACGGCTGGTCATAAACGTACCTGAAGACGTCGGTTTCTCCAGCAAACTTGTCGCCAGACCCTCCTCGACCACCACCGCCGCCGCCGCCGCCACCACCGCGGAAGTCTCCTCCTCCGCCTGCGCCGCGATAATCGCCGCGGCCACGGAAGTCTCCACGACCGCGGAAGTCGCCTCTGTCGCCGCCACGGCCACCTGCATAGCCTCCGCGCGGGTTGCCTTGGTTGTCGAAGCCGGAGAAAGACGTGCCGCCATCGCCCCGGCCTCTGCCTCCGCCACGGCCACCACGACCTCTGCCCCTCGGCTGGTCAGACATGGTTGCTCGCTGCGGTTGTGCCAAAGCTGGTGCCTATCATACAGATTGTTGAGGAAGGAAGAGCTCGCGACCGATCTTGTTGAAAGTATACAGACGCTGGCAGAATGTTAGTGGGCTACTGAAAAAGGAACGGCGTGACAAGTGCTGTGGCCAAGGATGGTTCTGCTGGATATCAAGGCCACATTGTTGTATATGGATATCGTGAGGCAGGTGCGGTATTGCTAGAACCAAAGATGTTGCCAAAACGTCTGAACCGTGGAGAGTGGGGGACTGATATGATTGGGGTGGACTTGCTGTTTGCTCCTCTCTGGCGGGATGAACTGTGACAAACAAAGCGATTGTGCAAACGCGTGGCTCGCAAGTCGGTCCGCTGCTTCTTGTCTCGATTGAGCAGGTCGATGAGCAATCGTTCTGGAACGGTGCTTGAACCCCTTCGGCATAAGCCGGAAGTCTGCGTGTGAACGCCGGGTGATGCTGCGGGTGAGGTGGGTAGGGGTGTGCTCCTCCGAGACGGCGTCGTTTGAGTACAGGCAGCAGAATAACGGCTCCTGACTATGTCGCTCGTCGCTACAGACAAGAAGCAAGAATCCTCTTGAGTAAGCATAGACAACAGATGAGATCTGTGAAGAGCAGGAAGTTCTCAAGATGAGACCATGTGTTGTGTCCTGAAGAAGCAAGCAGGCACGTTGAGAACTGGACGGGGTCGCTGCCCCCTAGTGATGCTAGTTAGGTGCTGTCGATGGTGTGAAGCCAGCTGGTGGGACTGAGCCTTGGGCGCACTAAGTCTGCCCAGGCGCTCTACTCGGCCGGCCTCCCGCAGCTTGGTCGGCGTCCAGGTCGACGCAAGCCAGCACACGCTCTAGGGTCGGGAGTCCTCCCTTGTCCCGTTTCTGCCCTGACTGACTGGTAGTTTGCTCGCAGACGACGCGGATTGTATCGGTGAGAAGGTGCCTGCCGCGGTCCGGCAATCTGGCGTGGCGCGGTGGAGGGCACGGGCGAGATGTGACAAGTCTGACATCCCGCAAACGCAGCTCGGCAAGAGCAAGGTTGCAGCTCACAATGGCAGCCGAGAGCGATGAACACCTACGCTTGTCCCTCATTCGAAGGTACTAAAATCCCTTGCCTCTATGACGAGCGACCCCCGTGCGACGCTCTGCTGCCTTGCAAGGTTGGGCTCTAGGAAAGTTCAGCTAGGCAGACTGTCCACGACCAACCAAGTTGTGCTCAGCTTCGGCAGGTTCCCCGCACAACGGCCATGGCGCCATAGTTACTCCAAGGTACCTGCGCTCAACACCTCAGGGTACTAGCGACCCGCCAGGCGATACCTGGACGAGGGCACATGGGCTGGCCCAGTATACCACACCTCTTGAAATCGAGAGCTTCATAGCTCCTTCTCGACGGAATTGTTTCAGTCCTTTCCGAAGCGGAGTACTGAGGTGACATTCAGGGACCTCTCTGGGGACTTCGTGAAGATCGTCCCAGCAAAGCGGGAGAGCTGCAGTCAGGAACGTAGTCCACTGATGGGCTCGCCAAGCTGACGCCTGTGGTGTGCAGGAAACTGCAGCAACAATCACATCATGCGATCACAAGGATGTCCCTAGTGACTCGTCATTGTGCATGAACGAACATCTACCGTAAAAAGCCTCCGCTCAGCCAAGGCAAGGGACGCAATCGGCGCATGCAGCAGCGGCATACCTCGCTCAAGTCATGCTGTGCAGCCTCTACAGTTGCCATGCTCAACTCCTCGTCGCCTCTCGTGGCTACGTCCTTTCTTGTGGGATACACCATTTCCAGCTGTGATCTCAGCGAAAGGCCCCTCCGACAGCTGGACAACCCAGCCGAGGAATGAGAGAGTGAGCGGGTGCCGCGCAGGGACAAGCCTGTCCATGGTCAAGAATGATATGGGTCGCGCATGTCTCAGCTGCGGGTCCAGAGCTTCGGCGGACGCAAGCACCGACGACGACGACCCCGCCGCCTGCTCAGCTGAGAGGTTGGCCAGGGAGGGTAGGGTCCGTTGGTGTCTTGGAGTGTCCGCTTTCACAAGACCCCGACATGCAGAGACCACCAACAAAGTGACGTGCTTGCCAGGCCAGCCAGTCATGACTTGCAGCTGTCCTGGCGCACAGACACTGACCACATGCGGAGGACTACGTATTATTGTGGATCGTTTCGTGGTGCTCCATGACAATGATGGGACCGCCAACGGGCGAGTGCAGGATCGTGTATCCCAGGCTCCCAGCGCACATTCCATTTCGAGATCTCTCGCGGCGGTGCGCTGAAGCACTTGGCGTGAAAGACGGGTCTCCAGAGGCGGTGTATCTGCCCCAACGTCTGGTCGTGCGCCGTTCAAGGTCACTCAATCTCTGGTAGAGGTCCTCTCAAATTTCGCGCGGTGGCCATGATTTTGCTCCGGAGCCGTGCCATACATGACTTTTCCCGCCGGTGCTGACGCCGGAGAAGCTTGACCGGATGCTCGATGCGCACATGAAGATTGCGATCCAGATCAAGGGCTGATCGCATGCATGGGTCTGGAACAAGGATCCAAATGTGCTTCTTTCGCTCCGAGAGGCCGGGGATCCATCCGCCGACGGTGCCAATCGCATCTCTACAGTACACAGCTTCAGGCTGCAAGCTTCACACCCAAACCAGATCGTGCAGGGTGCTCTATGTACTCCGTATACGAACCACTCTACTGGGAAGCAGGGGCACATGTAGGAAGGATCGCCGAGAGGTCGTTGTTGACCTGTCCTTTGAAACAGCACAGGTTCCGTAGATTCGTGCATGCAACTCGGGGACATACGCTGCCATCGGCGAGCATCGTCGTGGCTGTTCATCACAACAATAATAACACGGTGGCAACATGGTATGCGGGATTGTCGCAGCTGTTTGGCGCGGCATAATTGACGCGCTTTCTTTTCCGGAGTTTTGTGGGGCTATGGGATTCCCTTGGGGCGATGACCGGCAGTGCACAATACGAATTGGTCAATATGGACAACTATTTGGCGACCTGAGCGGATCACACACAGTTTGGTGCTCAAAGACTCTCTCGTGAAGGCTCATGTTGATCAATCCAAACGACTCATTCCGCCATCCGCTGAACTGTGTCATATAGCCAATTGGCGTAGGTGTTGGGTTGGAGTGTCCACAGAAGGTGTGCTAGCATCTGATCTCTCGACTTCGGCAAGCCTTTCTTGCGGTGCGCTCGTCGCTACTGGAAAGCGACTGAAGGACATGCTCGCAGAGCGGCTGACCAATGTGAGGAGATGATGGAACTACTGCGTAGTTAGACGTGTTGAAGTGTTGACCGACCGCGACGAGGAGAGTGACTCCCCAGAAAGGGTACCCTTGCAGGCGCCAACCACAGCCCCCAGCTGTATCAGACCGTCTCGTGCGCTGCCCTCGAGTCAAAGCGCCCAGCGAGCTCTCCGAGAAGATACACTTCGGCGCCTCGAGACACTACCGCACTTGCATTGGAGGCCGGTACCCCCCAGAATGACGCGCCGTCTATCCGAGAAGCTCCTCTTCTCGCACGACTATTATGCTCGCGTGTGTTTATGCATGCACCGTACATCGGGGTGACCAGATGCACACGTCACACCTTCGCGCGCGCATAGAAGCCATTGTTGGCTCACGTCGCACAAGCTGACCCTAGAATTGGAGACATAATTGCTGCACATCCACCATGATCACGCGCCACCCACGCGATTCGTCCAGTCTTGTTACTACGTGAAGTGGTTTGCAGGACACGGAGGCCTGATGGGTTGAGCGGTGCGGCTCTATTGTCAGTGTACTACAAAGCGTGAAGTCAAGGCTACGGGTGCAATCCCGGCCTTGCGCACTTCACTCAGTCAGCTTGTGGACGCGTGATGCACTGCAGTTTTGTACGATAGCCGCGCCCCTGTGTGCTCACGTGAAAGAGGAGAGCTCAAGACCATAATTCAACCTTGGACACTGATCCTTCTGTGCGAGCCCAACCCCACCACCCTCACCCTCCGATACTAGGTGCTGCCTACTGTACCGCCGCTCGTTAATGCGTAGCAGAGCACCACAACTCTGCTGTCGAAGAAGAGGTCCCAACGCACCACGAAGGCGCTTTACTCTGGTGCAGTTTGAAGCACAGCAAAGCTGGTGTCGCAGAGTGCTGAAGGTGAATGGCAGCCAGAGCCCCTTGTCGCACTCCTGCACATGATTGACCCCTAAGTTTAGTGGTTGGCGGCATATGCGGGGTAGAGCAGTGAGCTCTGCTGCTTTGCGCTGATCTTGGAGCACGCAGAAAAGTGGCTTCGATGGTCCAACATTCCTGGTCCCCAATGCTGCTGCAAAGGCGGGCAAGAAGGGGTGCGCAGAGCGCTCCGCCTTTCAATCTCAGCAGATTCTTCGCTCATCAAGTCAGGTATGACGGGAAGGCTGATGGTAGCCATGCTGATTGACTGCAGAAAGCTCACAGTCAGCTCAAACGCTTGATCGATGTTGGAAAGTCGGTACCGGACACTTCGCGTCCTGGGCGCGACGGGGAGGCAGCTCGGTCACCCTTGTTCAGCTCCCCGCCTCTGTTTCCAAAGACACTCTCCCGCCACCTGCTTCAAATGTCCGAGAAGCCAATCGCTACGTGGATTCAGGCATGCAAAGAAGGTCGTCTTGATCCACCTACCTCCTGTAGCCTGTGCATTAGCTCCTGGCGGCCGGGGATGTTTGCCGCGCGCGATCACGCCTGCAAGCCCAGGTCTGTAAGCCGGTCCACGCCTGATGGCGTGGGCGTATTGGGTTTCGACGGTCTCTTTGTCCAAGACCTTTGCCAGCACGAGCAGTGAATCATACATGCCAAGCTGGAGAAGGTGTTTCGCGTGCCTAAGATGGTAGTCGTTTCGGCCTCGATATTCGGACCCCAAATCGCCCGGCGCCCATTTGGCCACAAGCACAAGCCAGCCTCAGCTACCTCTGTGGTTGGCGTCTTGGCAGCATTCTTGTCAATGACTCCGATACACTAAAGCAGGAAGCAACAATTGTCCACGGGCGTGTGAGAGCATGAGGTTCTGCCCGCGACACTCCCCCCTGGCTTCTCCGAGCTCTACGAAGTCAGAAGAATGTAATAGCTTTATGATCTTAAAGTAACTTGTATAGCAAAGTGGATTGCAGCAGGCACTATATAACCCAGCCCTGTAGAAGGTACCGTGGCCTTTTATGAGGTCGTCTTGTCCCATCTTCGTAGTCGTCTTGGCTGGCTCGTGATTGGCTCTCCTCCTCAGCTTGGCGTACAGTTCCTGACACTCCAACGTCCTGTCTGTCTGTGATACCCACTTGTGTGGCTCCGTTCGTTGCAGATGAATACAAATCATACGCTATCAGTCAGTCAGCTTATTCGTCAACGGCTTATCGCCTACACACCTTCAAAAGCGCATCTTGCAACAGCTTGCGGACGGGTACTTGCGCCTCATGGAGCCGATGATGTCGTCCTTGTCGGCTTGAGCGCAGTTTCCGTCTGTGAAGTACTAAAGTTACCAGAGAGCTAAGCGAGGGTACAAAGGGCTAGGGCCATACCTCCTGTAAAGTGTTGCTGCTTGTTGTAATCTATGGCCACTGCACAAAGCAGCGAGGGCTCATGTTTTGCTAATCGAAGAAGATGTTGACTGAACTCCTTCTAGAGGAGGTGGTCACGTCAGCTGTCGTAAGGGTGAGGCTATGATCCTGCATACAGTACCATGTTTTCTTCCCAAGTCGTGCTGATGAAGGAAGGGCTCAGAATCTTGCCAATCCGAAGTTCAAATCCGAGAACGGGCCAAACTTTCATATACTGACTCCGAATCTGTATTTGAGGTAGCGTCTCTGGAGCCTTGTACGGGTCGTTGAAGAGTTGGAAGTATGTCGTCGGTATATACGCGGAGTGTACCAAAAAGCATGAAAGCGTTTGTTGTGTACTATCTGGGCCTTCAAAAGTGACAGGGACCATGCTGTGATGGGTAGTATGAGCTTGGGAGGCTGTCTTCGGATCTTTACGCGCATATTGATTGCGGAAACCTAGTCGTACAACGCAAAGGTACAGGATCTATCGAAGATATGATGGAGATTGAAACCAGAAAAGACCACTCCGAGGCCTGGATCGAGCCAAGGCCAGTTCCATAGCGAAAAGACAAGTGCCGATGGAATTGATCAACGTCACATGTGCTCAAGCACGAACCCTACTCTGTCTTCAATATCTGACATTTCCTTCGGCAGTACTATGAAGGACAACCCAACCTCGTCAAGCACATCACAGAACAGCTTGTGAGTCAACAACCACTCTTCTTCGTCCCGGGGCATCAACCGTACCCCGTCACTCATGAGCCAGTCAATGTTTGGCTCGCACAAAATGACCAACGAGGCTGCCATGTGTTTGTGCATTTGACGCCACTCCGGTAGTGTCAGTAAACCCCGACTTTCTTGCAGTCCAACGTACTGCCTGGCGTAGACCACTGGATCGATGGCTGAACGATCCGAAATGAAAACCGGGAGGCCGGTGGCATCCGCAGCCGGAGTATCGGGAGCAGCCGTTTCGTATTCTGCCTGGGCTTGTGCTTCGATGATGAGCTTTTGCAACTCTAATGTGCGCCGAGGTGATTTTGCAATGTCCTCTGCCGTATAACCATGCTTGTCCAGTACTTTGCGCGCAATTTCCCTGATGAATCTCGGGGATGCGGAAGTGGAAAGGGTTTCGCAGTGGTTTATGAAGTGAGTCTCAAGGGCCCCTACGAGGGTGGTTTTTCCGGTGCTTTGTGCGCCGATGATGTAAACATTTGGGGACATGTCTGGATTTAGAGAATTGCTCGAGGCTGGCAACAATGTTGAGGTGGGAATGACGATCCGAGAACCACAAAGACGCGTCCATCAGCGTTGCATATATGCACGATAAGTGATGCGGGGGATGCCGACCATATCATATGGTGACGTAATACAGACCCCTCAAATGCTCCCGGCATGCGTCAATCACCCATCTTGGCAGAGCTAGCCAGAAGATACATCAAACGCCCTGATGATTCTTCGATGATGGTAAAACACGTCGCAAAGTCATCCGCAACCACCATCCACAATCTCTATGAAAGCACCCGTCAAGATGCCAAAGCTTGGCTCATTGGAGTTCGCGCTGAAGGACTCGCTCAGTCTCGACGACCGCGAATGGATGTTCGAGGTGAAAGGGCTGCCCAGTCTGCAGAAGCTCAACGAAGAAAAGCTGGTCAAGTCCATCGCTCTGGTCACGAGAGAGACCAACCAAAGAATGGTACTCCGTTTTGCCACACAAGAAGCTACTCGCGCCACGGGTGTTCACCCATTGGACAAGTTCATCATGTTATCCGTGGCCGACTTTCGTCCTCCTCCGGGACTGAAGAGCCAACTCACTGGCACTCGTCCGTCAACATTCCGGGAGCACACCGATTATGTGGTTCGCTTGCTACGGGCTGGTGTCACGCTGCAAGGAGAATCATACCATTTCTATGGGCACAGCAATAGTCAGCTGAAATCCAGGACCTGCTTCATGTTCGCAGCGTCCAAAGACGACATCAGTAAGATGGTCGAATCGCTCGGGGACTTTACCAAGATGAAGACGGTCGCCAAGAAGGCCAAACGAATCGGCCTCCTGTTCTCCGCTGCACAGGCTGTTCTCCAGGTCGACGAGGGGCGGTGCGAGGACATTCCCGACATTGAAGCCAACGGCTATACTTTCACGGATGGATGTGGCTTGATGTCTCCTTGTTTTGCAAAGGACGTGTCCCGTCGAATGCAACTCACCTTTCGCGCAAAGCGTTATTCACCTTCGGTTTTCCAAATTCGTTATCGTGGGTATAAGGGTGTTGTCACAACAGACCCAACGATGCGGAGCCGAGCAACTTGGCTTCGAATGCGCAAGTCGATGAAGAAGTTCAGCGGCGGCAAGGACCATTCATTCTCTGTTGTCGAATACTCGAAACCATACGTCTTTGGCCACCTGAACGACGAAGTTGTGGTCCTACTTCACGCTCTCGGGGTCAGTCGGGATGTTCTGCTTCGCAAACAACAAGATCATCTCAACTTCCTGGACGAGGCGAATAGAGATGCGCGACAGGCATTTCGTTTTCTCTGCTACGTTGCGCGGCCCGACCTGGCCGAAAAGTTGCTGGTGACCTCGTTCGAAGCGATGCGATCGCAAATCCAAGGTCTGATTCAGTCAGAGTATGGCAAGATGCTCAACAAGCGTGGCGAGCAGCGCTGCCGAATTCTTGTCCCTCAGTCGCGTCTCCTCTTCGGCGTTTGTGATGCCTGGGGTGTGCTGAGAGAGGGCGAGTGTGCCGTCAAGATCACCAAAGATGGCGACGGTCTTCCCTACGCACTGAAGAACATGGAAATTCTTGTCACGCGCAATCCTTGTCTCCACCCTGGCGACTTGCAAAAGTTCAAGGTGGTTGAGCACACCGCCCTCTCTCATCTTGTGGATTGTATCGTCTTTCCTGTCCAAGGAAGACGTCCTTCAGCCGACATGATGTCTGGCGGTGATCTCGATGGCGACACATTCTTCGTGTGTTGGGACAGCGATCTAGTGCCAACCACTCTGTCTCAACCAGCCGAGTATCCTGGTGCGAAAGAACCAATCAAGTTCAAGCCCATCACCGACGATGACAGACTGCTCTATTTCGCCAAGTACTCGAATGCGTCGTTGGGAAGAGTCAAGAATCTCTATCTGGATTGGGCCAAAGTGAAAGGACCCATGGCACCCGAGTGCCAGGAGCTCAATCGGTTATTCTCACAATGCGTTGATGGGAACATGATCAAGGTCCCACCACGACTCGAAGCGACACCTCTAGCAACTCCAGAAACCAAAAAGTTCATTCTGGATGAGCTACACGAAGCAGCGACCAGCAGCATCTCACTCCCCAGGATGAAGTCGGTGAATCTGGATGGCGTAGCTCTGGACACTCTGGAGCTCTTACTCTGTCGCGATGACCTAGCCACCACCGAGTTTGAGCTTCTTGAAATGACTGCGCGGTGGTGTCGCAGAAATGGATCACATCTGGCTGACTTCTTGCCTTACTTCGACATGAACTCTCTATCGACTGAGCAGAAGCACTGGATCCTCTCTGCAGTGCCACAACTTCAGTGGCTGCCTAGCATCGTTCTCAATGGTCTATGCTCATCCAATATATTATCGCAGGGCGAGTTGACGTTCCACAAGCTCGACTATCACCAGCTCGGGTGGAAGAAGGTGTATGACTCGTCGCAGGAGCGACTTGCCACATTTCTCGACACAGCCGCGAAGACGCTGGAGCAGTTTCACAAGAAACTGATCGTGCTTCAGGTTGACGAGAGGCTCTCTCTTGCGATCTACATACCGCAAAAGATAGTCAAGTCCCAGGATTATCTGGTACATGACACAGTCCGTGTCTTTGCCTTTCCTCACGTCAAAGACTCACCAGCCTCAGGTGGACAACGACCTACAAAGAAGAAGTATCGGCTGTACTGCGATGACAACTTGTTCCAGCTCTTCGAGTATCAACGCAGCAATACCTGGATATTCGTCAGGCGGGGTGCTTCGGATGATACCGCCTATCGCAACACGAGAAATCAAGGAGATCGGAGACGTCAACGACAGAGCACCATCGAGAGCGGGGCAAACTTCGATAACCGAGTGAGCGTAGCGCTCGACAAGTGCAGCCAAGAGTTGCAGCGATATATCGGACGTGTGAACAGCAACGGGCTGTTGGCTGCGGTATGCACTTTTTACACTTTCAGACCCTTCCAGACGATGGCTGACCGTCAATTTCAGGAAATCTATGTCATAAGCAACCGAGATGTAGAATCCTTGAGAAGTCTCGATCTATGGCTGAACTACATTGAGACCGAGCAAATTCTTCCGTTATTCGGCGAAGAGCCAAGAATATACTCGGTCGACAACGTGGCGGGGGCGAACTACGAGGGAGTGTCTGAACAGACCCAAAGGATAGCCCTTGGGGAGATTGACGTTATTGACGATGTCAAGACCCGCGCGGAGCTAGTAGACATCCTCAAGTGGTTGCACCAGCACAACAGCATCAATGCCATCACGAACATCTACGATCATGTATTCGGAAGGATCGTTACTGATTTCCCAGACGTTGAGTGTTTGAGCCGACAAGTTGACGCATTGCTCGATCACATGTCCATCAATCCAGCCATGGCAGCTCGCTTCACCAGATTGGACACTTGGGAATCACCCAGCGTACCGGAGTCGATATCGCTCACGCTTCAAGCCCGAGGACAAGAGATACTGAAGGCGCTGATACTTTGCGCCTCTGATGCAGGATATCTGGCCATTCCGCCCTTCGAGACTGCCCTTGCACGCCTCCACTCCTTGTCGCTTCGTGGAATGGCAGGTCTGGCCGAGTTGTGTGCGCTTTCAATCCATTCCACTGACCTTGCAATGGATTTCCTGCTCCAATGTCTAGAGCGCGAAAGTTCGCGGCTGTTCTCAGGCGAGGCAAGACCAGCACTCGTGAAGCACTTTGTCAGCAATGTCGTAGCTATCGCCACGGATCATATCTCTGAGCTTCAAGAACAACAAACCACAAGACCGGACCTTCTTACGCTCAAGGATCTGGGAGAAGAACGTGATGGGTTTCCCTTAGTCGCATGCACTTTTCGCATCGATGCAGCGCATGCACCCGAGACATGGGCACACGTACGTTTGATAGCGTCCTCATTACCGATCAATGCGCCTTTGGCGAGGAAAGCGTCAATCGACGCACTCGTGGTGCAGAATCAACAAGGGGCTGCCAAGTTCCAGTGTTTCCATCCCCTGCCGGCCTTTTTAGCGCACTGCTCATGGACTCTGACATATTGCGGACCTTTTGTCACCTCGCAAACGATGTTCACCGCGATGAGGCTTTTTGCCAGCATGGACGAGGACGTGTGCGGCATAGCAACGCACCTTTTGGGGCTGAGCACGAATGCGAGCCCATCAGAGGACAACGATGCAATGGAGTTGGACGCAGAAGCAGCCATGGACCATGAGACCCAGCTCGCGCTCAACGACAGCCAGAGAAACGCGGTGCTTACCTCCCTAACACACCCGGTCGTGCTAATATGGGGCCCCCCAGGTACAGGCAAGACACAGACGATCGTCACGATTCTGCTTGGCTTGTTGAGGAGATTTCCGAAAGAGCGCATCCTCGTCACAGCACCCACTCACAACGCTGTGGATAATGTAATGAGTCGCTATCTCCGCGTCCAAGGACGAGACGGACCAGTTGCCGTCCGAGTCTCGACCGAAGTGAGTACTATCGTGTTTGATGCTATTCTCCCCTCGCGTCTTTCACAAAGTTGAAGGCTTGTTGCGCCGTGACTGACACCAGCCTTGCGAGCCTAGGTGCGCAAAGTGGCTGAAGAGCTGAGGCCATACACACTAGACGGCATGGTGGGCACAGAGATATACGACTCACACGTGGCCATGCGCGAAGCCAAGAGACGAATGAAAGCCTGCCGTGTTGCCTTTTCGACCTGCATCGGCGCAGGTATCGGCTTGCTGCGATCTGAGGATTTCGGCATCGTCATCGTCGATGAAGCGTCCCAACAGACGGAGCCGGCTTCTCTGGTACCACTGACCAAGGGCTGCAAGCGAGCTGTTCTAGTAGGCGACCATGTGCAGCTTCGCCCGACGGTGCAACCAGTCACGCTGCCCTTGGGGTACGACGTGTCTCTGTTCGAACGTCTTTACACCTTGTGCACCAACTCGCAGACTAGCGGCAATCGCTTGGCAGGTGTGCAGACGTCGATGCTCAATACACAGTACCGTATGCACAAGTCAATCTGCGAGTTCAGCTCGGAAGAGTTCTACCAAGGGGAGCTCAGAACAGGCATGGCAGCCGATCAGAGGGTTCTGGCCGTGTCTGCTTTCCCTTGGCCCCGAAGCTCTGTTTCCGGACAGTTTGTGCGGACAGTCTTCATCGAATGTGATGGTCACGAAGACATTGGCCAGAAGTCCAAACACAACCAGGCCCAGGCAGAACTGTGTCGGCGTGTGTGTCACTTACTCACAGACGGCTCGTCATCTAATCCATCTCGCAAGGACAACCAGCAATCCATTGTCATATTAACGCCCTACACGGCGCAAAAGGCTCTGCTTACCACCAAAGCGATATCAGGGTTGTCAGGGGATATCGAAGTGTCCAGTATTGACGGTTATCAGGGTCGGGAGGCGGACATTGTCGTTTTCGTCACGGTGCGGTGCAACGAGCAAGGAGAGATTGGGTTCCTCAACGATATGAGAAGGCTGAATGTTGCACTGACAAGGGCGAGGCGCGGAATCATCATCTTGGGTTCTAGCAAGACACTTACGGCTCCAGCCATCGTTCTCGCGGATGATGCGAAAGCGCAGCCAACGGCCTCTTCTACCACATGGAAGAGACTATTGGAACGTTGTACAGAGGTGGTAATCTGAATTTGTGGATTGACGGAAATCATTTCGTGTGTCTTGGCTTTTATGAGGACGTTTAGACTCCTGACTTGTCTCGTTCAAAAGAGCTAGATGTGCAGTCATTCTGCTGCGTCTTATCTGGTAGTTGGGAGACGGTAATTGATAAAGCTGTAGAGATTTCCTTGCTTAACACGGGCGACAGGTCGACTCCCCGGACCAATCACCAGCACCTTACTTCTGGTTTACCTCGTAGCTTGTCCGATAGAACAACAAACTTTCCGGCTGCGACTGCCTTGTTCGTTCTCCGACACTACTGACTTCTCGGCATTTTGAGGATATACCAAGCCAGCCCAACCAAGGCTCAAAGTTGACATACTCGGGCAGACGAAGCGAGCGATGAAGAACCTAGAAGTCAGCAGGGATGTGCCACAGGAATGGTGTTTTCGCCAGGAAGAGGCGTTGGGTGTGGGCAGTGAAGAGTGGTAAACATGTTGGTCCGGAGTGTGTCCCTGCTCGGACTTGGGTTGTGTCTCCAAGGCTCAGCCGAGACACTCGCTTTGTGGGCTTTCACGACGCATTGGATTGACGAGACGAGTACGGCAACGTGCAGTGGAAGCCTCTCGAGGGCAGGAGAACTTACGGCAACGTGCAGCTAGCCAACAGGAACGCGCAGATGACGAGCAGCGACGCGCAGACAACGAGCGGCGACGTGCAGACAGCGAGGGGCAACGCGCAGAGGATGTCACAGCCCAATGCCGCCAGACAACATTAGCTGAACACATCACCAACTGCCACGATTATCTCGACCTCAATATAACCGTCAAGCCCAACAACTCCCTCCCTTCGAAAGGAACCATCACAAACCCTCAGGATAAATTGGTGTCTTCGACACTCAAGCCATGGACCGACTTTCTCGAGCAACAAAAATCAATTCATGGAAGACTGTACTCGACCTTTCCTGCAGACAAGCAGGCCTTCGAAAGTGTTACCTTCCTCGAGGAGCTCGGTGAACGGCTCAGAAGGAAGAAGATAGCGAACGAGCGCGATCTTGAATCAGTTCAGCACAACATCCTCCAGACCCCCGTCACCAACATTGTCGAGATCCTCAAAGACCAAGATGCGACAAAGCGAACATTCGCTCTGGGCCGAGGCCTCACTTTCGACAATCATCCAAACGCGCTTAGTGAAATGGCGCTCACGAACCAACACAACGACGTGCGATATCCGATTCGAACCAGCTTCGCGCCGACCGGGTGTGCGTCTACAGGCACGATGGCATGGACAGGAGCCGGCGAAACCTGGCTTTCGTGGTTGATTGCAAGCCGCCGCATAAGTTGACGTTGCCTCACCTTCGTATTAGTCTGCGGGAAATGAATATACAGAAGGAGGTCGTGAACGTATCAACGATACCAAGCGACAAAGACGAGCTATTCTCATACCATGCCGACGGGGTTGTCGCTGCCGCTATTTCCCAGATATATCACTACATGATCATTGGCGGTCTTGCGTACAGCTATGTTACAACTGGCGAGGCAATCATCTTCTTGAACTGGGCGTGTTAGCTTGAGGAAAATTGCTCTGATCTCTAACAAACGTATGCTTGGGGGAGAACGAATAATCACCGCTATCATAGTTCAATTATTACTGTACCATGAGGCTAGTTTTGATCGAAAGTCTGCTGACAAAATGGTTTGCGCATTTTTCGTACGAGACTAGGGGCCCTAGAATTTCTTGGATTTGGTAAACTCCCGGTGTTTTGTGCCCTCAACTGCCGTTGGCCTCTCGCCCGCCATCCCTCTGCCTCCAGCCACCTTAGCAATGCTCAACCGTAAAGGGAACACCAAGCACAGCCCTAATGTGCGAGATAAAGAGCTCGCAGTCGCTGCAGATGGCCCGGCTGACTCGTATGGTTGCCCACACTGTGGGAATCCTAGGGCATAGAGCCGCGAGATGCTGCAGTTTGAGATCCTGCTGCATCCACTCCCCTAGCTGGTCGACGGCGACGCCTCCAAAGAACACGCTCGGAAGAATGACGTGCTGATTAATGTAGTAGGCCACGAGCTTCTTCTCGGCATGCGACGCATTATATGTGCCCGGCCGCCTCAGCTCATCCCGAGCGTCCTCAGGCAGGGTGTATCCAATCAGTTGGCACAGCTCGAGGACGTTGTCTCGCCAGACGCGGTTGTCGAGGACGTGTTCGACGGCAAAGTCAGTGCGCCAACCGCTGGCGGCACTCACGACTGGAAACAGCCTGCCACGGTCAAGGCGCGCCACCGTCTTGTACTCATCCGGGACGTCGTATGCGATGCTCTGCTCGTAGAAACCGATCTGGATGCCCCAGTCGGTGGTCTTCGTGATAAAGTGACCATGCTTGATCTCATTAGACGAGCCTAAGATCGCTGTTCCCTCGGCCGCCGTGACGGGCTCAAAGGCCTGGAGCTTGACAACGATGATCCTGCGGTTGGCCTCGGCTTCGCCACTCTCTTGGTAGTGACCGGACTCTTCTCGCATCCTCGCGGTCCTCCTCGAGGGTCTCGCGTAAAAGTAGGCGCCGCGCCCCTTGCGGTCCTTTGCGCGCGGATTGGCGCCGTGCTCGAGCAGAAAGTTCACTACCTTCAGCCGCCCCCAGAGCGCGGCCTCCATCAGCGGCGTCCGTCCGCGACTGTCGGCATTGTTGAGGTCGCCGCCCTTGTCGCGGAGTAACTGGATCATCTGATCATGGCCTTCGACTGCGGCCAGGGCGATGCAGTTGACGCCGGCCTTGTTTCTCCGGCTGACGAACGGATCATCCTTGTACGTCTCTAGCAGGGACGCGACTCCGCGCAAATTGTTAAGGATACAATGCGAATCGAAGAGACTCTGTCGATAACACGCATCCTGCATAAGCTCTCCCAAAATCTTATCGAACGAGGGGGGTTTTAGTGTTTCCGCATCGCCGATGCTAAGCCGCTCGACTTGGTCCTCGAGCGTTTGCAGCTGATCACGGTTGCTGTCGCTTCGCTCTGCTTGTAGGCTTCGGAGATCTCTGTTGGCTTCCTCGCCCTCGCCCTCGTCATCGTCTTCCTCACTTTTCTCGTCCTTGCTCTCCTCGTCCTCGCTCTCCTCGTCCTCGCTCTCCTCGTCCTCGCTCTCCTCGTCCTCGCTCTCCTCGTCCTCGCTCTCCTCGTCCTCGTCGTCACTAGGCAACTCGACGCCGACAGTCACGAAGAGGCCCCTTGCCTTGTCGATTCTGTAGGAGTATTGCGCTTGAGACTGCTCTTCGAACGGGTAGCATAGCTGGTAGTTCCCTGAATCTAGACCGCAGTGTGCCGCCCGATTCTGGCCTGTCAGTGGAAATCCGCCGAGGCCATGACGATGGCGCCCAAGGCAGTAGGGACAGATGACGCGCAAGGTCTCGCTCCCCCACTCTGTGACGAGCGCCAGGGGAGTCTGGCGCCCTCTGCTGTCGAGGATGCCGTTTGAAAGGGGTGGTTCGTTTGCCGTCATTATAGGCGATGGTGTCCTTCAGCTGGAACTTAGTTTATCTGTGCGGATTCTCATCAGTAGTATTGCCTCCGATTGTGTCGAGGACGATTACTCCACGATTGAGACATGGATGTTGCGTGACCCCGCCACTGCTCGTCAGGTCTCAACTCATCGTCGGTCTTACGTTTTCCCGAAACCGTCAGTTAGGCAGCAAGCCGGCGGGCAGCTGCATCTGACGGCCAAACCTGCGTGTCCAACGACTCCTTCACACCAGGCGGATTGAATCCTGATGCGCGTACTCCGCCGGACTAGTGTACGTATTGCCTTTGACGACGCGCACCATCGAGCCTTGCGTAGTCGACCTTGTGAGATTCCTTTGCGAGTGCCAGAATAGTGGTTGTGCGCCGATTAAGCTCCGACTGTGGAAATACCATCAGCTATTGGAGGCACAGTGGGGTTAAATAGCAGTTTCTGCTCCTGTTAGGAATTGCTCCCTTGGTACATCCCCGCTACAGTGCATCCTGCTAAGCCACACAAGCCACAGGCTTACCCCGCAGTCGCTAAAAAGGTTAACTAAAACTCCAGCGACACCCATTTCGCCTTCTACTTGTACTGCGACAAAACTCATCATCATGCTCAGCCGATAGAAAGTAGCTTTATGCGAAACCTTGGGGCAGAGGCTTTTACTCGGCTACAACTAGTGTTCCTCCAATTTGCATGTGAATGCCCCCCCATGATTTCTCTCGACTTCCGACCAGAGTCATATCGGGATTATATAAATGTCCCTAGAATCGTCCCTCAACGCCATCCCATCCTGCTGAGATGTTAAGAAAATCCCCGATTTCCGTCGGATAACCAGACCTTCTTATCCTCGGCGCAGCGACGGCTTTCAAGCGAACGACTGTTCCCTCGGCCTACATTTGAAACAAAACTGTCGCAAGTGGGTTCTGACACAGCATGGATGGACTGGGGAAGCTGGAGAGCCTAGCAGGGAGGGTGACAATGGATCTAGCGGACGGTCCAAGTAAAGACGTTCCGATAGTATTTGGTAAGTCTGCCGACCCCCTGATGACCACCCCCCCTCGCGACCACCCCAAATCTTCGCATGAAGGCATCGTCAACCTCACCGCCACTCTGCATTAACTCTACAACCGGTCGTTCAAATGGCTTCAAATCAATTGCCCCCAACCTCAATGCAACTCTCTACGTCACTGTCACTTTCAATTGTCTCTACCTCGTCGTCGCTGCTGTCACTGTCGTCGCTGCCGCTGAAGTCAGACCGTAACTCACGACGAACCTGCCTCTTCGCGCGTTCGACCTCAATGACGGTTATAAAGTCCTTGTTAGGGTCTGGTTCGACTCTTTTGCGTTTAGTAGGCTTCGCTGCATCTAATGCAGCTTGCAGGCGGTTATTTTCATGCTCGGCGGTGGCGCACCGAATGTTCGAAGTGTCGAGTGCTTTCGCAACCTTGTTAAACAGCCTCCGGCAGGTCGCAGTACCCAAAGCCTTCTCGCACCGCAACAGCTCAAAATGCAGACTATGAACATCGCGAGATGTTTGTGGTGTTGCGACATCGAAGGCGCAAAAGGGCGACAAAAAAATCTGCCTCCTCCCACCTGGTTTGAGGCCGATTTGGGCAAGTCGCAGGTGCCGCATCACCCACCTGTACCACGAAGCGGGAGCCCATCGGCTTCAACTTATTCTGTGGCCACACCCCCGTACCTTTGAAGCCAGCAAGTATATTCTCTTTGTTCAGCTTCTTCTGGCGAGCAAGTTGATATGCTTCAAGGAACTCCTTCTTGCCAGGGGCCTCGTTCATGTTGTTGTACGCAACCTCTGTGACCGACTCGCGGTAGCACGCCTTTACCGCCGAGAATACCCCTTTGTCGAGAGGCTGAAGTACGTGTGATGTATGCGGTGGCAAGTACAGCAACCAGACCTTGTTTATGAAGCATTCTGCCATGAATTCCTCCGTCGTGTGCGACTTGTGGCCATCGAGGAGCAGGGCGCGCCACTGGCTAGCCTCTGCCGGCTTCGTTGAGGGCAGGAACACCTCTTTTAGCCACTTCAGAGCAATATCATTTCTGGTTCACCCGTTGGGTGAAGTCTCGAAAAACCACTCCTGCCATTTGTCGAGTTTGACGTCGGGAAACCACTGCTGTTGGACGGATTGACCCTTGAAAATGACTAGCGGAGGAGTCGAAGTACCGCCTGCAGAGATGGCTTCGATTATCGTGATCCAGGTCCTCCTGGCGCCGTCTTTCTTCAAGGTGAACTTCCGCAAGGCATCGGAGATCACGAGCCCGTTGTGACCTAAGCCTTCTGCCACCCCACACTCGTCGACGTTCCATATGTTCTGGGGGAGGACCTTCTTGTCGTTCAATGACGTCAACCGGCCGAAGAAAATGTCGATAGTGGCCTTCGAGGCACCGTCGTACCGTTTGTATTCGATGAGTCGTGATCTCGAGGTCCTGATCGATGGGTGGCGGCGGAGGAAACGGTCGTACCAATGTACGCCAAGTCGCAGCGACGACCCGTCGGCGGCGAGTAGGCGCATCGCGAGGTGCTTGAATTGCTTCAATGGTGCAGCATAGCCAATTGCAGCCTGGTCAATGGCCCAGCGGACCAAATAAGCCTCCTGATGGATAGAGAGGGTTTGGGATACCTGATACTTCTGCTGAAAAGTTGGCTTAGATTTGGGGCGGCGACGTAGGTAACTACCGGTCGATGTCGTGCTTTCTGGCGGCCGCTGCAACAGGTATACCGTCCTCAACGTCGTCCAACGCGCGCAGAGCGCGCAATTGCATGTCTTTTGGGACCATGACGATAGCCTCACTTCTGGGGGTTGTAATGGTCTAGGCTGGGGCGCGTCACGACAGAGATGATCAGGTTTATATGGGAAATTGTATGGTGGGGGGATGCGTCGCGTCGCTGGTCACGATGGGGGGTGGTCACCAGGGGGTCGGCAGACTTACACATTCGGGCTGCAAAGGGCCTTTTGAAAGATCGCAAGATAATAACAAACAAGCAAAACGCGGCCTCTGAGTAACTACTCTCGACCGAGCACCTTCCCCTTTCAGCCGTACTCCGCTAGATCCAGTACCAAGAGGTGCCCGTTGCGGCATTTTGTGAGTTAAGACGTGCTGGACTTTTGAGTGAAGGTGGGAGGGCGGGCTTGCAAATTTCCATCACACTTTCATGGTCATTATCACCCCCGGGTAAATAAGTGTCTCCTCCTAACTTGGGAAGAGGTAATGCACCCTGCAAGCCTTACTACTGTAAGCCACGGAATAAGGTTCTACCTCTTTCACGTGGGCGACTGGTCAAGTAGAGTAATTCAAATGTACAGACTGGGCTAGAGCTCAATGTTCTCGTGATGGTTACATAAAATCATGGTTCTTATTCTTCTTCAAAACCATGCATATATATCAACATCAACACCTCTCGAAAGCGCTGGCCGACGCCTTTAGAGATCAGATGTGTTAATTCATGTCTTCGTAAGTTGTGCAATACGCTCACGGCCAGGTACAGTACTTGTCGACTTTTCGAACAAGAATTTATCCTGCGAATGGATTCCTCGAAGCGTATCGAGGTACGTGACACCCTTGACAAACTTATCCAGCTTTCTATCTCTGGTCAATCGAGCCCACTACAGGACATTCATACACGACATCTATATCTAACGACGGACGAGCTCTGCGAGAAGCTTCAAGAACAAAAACTTACAACAATCGCGTTTCCTCCTGTCATATGTCAGGGCCGTATCACCTCGCATATGTCGATACGGAAAAGCGATGCATTAGATACAGCGGAGTGATGACCGCGGAGAGTGTAAGATGCCATAAGGACTTCAACCATCCAAGCCTTGAGGACTTGAGAGGGCTTGAGTATTTTCTTGACACAGCGACCTCCTTTGCGGAGTGTCACTGGGATGCCGAATTGCGTTCATCGCCAACAGACCTCTATCGATATCCGAACAATTATTGGGAGGTTTCGGGTAATGGATGGACGTACAGAAGTACATCTACATGCGAACAGATGGAATTCTTCAAACGGGGCTACGCAAAAAATGAGAAACCATTCCGGATATAACAACAATCTGTATAAGAACGGGACATAGTAGCACTGTATTCTAGCAGAGCAAATAGCGTCAAGGACTATGTGTTCGAAGCCACCCCTTTACCGTGTACAAATAGGCTTCCTAAGTCGTTTTCGAGGTTTGGCGATCTTGTTTTTCCGATAACTACTAGTGCTCTTGAACTCACCTTCGTTCTTCGCGAAGGGTTCCAAGCGCCATTCCCATACTTTTTTGCCTCCTTGTCTCTTTGATGGCTGACTCAGGTACGATGAGAATGCCTAAGTAAAGAGTTAAGTAGCTAGTATTTTCACAGATTCAGTTCGATGTGGAAGACATCGACTACTAACCATGTTTAAGCTGAGATTGTGACGCACACTCCCACGCCAGTTTTGGCTCATGTAAGCTACTTTCGTAGTCTTCTTCTCTAGCCATGCGTAGATCTCTTGAACTGTCATGTCTAGCCCATCCCCTGTTGTACTTAGGAGAGCGCGGCGGATAAGCTTTGCATACGAGACTGTACCATTATGCTCAGGTGTCGTAGCCTCTACATCCAACCCGGGAGTGACAAGTTTTGGGGATTCTGTCACGTCGTAGATAGATTCAGTGTTCCAACACTCGCCGTTATCGACCTTGTACAGCTCTCCTTGCCTTCTGTCACTTCCTTCGCCGGTATACATAATAGCCTCTTCAAGGATGGATGACGAAGTACCACAGTGTACTGTACCACATCGTTAGTATCAAAAGAACTTTCAAATCTGTAAGTGCCGTCATTGCTGAAGCCGCCGAGAGACTGGGTTGGAGTTGAAGAGGCAATAGGCCAGACACTAGCCAGTGGTATAAAATGAATCCCATTCGTTTCTGCTGATAAAATCTCTGTACGCGGCTGCGGCGGCTGATCGCAGCATGGTGCAGACCAAGGAACATTCCGCCCAGTAGTCGGGTTGACACAGCTGGTACAAGCTTGACACTCTAAGATGCCCGTCCCAAACTGGAGGTACATGTCAACGGTACAGGTCCTCTTCGTTGATTCTCTCCGTTATGCTTCCCAGTGACCCTCAAGGACCAGCAAACATAGAATTGACTACATAGGGAAGAGCCGCACTTAAGCTTTAAGGACTAATGTAGCCATCTCAGAACCCTAATCTTGTTTCATTACAGAATTGGCTTGAACGTGAACGCATCATCAACACTGCGGGCTCGACGGGGCGCCATAATGGGTGGATTCAGGTCATATCTGCAGGTTTGTTACACAAATGGTAGTGGGTCAAAGCGAGGCCTTGTTTGTCTGTTACCAAACGAGCGAACAACCAACACATCGTACAGAAACAATCACTGAGATCGGCAGATTCCTCATCTGCCCCAGGACACTTGATTGTTGTCACTAGTTCCACAATTTTATCACTGCAGTATTAGTTGAGCGGATGTTCGAGCTGGTTCGCCTTGGCTTGTCTCGTTCATCAGTTAGAAGCTAGACCAAGGTATAAAGCTCTGTGTTATGTCTAACATCTGTGCAATGTGTAAAAGGTGCAACAGCTCTATAAAACTAGATCTTTTGCAAGGACTAGAGACAGATAACCAGCTAACCACGCCTTGAGTGTCTTGATGTAGAGTGTCTTCACACTAAACAAGTTGAGCAGGCGGGATTTCCTATCGAGAAGCATGTTCCACGCGGTATTGCGTTCCAATGCGTAGAGAAGGTCAAGACGTGGCTAGAACAGGTCTAGGGCCAAACTATTATATAAATACAAATTCTACTTCTAATGAAAATAGTAAGGTCAGTTCTTTTGCCGCAAGCTGACTCGTCGATGATTTGAACGCGGAGGCTCTATACATATAAAAGCCCCGTAACTCCGAGTCCCATTGCTGGATCGACTTTATAGGTCTTGATATCGTGGTCAGTGACACTTCGATGCCGAATTTATCGTAAAAGAACTTTATCATTTCGACTCAGTATTGTGACCGTGCAGGGTGGCAGCAACCAGATCAGGTGGTTCCAGGTGCCAGGGTACTTAAATTCCTTAGAGGTCGTGGTGGTTTTTCTTGTACATAGACATCATCAAACACAGACAGCACCTTGAAGGTGGCAGCGACTGCTTTTTCGTATCCTCGTCAATTCGATTGATTTTCTCCCCATTTTTGGTCCCCAATTGAGGAACACGGTGATCATTCCATTCCTCCCAATTGCATCCCACTAAATACCTTGGTGGTGGTGCTGGCTCTCCCATTGTCAAAAGGCGCCTTCGGTGCCTGATGGCCTGCGATACCTTCACCGCGGACCACCCATCAGCTGCAGTAACACCGCCGCAACTGGGCAGCACTTGGTGGTCATCTGGTTATGGTAGGCGGACTACTATGATCACCGGATCCCACTTGCCCCAGGACAGTATATAGACGGTTTTTTCGCCAGCTCCTCGTGGAGCGCAGCTCGCATGAAAGGGTCAATCTTGCTGCGGCGGCCAACACGGGTCGGGGGCGACACCGCAGTTCCGAAACATCCAAGTTAGGCCCTGATTCTGCGAATGGCGCGGTTATTGCAATCAACATACTTAGCTATTACGATATAGTCCACTCCACGACCTAGCAAAGCCTCGATTTGCTCATGCTTCCATACGGGGAGCTGCGAGACCATAACAAGACGGTCGCAGATTCTCCACGTCGACTTCACCGATGATGAAAACCGGTACCTGCGGATGCTCGCACTCAAGCGCTATAGACGCTGACGCTTAGCGACGGGAGGGCACGGCCCGATACGCGATCTTCGACATCTTCCCAAGAAAGAATCAGATCACTTGTTGCAGGACGGTATCTTAAAAGACGTCCGCGAGAGGTTCGCCGAATATGACGACCCCCCTACTAACCTACTGGCACGTACAACAACGGGCGTCCGCGAGAGGTTCGCCGAATATGACGACCCCCCTACTAACCTACTGGCACGTACAACAACGGACGTGCAAAACTACATGCGCGACCTAATTCATCGACGGTATAATACTCTCACTCGGTGCCTTCGTCTCGAGCCAGCTCGAGACAGCACGACACAAAAGCCGCCCCGAAAGACACCGCACTTGCTATTCGCGCGCGAGATAGCAGGCAGACGTGGCTTCGGTGCTTTACGACGGTACAAAAGACTTCCACACATCGTTTAGGAACGAGGTCGAGGACTGCCTCGAGCCGAGGATGGAGTCCATAAACTGTGCGGGCGATGTCGTTACTATCTCGTGGCTGTCAAACAATGAGGTCATCTGCGGCGTAACGACGCACTCTGACAGTCGAAACCAGCAGTACAACAAGCCTGGCCGCGTCGACTGCGTGTAGTGGCCCATGCGCGGAGGCTACAAAACCTTACGATTCTGAGCATTTTGAGCCTAAAATCAATCAATTCCGGCTTTATTTCACCCGGTTGTGGTCGATGCAAGTTGCTCTCGTTAGCTGCACAGATCCAATGTGGCCATAACTAGCTGTAGCTATTCGCGCTTTTCGTCACAGTGGAAGTCCCGTACCCGTGCCACGCCCCACGCGCCTTTGGCCGTGCGTCCTCGACTTCTAGACGTGCCAGAAAAGAGTGGGACATGGCACGGGGCACTCGAATGTTGGGCTCACGACGCGCTCTTTTCCCGTTATAATTTTTCTTCGCATACCCCGAATGATTCAGGGTTACGATAGAACCGGCTGCTGCTCGGCCTAGAGACAGTTGCAGTATTCCTCTTGAAGGCGACGGTTTTGAAATTTTGTAGAGATGCAGCTGAGGCTCGCCTCCTTTACCCGACGTAGGAGAGCTAGATCGTGAACCGCTTGGAGCTGAGACCCGCAGTGGGGTGTAAACCTCAAGTCTAGCAGGTTAACCTTAAATCAACGACAATGCTTTGCAAAAGTCTTCGCTTAGCACGGTCTTGGTACCTCGTCGTCGCTAGTTGCCAACTCACCCACACCTCACATCCCTGCCAACAGCACATACCTTGAGCACCACGCCGACGTCGATTTCTCTATCTTTACGACCGCTGTCGATGCGACAGTAAGCTAACAAGCTCATTAAACGTAAGTCCACTGCTTCATCGTCTCCGGTGCGCCCTTCCTCGTCGTCTGCTTCTCTATCCAGAACCAGCAGGGCTCGATTGCGTTGAGATCTGGTGAGTTGCTGGGCCATAGCATTTTGGCCACATCCCACAGCTTGTAGGTCTCCTCTTGGAACAAATGGCGATGGCAAGGAGCGCCGTCCTCTTGGACGATTGTGCCTGGCCTCCAGAGCTGACACCTCTTCGCAAACGGCTGCAACTTCTCAAGCAGAATTTTCTGACGGTATCGCTACTAGTCTACCCCATTGCCGTTGCGGCGTGCTAACATCCCAGTCTTCTGGCTCCATCTCCAAGTCGGCTTCCGACCTCCAAAGCGTGTCGCCAGCTTGCACCTCCTGATGCTATTGCGGAGCTCCCGCTTGTCTCGATACTTCGGCTCCAACTCTGCGTTTAGGCTGTTGGTCTCCGCTGTCGCTGCCACCCTCTCTGCCTTGTTCTCTGGCCGCTATATATGACAGGGCCCTTCTGGTCGTAAGAGACACACCCCTAAAACATGAACTCCGAGTACCCCTTCTATCGCGATCGAATGTAGGACTTGATAATCCGCCCTGTGGGCTTTCTCCAGATCTTGTAGCTGCCTCGACGGTGGCTTAAGACTACCGAGGACTCGTCGGAGAAAATGACATTCTTAAAGTCGATATCGCGGTGTCCGGGGGGCCCAGGCTAACCTCTTCGCTTTTATCGCTTTAGTTATCCTAGGATTACTCGTCGGCTTCGTTTTGCGGTACTGGGCACGGCGGAGAACCCGCCAGACTGTCGTCGTCGATATATCTATTCCTTCTGCGTTGAGCTCGTTTGAAATCATCGAGCACGCCTCCTCGCGACCGTACATGTTAAGGCGTACCGAAGGAGAGCGCAGGTTGCGCGTGCGGCGACGCCGAGTTTGACGTGTGTGGCTATGCTGACGGTGTTGTTGATGTTGGTGGTGTTGGCGGTGTCAGGGAGCTCTGCAGGAGCAGAGTGTCCTCCGAGTTCATTGACGAGTGTCGAGACCTGGCAGATTTCGACTGGACCCATGGACCCGAGGGCACTGCAGTCCCGGTGATTAAGAAACTGTGGCAAGCACTGTACGTCCTCCTGCCGGGCGCCATTCGGCAGCCTGATAAACATGTCCATCGCCTGCTCTCCAACACGGCCCGCAAATCCGTCTGGTTACAGGAGGCTTCCGAGAACGGGGCGCGCACTCTGCGACAAGAGAGCCTCGGCAGACCTCGCACTTTGGTACAAGGGATAACACACGAAGCAAGCAATGCTCGACAAAGGGGGCTCTGCTTTCCAGTATCTCGGGGTACTGTGATGCGTAAGCGAGAGAGGAGGCAAGGAGACTGTCCTATCCGTTCGAATATATCAACCCAGATACCAGTGATGAGCATGGTTCCCCTCCGACTTCCTGTATCCAGCCTGTCCGAGCACGAAGAGCGATGGTTCGCCGCTAGCCTCTGTTTGTCGATACCTGCCCCGGTGCAGCGTCGTCGAAGGGTTGCGGCTTCATGGTCTCGACCGTGCGGGACCGGGAGTTCCTTAATCGATAGGTCATCTCGTCTAGGTTGTGAGTTCCGAGCGCGGCCTCATGCTCGCTAATGACATGCTGGAAGAGGTGGGCGAGGCTCAGACGGACAGGAGCCAGCGTCAGCTCAGCCTCGCGATGCTCAGGGCTGGGCCCGAAGATTACCCTTCTGAGGACGCACTTCTAGGTGCTCACAACGTTGTCAATGAATGCCGCCTTGCACCAGAACTGGCCGATAAGGAAGGAGATCTTACAGATCTCCACCGAACCCAGGACTATTAGGATACTGTCGTTCTGGCGATCGAAAAGCTGTACTAGGCGCTGTAGGCCTTCAGACTCAACGCTTTTCGGCCCCCGAACAGACACGTCGTCTGCCTTTTGTCTAATACTACCCCCGAATCCGTCCGGATAGAAGGTAAAGACATTCGACCTCAGTCCGCACCTGGGTGTTCCTGAGTTCCCAGCCTCGCGAGATGACACCTGTAGCGGCTATGTGCATACCCTGAGACTGATCCATCTTTTGCGGAGCTACTGCGCTAGAACAAGTCATTCCTCGGGAATATAATCCGTTAGAATATAGCCTGAGCGGACGTTGCATTTCGGTACAAGGGGGAGATATACGAAGCAAGCAATACTCGACGCAGGCGGCTCTAGTTGACTGTGTTGCGAGGTGCTGTGATGCGCAGGCTGAAGTGGAGGTAGTGTTATTACAGGGAGGGAGCAAAAAAACCGCAAATCGGCCCAGGTGGCCCACCACCACCACATCGCCACCCATGATTGACTTACTGGTAATGAAGCTATTTCTGCAGCTATATGGATAAGAAATGATGCATTCTGTAGCGTTTCAATTGCTCTAAATGATGACGTAATCAATATTTGGTGTACCAGCCATTTGAGGCTATCACCGCAGCTAGTCGTCGTGGCATACTGTCGATCACGCGGTTAACTAGCTCAACCTCAATCTGCTCCCATACATCCATTGCAACTGCTTCAAGGTGGTCTAATGAAGCCTTGCACTTCGTCATATATGCCATTTGAGGGTCTGCCTTGTAGATGCGGTCTTTGAGGCACCACCAGAGGTTTTCAATGGGGTTGAGATCTGGGCTGTACGGCGGCCATTCAAGCACTTCGATGCCAGAGTTGTTGAGCCATTCCTTCACCACCTTTGCTGTATGAACAGGCGCATTATCATGCATGAAGATAGTATCGTAATCAAGCATCGTCGGCAAGTATTCTTCAATATGGTCCTTGTAAACTGCGCCTGTCACACCGCCCTTTTTCGCGTCGGGGTCTCCTGGGAGGACGACAAGTGGCCCCCGGTTGCCGTGCCGGATTCCGCCCCAGAACATTAGGGAATGCCGCGTTTTCTTCGTTTTGCCTTGTACGTACTTCGGATCTATTGCTTTTGAGCCTGGAACGAATTGAAATGGTTAACTATGGACCGAGATATCGTGGGTTAAAGGTAGGTATGATTTGCAGACCTCTTGGCCGCCAAACCCACTTCTGACTCTGCCCATCTCCGCGTTGAATAGAGCACTCATCACTCCATAGAATGCGACGAAACCACGTAAGCGGCTTATCACGATACTTCTGCGCGAAACGGAGTCTCTTTTGAGCATGGTCTTCTGTTAGAAAGGGGCGCTGTGCAGCCTTACGGTGCATAATACCCTCTGCCTTTAGATACCGCCGAACCGTCCATACAGAAACATGAGGAACTACCCGTTTCTGGAGCTCTCCAATCGAGATGAAGCAGTCATTATTAATCGCATCCTTGAGGCGTCGTTTATCGTGATTATCCAGGAGGGTTGGGCGCCCACGGCCAGGAGGAGTGACACCCCAGTCCTGTGTCGTGAACCGTCTTTTGATGCCATATACAAGGCTCACAGCAATACCCTCGTCAGCCGCGATTTCTGCAGCTTTTTTGCCCGCAGAAAATGCTGCCCATACGCGATTCCTCGTACGAGGCGTGGAATGCTTTCTAAATGGCTTCAAAGGGCGTGGTGGTGTTGTCATTGTCGATTGAAGTTGGTAGTGCTGTACATGATGCAAGGTGCAAGTGCGCGTCGCGACGCGCTGGTGGGGAAATTTGCGTTTTTTTCGCACCCCCACTGTACAGCCTGGAAAGTCCGCTGGGCTTTACAAGGGGGGCCCGTGCTCTATACTAGTCATATTTGAGATAGGTCCTCCCGGAGGTTTAAAGAGCTGAGAAAGGTCGTTGCTGCCGCCACCCTATCCCAGATACAATTGATGTGACGTTTCTGGAGTGCACCTATAAGAGGCGTTATTGCTGGGCATTGCAACAACGGTAGCGTTTTTGCATTGTCACAATTGAGTTGCTCAGTTATATCAGCCCCCTGGCCGGCATTACAAGCTGGCGGTAACTCTTACCAACTGCGAACATTTCCTTCTTCCACCTCGAGGTCGCTCACTGTTGATATTGCTCAATGATTCAACAATAACTCCGTCGTGCTGGCCTATCGTATAATCTTCATAATACATACAACTCCATAACCCTGACAGAAAGATTCACGTTCTCCGATCCCGGCAAGGGTGCAATGAGCACCACTCACCCTTCTGCAACCGCAAAACACCAACATCACAGAATGCCACCATCCGGAGCGAACGACACTGAAGACCAAATGTTGCCAAAAACCACCCAGCCGCCAGAAGTCCTGACCCAGGCGCCCCTCCTCACCGTCAGCGGCAGCTTCTTCCCCCCCCCCCCCCCCCCCCCCCCCGTTTCCATACTCTGCTGATCATAATGGTCTTCGCCCTCCTCTTGATGCTCGTGCTCTGGCTGCCCCCAAGATCGGCTGGGTAAACTGGTTTGCGTCGAACCTGTCGTGAACGGGAGGTAGTTGGAACTCTCACTCCCATTCCTGGACGAAGAGCCCTTGTTCGAGACACAGCCTATATGCTCAGCCGGATTGATTCCGGAAGTATTTGGGCCTACATCAAGTCACAGAGTTTGGCCACCTTCCTTGAAGCCTACTCTTGGACAATGTGACCGGGCACACCAAGCGTCTTCACCATCAAGGTCACCCTGACGCAGAAGGTATGTAGCGGCAATAACATCGAGGCTAGTGAATACGTCCTAATACTTGCGTCTAGGGCTTATTATACTACAGGGATATTGTAAAGGTGGATTTCAACTAATTGGCTATACTGCAACGGAGTACACCTGAAGAATGGATTTTCAATGAGCTGAACTCCACGGCAGATTTGCAGTTCAAGCGCGAGCAGAAAGTCTCTGCAATGGACAGGACCTGGAATCTCTCTGGGTCCATGCAGGAGCCTCTTCCAAAGTGCTGGCTGTTGAGCGGTCGAGTATGCCTCAGGAGATTTGACCTTGAGTGATCAAGTCCGGCCTTGACTGACTGCGTCCAGACAATTTCCGTATGACTATTATCTCCAAAGACTTTTCCAAGGACTTGAAACAGGAAGAGAAGTGGGTACGGTGCCAAGTACAAGAGAGGACATACCGAAGGACTTCTGTGCTGAGCTCGGCGCTATCGCCCGCGGAGTTACCCAGTATCCACAGTCTGGATTACACATACCGGAAAGAAACACATCTATCCCAGCAGAACACGTGGTGGAGAAGAAGGAATTCAGAGGGCCTGCGTTCCCGCCAAAGCTGCTCAAAAACGATAATATCGTACGAGCATGATGCAAGAAGGACAACAGCGTTGGGGCGCTAGAGGCCAACGTGAACCTCAGTCTCAAGGCCCCAACTATCTTCACCGCGCTTCAGAACAGGGTCATGACGGAAGTATTTACGCAGCTTGTTGAAGACGCTCTCTAGCAATTCCCGTATAACGCCACGGTTGAGCGTTTGCGCTGCGAGCTAAGTCTCGATTTCCATGGCCTACATATTGAGAAAGATCCCCGTGCTGCTTGAACAAATTTCTTTCTAGGCGGCACCTGGAAGTCGACAAAGATCTCTTCGAGGTAATAAAGAGTACGATTCCCTTTACTCCAAACTGCGGCCCGAACAGAGAGACCATTGATCTACTAGAGATCTACACGGAAGATGAAGACAGTAAGTATGGAGATGTTAGCGACGGGTCAATGGCTTTCTGGGCCGACCCCTCTCCTCTGAGAAAGGGCTTGATTCATCAGGAGGGTATGAACCCGTTCCTTGTTTTCGGACCGCCCGTACCTCTCGACATGGAGCAAGTGTTCGGGAAGAGCAAGAGCCAGCTCCCTAACTTCCATCGGAGGACATCGAGCGCCGACTGGACCAGCGCAGACAGACTAACAGACGGGGAAATGTAGCAAGACATAGCTGCGAGGAGTTCAGGAGAAATGGGATGTGGGGCTACGAGATTAGTCGGGCTCTAGCTTGAGCTTGCAGCCCAGTGGTATGATGTAGTTGGCGCTGGTACGATTTAAGATTGTAGCGGCGAGCCACGACGAAAAGGATCACGACGGTCTACTTAGAAGTTTTTGTTTTAAATAGACGACTGGATAAAATAGCACACCGGGGTCTCTTTTACAGAGGCCCTACAGGGCTATGGTTTGCATTTCTCTAAAGCGGCTACCAGCGGCTCGGTTCCGTTTGCTATGCACTGATGATGATATACAGTAGTGACCGCTACCTGTGTCCGCTTTTCAAACACTAGTTAATGTTTCCGCACGGACCAGCAAGATGTGGCACATTGTGGCGCGTACTGTGCAGATTGCCCCGTATTAAGTATCCTCCAGAAATGGCGAACAGTAACAGGCGATTAAACGACGCTGGAATTGCCCTATAGAATCCACTGTACAGAACATAGAGCGTCGAGAAACAACCTGGTTATTTGCGACGTCCAAATGCTCGCCATGCTTTTTCTGGTAAGGCGGGCCTTCTCCACGACCTAACAAACTGTACTACAATTCAAAGACTGCTTGATCTAACACATGTCTTTTATATAATGTGAACGTCGTACGGTACTTCTGTAGCTTGCAGACCGTCTTCCGATTATATGCCCTAACTTAGTGAGGAGACGGCCGTGAAGTAATAACCCAATTCGGCGAACCTAGACAGTCTCGAAGGACTTCAAACCACAGAACCTCGATGTCACAGGCCACAACGGAGTTGAGGCGGCCACCAAGCAGACATTAGATCAAGATCAAAATCACCATATAAGCGCCCGGCCCTATATTTCATGAGCAATACCAAGGATACGACTATGAAAATAGTCACACTGCATCTCGGCACATGTGGATTTGGCGTATATCATCCAATAGAGAACCTCAAAGAGACGGCAGGACCCATGCATGGTGAGGCTCTGGACCAAATGGAGCAGCCTGTAGCGAGCTGCCGTCTTCTTTGCCCTGGGCATTGAAGTCGGCGCCCTGCTCGACTAATTGTGCAGCAGGTCGTTGTAGCCCGCACAATGCTGTGACGTACAAACAGGGACTTGGTATGTCCTCATCATCCCGGTTAGCCCATAGAGTGTCTGGAATAAAGAGCCTCAAGCTGAGATGGTACGCCCCCGTGTTACCAAACAGCTCCATTGCCACCGTCGTAGCATTATTTGTGACAGTCTAGTCGACTACGGCATGTTCCGCCCAGTTTCTAGCAGCATACTCAGCCAATAGGTACCGGTGCGTGACTTCTTCGGTGTCAAGGTCGCCAGGGATGCTAAGCAGATATGCCAGACAAGTTTCTGCGATGACCAACCGGGCGCGCTGCTCCTGAAAGTTATTTGCATCTAGGCCCGACACCAGCCATTCTTTCACTGAGTAGTGAGATAGCTGGATATCTTCTGAACAGCTTCCGACATCTCTGCTTCCCGAAATGACTACCAGACTGGAACAGTACTGCGAGATCTCGTCCGGCGCAGGCATGCGATCTCCTGGGTCAAACCGCGGCTGTCGTTCAGGTCGAAGAAGCTGTAGATGAAATTGCTGTGGATGGTTCTGAAAACGCTAGGAACTGTAAGATGTGCGTTGCGTATAGTCTGTTTTCTTGGGGATTTCGTTCCATAATCCGGTTATATGTATCAGTCAAGGTCCCCGAGAGGGATTGCAACGCTTCCTTTAGCGCCCTGTATTGCAAACACTTGTTAATGCGATCGAGCTGGCATATTGCCCATCGAAACCTATAAGCGCGTTAGCACTGATGCCTGGCTGCACTGTGCCATGCTACTTACCTCTTATCATCTTTCTCCATCAGCGCGTCTTGGGTAACTACCTGGACATCTGGCCTGGATCGCCACCGGCCCAGGTCGTCATCACCATGCATCCTTGCAGAGGGTCAGTAGTATGGGTCATGGCCACATCCTCCACATTGAACGAGGAAGCAACCACCATTTCCAGAGTCACCTCACCAGCAATAGCACTACCGAAGTCGAGAAGCTTAGCGCCTGATTGTTGACCCGACGGAACGCCCCAAATCGCCTTATCTGATCCACACGAGCATCCGTCGCAAGTACCTGTTGCTTTCACGTCGCGCATGAACACTTGCGAAATTCCCAAGGGCACCACTTTTGTGCGGTCACAGTGAGGCTTTCTTTGAACACTGTGCACCACGGCTTTCTGTAGGAGCAAGATGACATGGAAAAGGTGAAGGACTATCATGGTGGAAGCGTAAATATTATTATTATTATTTATAGTACGCTTTACCTATTAAGTAGGTTTAGCGATGCTGCAAATCTATCGTATAATAAACCGTGCCTTTCGGCTGGACTAAAAATATACGCTGCGTATTCGCTGCGCCAAAGTGGCGCCTTCGCTCTTCCGGTTCTTCGCATCCAAAGAATGGCTCTCACCAGCCAAACTTGCTATGACAAGAGGATATTCTCCCAGTGGCACAATGATAGGTTGTCGACAGCGACAGCAGGCTGCGCATCCGCAGTCAATGCTACAGCGCTGCGCATCCGCAGTCAATGCTACAGCGCTGCGCACTCGCTCAGCCCGCGCATTGTACTGCGATGCGCTGCCTCGCCGCGCAGCTTCGGGCCAAAATCAAAGAAATTGGCGGTGCGCTGTCGCGTCCGCGTCTCTCGCGCTCCTCTGGCGCCGCGCCTCCGCGCGTCGTTCTGTCTCGCGCGTTATTGCTTCCTGAAGTGCTTGCTCCTGTGCCGGCGCCTCCTCGAGCGCCTTATGATACTGTGGCAGTAAGCGCTGCGTAATCAGCCAACGCGCTACCGCCTTGGTGAGCCGCGGCTCCTCCAGGTACGCGGCGAGTTCACTGCGCAGTCGCGGCGGGGGGCGGCCGACCTGTTGCCACATCCTTTCGCGGCTGATATGGAACGCCTCGCAGTCGAGCACGACATGCTCAAACGTCTCTAGGGCCTCCTCGCAGCGGCAGAGCGGCGATAACACGTCTGGTGCGTTAATCTTATAGAGGAAGGCCCGAAGCGGGAGTCTGTCTACTCTGATCTGGGAGAGAATTGAGGACTCGTGTCGCAGGAGCCCTTTATGGCGTTTCTTGAAAGTGGTTGTCCTGTCCTCTGCGAAGGCGTTCCGTGTGCGCTGCTGCTTACCTGCTTCCCAGCGGCTATCCCAGCGGGCGTCTCTTGCTCTCTTTATGTCTCCGTGATCGTCGAGCCACTCCCGGGCAGAAGCCGTCCTCTCCTCCACGACCTCGTACGGGTCGGACGGGTCTGACGCCTTAAGGCTGTGCCGGCGAAGGCGCGCCCATCGGGCGCGCTTAAGGATGGCCGCAGTACGCGCGCAGGCGGTGCGCACGAGGCGGACCGTCCCTTTTAGCTGGAGGCGGTCTTCGAAGCGCGCGGTGAGATACGACAGGTGGATATCTAGCGGCGGTACCTCCGCTTCCGCTTCGAGGTACCGGATAGGTGTCGACTTCGGCGCGCCGCAGACGATACGTAGGCACTCCGCCTGCGTTGTCGCGAAGTCGCCACACGGGCCTGCCGCTCGCGAGTTGCCTTTAGGGGTGGTATGCCAGATCGGCGCCCCGTAGGAAAGCGCGCTCCTGATAACCGTCGTGTAGATCTGCCGCGCGCGCGCGAGGCTACATCCCCACGTACTCGCTGCGAGTCTGGTGAGCGCCAGAGTCTGCGTTTTCATCTTGGCCTTGGTGCGCTTGGCGTGCTCTCCCCACCGCAGCTTCCTATCGATCCAGACCCCAAGGAAACGCGCGCTCTCGCAAGGCGATATTACGGCGTCGCCGAGTCGTACTTGCTGCGCCGGCGCCTCGTGGGCGCGACAAAGGTGTAGCAACTCGCTCTTCGAGGGCTCGAAGCACATCCCCATTTCCTCTGCCCAGCGCGCGCAGGTTGCCCAGGCCCCCTCGAGGGCTCTGCTAGTCGCCTCTGGGCTCTCCCCGATCGCCATAAGGTTGGTGTCATCTGCGTAGCCGACGATTACGAGCTGCGGGTGCGCTGCGAGTTTCTCATACAGCGTGCCGATGTAGTGGAGGAACAGTAGGGGGGATAATGGCGACCCCTGTGGAACACCCGCGGTAACCGGCAAGACCTCCGACGTAGCTCCGTCGAAGTGAAGGCGCGCCGAACGCGCCTCAAGGAAGCTGCGCGCCCACCGTACTACCCACGCGGGGTAGCCTCTTTCCGTGAGTACCTGGAGTAGTCGGCAGTGGTCGACCGTGTCGAAGGCTCCTTTGATATCGAGCTGCAGGAGCGACGCGATCCCGCCGCGCCTCCAAGCCGTGTGCGCTACGTCGTGGAGGACCTTAACTGCTAACTCAGTGCTCCGGTCCTTCCGATTCCCCATCTGGCCGTCGGGGAGGAGGCGGTGTTCCTCCGCCGCTGCTGCGATGCGCCTGGTAAGGATAGCCTCGATAAGCTTCCCGATCGTGCAGGTAAGGGAGATAGGCCTCCAAGCCCCCGGCAGAGCCTTCTGCTCCTTTGTCTTGCCGGGCTTAGGGATAACGACCACGCGCGCGCTGCGAAAGCGCTTCGGGAAATAGCCTAGGGCGAAAGAGGCGCTCGCAATGTGGGCCAACTCTTGATGTAGTGCCGCGCCGCAGTGTAGTAGCAGCCCGGTAGGGATAAGGTCGTCCCCAGGCGCCTTCCACTGCGAGGTATTACGAAGCTCCTGCGCGACGTCTGCGCTGCTCACCGTCTGTTCTACCGTAAATCTTTCCTTAGCCGATGGGAGGGCGGCAGTCTGGGGAAGTCTCGGGGGAGGGAAGAAACGCCCCGCAAGTAGCGCGGCTTTCTCAGCGTGAGTACGCGCCGTGGTAGCACCGTCACTGCCCGTGAGCTCCGGGATGCGACCGGAGTCCGCCGGGGCCGAGCTCCGTAGTCGAGCCCACCTCTCCAACGCCCAGATGTCGCGGTCTCTGGCCGAGGCCGCGGCGAGCCACTGTCGCCAGCGCACCGCCTGCGCAGCGGCAATCGTCTCCTTTTGGGCCTTGGCCGCCTCTTGGAGTTGGGCCTGCGTGTGCTCGTTGGGTCGACGATTGTATGCCTTCCGGCGCCTCTTTGTGAGGTTGCAGGCGTCCTCGACCTCCGGGGTCCACCATTCGGCGCCGCCCCCTTTCGACCGGGTGCGCCTCTTGGTCGACGCGTCCGCGACCTCGTGGAGCTGCGCGATTATCCAATCGACACGCCGGTCTAGTTCCGCGCCCGTTGTGAGGGGCGGTGCTTGATCCCGGAAGCGGAGGTCGGCCTCTGCCCTCGCGATATCTCTGCGGAACATCTGCCAGTTCCATCCCTCGACTGTCGCCTCGCTCCGTGCTTCCGCCGCGCCCGCGACGCGCACGAGCTGTGCCCTGTGGTCCGACCCTTCGAGTCCCTGGTCGCCTTCGTAGGCGACGCACAGTCCTCCGCTCACCCAGGCGTGGTCTATGGTGGAGTCCTTCTGGCCTTGCTGCTGCCGCGTTACCTCGCCGTAAGGCGTAGCGAGGGAGAGACGCCACCGCTGCGTGAACTCTAGTAGCCGTCCCGCATACGGGGAGCAGCGGCCGTGTACGTCCCACATCGGGTGATGGGTGTTGAAGTCGCCAACGAGGACGTGCCGCCCTCGCGGCGCGGTCGCTGGTAGTTCGGTAAGAGGGCTATCCCACTGGGTCGGGTCGCCCTGGTTTGGTGAATATATGGACCAGACGCTGACTGCGTCCGGGCCGTCCCCAAAGGTTATCATACTCCAGTCCACCCCTGCGCGCTGCTCCCACGCCGCGATGTCGTGTCGCTTATGGATATATAGCGCGGCACGGCCTACGGTGAAGACGCTCTGATAACGGCAGCGCCTAGGGCAGTAAAGCCCTCCGGTGTTCCGATTAATCCAGGGTTCCTGTATTGCGATAACGTCGTACTCGGCGCGATTCTCGAGCGCTAGCGCTACGTTCGATCTGCTTGCTGCTGCGTTCCAGAAGAGGATGGTGATCTTCATGTGCTAGGCTCCGACGCTTCTGCTGGGGTACCGTCGCGTTGGTGAGGCGCCGCCCCGGCGCTGTCAGTGCGCATCCGCTTCGCTGGCGCGCGGAGGTGGGACGTAATGCTGCTCTGAGAGCGGAGTTGTCGCGAAGTGCTTCCCGCGGGCCTGCCCCTGGGTCGTGACGCCTGCCGGGACTGGACGACCTCCCACGCTGCGTCCGCGCTGCTAGCGCAGTCCTGCTGAGAGGTCTCCGACGTCGCGCCGGAGCTGGACTGTAGAATCGACGGGGTCGTTGCGTTGCTCGCGATCTCGAATCGTCGTGCTCTATGCGCGTAAGCTTCCTTGACGCGCTCGCGCTCCGTTCTCGCTGCGGGACAGGTCCTATCCCACGCCGGATGTTTGCCTTTGCAGTTGACGCATCTCCTAACTCTGTCGCCGTTCTTGACAGGGCAGCTGTTCTCTCCTTTAGCGTGCGCGCCGCCGGCGCAGTGACCGCACCGCGCTGGCGCCTTGCAGACCCGAGCCCTGTGCCCGTAGCCGTAGCAGTTAAAACATTGTAGGAACCGTAGGTTCGGGTCGAAGGGCTCGCAGTCGAACATGCGCGCCTGCCAGACTAGTCCCCTACATATAATCTCCTGCGCTGCGCTCGCGCTGCTTAGATAGACTATTAGCGACGAGTGGGCGGCCTGCGTGTTCTTCGGGAGGTCTCTGCGGCACCTCAAGATGCCGGGGGAGTTATCCGCGCGCAGCTCCGCTGTCAGCGCTTGGTCGTCGTGCGCCGCCAACAGGAGTCCCGTCGGGACGCCCTTCGCGATCACCGCGACCTCGCGGTGCCGGAGCATCGCGTCTGGGCCGAAGGCGGCGGCCACCCAGGTGTCATCGCGGCCAACCGCGGTGCCCTTGAAGGTGACGACCATATCCCCGGACTGTAGGCGCTGCGCTGCCAGTGCGTCCCCGCCGCGCATCGCGGCGTTCACGGCTGCTACCGCTCACTTGGGGTCCATCTCCGCGAGGGTCTTGCCAGGCCCTGCGGTGATAATAACCTGCCTCTCTCTTTTCTCCGGGACTACCGCCCTAGGCTCCCACGCGCTACTACCGAGCGGCGCGCTCGACGCGACCGAGGCCCAGGACTTGGTCGGCGCCTGGGCCGCGAGGGTGGCCTTGACTGTCTTTGCTATAATCGCTTCGATATCGACCGATGATTTCCGTTCGGTGCTGGTGCTTTGGCGGCTCGCTGCCGCCGCGTCGTCGAGTCGTGCGCGCGCGTCGTACCACTGGTGAAGGAGCTCTCTGAGCCTCCCCCTATCCTCGTCTTTAACAAGTTCGGCAATCTCGCGTTCGATGCTTTCGGTCTGCGATCCGTTCTTCGATGACACGTCTGTATCGGTGTTCCCGCGCGTCGCGGGCGACGCGGCGGAGGGTGTCGTCGCGCTGAGGCCCGCTCGGGGGTGGTGTTGACTCTGATCCAGCCCAGCACCACCCCCTGAGATGACCATCGGGTCTGCCATGCCGCGCACAGGATGCGCGCACGATGCGATCACGGTGCTCTGGCCTTTCGGGCCCGGAGAATCATGCGCAGATGTCGGTTTTTCAATAGGAGGTTGCGTCGTCGAATTACGGGATGAAGAACGTCTGGACGTTAGTTTATTAGGGAGGAAAGTGACGATAATGACGATGAGGGTGTCGTAGATATACCGAAGGTTTCCATAAGTGAGGTCATCGAGGCACTCCAGGTCGTCCGCCTATATGAGATGCAGAGTAGCAGCGACAGCGACCTCCTCCTCCGCCTAGATAAGCACGAACGGCACATAAGGCTTATAGGACAGTCTCAACTAGTACAGAGCGACATCCGCAGCTTCTTTGCTTAGATAAATCGACTGGGAATACCCTCATATTGGCCCATTTTGCTTGTGCGGATTCCTCCATATAGCGGATTCTGGCCCGGTCTCATTTGATCCGCTTAAACGAGGGTCGACTGTACCTCCTCGATAAACCTAGACGGAAAGTCGTGAGCGCACAAGCCACAGGCAGGGGTACTGTTTAGCAGGGCCCCATGCAAGGACGCCAGCGAGCTGGGCCTCATGCTGGCAGGAACAACTTCGTGGCTTGAGGCCTTGTTCATGGTTCCATGGGCAATACGTCATGCAAGTGTAGCACTTAGGTACTGTGCACTTTGTACTTATTTTGCTGCTCTTTTCCGCTACTCTCGTCGCTGTTTGCCGCTGTTTATCGCGTTTTGTCTTTATTGTTTGTCGCGTTTCGTCACGACCCACTCTACGGTGTACGGTAAGGTCGAGTGAGATGCAGTCCACAGAGGCTTCCAAGTCTAGCTATTCGCAGTTACTTCTACCAACCAGGTAGGCGGCGCCTTGGTCTCTCTTCGAATTCCTGAGCCGATTAGCCTTTATCTCCGAATGTCCGCGGGAACCCTACCTTCACGGATGCGAAGAACTGCGTGACCGCAGCTCCGCCCCCGAGCTGTTCCACCTCACCTTCCTCTGCCCTAGCTTTGACGAGCTTCGCCACAGCGAGGACGTATTTCGGCGCGCTCCGCCTCATGTCTTCGTTGGTAATGGCCGAGTTCGTTATCTGAGCAAGCATGACTTGCATCCAGCGCCTGATGTCTGTCCACTGAAGGACGTGGCCACCAAGCGCCAACGTCTGATGCTGGCGCACCCGGAACACAAAATGAATCGTCCCCGGCATGAAGAAAACAGACTGGCCAGGCTTCAGGATAATATATCTCCAGCGGCCACCTGTATGTTGGTGGGGATCGGCCGTCCACGAATTTCGCTCCTCCTCCGTCGGACAAGACATCCAGCCGAACCCGATCGACCCTTCCTGGGCAGTGATCCACGTAGCAAAGCCGTGACTGTCCATATGCGGCGCCGTGTTGTGGCCCCCTTCCGACAATAGGACCCAGTCGAGAACGTTCTTCCACTCGTTCCACTCCTGCGTTGATGCTACTACCCTTTCAGCGCTATCCTCCATCAGCACCGCATTGCGGACTTGAAGGAGAAGCTGACAGTTCTCGCCCGTCAAGAAGTTTGGCATGGAATGAGGCAGGGGGCTCTGCAAATCGATAATGTTCCACGGGTCGTCGGTGCTGTCCTGGGTAAGGAACCGTTTCCGGACTTCACCGAGTTTCCGGACTTCATATGACGGCTTAGTAGAACTGCGAGATGGTATTTGCACCGAGACCGACTTGTCGAGGAAGCCCATTCGCCGGAAAAGCTGAGCAATGGGTCTGTCGCCCTTGCTCCATCGGAATTGCTGTTGGCCTTCCGTGATTATCGGAGCGTCGTGAGGAGATCCGGACTCAGCCAGGCTTGCCGCTTCATCGCCGGTGCAAAACAGCGCCTCAACTACGCCCTTGCTACTGTCTGTGTTCGGCTGCTCGGCCTTCTCTAGCAACTTGTAGATAAGTTCGTCGGTTCCCTTGCCGTGGGAGTCTTGCGATGACATATGCTGGCTAGATTTCTCCCGCAGCTCAGCAACGACTCGTCTCCGGTAGGTATCATCTGCCATCCGATCGTGCATCGGTCGGTCTCGGGCAACATCTGGTCTCGCCATAGGTGTAGGAAGGAACGGTGGAGGCGCGTCAACCCGGGCCCGTTTTGATACAGGCTGAGTGATGTCTGGCACTGAAGCGGCACGTCGACGGACCGGGCGATCGGCACCAAAGGATGTTACCGCGCTCGAGACATATTGGTTCCCCGGCAGGGCCGCTTTTTGGGCGAATGCAATGGCCGACGCCCGCGTCGCGAGAAGCTGGAGATGTGAGCGGCAGAGTTGCGAGAGAAAAGGGGAGAGTTGCTCTGCTGCCTCTGGCCCGAACATAGACGGGTTGTCCAGGGCCAACAGGAGTGTTGATGGAACCTCGGCCGGACAGCATCGTGGAGGGATCTTTGGGGCCTTGACTGAGGCAGTAAGTCGAGCTTGTTTCGATTTAGAGGCTCCCCCGCTCTTGGTGGGCTCGTGGTAGGACAACTCCTTGCGTGCACGGAGTGACATTCCAGAAGGCTTGTTAGGAGTGGTATTTGTATCGTTAGAGCTATCCAGGAAGTGAGGAGCCTCTGGAGTCGTTGCGGCCGTGTCCTCTGCTGAAGTAGTACTGGATTGGTCATGGCTGGTGGGTGTTGTGGCATCAGCAGCCCCAGCAAGGAAGGCATCAATGGCTTCAGAGGCAATGTCGTTCCTATTTGAATCCGTATCACCGGGTTGCGATGCCGCGAATGCCAGCATGTCTAGGCCCGCAGTACCGTTCTTCCCTGACGGCTCTGCGATGTCGGCGCTGTTGGCTTCCGGTACCGCCGCCGCCTCCGTAGTACCGCCGCCGTTGGTCTCAGGTAAGTCGACAGCAAACTGCTTATGGACCATGAGACCATACTTGTCGAACCCGAAGGCATCTGGTAAGTCTTTCGCAGCCGATTTTTGACAGGGAAACGGATGTTCGCGCGACCAAATCCTGACGTTCTCTAGATCGGCCTGCTCAATTGGGTTGACTAAAGCCTGGACCGGGCGTCGCCCTACAGTCTTAGACCGTTGGAGCATTGACCGGTTCAGACCGATCACGGCTTCCTCCCACGCAGGGACTCTCCGTGCCGTGGTGCGAAGCTGGTTCCAGTATTTCTCTGTCCTGGAGGACCACTGGTAGTGCTGGACAACATCTCGACCCCAGCAGCGCACCACCTCTTTCAGGGGAGTGAGGCGTTTGGATCCGTCTGTGGCTACCCCAAAAAACCGATCCCACTGCGCTGCATCGTCCTCCTGATTTACCGGCGATGGCTGGGTCGAGTCTCGGTTCTTGGTCTGCTTCCGCCGTCTGTACTCGGGGCACTCGGCCGACATGACATGCTCGCAGGCGGCGACCAAGATCTGCACTCCGGCATGCCGATCGAGCAGCTCGTCTCGTTTCTGCACGCACAGTTCGTATCGCTGCGCATCGGTCTCGCAGATGCGGAGTTCTTCGCGGAAGCGGTCGACTTGCGTCGCTTGCTCGGGCGCTAAAATAATCGCGTCATCGTCGGGTTCGTTGTTCGGGCGCATTTCGGCGGGCCGGGACGGTTCGGCATCGTCCAGACGCGGAACAGATGAGTGCGCCATATCGGACCCCGTCATGGTCTGTAGAGTGCGCGGCGGTGGTTTGTTGTTGTGGACACGTAAGGTTCGCAAATGGCGGTGGCGACCAGAATTGCCGGTCAGTTTCGGACCAGGCAGTGTGGGCCGTCGACGGGCGTTGTCATTGGCTCTTTCGCGGACGAAACCAGCCATCACGTTCACGTGGCCAAACACGGCGCGTCGCGAATTCCCCGCCAATCTCACGCCACGTCTTCAACCTCGCGATTGCGTGTCGCTCTAGCACAGTGCGCCTCGGTATCATCTGTGCGAACACTAACTGCTATTCGCAATCAACCCGTAAGTGACTCACGGGACTCCTTCGAAACGCACCGATAGCCTTCACGGCCTCTTCCCGTCCACTCCGTGGTACGTTGTGAAGAAGTGGATGCTGTTGAATGGACCGTTCCCATGACGTCTGGTACCTAATGGGATACCTATACATTCAGTCATCAGACCCCAGGGTTTTTCGTCTTTCCTTCTTTTTGATCCAATGTCCGAACTTATTGCGTGTCCGCACAGAAGAAAATGGCAATCTGCTTTGAACCCTTTTAGAGGACCAGAAAAGAGAGAGCGTAATAAACCCCCAAGATGTGCTCCGGCCAAACCCACCGCCCGAGAAAACTAACGCCTGCCACTGTCCGGTCACATGTAAGAATTCCGATTCTCCACCGCGCCAGCCCCATGATAGTCCAAGTGGACATCTTGCTTCGCCGTAATGGAAGCCTTCAGGTGTTTTTCGCTCATCACTTCCCCCTTATACTCGGCCATGGACTGAGCGAGGAATACAATATTTCTTATCTATGCGGACTGTTAGCGCGGCTCAAGCACCAAAAGCGGGCCTCTTACCTCTCGGCCATTGATCTCCTGTTTCGCCAAGGCTGGCCATCACATCGCTCCTGAAAGCTGGATGTCCGTCTTTGACCCGGACTTGGTCGAGAAAGTACTTCCAAACAGCCATACGTGCCTCTTGCTTCAGCGGTTCGTACCTCAGGGCCAGATGCACCCGGCTGAGCACCGCCTCGTCAAACGCCTGCAGTCGGTTGGTGGTGAGAAACAGGATGCCATCGTAGTGTTCCAGCTCCCGCAAGAACACCGAGACCAGGGCATTGAGTTGCACGTTCTCTGAGCGCTGAGCCAGGAACACATCCGCTTCGTCGAGGAGCAAGAGGGCTTTCCAGCGGCTGGCGATCTTGAAGATGGTTTTCAAGATCGGTTCCACCTTCACCGGATCCACTCCAATCTGGCCAGCAGGGACCTATTTGGTCAGCAAGAAACAGAAGCACGGCCGGGGAATACATACTGTGTATAGCGGAATTCGAGAGCTCTCTGCCAGCGTCTCTGCCGTCAGGGTCTTGCCCACTCCCGGCGGCCCACTATCACATGTCAGCAGTGGCTCTCGTTGGCTGGGGCGAGACAACGCACTGGAGCAGGAAGTTGATCCCGCGTCCTTTCCCTTGGACGAGGTCCTTAAAGCCATCTTCCGGAGTGCGCTGCAGATACGTCTTGGTGAGGGCTAGAATGGGCATCTTCTGGCTCTCCGGAATTCTCACGTCGTCAATCGAAGACGGGTTCCATTCGACGTCGCAGATGTTCGTAACGGCAAACTCAACTACGCCCAGTAAGCCCTTCTCAGCGGGCCAGTATTGGATATGTTTTGAGATGATTGCTGAAGACGGCAGCCTAGTTATCGCTAGAGTTCGCTTGCCGCGACACCCCGATGCCCCGCCTACGATTAGTGAGGAAGACGAACAGTACTCCATCGCATGCGAGGTCGCTACTATGGCCTTTGTGAGCCAGAACGTACCCGCCATTACTCTCCCCCAGATATACGCCTATGAAGGCCCCGGGTCCCAGCTTGCTGCCGATGCCGGTGCCATTTACATGCTTTTGGAAGGCTTCTATGGAAATACCCTACAGGATGTCGAACCTGACCTGTGCAATCTATCGTAGGGTTTCTTTCATTGCTTCGATTCCGCCCTACTAACCGGATCTAGATTGCAATCCAGGAGCACATCATATCCCAATGGACGCGGGTACAGGTAGAACTAGCAACTCTAGCATATCCGCGGATTGGTTCCATCTCTTCCGTATCGACAACAGGAGAGCCTGTTATTGGCAGGTTGGCCAGCGCCTCAGCAGAAGGGTTGAGGTGCCACGGCCCTTTCTCTCGTACGGCTGAGTACTTCACTACCGTTGCAGATGCTCCAATTAGCAAACTGGATCTGACGGATACGGATTCGAATGGTGTTTTGTCCTTCACCGTACTTGGCGCCTTTGTCTTTCGCGACATCGTGCAAAACACTACCCTATTCGAGGACAGTGACGCTGAGGGGCGGTTCCCTCTGAACCACATGGACCTTGGTACGCAGAACATCCTTGTTGACGACAGATTCAACTTCCGGGCAATCATCGACTGGGAGTTTGCCCAAACTGCGCCCTGGCAGGTCAATCACTACCCAATGCCATTTCTGCTACTGGAGTCGGACACGGAGATCCAAGGCATCCTTCAGAATCCCAATCACCCTGCGCATGGGAACGTGTCGCGGCAAGAGTTTGCTCGAAGGTTATACACCAAGAAGTTTCGAGACGCCGAGGTAGAACAGGGGAAGACAGGGCGATCCCTCGGAAGCTCATTCGCCGAGGTGTTAAACAGCCCTGCATCGAGGATATATGCTTGCTTCACAAAACTTGGCCGCTTGCCAATGGCAGATGCAGGCCTCGTCCACGAGATGGTGCGGCTCGCCTTTGATTTGGATGCTGAAGGGACAGAATGGTATCTCTATGTTATAGGGGATCGGCTGAAACGAGCAGACAATAAAGCAAGGTAGTTACACAGATACTAGGTTGCCTGGCTCTTGCTTAGGTAGTCGGATCCTTTTGGGCTTCCTGAAGGATCTGCCGCATCCGAATATATAGCCCTCCGTCCTCTCTCTCCCACCACCCACCATTTGGAAATACAGCTTTCCGTAACCGGTTGACCCAAGGTATCAATGGTTGATAATAAGGAGTAAAATTCTCCTTAGCGGTCCTGATGAAGTCCCCCTCATGAGATACTTGCCCTTTCTTCTGCTCCGCCAACTCCTCTGTGTCGATGTAATTCCACTTGTCGAACCGTGCGACGACCCTGTGCTCGTCCGGCCCTTTACAATGGATGCATATCCAGAACAACACCCAAAAGAATGACTCGAGATCGTGCATGAAGGAATGCTGCTCGCCTAGAAGCGCCCCGATTGCCATGAATGCCCTCGTGCCAGTCTTCCCCTTGGCTCCCGACGCGCCCTCTCGTGGCTCTTTGATGGCGAGATCCAGGTCAATCAAAAGGGAAGGCCAGGAGGGATTATTGACGTCCTCGTTGATCAAGAGGTTATTGATAGAGATGTCTCTGTGCAGGATGCCGGCCTTGCGTAGGGATTCATGCCCTTCAATGCAGCCGTCAAGCGCGGCAAGCAGAGACGTTCGGGAGCTGGCCTTGTAGATAGGAGTTCCATAGTCGCGAAGAATGACACGACGATGCACCCGATTTGACAGATTGCCGCTGGCTTGAGATGTCGAGCAAGACCGCTTGCTGTGTGGCAGAGAGGCGCCGGCTTGACTGGACGATCGTTTCTTGCCAGCAGCTACACTGCTGCTGCGGCCTTTTCGCGAAACTGAGGCCATCGTACTCGACGGGGGGGCTGATCGTTCCGGCCGGTAGTTCGTGGCACTGGTGACGTCTAGTCCTCCTCGGACGTTGTTTCGGACGTCGTCATCCGTTCCATATATCTGAACCGTTTCGTGGTAATAGTGTCTGGCGATGTTGATGACGCCTTTGCTGGTCACCTCGCGCAATAATGCGCCTTCCTCACCGCGTTCCGGATACTGCCATGAATCTTTGATGACGAGCGGTATCTGTGGCTGCCCTTCGCGATGAGCTTTCCAGCATGTCGTAGCCCGACCGGCAACGCAACGTGCACGTTGCATCACCTCGTCAATGATGAGGCGTTCCTTCGAGCCGTTCCGCTCGATCTCGATGAACCGCTGGCCGTTGGCCGCTGTAAATGTTGGATCGAAGCCGAGCTCCTCTTCATTCATCCAGAGAAACCCGAGGACCGTAGACACAAACCGCAGCCCATCTTCGTTGATGTCGAACCGCTCGGATGCGAGGCCCCCAAGCCGATCAAACTCCCATATCCTCATGAAAGATCCGCAGATGGTGAAGCCCAAAACAAAGCGACGAATGTCTTGAGCGGCGAGGACTTCCCTCGCGTACGTGCCAAGGTCTAGCCACGCCTTCGCCGCCGTGTCGGCGGCTGGGTTGCTTTTTAGCTCGCCTGGTACCAGGATTTGTGACCAGTGGCATCGTGAGTCCTTCCCGGCCTTTGGGTTGTCCACGAAGTCGACGTCCAACTTGCGTTCCGCGGTGGAGCCCTGGATTGGCTTGTTGGGCTGTGCTAGTGGCCTTCGTCGATGTGTCGGGATAGACTTGTAATCTTCTGCAAGCGTCGCCAGCTTCTCGCTCAGCTCTGCAAACCAGCTCAATACATCGTCCTGGTTTGCATCTTTTGGCCATCCGCTCCACCCATTACTGAAGAGTGGTTCGCCGCCCTCCATGCACTTCTTGAAGACAGCCTCGGATGCTGTCGTGAGATCTGCCACCCGCCCGAAAAATGTCTCGTGGAATCGAGGGAGCCCGACGTACATAACGCCCAATTCATCCCTGAGGACTCTGTCCACATCCTTACGGTATTCGGAGGAGTTCGCGAACCTGCTCGTATTGTGAAGCCTGGTAGTCTGTGCCAAACATACAGACAAATTTAACTGCCCGAAGATACAAAACACCCCATCTATTAGGACGGGCTGGTACACACTAGTGCCACGAAAGGCAACAGTATAACGTTAGCAGAAATCTGATAACTATCATGATAATTTCGACGACTAGGCAGAGACCCCCCATTCCCCTGCTAGGTATTTCATACTAGCCTTAAGGAATAGTAGACCAGAGACAAGTCAGTTATTTAGCTATTCTTTCCCACCGGACACAACTGT